CTTGTAATAAACTTAAGAATATTATTATTATTTACATTTAAAATAAAATATTAAAAATATTAAAGTTTTTTTAAATACTTTACAAATAAGTTAAATATAAGTTTAAGTTTTAAAATGTATTATGTAGATTTTTTTTTTACCAATACAGTTAAAAAAAACTTCACGATCGGAAAAGATTTGAACGCTGCTTATTAACCGTATCATACTTATAAACAAACGGTTAAACAAAACCAGGATATTAAACCCTTAAAAATATTTTTAAACATACGACGTTCAATGATTAACAAAATTGGTGTAAATATTATATAAAGTAAAGTTTTTATATCATGATTCTTGTTTCTTTGTAATCAGAAATTTGCTACTTTAAATGTTATACAGCTATTATTAAAAAATAATCAAACATATATTAAAAAAAGTTGAAAGGTTTAAGAAGTATAAGAACGGTTAATACGTATAACGGTTATTAAGTAAATATTAAAGGCATTTCAAAAAGATTTAATAGAAATATAACACATATATTATAATAAAAAGCATATAAAAAATTTATTTAAATTAAAATAATTCATTAGCTTATTTATAACTTGTTTTTGATTTAAAGTGGAAAAAAGCTCGCACGTAAATATATATGCGTATGAAGGTAGTTAAAAGAATCAAGTTTAAGTACATCAAATATAATTGTCTTTGAAATATTAAAATATATACGATATATCCTTAACTTCTTTTTTAAGACTATGATATAATTATAATATACGCGAAAATCAAAGACTATTATGTTTAATACACAAATAAGAAAAATTAAATAAAAAATATTATGAAATATCAGTTCGGTCAAAAAGTATTTATATATTTAATAAATAAAAAAGTTGACGTGTAAAATTCAACAGGAGAAAACCTATAATGCATTTGAAAAAACATATCAGCCATATTGTATAAGATAAAATGATATATAAAAAACCTATAAAAATTAAAATAACGTGAATGACAAGCGAGCGGCACTTACAAGCGAACGGCAACTTTTTACTAACCTTCCTACCAACATGCCAAATAACTTGACCACAACGCATTTAATTCAATCTAATCAATCGGATTCTTTTTCTTCAGATGTTTCTATCTCTATTGTACAAGTTTGTACATTATGGCCAGTGTTGCCGCAAACGCCACAACGTCGCTCACGCGCTACTGCCCTCTTCAGACGACGACTTTCTTCACCCATTTCCTGTCTTGCCAGCTCATTACCATCCTCTATAGCCTGGAGACCTACTTTATCTTCAATAGAAAGTACTCCTCCTTTTACTAGACGTTTGTTTTTTGTCCTCTGGCGTTTACTTAATAGGTGATTGGCCTTCTTTAGTTCGCGGACCCAGGAATCAACCAAAGCGACCTCGTGCATAAGACCGTATGTAGCCTTTGAAAACGAGCTCAACGTATCAACTATTGATGTAGGTGAGCTTCTCTAGTGATTTCTGACTGGATTTCAGATATAAACTGACTGGTTTACCGCTTCATTGATGGTGGTAGGCGTCTTTGAAGTCCAAGTAGTGGGTGGCAGATTGGGGTCTGGCAACGGTGTTTGTACGATAGTGACAGCATCCAGCTTTGAAATGACACTTTCTGGGTCAAAAAGAACAAGCCCAGTGGCACTGAAACCTGCTCGAATGTTTCCTGGCGTCATAGTAGCGTTGTGTGCTTCATAAAATGTTGCAAGGAAGTCCTCCTTCAAAACGTGGGTTATATGACGCAGGATGAGATCCTTAATCATGTGACCGTATGCTCGTTTGAGCGGGCTAAAACAACTGACATCTAAAGGCTGGAGCCTATGTGACGAGTGGGCAGGCATATAAAAGGTAATAATACTGTTGTTTTAGCAATAATCCTCAAAGATCTGGGAATAGTGGCTTTTGTGACCATCTAGGATGAGGAGGCGTTTACCGGCAGTCATACGCAGTCTGGTATACTTGTCGAAATGCTGAATCTATTCCAACCCAATCTCGTTTATAGTCCACCCGTTATCGGACACAGCCACCTTTTAATCGCGTGGTAATGTTGTGTCGCAATACAATGACGCGAGGTGGCTTTTGCCCTGTAGAATAATGAATGACAGGAACACCTAACCATCAGTATTGACAGCAAAACTTGCTGTAGACCATTCCCTGTTGCCTTGCTAAGCTTGTCTAGGCCTAGCATGTCTTTTGACGCTTGTAATGACCATGCCAGACCCAATAATGCCCATCATAAACCCAGTCTTATCAAAGTTGTAAATATCCATATCTTGGATACCATGTTTTGCGATTGCCGCCTCGACTTGGCGAAATCACGCGCGATACGCATCTGGATCCTCGTTCAAGACCCTCTGGTAGTCCATCCTCTGATAAAAACGCCTCCGGAGGCCTGGTGTGAGTTTAATAAAGTTCTGCGTCCAGTTCTTTTTAATGCGTCCATCCCCACATGCTGCCAATAATTGATTTGCCATATCTTCAACATAACTGTGCCAGGGTGGAAATGCTCGCGTATCCAGGTCAAGAATGAAGGAAAGAATGGCATTCTCTTCAGAAACTGTAAATTTCAAAGTATTGGGCATGCTATCGTGTCGTGATGATCGGCCGGTGATTCTAGCCTTCAAGGTATTATATGGGACATAGAAAGTCTTAGAAAGCTTGCCAATGGTAATATGAGGGTCGCGTCGCTTAGTTTAGACAGCAAGCTGTAAGTCTGATTGGCTATGACGCAATGCCATGCTTGTTGGTTGATCAATTAGGAGCCTTGATTGAAAGGTTAGGTGGCTGGTGAAAAGTTGCCGTTCGTTTGTAATTGCCGCTCGCTTGTCATCTACATTATTTAAAGAAGTAATGATTTTTATATATAATATATCGTTAAAATATAACAACTTTTTAATGCTTTTGTAGCGATATTCTATAAATTAATTAAGCATAATTAATTTAAAGTAAGTAATTAAATTAAGATTAAACTTTATATTAACGTTTTTAATGTTATATAAAAGTTAGCTTTTTTGAATTAAACGGTAATTAAACTTAAAAAGGCTTTTATTTAAGGCATTATAAAGCTTACGTTGTAAAGTTATAATATAATTAATAAAATAATCGAAATATAACAATGAAACAAAGAAAAATAACTTATAATAATTATTTCAGTTTATAAGATAAAGAATAAAGGCTAATAATCGTTTTGTTAATGATTTATAATCAACGTTTTTGATTGAAAATAGTTAATATCGAGTATGTACTTTAATGTAAGCTTTATAAAAAGTTTTATCAACTTTTATTAAATAACAAACGTATTAACTGCTTTTTTATTAATTTTACCACTTAATTTTACGTACTCTTAAGAGTGATAAACCGTTTATGAACCGGGGAAAAGGTACTTTTCAACTTTGTAGTCTTTAAACGGCGCTTATTAATATGATCGAAAATTAATTGAATATTAATGTGCGATAAAAGAGGTGTAATTATATATAAGTCGGCATTTTTAATTATAATATTTATAAATGATATATGTTTCTTTACTTAACGTATTAATATAAAGTAATTAGTAATTAATGTATATTATTAAAACGTGAAAAACGTTAATACGTTCGCTTAACATGCTTTATTCGCGTTAATAAAATTATTTTTATTTAAATATAACTATTATTCTTTTTGTTAAAAAGCAAAACTTATGAAAGTTTTATACAAAACGTTATTTTACCAAGAAAAAATGTAGATATAAAACATAAAACAATTAAATATAACAATAATATAAAAACGATGAAAATAATCGTAGTACGAGATATTAATAAGTAATAATAAAATATATTATTACGGCTTAAAAAAAGAAATTAAGTTATAATACAACATTTTAATCTAATATTTAAAGCAATATAAAAGGAACCTAGAATTTTTTTACTGGAATAACGGCAATTACGCGCGGTATAATCGGCAGTTGAATAAGCGCTACCCGGCTTTTAAAGATTAAAACGTTAAAAAACAGTACTATAAAAGTATTATACCAGCACGTTAAGCCGATAAGTGACCGACTAAAACTTTAAGGCTTTACTGCTATATTTTCTTAAAACCCTTAATTCTTACAAATACAAAAAGCTAGATTAGAATATCCTAATATATCTACTTCTTAAAATTACCGCCATCACCTTGCTTTAACACTCAGCTACCCTAACCCTTACATTACTCGAAAAGGGATCGTCTGGTTGAGAGTAAGGGGTAAGTGCCGCCTTAAATGGTTGTGGCGATCGATTTTCGTATGAGGATTGTCACGGCGAGCATACTGGGGAGCTGGGACATGGCCTGTAGCAAGCAGCTATTACTCTATTTACGAGAATATCAAGACTAGAGAGGAAAGGAAGAGAGAGAGAGAGATAGGTACAGTGGGAGGTTGCCCCTTTAAGGGGATCTTCTGGTCAGATCCTTCCCCTATTGGGAAGTATCCGCTTGTCATGTGGGAAGGTCTGTGCAGGCCGTCACAAGGATGCTACTTAAATACAGATCATCTCTTCCCTTGTGGCGGGTTTCGTCGCTTGAAACAGATGGCGGGTGATTCTTCCATTGGCTGAAAGCATGTGAAAACAAGGAAAGGTTTTGTGGTCGCATGAAAGCTCCGTTGTCCGGCCTGCGGGTCCTTGTACCAGAATCTTATATGTAAACGGCCATCGCCACGATAGCTTAGCTAGTAAGAAAACCAACCTTCCCTTCTCAACACATGTTTCTGAAACAACATGTCGGCTTCGAAGGAATTAGTCTGATCTGCCATTCTGGCTGGAAAGGCGGATGGTCCTGCCGGGTTGAGCGGACGCGGCGGTCGGGATTCGCGTGTGATTGCCGTATGAATCCAGATCATCTCGTCCGGTGACCAAGGGGAACTTGGACCCAACCAATCCCCTGTCTATGTTGAAAGCAGGTAGATGATAAGTGTTGAGTAGAACCGCATCAGAGCTGTATCGGCAGATGCCTCCCAACATAGACCAGCCCTGCAATACATGCTACAATCCCCTAATCAGACGCAGGAGACCAGTACAAGTTGGCGCCGGGCATCTGAGTGTCGTCGAGAAACTGATCTTCAAATCTGTCTCGTGGTTCCGCAACCCAAAAGCCCAGCCCGGACGTCATTCGCTCGAAAGTAGGAGGTCGGGCCGGTATCAGATCTGCGTATAGACACAACTGTCGCGCAGCTTCCCGATATTTTCGTAGCTTGTCGCTGCCGGTCAGCTTGGCAATGTCCTCCAGGTTCTCCATGGCGGCTTTGGTTATCTGCCGGTCGGCTTCCACAGGGGTATGATGAGCGTCGAATATCCGGTTGGCGATCAGGGCAATGAGGCTCGAATTGTACGCGCACAGGTTCATGCTATGCAATGCGCTAGTCAGCTCCCAGGCCATGTGGGATGTCAGTATTAGGTATTCAGCACGTACCGGATGAAAAAGGTATTCAAGGGGGTGACTGTCTGGAACAGCAACATGTATTCGCGGGCTGCTTGGGTAAGTTCCTGCCACCCTTGCGGGACGGGGGCAGTCGAGACGACCTGTCCTGCGGCAACCTCTCCTCCGAATACCTTTAGGCGTTCTATCCATCCGGAGTAGTGGAACGAGTCCGATGCGCTGGCGAAACTGATCTGGGCCCGGCAGGACAGGCGGATTGAGTAAAGCGTGCAGAAGTATCTTGACAGTTCGGGGAAGCCAGATTGTGTCAGAGTCGTGACACGGAATTCAGGCAAGATGCGGGAACTCCAGTGGTCGAGCATGTGCGTGATGCGTGCAACGTTCTGAGCTCTCTCCTCTAAATTCGAGTTTTGAGCTGATACTGAGTAGATGCAATCGTAGACCTTGCCTTGAATCTGGGCCAGCTCAACTCGCGCACGGAAGTAATTCATTTTGATACCGACATCAGGGGTGAATATGAAGCCTGCCAAGTCACCGTCGGCCTCGGATGGTGGCAGGTCCAGATCTGTGTCACTGTCAACTTGGACCGGTGGCAGCCTGCAATCCAAGCTGATGTCTCTGTCGAGTATGTATGCCATCCAGAATACCCGGTCCCTCTGCCGGGTCAAAGAGGGACTGAGATGCTCGGAACCCCTCCGGGTATGGAGTCTGCACTGATGTGCCAGACGTAAAGCCGTGCTTATGAGCATCAAGGCCGGCCCCATATCATCCGCGGTCCAGAATAGCATGACCAGTCCAAGAAGTACCTGCACATTAACCAAGTCTATGTCTCGCATGGTAACCTCGGTCAAAACCGACTGGGCATTGTGCAGGTAGGTGGCAGTGTTGCCAGCTGGTATTCGGCCACCGGGATTGCTGGTGTGATGGGCAAGAGCAAGCACTACATTGATTAATGCCCAAGTGACAGGACTTCTGGAGTGGGGGCTCTGGTACCAGCTCTTCACCGTCTGCAAAAGCGTCGAGGGGTGAAACAGAGGGAAGACAGTGTTGAATGTGGCGAGATAGTGCTCTATAATGAGCATCACCTCCTGTAAAGGAGGGAATTCTGTCGTTGGCAAGTCACGGACTTGATCCACCACGCCGGAATCCTCACTACAAGCTTCCGCTACGGCCTTTGAGGGAGTTGAGATGAGGGGCTGTCCAGCCTGTCCTCCAGACCTCTCAAGCCTCTCAACCTTCTCCAGAACGGTGCTCAGCTGGCCTTCGAGAGTTTCAACCCGCGATTGCAAGTCGGACTCCCGATGTTGCCGTTGGAGAGCGGCCTGCTTCCGTGATGGTGTCTTGCGGCTGGCAGTCATGTAGGTGCAGTCGGACTTGTGCACCACACAGGTAGCGCAGCGCGGCTGCTGGCCGTCACATTTGATCTTTCTACGGTAGCACAGATCGCAAGCCTTGTCCGATGGTCAGCATTGCCCGGGTACTGCAGTACACATGTCTCAAAACGACGAGATGTCACCTTTCTTTGTGGTGTTTGACTTCCTTCCATCTCCGGATATTCATCGATCGTCGATCGATGTTCAGTTTCTGGGGAGGCTGGTAGCGGGTGCAGCAGAAGAGTCAACGTAACCCTGTAGAAAGACGCGACCTTGAGGCCAGCTTCATCAGCAGACGTCTCCAAGTCAGCCTTGCGTCAACGTGATCAGACAGGACGAATGACTGAAATAGGTGGCCAGACTATGTAGCCCCGCGCGGTGCTGATGCATGGCGCCCACACGGAGCTTCCGCGGAGGCTCCGCAAGAGGCTCCATGCCAAGCACGGGGTCTAGGGGTCAGAACGGAAGCTCCGCTGACAAAGCCATCCCCTATACACATACTCATCTCATCTTACATCACAGGCCTGCGCACAACATGGTATCTATAGATTATCGACACATACGGCGACTTCCGCGGAAGCAGGGATCACCCGTACAAAGGACCTACACAATGGCTGACATTGCTAGCTCAGGTAATCATGGCCTCCGACGGCATCACAGTCCATGTGTAATCTTCGGGGGGGGGGGAATCCCTGTCCCAACATGCAACGCGCACACTCTGAGGTTCCCCAGTCATGATTACTGCCATAACTACAGCCCAATTTCTATACGAGACTTGTAATCTGCAGGTCACCTTCACCTTCTCTTTATCTCATCCATTACGCAAAGACTTCGAAATCAATTCAGCGCCCCTGAAATGTCGCTCCCCACAGAAGATAGTAATGAAGGGCAGCCCGTCCCAATGGCAGCTCAAAACCTTGAAACCCACCGCGGGCGAGATATCGAGAAGCAAGCGTCCAGCGACGAGCTGCCCCCAACCGAATCACGACCCGAATCAGAAGAGCCCAAAGGCAGGACCATCCACGGCCCCCGCTGGCTCGTCATCTGCACGGCGATCTACACCACGTGCACGCTCTACGGCCTCGACACCACCATCGCCGCCGACATCCAGGGCCCCGTCGTCGAGACCCTGGGCCACGTCGAGCAGCTCTCCTGGGTGGGCGCCGGGTTCCCGCTGGGCTCCGTGTGCGTCATCCTGATGCTCGGCCGCCTCTACAATCTGTTCAACACCAAGTGGAACCTGATCGCCACCGTGGTGCTCTTCGAGGCCGGCTCGGCGCTCTGCGGCGCCGCGACGACCATGAACGCCATGATCGTGGGCCGTGTCATCGCCGGCGTCGGGGGGAGCGGCATCTACCTCGGCTCGCTGCAGTACATATCGATCACGACCGGGGAGAAAGAACGCGGCTTCTACATATCTCTCGTCGCTCTGTTTTGGGGCCTAGGTGCTGTCTTGGGGCCTGTGATTGGTGGTGCCTTTGCTGAGTCCTCTGCGACCTGGCGCTGGGCCTTCTACATCAACCTGCCCATCGGCGCCCTCACGTTGCCGGCATTCCTCCTCTGCCTACCCGCCTTTCATCCCATGCCAGGCCCCAGCATACGAGAGCGGCTGGGTAGGATCGACTTTTTCGGATGGGTACTTCACTGCGGCACATGGGTCAGCTTTCTCATGGCCTTGACAATGGCTGGCGGCCAGTGGCCATGGAACGACGGACGCACTATTGCCACTTTTGTCGTGTTTGGCGTGGTTCTCGTGGCCTATGCCTTGCAGCAGTACTTCGCCGTCTGGACCACCCCCGCCCAGCGCCTGTTTCCGGGCCACCTGCTGCGCGACCACACCCAGGTGCTGCTCTACGTGGTGACAGCAGCCGGTGCCACCTCACTCTTCGTCGTAGTCTACTACGTGCCCATCTACTTCCAGTTCGTCAACGGTGACGGCGCCGTCATGGCCGCCGTTCGACTGCTTCCGTTTGTCGTCGTCGCGGTCGCGGCGAACCTCATTTCCGGATCCTTTCTCCACCTGATCAAGACTTACATGGTCCTCTACGTCATCGGCGGCGTCTTCCTCGTAGCCGGCAGCGGCCCCCTGACGGTGTACCTGGACCCTGGTTCGTCGCCGGGCCTTATCTACGGCCTCACGGTACTCGTTGCCGTCGGCAGCGGCCTGACCATGGCCACAGGCTACACCGTCGCAACGCTGGTTCTAGAGAAGCCGGAGGATACGGGGGCCGCGCTCAGCTTGCAAAACGTCGCGCAGATCGGTGCCCAAGTCATCGCCTTGGGCATAGCCGGGCAGGTCTATCAGTCGACGGGCATCAGGAACCTGTCGGCGGCCCTGGCCGGCCAGGGATTCACCGAGGATCAAATTCGGGGTGCGGTGGCAGGCGCACAGAGTTCTCTGTTCCCAGAGCTCAGTGGGGAGCTGCGCGATAAGGCACTCGTGGCCATCACGGAGGCGATGCAAACAACCTTCATCCTGGTACCTGTCGCTGGTGGCGTTATGTTGATCGCTGCGCTCTGCATGAAGCGCGAGAAGCTTTTCGGGAAAGCTGTGGTTGCTGTTGCTTAGAAGACCCTGCGGTGGTGGTGCAGGAAGGGAGGCATGTAGATAGAAAGAAACATATCCAAAGATGCATCGTTGCAGAGACGGGGCCGGGACATGACCCCGTATTAGGTAGACGATATCCAATGTGTTGAAAGGGATATGTTAAACGAGCATGCTCTATTACCGGTTCCCGTGCTCAAGAGGAACATCTTTCAGCGGACCGACTCCTGTCTATTGATTTAGGCAGCAACATTCTCGAATGTGCAGAGACGATGCGGACATTGAGAAGCCCGCGCGGCACGTTGCCGACCAGACCGTCGCGCTTCACAGGATCTTGGGATCACCCGAAATCTTCGTCACCCAGCATATTTTGTTCGCTGTCTTTCTAGCCAGGCACAGAGATGTGCACACTGCTACCGCATGACTGCGTCGACACGTTGGTCGTTACTACGGCGGGCGCTACAGCCAGCGGCCTACACGTTGATGGCAGCATGTGATGAATGAGCTCCGGATCATTCGAGATTACCAACTCGGCGCGGCTTCTGGGTAAACTCTTGCTCGAGCTTGAATTCGGCGTCAACGCCGTACGTGTGTCACGCGCCCCCAGCGTACGCGACGATCGCCAATCTCGTGGAGCGTGGAATTCACCAGTCACCGGAGAGTGGACGGGCGCGACGGGTGTCGGTCGAAGTCATGTTGCCACGTCAATCAGTATCGCTGCCATCAGATTAGCAGAAACGAAGGCCGACAGGCGCGTGACTCTCATCGCGTTTTCTGGTGCGCTATGGCATTCGAGAACGAGAGCCCGATGGATCTGGCAAGCAACGCCCGTGCCGGATATGCCCGCTACAGCAGACGTTGAAGGTGGCGGCCGAGCCGGGTTCGTCTTGCGGCCGGCCACTGCAGCGCTGTTCCTGTACGCGACTAACAGGTCGGTAGGAATATGTGCCCATTCGAGAGGCGCCGCCTTCCAAGTCGAAACTCGAAGCCAGACAGGTTTTGTCGGCTGAGCTGCGCAACTGGTTCGTCAGTGTTGGAATTGCCCGAGCAGAGCGTGAGCATGAGACCGCCGGCGGCCAAGCTGGTTGATGATGCGTTGGCTGATAGTTACAGGCTGACGGGCTAGATCAAGATCACCACTCGTCGGGATGATCGCTGCTTCAGAAATGGCACTCGATATCCTTCAAGTTCCAAAGCGATGAATGGTATACTATCAGGGGTAATGTGGCTCCACTTGCCTCGGCACCCCTAACCCGCCTGACCCGCCCCCTGGAAATCACAAGAAGCTGACTGGGCAGAGCAGGGCTTATCGATACTGGCGCGTCTGCTAACAAGTAATTCGCGTCCTAGCATCCCAACATTCTCGGCCCTCAACGCTCCTCGTCACCCCTGTTCCAGCTCGTGATGAATCCTTCGAGGGCTGAGCGTGTTTGTAAGCCCAGAGCGATGATACACATATGAGCTTGCCCTTGAGCAGAAAGTCACATCCGTGGGTAGCAATACTCCGAGTCAGGTCACCAGGGAATCGTGCCTGATACCCAAACTCAATCCAGTTTCTGAATACTTCGGCGCGTCGCAGCCCTGTTTCCGCAGAATGGCCATCAAAGCCTCCAGTTTTCTGGGGTACACACCCATCACAGACCGGATCTTCCTCCGCAACGAGAAGGCCGCATCCGACTCCGACACGACCCGAAGCACGTCGGTTGACGACCCGACCGCCATCCTGATCTACGGGTGGGGCGACGGGCTGCCCAAGCACGTGGCCAAGTACGCCGACGGATACCATGCTATGTTCCCGACAGCGCGGATCTTGGTCATAATATCAAGTACGATTGCGGCAAGTTCTCAACTCCTCAAGCAACGAACAGACGCCATGCTTCCTGTCATCGACACCGTGTTTCCCACCAAGGCCGACGGCTCCGAGAGAGTCATCCTCCACATCATGTCCAACACTGGGGGCATCTACTCCGCCGCGACGTTGAACGCGTACCAGCAACGCCACGGCAAGGACTCCATGCTGCCGCATCACCTCTGCGTGAGCGACTCGACACCAGGCAGCGTCGTGTTCGCAAGCGAGGTGGGGCGATGGTCGAGGGCGATAGCCCTGGGGACGGCAAAGTGGTTTCCCTGGCCCTTTGCTGTCACGAAGGCAATATGGTGGACCTTCCTGTACACCGTTCACTTTCTGGGGATGGCTTTACGAATCGAGCCCTCCGGTATTTACAGCGCCAAAGCGTTCGTGAATAACTCTATGGCGACGACGAGAGCCCTCAGATTGTACTTGTACTCCAAGGAGGATGAAATCATCTATTGGGAGGATCTCGAGGCGCAAGCAGCTATCGCGAGGAAGGGGGGATATACCACGGTCCTGGAGATGTTCGAAGGCTCGCCGCATGTGGGACACATGCGTGTGCATCCAGAACAATACTGGGAAGCCATAGCGCGATGTTGGAAAGTATCGATGGAGTCCGGGGACAAGATGGAGAGCGTGTCATGATAGAAGCGATTGTACAGCGCGAGCTTACTTTTCAAGGAGCCTCCCACGGTGTACCTCATGCTGGTACGAAGACGCGATCGGCGCGATGTACGCCAATCACGACCGGTCCAGTCCCGAAGGGCTTGACACCCCCTATCCTTCAATTTCCACTGCGAAGTGTATCCAGTGTACATACTACCTGATTTTATAAGCGCTAATACTTTTCTCACCCCAAGCTGGCCTGTACAGGTGCTACGCACATGTTGCCGAAAGACCACCTCGACTGGCAGTAGCAATGACGGCAAGCCTCACTCATCATTTCTTCTGAACGCCGCGATGATATCCTCCTCCTAAAGAATACTGCCAAGATGGGAACGAGGTCTCTTGTCGGTAATCACGGACTGTCGTCAACACCCCAGCTTCAAAGACGCCATATCAATGCTGCATCTCAACATAGTATGTGGCTGGTCATGGTCCAATGCGCGTTCTCATCCCTTGCATGAAGTGTAGCGCGGCAAGGGTCAGACCTCGGTATGGAATTCAACTACGAAGTAAACAAAATGCCATCTGAAAGGCCAAGTGCCAACATTCAAAGACGTGTCGAAAGGCGACATACATGATCTCCATATCTCGCGATCTGGGGTTACATCGCGATACCTTATGTCCGGCATGAGCCGAACGCGAAACCGAGGACCGCCACCTTCAACTGCATACAACCAATGACACCACGGCGGGCGCAAGTGATAGACGAGAACTTGCGTGGCATCACTGGCTCGGTGCATAGGCCTAGTCCCCCTTTGGCCACTGCATACCATTTCCAAACCTCCGACGGACTTGTCTGTGTCTGCGTGTGGCCGCCGGTCTGCTGCTTCCCTGAGCCAGACCAGAGCGGACCAATGCAGTCGCCATGGAGTACCAGAAGCGCTGCCTCCAACTATGCTCCAACTATGCGGAACCTCCGTATATAGAGACGGAGATTTCTCGTCCTCCTGCTTGGCATCTCTCGCCCGCCCCGTAATGTCCTGAAGTTGATGATATTCTGGGAACCTTATCAATAACGTTATTTAGGGCGACAAACCGGACAGAGACCTAGAGGCTATGGACCACCTCGTGCTGTTAGTGTCGAGAGGCCGTCACGATGGGGCGGACGGCGCCAAGGGGAGAAACACGACGTGTGAAATACCGGCTCCGTATACCCCGAGTACGAGCCGCCCATTGCCTTCCTCACATTCCTTCACCCAAGTCCATGATCTATCAGGGGTCTGAAGCACTGTCGAAAAGGGGCATGTTGAAGTCGAAGTGCGAAAACATGAGGCTAACGCGACTGCCGACATCACAGGTCCCACGACCCCAGTCGCCGGGCGGTACGACTTCTACCACCTCAATGTGATCGTGTCAGGGGCGTGCGCCGCCTTCTCGACGGTCGTGATCCTGCTGCTCATGTGGCAGCACGCGACGCACATGAGCAAGCCGAAGGAACAGATGCAGTGCGTCAACATTTCAACCCCTCAAGTCTCAGCAGCCTCATCGCACCACGCAACACTCTCCCTCTGCATCACCGTCTTCCTGCTCGCCTCCTATGAGCAAGAGACAAGAAACCCCTAACTAACGCACAACCACCCCATCAACAGCATCCTCCGCATCGCCTGGTTCATCCCCGTGTACGCGATCGGGATCTGGATCATGATCCTCGAGCCGCGCGTCTACGTGTACCTGCTCTCCTTCATCGTCATCTACGAGGCCTACGCGCTGGCCTACTTCTACCTGCTCCTCTGCGAGATCCTAGCCGAGCCCGCCGACGCCGCCTTGGGGGAGCGCGCCGTCCTCCTCTCCCCGCTGATCGCGCACGCGCGTCGCAAGGGGGTCTCTGTCACCAACGCCAACGGTTTCTTCTCGCCGCACTGGCGCTTCCGAAGGCATTTTGTGGAAGCGTTCCAGTGCCCGCCGCTGATGGTGCTGCTCATGGTCGCGGGCGTCACGACGCAGGCGACGGGGACGTACTGCCTCACGGCTCACGACGCCGTGCATGCGCATCTGTACCTCGTGGTTGTGCAGATCGTGAGCATGGTTGCGGCGATTATTGGGGTCGTGCATACTTATGTGCCGCTGAGGCGGGAGCTCAAGGAGCATCGGGCGTTGAGCAAGCTGTGGGCGTTCAAGCTGCTTATCTTCTTGCAGGTCGCGCAGGGGGTATGTTATGTCTTCTCATGCTGCTTTCACTTGCTATTTCACCTCCGTCACATATCCAATGCGGATGATACGCAAGCGGCCAGTGCCGTGGCATCCTGGTGTTGGTCTCATCATCGAGATCTCAACGATGCGAAGCCAAGTCACCTGTCCGCAAAGCTGACATATCTCACTCCCCATCTAGCTCGCCTTCTCGATCCTCGACGGCATCAGTCCGCCCTCGATCGAAAACTCGGACGTCTTCAGCCCGATCGACATTATTGTCGGCATACCGCTGCTCATCGTGTCGTGCGAGCTGGTCTTCTTCGCGATATTCTTCCACTACGCCTACAGCGTCGCGCCATACCAGCTGTCGGACGAGCAGCTGCGCTCTGGTCAGCGGTATGCCATGCACTGCTGGCGGGTTGTGAGTGAACCTGTTGCCTCTCTTTCGTCCCTTCTCACCAGCCCCCACCTCGAGTCCCCAGCTTGAGCCATCTCATTTCGTCTCGTCTCGTTGGAGAATACAGATACGTTTGTTTCCGGTGTCATTTGACGACACATTATCCGTACCTCGTCACCCACCCCCTGAAGTCACCCACCCCTTTCTTGATCCGCAGTAGTCACTGACTCCAAACCACAGTGGTGGGACATTCTCAAGATCCACGACCTTATCGCCGCGACGAAGTTCATGTTCCGCCTGGGCGAGGAGATCCGCCTTCTGGAGCGCGACATGCAGATGCAGGAGAGGCAGAGCTGGAGCCCTGCGAAGGCGAAGGAGGAGAGCGGACATGAAGTCGGTGTCGTTGTTGGCTGGGTTGAGGCGGTGCGGTGAATGAACTGGGGGAGGGGAAAGGGAGTGTCAGAAGGTGGTTGTCGTGCCAGGCTGTGTATGTTTGTTGAAAGCACTGATTGCACCTGTTTGAGTAGAATTCTCCGGACGAGGATGACGCCTATCCTTTACGGATACAATGGCATACGCACATTTGCAAGAGGTCAAGTCTTGGGCTTCCCACGGACAAAGTCACTTAAAAAACCGGCCAGTTCAATAACAAGGCCGCCAGCCCCTTACCCAGGACCGCCGTTCGTAGGTACTCATAGTAGAGGACACCAACACCAGTAAACTCCCGCCATGAAAAGTGACGCCGCCAAACCAGAACCCTCAATTTCCACGTCAGCAGGCCGCAACCCTCGGCAAGCGCAATCACAGGGTACCTATGTGATTATTCGAGCCGGCACCTGACACGCTAGCACAAGATAAACCTCTCAGTCATCCGATCAACAACCCCCCTGCTCCCCCTCTCTCCTGCTCACCTGCCCACCCACAGCCAGAAAGCTCAGCATAAACCCTCGAAGTCGAAACTGCAACAGCCTGATCAGCCCCAGCAACCCAGCAACCCAGCAACCCAGCAACCCAGCAACCCAGCAACCCAGCAACCCAGCAACCCAGTACCGCAGAACCACAACTCCAAAGCAAGCCCCGTCAGACCGTCTCTCCGATCAAAGAATGGCATGTTAAACAGCCCACCCAAGGCAAAATTGCCCGGTGGCACTCAGACGATGACGATGGCAGGGTTTGGGAGTCTGGGAGGCTTAGCAATGCGGCAGCCGCAGCGGTGCGCAGCCGAGGAGCTGAGACGTTGCGGGTTGCAGGATGGGCGGGTGTCCATGCGGTGACAACCGCTGTGATGATGCGTGTGCGTCTGACTGGGGAGGTGGGGGAGAGGCTTCTGCCGGGCATGGTATCGTCTCGGCACAGTTTTCGGGCTTCGTCATGGGGACGGAGTGCAAGGGAGAATCTGGGAGGATTTATATGCTGTCGCTTGAATGTTATGAAGGAAGAGATGGTTGGCTTGTTACTTCGATCCGGTCATACGGAGCATTCGCAGAAGAAGATCTTGGGAACGTGAATTGCATGTTTTTGGATGACTAGTTTAGATTGTCGTTAAGTATGGAACTCCAGGGTGAATCACATCTGGCACCCGAATCTGCCTGCGACCATCGCAGCCCCTACGGGCTGAGTTCACATTAGGTACAGAGATCGAGCTAGCTATGTGCAGTATATTGCAGAAGTTCACAGGAGACGTCTTGTCTCTGCCTCCCTTCAGCCTCGTCCCCGATCATCTGAGGCACTTTGCCCACCTGTCATTCTCGTAGCCTCCCGGGGAATCATCGGTATGGTTACGAGCGAGAGATCTTGAATGCGTGTACACTCAGAAATGTTCCTTCCAGAAGCGGAAGCGTACTTCCCTGCTGGTTCCCGCCTTGGCTGCCTTCTTGATATCTCGGGCTGGAGGGCATGTCAGTAAACAAGGTTTAGAGGATGGCGGATTCGAGGTAACTCACCAGCTGCGGAAGGACCACAGAAGTACACACCGACCGTAGTCTGCATGCTGCCTTCGAGGCCGTTGATGTATGTCCGGTCCATGATTCCATCACGCATCGCCTCGAACATCCGGTAGAAGTTGGGGCGACCAAAGTTGGTACGCGCCTTGAGCTCGGTCAGGGGGTCGTGGTCTGCTCCGACACTGTTGAGGACAATGTTCTGCTGCATGTCCATGTCCAATTTCTGAGTAAGATAAGTGTGGATCTTCAAGAACTCGACGCCGTTGCTGCCGGGAATGCGAGCAGCCTCGCTACTTTGCGACTCGAGCGACGAAAGCAGGGTCTGGAACCACTCGAAGGAACCGGTGTCCTTGCACACCCAGATGAACTCGACACGTCGGAGACGAGTGGGAGGGTTGGGTCCATTTCGCAGATGCCAAATGTTCTTCAGAATCGAGGCCCAAGGCGTGACACCGATACCGGTACCGATGAGGACAGCAATTTCGTTCTGGAAGACATCTTCTGCTGGAGCACCGTAAGGACCATCGATACGAAGGTCTGGCATCTGTTGGCCATTCTGGAGCGCAACCTCGTACATTCCCATAGGGTCAACGCCTTCGTACAGTTTGGATTGCGCGCCACCGGCACCAACCGCATCACCCAAGGCGCGGGTGAAATCTCCGACCTGTCGAACGTGGACCGAGACATACGGGTCGTAGGGGCAAGAAGTGATGGTGAAAGGATGCCACTGGAAGCCCGAGACCGAAGGGACTTGCAGGAAGAGCCATTGGCCTGCCTTGTACTTGAAAGAAGGCTTCTCAAACTGGATCTCAACAACGTCTGGCTTTTGTTAGCACAAGTGTCGCGTGGAGGGACGCATCTCCGGTTTACTCACCATAGGGGTGGCGAACGACACGAGTGATCTTGGTAGTACGCTTGGCTCGGATCTCGCGGTACAATCGCTCAATCAAGTACAGACCACCAGCGAAGAGCTCCCATCGCCAGCCCTGGTACCCGATGCAATTGTCCCAGAATGCGGCGCCGGCAAAGGGAGAAAAGGGGAGTGTAGAGCTACGCACGAAGCACCCGACGGCGTGGGTGTACAGTCCCAGAAAGAAGGGGATAAACAGGTGATGGGTATACCAGAAGGTTTCGAAGGACTGCTGTCGAATACGATAGTGGGCCGTGGTGTACATCATCAACATGCAGAACAGCATGATGTGACCAGTGATGCCGCCGGCCTGCGTGTAGTGAATCTGGATGGCTGTGCCGGGTCGAATCTGAGTCTTCTCGACGTTGAAAAAGCTATGACAAGCTCAGTCAGCAAAAGTGTTCCCGGCAGGAACATGGAATATCGGGTCGAGTACTTACTTGACATAATGTGCAGATACGTGCAGGATGGTGAAGGTTACCATCGCATAGGCAACTTGCCGATGAAAGTAGATATTCTCATCCAGAGGCAGAAACTTGACCTTTGGCCTAATCCAACGCACAAGCGTTCGGCATACCGGCAAGAGGATGAGGGTTCCATCGACTGATAAGACCAATCCCGCACCTCGTGAAATCCAGACGGACCACTTGAGCGTGTTGAGCGCTGCTAATCTGGGCTCGGTGTCTTGCTTCCACCTGCACGCCAGTCAGAGTCAGCGGGAAAGCCGGAGTCGAATGTCCAAGAAAAGTGACTCACCATCCATAACCGAAGAGAAACCAATGTAGGCCCCAGAACAGGACGTTGAAGATGAGTTTACTCGCAGTAAACTGCTTCTTCGCCAATTCAATAACACCGCTCATTGTGAAAGTCGGCCGAGCGCCCTTCCTAACGAAGATACGAATTCAGATTAATTGTCGACCTGCGACAGTCCGGCGACTCGTGAGCTCTCGGCGGCGACCGTAGGCAAAAGTATCGTAGCGACAGAACGGTTCAGGCGATGATTGCGGCGGTCCCCAATGCAAGTCGTCGTGTGTTTCCTGACCGGATGATTCCTCGCTCTTCTTTCTGCCGGAGTATTAACAGCACCTATTATCCAACGTAACCCCAAAAAGAAACAATCAAAAGAGCGATCTGAGCCAGCAGCGATTGAAGCGAAGGGTGTCGGGTAGAACAGGCTCGAAGAAAAGGCTAATGGATTCTACGTCCTGGTCGCCGAGCAAAGAAGGAAGAGAGGAAGAGTTATGGCTGATCAGATGGGCTGGGGGTAGTCATAAAGGACGAGTGCCGTAGGGATGCGAAGCACGTCCCGCCGAAGCAGAATGCAAGGACTTGTCAGTGGCGGCGACTGAGCAGGGGTGATCAGGATGCAGGAAGATCCGGTGCTTTGCGAGAGACAAACGTGCTCATCACAGGGTGACGGGTGAGTGGAGAGAGGCCGAAGTGTTCGGATGTCAGCTGGCCCTGAGACTTTGAACCCAGTCACGATGCTGTCCGTCACTATCGTCCCTGATCTGTGCGATTTGCGATATCGACAGGGTTGGGGTTGAGGGGCTATCCTGCGTCGGAGCAAGGGTCTAAACGAGGCTCAAAAGCCAAGATAGACTCCGGTTCTCGAAGACTACAAGGACAAAAGGGACAAGGCGAGGCAGATCAGACGTAGGGGAAGGTTTCGCAGGCTGTCGATGAGGTATCAGACTGCACCCGAGTGTGGGACTGGGCCGATCTGATCAGACGGCATTCAAGTCCAGGGTCCTTCGAGGGTTGGAGGGGTGCCGTGAAGCTTGGTGAGTTGAGACAGGCGGTGTTTGAGGCGTCAATGTGTGCTGTACCCTGTTTCGACAGGGATCTCCGCTGATTGCAGGGCATTCAACACACGATAGGCAGAAGAATCGACAACCAGAGCAGCTGTCAATGAGAAAAGCGGAATAGTAAGCAAAGAGTATGAACCGGAATGTCGGGACACAGAACAGCTTGGGATGGACTTGCTAGAAGTAATGCAAAGCACTGGGCGGCTGGCCACGTTCGTGAACTACGGCGACCGCGCCGCTGGCAGTTGATTGATCGATTGGGCGATAAAAATGGAAACGGAATATCAGAAATGGAATCGGGCTGTCCCAACGGCGGCTGCTGGCCACCGCGGATTCGTCGACTGCGCATACGGGATCTCGCATGCAGCCAATGGGATTGCACAGAGTTGGTGATACAGGGTGTGATGCCCTCGCGCATAATAGCATCTCAGGCTCAAGGCTTGGCCCACACCCAGTTACAAAGTGGCTTTCTTCATGGCTTCAGCTTCACGGCAGTGCCAGGAAGCCAACGGCCGTTGGTCAGGAGTGCAGGACTCCAGGAGTGCCGGAAGCACGAAGCCCAGCCCCTTCCTGCAAACCCCCTGTTCCACGGCATTCTGCACAGGCACCCTCCAACCATCCAATGTCGTCAGGTCGCGCCCCGACCGCCAGGGCCCATGGGGAATTCCCACGAGGCCTGTGGAGACGCCGGGAGGGACACGGTTCCGTGTGCTGCTGCATCCGCACTATGTATGCGACTGCGATACTGCATACAACACAATCGTCATACTCTCCAGGACCCATACTATGGCCATCATGGCGCAGTCCCGATACAGTGTTCCTGCACCAACCATACCGTAAAAGCTGGGGTCTAGCCGAGATCCGAGCCTTGCCAGAAGACGCCATCTGATCCAACAGCCTTCGACATTGACGGCAGTGTGCTTCCACATGCAGGTCGATTGGAAACTCCCGAATCCCTTGGTATTGCCCGATTGAGTGGGATATCGTACGATGCAAGATGGAAGTCAGGCCACTTTGCGTCTGTGAGAGCCGGTAGGTAGGTATATAAGATGGCTGCCAGATGACGACCGTCCAGAAGTGTCTCGAGATCATTCGACTTTCTCATCCTCTCCTCGGGCTGATAACGCTTCTGGACGAGTGAAGACTCGCCATGACGTACGTCTTAAGCAGGCAAGCTCGCAGGACGGACTGGACGTCTCGTGGAGCGAGTTGCGGTGTCCGCCTACGATCGCCTTGTGCCGAAAGATGTCCAGCACTCTCGCTCACCCAGCCACCCAACCGCCCAACACTCCCCGTGCACAAGATTCAAGGACTGCTGCCCCGTCTTTCATGGAAGTTTCCGAGGAGTTCCAACTGTGGACAGCTTCACAAACGCCGCGACAGAGCTGTAGATCTGGAAGACGGCGCATTAGGACTGCCTCGCCCATACCATGCGCTGACTTCATCGATGGTTCGCCAGCGCAGGTGCGGTGGGTGCAGATCTGCCACGGCGGTTCGAATCGAATGAGACCCCAAACTTCAAAACCGTACTGTTCCCGCGTGAGGCATGCTCCGCATGTGCTTCTGAAACGGCACAGGAGCGGACCGTGACATTGAAACATCATCAGGATTCAGACGTAGAATCATGTGCCAAGTTTGAAGAACCGCTCGCCGCATGGACGTGCCGTGAGTGCGACATTGTTGAGACTCGAATGCCGTCCCGAATTCCCTCCTTTTATGAAGTTATGCGGTTCTGCTATGCTGCCCACACTCCACTTGCCTCGGAGGGTGGCCCGAGCGTGGGGCAGTACAGTACCTGTCACAGTGCAGCAGACCATCATTTCTACACCATAATTGATGCCACTCGCTATGAACACCACACACTGCACAGAGAAGTCGGTTCTGATGAAAATACCCCATTACCTTGGGTATGCTGTATGATATGCAACATGAACTATTGCAGCCCTCGTCTTGGTAAGTCTCAAACTAGGTGGGTAGACCTCAGTTAACCGTGGGCTTTAGGGATGAGAACCTAGGCATACCCGGGATATCCTTCGCGACTCTCAGAACGACCTGACCCATGATATCGCCTCTCTCGATCTCGTCGTACACCGCAGTCAAGTCCTTGAAGTCACGGATCACCACCCGCGGCGTGACATGACCCAGCCAAACGTGGTCGACCGCCTCTACGCAGTCCCAGACTGAACTCACCGGGGTCCCTACCATGTGCAGTCCCTTGGCCACCATCGTGCTGATGGTGCTGATGCGAGTCTCGATGCAGCCCTCGGGCGGGACGTCCACGCAGCACAACCTTCCGCCTACTCGCAGCATATCGGCCGCCTGAGATAATGTTTCTGCACTGCCAGAAGTTACAATGACAGCATCCGCCCCGTCTTTTGTGACCTCGTGCACCTTTTCGGCTGTGTTGGGCACCGCTTTGAAGTCGATGTACTCGCTGGCACCCAGTGACCTGACGAAACGCTCTTTTTCGGGGCCGCCGTCTATACCAATGACTCGGGCTCCAGACACGCGTGCATATTGAACTAGGAATGAGATTCAGTCTGGTTATTGTCTGGTTCTGAGTCCACCAGTCGCCATGTTACTTACCCGCCAGGTGGCCCAAACCGCCTGCCGCGCCCACCACCACAACCCAGTGTCCGTGCTTGACGTTCGCATTCGTCACAGCCTGCATCTCTCTGGCGCAGAGAACAGGCACAACCAAAGCCGGGGGGTCGGTATCACGCGGGAGTATGCAAAGGTAGCCACAGTCCAAGACAACGTACTCCTGAAAGCTTCCATCCTTGTGGTACAAATGGTCGATACTGCTGATGCCAAATCGGATGCCTACCAGATCGCCAATCGTAACGTCGTCTCTCCAACCCCCTCCCAGTGCAACGATTCGTCCAACCCCTTCGCGTCCTTCGATATGCGGGAGTTTGACCTTCATGATGGGTTTGCCATTGGCCCCGGCAGCCGTCCCTTTCCTAGTATTCAGGTATGTTGCATACTTGTCAGTCTTGCACGACGTTCTCTACTCCGCTGCCTTGACTAACCACTTTGGCAGACTCCCGTGTATAGAACCTTGGCCACGACCTCATGGTATCCCGGTTTGAAGATAGGGTAATTATCTTCACCATGGCCGGGTTCAGGCACGGTGGCTCCGACCTGCTCGTCGTAGATCTTGAGCACGATGTCCGCGGTCGACGGAGGCATCGAGTTCCAGGGGCCCGCCATCTCGTTCTGCTCGATGCACACCAGCTCCGTTTGCGGCGTCGATCCCGGAGTTGACGAATCCATGGCAACGGGAGCTATAGACAACGTCTTGAGCACAGCAAGGTAGAAGGGATCTCTCAGATCAATCTTATGAAAAAAATTCCCAGGCCGAATACAGTAAACCGGTTGTGGTTGGTATTGGTCATGGAGAGTGATGGGAATCTCCGGGCCAGCAGAGTCTAGCATGGTGTGCAACATGATGCGTAGCGCACCTTCCAGCAATGAGAGACTGCTGCACTTGTGCGTTCTTTACGAGAGGAGGTTATATTGGGTTTCCTGCGGTAGTCCCGCAGTATATAAGACACAGTCGTTGCTGCTGGTACACAGTACCTCTACCAGGTACCTGGGTTCTGCGGCCCCCTGGAAGTGACGACCGGCACCACGAAGACTACTGGAAGCCCATGTTACTGCTACCGCCTGCCAAAGGAAGGTTGTCACTTCAGGTTCTCCGCAAATTCTGCGTGCACACTTGAGGCTATCACGACTGCGCATTGACTGCGGCTGATGACACTGCTATGCTTTTTCCTACCACAAGTTGTGGGAAGCCACACAGCGCGACAACGACTGTGCTCCGTAAGGTGCTTGCCATATTGCCAGTCCGTATCCAACATCGTCATGACCCTAGTTCATGCAAACTCCCAATGCCCCATGTACCTGCTCGACTTGAGTCACATACGATGTCCAGGCGGGCATTGGGCGGGAGCGGCAAGGTAGGTGTCGGGATCGCATGCCACTTGGTCCTTGGATACCTTTCCGAGGTAGTGGTGGCAACGAGCTGATACCTGCTCGGTGTGCCAGTTTTGAGAGACGGCGCCTGTCAAACGGGCACAATCCTTTCTATAAACGATAGGTCTTGTCTCGTGGGATCTGAAAGTTATTAGCATCTAACCTAGGCAAGCACAGCTTCCGATGCGTGCGCGAATCCACTTTGTGCAAGTCCCACTCCATACATACCTTACAAAGCAACATGAGATTTGTAATGCGAGTGCGATTGCGAGTGGAGACATGGTCTAAACATCGAAAAATGTTGTAGCTCAGGAAAAGAAACGTCCCACACCTTCATCCATCAATCTCCTCGCCTTCATCGACCCCGACCAAACCACACAAGCAGACACCCTAAACACGAAGCCATCAAAATGTCTCCCCCAACAACCTCCCACACCTACCGCCGCACAGCAGACGCCACCTCCATCGAACTAGTTACAGAAAACGTACCTCAGACTCTGAAACCCAACGAAGTCCTTTTAAAGATCCACGCCGTCTCTCTAAACTTCCGCGACATAGGCATGCTCACAAACCGCTACCCCATCCCCGTCATCCCCCAAGGAATCCCTTGCAGCGATGCCTCTGCCACAGTCCTCGGCGTCGGATCCGCCGTCACAACCTTCAAACCCGGGGATCATGTGACGCCCGCTTTCCAGATGGACCGCATCACGGGCCGCGAGAAGAACGCCCCTTTCGTCGCTCTGGGGGGAGATGTCGACGGCGTGTTGAGGCAGTATGCGGTTTTCGAGGAGCAGGTGCTGACGAAGATCCCGTCCTATCTGTCCCACGAGGAAGCGGCGACGATTGCGTGCGCGGGCGTGACGGCGTGGACGGCGCTGGGGATGGGTCAATCTCACCAAGTCGACGTGGCGCTCATGCAGGGCACGGGGGGAGTGAGTATGTTCGCCGTGTTGATCTGTCTCGCGGCGGGCATCAGGCCGATCGTCACGTCGTCGTCGGACGAGAAGTTGGAGCAGGTCAAGTCGCTAGGGACGAAGGAGAGGCCGGTTTTGGGGATTAATTATCGTACGCATCCGGACTGGGCGGCGGAGGCGCAGAGGCTTACGGACGGCAAGGGGGTGGATGTTGTGATTAACAATGTGGGTGTTGCGGCTATGGAGCAGAGTTTCGATGCTCTTTGTTCGAATGGAGGGACGATTTCGTTGGTGGGGTTCTTGGGAGGGATGCCGGAGAAGATGCCGGATTGTGTTATGCCTGCTATGATGAAGATGGCTAAGATCCAGTATGTCGGCTTGATTGTTTCTGAGTTATGGGGAGGTTGCTTACAGCTTTTCAGGGGTATCCAGGTCGGGTCTGTCAAAGACCAGCAGGATCTGTGCGACTTTCTGGCCGAGAAGAAGGTCGACTTGAAGCCGTTAGTTGACTGCAAGGTCTTCAAGTTTGAAGATGCTGCAGATGCGTTCAAGTACGTTGATTCTGGCGCTCATGTTGGCAACGTCGTCATCCGCGTGGCAGGATAAGCTGGCGGGTCCGATTGCTTTCGCTAGGTAGGCTTGATATCTCTTGTGGCTGTAGCCAGTCACGGTGATGTCTCGTATGCGCCCTCAACTCGCCATCGATCTGGCTTTCAGCTCTTCCAGTCTCTCACCCACAGAGACTTCGTTCCAGTGTTCTGTGACGTCGCGCGAGCCAGGTCTCGTCAATATTGGCATGCCAACTTGCTCAATGCAAAAGCTGGCCGCCACACTTCCCCAGCGCGCCGCTTCTACCACGTTCATGGACCTGCCAGCCGTGAGCCTCCATGTGTGGTACGCAATTCTTTCCTGCTGAAGGTTTGGGCCCATTTGAAACACGCCGTACTCCAAGGAGATTTCGAAAGTCGAAGGGCTGTGAAGATTGTTGGTTAGAAGAACAGCTGGTGCTGAAATGAGAAGGCGAGGTGGTAGAGTCAGCTTTGAGATGTCTTGGAGCTTGAATGTTCTCGGTTCTATGCTTGGTGTGACTGTTGGCCAGAGAATGAACAAAGACCATTCAAAAAACACCAACCAACCACACGTAGCTACCCGTCAAGTTATGGATTGCTCACATGGCAGCACGAGATCATACGGGGGTAGTAGACTATCAAATCGTGTCCTACCAACACCAGGGCGAACAAAGAGCGCCCCACCAACCTCGAGGGCATCAGGAGTCTCCGGAATGTCTATGTATCCCGAATCGCCAAAGTATCCAATGACGGTCTGGACAGTTGCGGGTGCGGCCGTCATGCCACCAACTCATTACCTCGAGAACAAAGAACTCCCCAACATCCATGTACCAGGTAGAACTGCATCACTGCAACACTTTTTCGGACTGCCCTGTGGAAGTCTTCATCCAACACGCATGTTGGTGCTTGCTCACACTGTCGGCTGAGACAAAAAGGCATCGAGTGCTGCAACGGTGCACGCTACTCTCCCTACGGTATGCATCCCGGCCTCAGACCCTGATGGACTGGGCAGCTGACCTGTTCTCGTCAGCTACCTCGCTGTTCATCCCGACAATCCAGGACTTGGCAGCTGACCTGTTCTCATCGGCTACCTCGCTGCTCGCCCAGACAATCCAGGACCCATTTTCATCATGGTTCTCAATACAAGCTCCTCCTACAGTCCTTTTCGCTCGCGGCGATGACCGTTGTAGCAGCCAGCATCCTCTACGTCTTCACCTACACACCAGGTCGGGAAGGTGTACGCCGGATCTCGATATTATCAGCGGATGCTCCCATCATCCCCATGCGGAACACAGTGAAGCCTATTACTTTTTGACACCCCACTCGATGGCCATGCTACAAGACCATGACGTGCAGCGAGCAACGTCGACCGCTCTCCCATGGGATCCTTGTTTGTCAGTAGCAACAGCCATGCATCTCATCAGTGACTGTGACGGCATTCTGGTGCATACGCCTCATTCTTCCAACAATTTACAACTAAGACCGGAGTTCATACGGTATGTCGCGCTGCAGATGTATGCAATCATCTCCCAAACCATCCTATCACCGCACAGAGAACCCAGAGGATCCTACAACACAGGAATGGTCATGAGTGAGAAAGGCGAGCTGCAGGAAGCGCAATATACACCTCTCTCCCCTGTAAGGGGCGCTCAACACTGTCGACTGTACGAAGCGACGTTCGATGTCCTAGCTGGCGATGCTTTGGTACTTCACTCGGTCGTGCTTACACGACGAAAAGACGACCAAAGTGGTCATCCAGTCGGTAACCGTATACCCAAGAGCACCGCACAAGCCAAACAAGAGACAGCCGGCTCTCACGATGCAGCAGCCAGGTCCTCGATTCCTTGGTTTGATTTCTTCGGCGCCATAACTTCACGGGGCCGCAAAAATCCGAACTGCGTGTTGATCGACCGGGGGACGAATAGCTGCAGGTAGATGGGGAGGACGGGAGCTGCCGCTATTCTACTTTGGTGTTCACTTGCACTTGCGCTCACACCGGCAGCTTCAGTATCCCGCCGAGGACTGCGAGGCTAACTTCTCAACGATTGAGTGGCCTGATGTCAAGCGAGACACGAGGCTGCTAAATCCATCCAACCGAGTCGACAGGGCACAGGGGTCCTGCGGAAAGGAAGAAGGACGACAATAGTATGTTCTTTTATCAGGGGGGCAATCATTCAAGAAGCTCAGAGTCTCTGTCAAAACACCGTGTGCTATTAGGCGAAGACATTATTAAGCTATGTCCGGAGAAAGCTTTCAACCGTTTCCTCCTCTAATGAGCGATTGTCAGATGACGTGTTCAACTTACATAAACGGTGACACTGATCTTAATCTTCTAGATCCTCCCACTACAGATAGGACGTATACCTAGACCCCTGTTTGATTATACACTGGGTCTGGTACTGGCATAGACCCGTTAAAGATATCGGCTCTGACCTAGGTGAAGACAATGGTATACTATCCCTTGCACGATGCGGTGGCCTCTGACCCTTGTTTCGAGGCCTGTCACTGCCCTCAGGGGTTGGAGGGTAAGAGTCGGTGATGCCATGATGTAGATGAAACGGTTCGCCTCAAGATGTCGGGCATCGCGTATTCGCAGGTCGGTACCTATGTGGTTCGTAAGCACCTTAAGCCAGGATTATGCTCCGTCTGTCCGTATGCCACCATGATCCTTAGCGGTTCCTTGGCGTGGGGAGCGCTGGGTCATCTTACCGAAGTCGGCGATACTTGGCATACCAGATTGAATACCCAGTATTACCCAGCGTTGAGTGGTTTTTTATAGCATGCGGTTCCTCAGACCGGCATGCAGGCGCTCGATTCTAAATTCAGGCGGGCAACATCTTTGAATGCGCCAACTAAGCTCTGCTTAGTGTTCACTCAAAGGATGCGTATGGACGAACAGGTATGCGGTGATGGATTGGAGGTGATTTGAAGAACACGTTATTATCGCTCCTTCATCCCAACTTCCCAAGGCATGTAGTCGGCCTGTCCTGGTACAGATAGGGCAGAGTCCGGAGCCGGGAGACCAAGGTACCTAGGTAGGCTGCCAAGAATGATAATGGCTTAAATGCACCAATAGCCGGCGACCAATTGCCTTAATAGTCGGCCAAGGACCACAGTTCCACCCACCCAGGGACCAGGTTGGGCATGGTTTATGCTGGTAACACTATGCACTGGTTTGATCCTTCGATGCCTATCAGGCCCATTTCCATCTCGGCGGACCGTCCTACCAGCCCTACAGGCCAGACTGAAGGGGAAAGGCCGTACATATTGTGAACTGCAATGTGTGTGTCTACGCCGGAGGTCCAGCACCTTGTTTGTTATCATTATAGCCACCTGCTTGCTGCTGCAAGAATGCAGCACACCGCGTGCTCCTTGAGAGAGGGGCGACTACCGTGTCTGTGGCAAACCCTAGAAGGAGGATTACAGAGAAGGAGGATTACAGAGAAGGAGGGTTGCATAGAAGGAGGGTTACATAGAAGGATGGCAGTCCTGACTGTATTACCCCTGTCTAGCGCCAGGTACCGGAACCGACAACATCGAGGAGGAGCCGAATACAGGCGTGAAGTGCGCCCAATTCGGACGAACGCAGGGGGATTCGCGAGCAGAGGATTCAGTTCTCGTTTCAACTCGGGGTGCCCTACCTTTATTATGGAGCCAAGGCTCAAGAGTTATGGAGCATCGAGGATTCGACGATCCATCGCTCCCGAGCAAAGCACAAGTGGTGTGATACATAAACCTTTGGCAGCCACTGCCGAGGTGGATGGCCTACGGTCCCAGCTTTCGACCGTTCTTGCGTTATCTCTGTCTGTGAGCATCTTCACTACCGGTGTCGAAATCATATCGAGAGCGATCATCGAGACGCGGATCCGCGAAAGTGATATGTGAGAGGCATCACATTGCGCCAGCAACTCCAGTCTATAACGCGTGCCAACCGCCAACCGCCAACCCGTCGCGATGGCTGCCCACAACTACTTCTACGGTGAGGACAAGGCGCCAAAGGTTCGGCAGGACCAGGAAGGTCTCGAGCTCGCTCCGGCAGGCCTGGAAGTTGTACCCCGAGAATACCCTCGAGAATACCCCCAAGAGTACCCCCGAGAATACCCTCTCGACTTATCACCAAAGCACGACTATTCGACGAAGTCTCCGGTCGAATGGACCGCGACCACTCAATGGACGGCATCAGGTTGGAGTGACTCTGAGCATGGCACACAAGCTCGCGCAGCCGAGACAGCTCCCGCTCCCGCCCCCGCTCCCCCGGGAAAGGACGAGCGCAAGCGGCAGCGGAAGCTAATATGTGGGCTGACGGTGCCGGTATTCTGGGCGCTACTCGTTTTCCTCGTCGTCGTGCTAGCGGCCGGCATAGGCGGTGGTATCGCCGGGGGCATAGCAGTACAGCGTAATGCCGACTCCTCATCCCCCACCGGCGCCAATGGTACATCCACGACACCATCATCAGCGACGTCATCGCCAACAGCATCGTCATCAGCAGCGGCATCATCAGCGACAGCCGACGCCACGACCCCCACGGACGGCGGCTGCTGGGGCATAGATGGCAAGACTTACATGCCCTACGCGGTCGACGGAAGCGATATCCCGCTAGAGGCCGGGCTGGCAGGGCAACAGTTCGAGCAGCAATGCGGAACCAACTGGGTGTCATCGGACAGCACAGGAACGCACGATATCATGCGCATCTTCATGCCCACCCTCGAGACCTGCATCGAGACCTGCGCCGAGTACAACGCTGGGTATCGGGCAAGCGTGCAGGCGGGCGTCGCAGTCGGTGGCGGCTACTGTCGCGCCGTGTCCATCACCAAGGCGCAGGCTGGCTTCTGTCTTTTGAAGAATGGAACTGGGACCAATGATACTGTGAGTAGCGTTCGTTGTACCCCTTTACCCCTTTTCTACACTGACTCTTTGGTACTGCAGTCCGGCCAACCAGACCGCTACTCCAGCGCTGTGCTGACTACCCTCATAAGTGGGGATATATAGTCCAAGGGGAATGAATGAGAAGATCGTTGTTATGAACACACCGCATCCACTATGAAATAATGTAATAGTGCCGAGACCAGCGAACCGCCAATTCGAACGTCTCCTGGCTTTCATTACCAGCAGGTCTCGCCGTGAGCGTCCCAACCGATGACCGGTATTCAAACTTACAAGCTGAGCAGGATTCAGCAACGACAGGATGGATGACTGTTACTGGGTCATCACTTCGGGAAGTGACGATGCCCTGCGAAACTAGGCATGGATCTTGGATGCAAAAGCTGAACATCGATACACCTTAAAGCAGCACGGAAACACGACAGCTGGATTGAGTTTATTATACCCCGAAGAGCGCTCATGGGTGAGGCTATGATGTGGAGATGACACCAAGCGTCCCATTCCGCATCAGCTTCGTGTAAGAGAGCAGGGCTCCAAACTCAAATGTGGTATGCAGAACTTGGGTACTGAAGGGATTGTCTTCCTAGGAACGCGAAGGATGGTGTCCGCGGATGATGCTGTACTTGGGATTGAAACCTACCTGCTTGTGTACTGGCTCCATGTCGCGGGCCGACGCCAGTGGTGGTCATGTACATGTTCCACGACAACCTAGATACCGCATCAACACATCATCACATGCTATTGGGAGTTTGCCTTCAATCATCTGCCGTACCTAATGCACTACTCGGCCCAGGACAGGGTTGGGGAAGCTAAAAACCTGTATCTTGACGTCTCCCCAACCTTGAGCTGAGGGGGTAGTTCTGGGCCGACCACGATGTGATCCTGTGACCAATGGGTATATGAACTCCCAAAACCTCGCACCTCTCTTCTGGCTGTCTCCTCATCAGCACCTGCTATAACCTGAATACTTCTTGGAAGTCTTACTCTACCAGCTACTTCAATCTTCATATCCGAAGCCACACGAAATCAACATGGCACCCCGATACAGAAATGGCGAGCACGTCCGGTACAAGCCTGTTGGAGGTGAGCAAGACCAAGATTCGCCGCTCCTTTCAACACATGCTGACAATGAGAAGGCCCGGACTCGAACACTCCAGACAGCACTGGGAAGATCACCGACGTGCTCACAGAGCCTGGCGTACAGGCTGATCGCAACGTCCAGGCCAGCGCGTCCGATCCACGTTACGAGGTGAATATGGCCTCAAATACTCAGATGTGCACCAACGGCCCCAAGAGGACTTGCTAATCAGACTGTTGCAGATTGTCAACGACAACACTGGAAAGGCCACCACTGTTTATGAGAGCAACATCCTCGGAAAAGCTACAGGACGTTAGTGTGAATGGTGTAGCCCAGATTTGGTGACTGTGACTCTTAGGTCTGGAGGTCGTTGCCAGTGTGGGTTGGTAAATCATGTCACTCCTTTGAACAATCAACACAATTTGGTGATGAATGTCGGGAGTAGATTGAAGATAGCCTACAATGTCACAAGTCTTGAGCAGACAATGAACTCGAAATTGCTCATGTCAGTAACTCGATATGTCGCACTTGCTTCCGCCAACATAAATGTGAAGATGTGAATGATTTAGCCAGTGGTGGCGGGGCCGTATTGGAACTCTGAGAGACTCTGATCCCAGCCCCCATGCAGCTATCGATAAGACCAGTAAGTTATCAGGTAGTATGATTGAGGTATTTCCAGTGGTGCCACACCTGCAGCAAACCCCTCCACGTGAGGCACATGCGCCACAACCGCCACATTGCGACCCAGCAGCCCAGCCTCGCTGCATTACGTCGCGGGCTGCCTTAGCGCCAAGGGGTCTCCTCCAGCTGTCAAGGCACCAGCAAATAGATCGGCAACAGCCGCCTTGCGAATGCACGCTCTTTGCGAGACCTCAACTTCTTCCTGAACATCTGCCTAAGGTACCTACGAGAGGCCCGGTCCAGCCTTTTGCACTCGACCTTGGAAATCATTGCTGTGCGAGACGACATCAAGTCCACGGAGTCGGGAATCGCAAATCCCGCTGCCATCCACTGCGCCCCAGTCTGATTGATACCTGTGTTCATGAGAGCCCAAGATGGTAAGCTTGCCCATGTGATGTGGCATGTGCGACACCACCACCATGATTCTAATCAATCATGGGCATATAGGGCATCAGTAGGCGACCGAAGGATAAGTCGGGCGGAGGTGCCCGAGCTGCTGGTGGCGGTGGGCAGTCGGGAGGCGGTCCCAAACCGAAGAAGGCCACATTCGAGACGAGCAAGAAGAAAGAGATCGGTGTTTCGGACCTGACTCTTCTGAGCAAGGTGTCCAACGAGGCTATTAATGACAACCTCAAGAAGCGCTTTGAAGGCCGCGAGATCTATACCTATATCGGCCATGTGTTGGTTTCCGTCAACCCGTTCCGAGATCTCGGTATCTACACCGACGAGGTCCTCGAATCCTACAAGGGCAAGAACCGCCTCGAGATGCCACCCCACGTCTTCGCAATCGCCGAATCGTCCTACTACAACATGAAAGCCTACAAGGAGAATCAATGCGTCATCATCTCTGGAGAGTCAGGAGCAGGCAAGACGGAAGCTGCGAAGCGGATCATGCAGTACATCGCGAACGTGTCTGGCGGCGAGAGTGGAGAGATCCAACAGATCAAGGACATGGTGCTGGCCACCAATCCACTGCTGGAGTCTTTTGGCAATGCGAAGACACTGAGGAACAACAACTCGTCACGATTCGGAAAATACCTCCAGATACATTTCAACAACAATGGCGAGCCGGTCGGAGCAGACATTACGAATTACCTCCTCGAAAAGACTCGAGTTGTTGGACAGATCACGAATGAGCGGAGCTTCCACATTTTCTACCAGTTCACCAAAGGAGCTTCGGAAAACTACAGGACCATGTTCGGGATACAAAAGCCAGAGACCTATGGATACCTCAACCGGTCGAAATGCTTCAACGTTGATGGGATTGATGATCTGGCAGAGTTCCGGGACACCCTTGAGGCTATGAAGGTTATTGGACTGTCACAGGCCGAGCAGGATGAAGTCTTCCGCATGCTTGCAGCAGTCCTGTGGGCTGGAAACATCCATTTCGTCGAAGGTGACGACGGCTACGCTGCTGTCTCAGACCAGTCTGTCGTGGACTTCCTTGCATACTTACTCGAGGTTGCGCCAACTGATCTGATCAAGGGCATCACCATCCGAGTATTGACTCCGAGATCCGGTGAGGTCATTGAGTCCCCTTCGAACATCGCTCAGGCAACTGCAACCCGAGATGCGCTCTCCATGGCCATCTACAACAGTCTTTTCGACTGGATCGTTGTGAGGATCAACCAATCACTACAAGCGCGCCAGGCTACGTCCAACAACATCGGTATCCTCGATATCTATGGATTTGAAATCTTTGAGAAGAACAGTTTCGAGCAACTCTGCATCAACTATGTCAATGAGAAACTGCAACAGATCTTCATCCAGCTTACCCTCAAGGCCGAACAAGAAGAGTACGCCCGCGAACAGATTCAGTGGACACCCATTGAGTACTTCGACAACAAAGTTGTGTGCGACTTGATCGAGCAGGTCAGGCCTGTCGGTGTCTTCTCCGCACTCAAAGACGCAACCAAGACAGCACACGCTGACCCGGTTGCTTGCGATCGAACCTTTATGCAAAGTGTCAACGGCATGTCCAATAAACACCTCACTCCTCGGCAGGGAAGTTTCATCATCAAGCATTATGCTGGTGATGTTAGCTACAGCGTCGAGGGAATTACGGACAAGAACAAGGATCAGTTGCTCAAGGGCGTGCAAAACGTGTTCCAGCAGAGTTCGAACCGATTCGTCCACACCTTGTTCCCCAATGAAGTGAACCAGGACAACCGCAAGCAGCCGCCAACAGCCGGTGACAGAATCCGGACATCTGCAAATGCGCTTGTCGAGACCCTGATGAAGTGCCAGCCATCATATATCCGAACCATCAAGCCGAACGAGAACAAGTCGCCAACCGAGTATAACGTGCCGAATGTCTTGCATCAGATCAAATACCTGGGTCTGCAAGAGAACGTCAGGATCCGTAGAGCCGGATTCGCGTACCGTCAATCATTCGACAAATTTGTCGAGCGGTTCTACCTTTTGTCCCCGGCTACATCATATGCAGGCGAATATACTTGGCAGGACTCGGAAGAGGCAGCGGTGAAGCAGATTCTCAAAGACACCAGTATCCCCAAGGAAGAATGGCAATTGGGAGTTACAAAGGCTTTCATCAAGGCACCAGAGACATTATTCGCCCTGGAAACGATGAGAGATCGATACTGGCATAATATGGCGACCCGCATTCAACGAATGTGGAGGGGATATCTGGCGTACCGCGCCGAATCCGCCACCCGTATTCAGAGATTCTGGCGCAAAAAGAGAGTGGGTGCCGAGTATCTGCAACTGCGAGATCAAGGCCACAAAGTGCTCCAGGGACGAAAGGAGAGGAGGAGATTCAGTCTGCTAGGATCTCGTCGCTTCTTGGGAGATTATTTGGGCGTCAATGCTTCAACCGGACCCGGCGCGCAAGTTCGCAATGCTGTGCAGCTGTCTAGCAACGAGAAAGTGCTGTTCTCGTGCCGGGGTGAAGTCCTGGAGGCCAAGTTCGGTCGTTCAAGTAAACCAAGCCCTCGGATATTGATTGTAACGAACAGCAAGTTTTATATCGTAGCGCAGGTGTTGGTAAACAACCAGGCGCAGATTTCGGTCGAGCGCTCGATGCCGCTGGGTGCCATCAAGTTCGTCAGTACTTCGACCGCTCGAGATGACTGGTTCTCGCTGGGCGTCGGGTCCCAACAAGAGGCCGACCCGCTGTTGAACTGCGTCCTGAAGACAGAACTCTTCACGCAGATGCAACGAGCAATGCCTGCTGGTTTTAGCCTTAAGATTGGCGAGTCGATAGAATACGCCAAGAAGCCTGGAAAGATGCAGATGGTCAAGGTCTCGAAGGATTCAAAACAAGCGGCCGACTACTACAAGAGTGGTGCCGTTCACACGCAACCCGGCGAGTCTCCGTCGTCGGTCTCGCGTCCTACGCCAAAGGGCAAGCCAGTGCCGCCTCGACCTGTTACTCGTGGCAAACTCATCAAACCTGGCGGTCCAAATGGTAGACCGTCTCGAATGCCGGCCAACAGCTGGCCAAACACGACCAAACGAGGTCCAGCTGCTATCCAAACTCCTCGACCAGTTCCTACACCTGCTGCGGCCACTCCTCGACCAGTTCCTACACCCGCTGCGGCCACAAGTAACATCCCGAGCCATACGCGCAGCCAGAACTCAACTTCCTCAATATCGAGACCACCACCGCCTCCCCCTCCGCCGGCCGCAAAGGCTAAGATTGTGGCCAAGGTTCTGTACGACTTCGCTGGGCAAAGGGAAAACGAGCTCTCCATAAAAGCAGGCGACATCATCGAGATTATCCAGAAGGAAACCAACGGTAAGTTGTATCCTATTGTCGGTACCATGTTCAAATGAATATGCTAATTGGATGTAGGCTGGTGGCTAGCGAAGACACCGCAAGGACAGGCCTGGGTCCCGGCCGCTTACGTCGAAGAGCAAGCTGCTCCAGCACCAGCTCCAGCTCCACGATTGCCGCCCCCTCCGCTCTCCCAGAACGGAGCAGCAGCACGAAGCAAGCCTACTCCTCCCCAGCCGCCGGCGAAGCGCCCAGCTGCTGGCAAGAAGCCTGCAGCTCTGCAACCTCGAGACTCCGGTCTGAGCATGAATGCCAACGGGTCGGACAGCAGCCGAAGCAACACGCCGACACCCAGCCTCGCCGGGTCGCTGGCTGATGCCCTGCTCGCCAGAAAGAACGCGATGCAAAAGAAGGATGACGATGATGACTGGTAAAAGTACGGCCACGAAAATACTTATTGTTTGATGTCATGATCATGCCCAGGCGTACTTGGGATTCCGATAGAGGGATCTGTGGCCAACCCACCTTTTTCAACAGTCACGATTTTGTTTCGAATCGGGGAAGAAGCATGTCATCCCTCCACGAGGATGATGGTTTAAGCAGCTCACGATTGATATTGCCCACGGTGCGTCCTCTTCGCGCTAGGGCTTGTCTCGGCTCTTTGTATGGTCGTCTGCCCAGTTGTAGAACGCGATGGCTACAATGTAGATAGATAGAAGAGAAATGTTTGATGATAACGTCATGAATGTGTTTGGTACCCCATCTAAGATTAAGTGTATATAACAGCGATCTCGTGATATCTCTCTATGCCCGTCTATAATAACCTAAGTATCTTCCCAGTCTTTCGTACGGACTTTCCTCCTCCGAATGAGCTCCGCCAGCGGTATCTCATCGTCCTCCTCTTCCTCCCCTAGACCCCGATCTAGTTCTACAAGGTCTCCGCTATCAGCCGGATCATCGAACTCTGCGTCCTCGTCCACGCCGAAGTCGCCCAGTTGTTCACCATCGGCGTTCACCCACCCAGACTTGCCCTCGTCAATGACGATGCCCATGCCCGCCCTCGGCCTCGTCGCTCCCGCCATATACCCGTACGCACTATTCCTCCCATAAGCCTCGTCCACGAAATCATAATCCCGCTCGCGCTCGCGCTCCCGGTCGTCATAATCGTCATAATCGCCCCCAACCTCCTCCAGCTCGCCCAGGATGCGGGACCGCGTGCCCTCCCAGCGGCGCAGGTCGCGCTCCTGCCTTCGGCGAAAGGCTTCCTTCTCGTCCTCGGGGCTCGCGAGGGAGGAGGACTGCCCGTTGTTGCTGACGTGCAGGTAGCGGGCGTTCTCGGCGTCGAGCTCGCGCTTGCGGTCGCGCCAGAGCCGCGCGTTGCGGACCTTGTCCGGGTCCGCGGGCGGCCACATGCCCTCGCGGTCGTTGAGGCCGTTTTCCTCGTACGACCAGCCCTCCTCGCTGCTGTTCAGCACACCGTCATCAGTGCCAGTGGCAGTATCCGCGCGGAGGGGGGCGACGCGCGGCCCGCCCGCAAAGGGCACGAGCCATAGCAGCGGGTTGCGCGTGCCCATCGCCAGCGCCATGTTGGCGAACACGCCGACGTCGTAGGGGAACTCGACGGGGTCGGCCATGAGCCGCGGGCTGGTATCGGGATCGCGATCGCCGTCGCCGGCGCGCCAGAACCCTCCGTCGTCGCCGTAGCGAGAACCGTACCCGCCGCGCCGCTCCAGCACCGCCTCGTGCCGCTCGATCTCCCAGCCCTCGATCATGGTGGTGTTGAACAGCCAGCCCTTCAGCGTAGCGCCCAGCAGAACCCCCAGCGCGAGCGCCGTCACGCCCGCCGCGAACCCGAGCGTCGTCAGCGCGACCAGCTGGTTTAGCGTCGGGCCCAGGTACGCGGGCGTGTGGCGCGCCGCCCACAGCGCGCCGAAGCGCTGGCCTAGGAGGCGGAGTAGCGCCCATAGAGAGAGATTGGTGTAGGCCAGGAAGCGCAGGAAGTGCGGGAATGTTTGTAGTGAGACGCAGTTGGATGTCCACGGGCAGTGGTGGTCCATCTTGGGGATGCAGCGGCGGCACGTCTTGCAGTGGTGGGCGCGCGGCGGCTTAGGGGCGGCGCACTTCTTGCACCAGCGCTTGCGGCCGCCGTCCATCATGCTCGCTATGTTGTTCGGCGCACTCGCGTCGTCGTGAGGGTCGCGGAAGGGGTCGTCAACGGCGGCGTCGGTCTTCTTGGGGATCCGCGAGGGCGGGAACACGTAGCGACCCGGGTCGACGGTGCAGGCCTTGTAGTAAGTGTACCAGAGAAAGCACAGCAGGCCGTTGAAGAGGTAGGTCTCGGTGCGCGTCAGCGGGCCCGGCGCGAGGTCCGGCGCGTGCGCGAAGAGGTACTGCGAGCCGTAGCCTAGGACGGCGATCAGGAGGCTGACGGCTGGGACGGCGAGGCGCTGGAGGGCGGGCGCGGTGCTGCCGACTAGGAAGGCCATGGCTGAGGTAGCTAAGGAAGGTATGTCGGCAACTTTGCTCGCTCGGTCTCGCTCGTGCTAGGCCATTTGGATTTTCGAACTTCTGGTGGATAGTTCCAGAGAGTGGTGGTGGGTTGTAGGATATGACTTGGATGGACGACAGTCGATCCTCGAGGGAAGAGCAATGGAAGTCCTGGTATGACGCTGTTCCACTGCACAGTTACAGCGGTCTGCAGGCGCACAGTGCCCGAGTCACAGTGATACCTGCCTAAGACCTCAGGGGCCGGGCCGCTACTGCAGCGCCTCTGCTAGGGAATAAGCTAGGCCCCGGAGGTGGCCCATAGCAGCTGCCCCGGACCTTAAATCGACAACCGCCTCACCACGACACTCCAGTCACCAAGGTATCACTTCTTTTATTCTTCAACCATGTGATTCATGTTTCTCAGGTTACACAGCAGATTACTCAGGCCACTCCAACAACGGTACCTACTATATCGTGTTACGACCGGTGTAAGCAGTCGCTTCTGTAACTCACCGTTTGCTTTACCAGTCTTCGCATACATAACGACATTCTTGATACCCTTCACACCTGCAGTCACAGCAACATCGTTCAACCATGGCAACGCCCTTGCATATCAAGCGCATGACTCGAGAGCGGACAAATCTCGAAAAAGAAAACCCCGACTACTTTGTCCGCTTCGAGGACGACAACCTGCTCAAGTTCGAGGCCTACGTCTTGGCTCCAGAAGACTCCCTCTACCAACACAAACTGATCAAGCTTCACTTTGAGATCCCAACCAACTACCCCATGGCAAGTGCTACTTACTCCAGGTTCTCATGGAATATCATAAAGCTAACAAAGACTCAAGGTACCACCCAAAGTCACATTTGTCCAGCATACTGGCGGAAGGATACACCCAAACCTCTATGTCGAAGGCAAAGTATGTCTCAGCATACTGGGGACCTGGGCAGGCGAGCCCTGGGCCTATGGCATGACCTGTAACTCAGGTAAGCCCCCCTACAAGTCACTGTTTGTTTGTCAGTGAATGACTTCGACACACGTCCTGACTCACTGACCCTCCTACGCAAACAGTCCTCATCACCATCAGATCCCTCCTAGACAACGAGCCCTACAAGCACGAGCCCGGGCAGCGGAACCACGCAGAGTACAACAAGTACGTCGAGTACACGACGTGGCGCAGTCTCCTGCTCGACTACCTGCGCAACGAGATCGCAGAGTCGGCGAAGGCCTTCCTGCAGAAGCACGTGCGGGAACGGGGGCCCAGGATGATCCAGGAGCTCCGGCGGCAGCAGACTGCAAACGCGCGCGCGAAGCACTTCACCTCGCCCTATGGTGTAAGGTCAGGCAAATCGACGGTGGATTCGGATTACGCGGGTCTTATCCGGGATCTGACAGATGCTGTCTCGCGCACCACTGCCGACGTCACGCCTACCGCCGCCGCCGATGTCTTGCCCGAACAGCCGTCATCAGGGGGTGTGTTGAAGAGGCTCTGGGGTGCTGGCCAGGCCATTATGGGCGGCCCTAATGAGCCGAAGGCCGCGGATGGTCACCAGCAGAAGCGGGTCAAGACGAGCCCTCCGGAGAATGTCGTTGACCTCGGGGATGACAGTGCGGATAAGGTGGTCCTATTACCTCGGGATCCAAAGAAGCCCGCGGATGTTCACCAGCAGAAGCGGATCAAGACGAGCTCTCCGGATAATGTCGTCGAGCTCGAGGATAGCAGTGAGGATAGGGTGATTCTGTCACCTCGGGGTCCCAAGAAGTCGGCTGTGGCCAAGACCGCCGCTAGGAAGGAACCTACCAAACCTATTGAGGTCATTGACCTGACATGACATGACAGTTTTCGCTTTCGGAGTTTGGGAGTACAGGCAGAGGCATCTTTACGCGGAGAGCTTGCTTGGGAAGGGTTTGGGAACGCTTCAGGATGGATATCCGGGGCTGCGACTTGCATAGTACCGTACGCTCCTCGTTGGGCCGAGGTCTGGTTTCACCACTGCTGCGATGGAATTTTGGGCTAGAAGGGCTAGAAGGGCTACACATCAGTAGGCACAGCTCACTCGGGACTACTCAAGTAGTAATATTCACGATACACCCATACACTCGTCAGGCGTCAAGGGAGCATAGTGGTCCAGTGTGTGTGTCATTGGATTCGCGAAGTTCTGCAGTTAATCACAACGAATACGTTTGCAAACACCCAAAGCTTTCGTTCCGTCATCTGCTTCAGTTGCAGAGATTCATTCGTCCATATCTAAACGTCCGTTTCGTCGAGCCTGGCTTTTATACCCAGCCAAAGAGGACCTGGCCAGGAATCCTAGTCCCGGCCGTAGCCCCCGTGATCGCTGTGGTCCTGGCCAGGGAACCTCAAGCATGGCGATCAGGCCAAGTTCTCCTCCTCGCCAGCCGCAGGGCCGACAGGTACGTGCGCCGCGCTTCGCGAGCCTGGGAGGAAGAGCATACTCAGGCCGCAGCATCCCCACGTGAAGCCGTCCGGGTAGCGGCGTCGGTATTCCGTCGTGTTGGCGTCCTTCGAAATGTTCATAAGGCCCCAGATTGGCGAGTTGCTGTCCAGGAGCGGGTTTCCTGTGGGGCGAGACGGGTTAGTAAAGAGTGGTTGTGAGGGGTGGGTAGTCGATAAGGGGAGAGGGCTGGTGTTTGTAGTGCCCGAGTTTTGGGTAGCCTTGGAATTGGGATCATGAAGGGGGGACTTAAGGGTGTGATGCGAGGAAAGCGGCTTGTGGGTATGGGGTATGGTGGGGGGAAAGAGGCTTACCTGGGTGGTAGTGGCACGCGTTGGGATTGTTCGCCCCCTTGAAATAGCCGCTGTGGCATTTTTGGCAGAATGAGTCTCCATGCTGGTTCGTAGCGCCTCGGGCGGCTCCTCGGGTGCCCTGTTGCTGCTGCGGCTGTTGCAGGTTCTGCTGGTTCTGTTGCTGCCCCTGCTGCTGTCGCTGTCCCTGCTGCTGCGGGTGTTGCTGCAGCTGCTGCTGGTGGCGGGGGTGGTGAGGAGGTGAAGAAGGAAGAGGGTGCTGGACGTAGAGGAACGGATGGACGTAGTAGGAGGGCTGGGCGGCGAGGGTGGGCTGGTTCTTTCGGTCTATGGCGTTGATAGTGTTGGTGACCAGGATGCGATTGTGAGGGCTGTTCTCGCACATGGCGAGAACGAGCTCCTGTAGCTCGCGTGCACTCATTTGGCCTGTGGCCGCTTTGATTCGGTCCATCTTGCTTTTGTTCCTTGCGTTGTGCTGCTTGCTTTGGAGAACTGCTTTGGTGAGCTGCGTTGGTGAACGAAGGTTGCTGACGTGGTGGAAGGATGGTGCGGGTGTCGTTGTTGGGGTGAAGGAAAGGGGACAACCACAAAGATGCTGGTGGGGCTGGGTGTGCAGCCAGGGCAACGACAGTCTCAACAGCTGGCCGCGAATCACTAACTGCTAGTATGGCCCGGGCTGCAACTTTTTTGCCAATGCCAACATAACCAGTCAGTGAACATGGTCGTCTTAAGTACAATGACCAATTCACGCTGACGTGTTGTAGCCAACGCCGCGGCAGGGGGTCTGGTGGTCCGAAAACCCCGAAGAGTATCCATGAGTCTTTGCTTCACCTCCAGTGGGGGGCTACTGTGCCATGATTGAAACACTCTGTTGCCATCCCTGTCCATGTCACCATGTGTCACTCGGCAATGCTGAGAGGTCAAAGACCGCATCCCATGCGTGGATATATACTGCCAGTCTTGTCAGATTTCTGGCCTGTGAGCTTGTGAATACATTGACTTACCTTCTCACATATACCCAGGGAGATATACCTAAGTAGGTGTGCCTACCCATCCAGGCCTCGTAGCTTTCGTTGCCGGGGCCTTGGTTGCTCTGAATTGAATGGAGGGAAGACAGCTGCTTCGAACGCTTTCGGAGTGTAACAAGTGTGATCTTTTTTCTCTGTGTACTGATGGACCAGCAGTTGTTTCTCGGCCTGGAGTTGTTTGTCGGTCTGGAGCTGCAGCGGCTGGGCCTGCTGATAGTTGTTCCAGGCGGGGGGTTCCCCCTCGACAGACACACACGAAGTTCTTGTCTCTTCTTGGTCAAGACATATTTGGCAGCCGGGGTGCTCTCCTTCTCGTAGTTGGTGCCCTTGGTGCCACCCCGTAGGATGACAACCCCGTGCTCGTTTCTGTTGGTTCGTGTGGGCAGCATACCCGGTGAATGTGACATGTTTGTCGTCATGCCTGACATGGTCAAGTGATGGAATTTCTGTGCGGTCTACCTGGTGTCACGACGTCTGGCGTCAGTTTAGGTCCAATAAACCTCATGATTTGAATGGTGTCGTAGGGAAAAAGGGCAACATGGTGTGTGAAAATTCGCAGTGATCCAGTCCGGGGACTACTTGCTCTCCGCGCAGGGGATTCTGTTGGGACATACCTTCACGACAGCCCAAGATTTTAAGTTTATGGATAGTATCACCAAAGAAAAAAGAATAATGTAAGAAGTTGGTGAAAAATTAGCTTTGTGGGTGACGTGGGGGTGCAATATGTACAGGCCAGCAAAGCAGCCCGCCTCTTCTCCGCTTTACCCCGTCTAGAATCCGCTTCTATTTCAATGCCGAGGCCAGGGAGACATCTAGTCTCAGGCATTCGACTGCATCGATTGGCTATTGCTAGACGGCCGCCTCGACTGTGGCCAGAGGGCACTCGATCGAGATCAGGTTGTGTGGCAGTATCATACTGCCGTTTAGTGTACGGTGCTTTGCACGATCAAGTGGTTCAGCCGACTCACCAGCCCACGTTGACTCAGGTCCTTGTGTGATAGCAGAACGGGCCGATTGTGCCGTTTTATCTTTGTCTCTGGTAGGAAAACCAGTCATGATCGCTGTGGAGGGTTGGGGCCCAGACGCTATTTATGAAGGCGACTAACTTGCCTTAGTATCTACCAGAGGGGTACAGGAGAATGTGGTAGGAAAGAAGAAAGATGTCTCCGTTATTCGTAACAGACTCGACAACGAGGGAGTAATGGATAGTGGTGCCATGGCTCATTCTTAGTAGAGCGAGGGCAAGGGGGGTTCCGGTGGAAGTTGAGACTCTAGGCTAATGCATCGGCCCTCGAGTTAACCAGATCTCGGATAACGAGTTCAAGGTCTGTGGGACGAGTATTTAGTTAACGTTATGAGTCAAACCAATCCGCGACCCATGAGTTGCGCCTGATTTACATAAACAGGATCTCGCTTGCTCGCCCCTCCGGCTTTCATGCATGTACCACAGCATTGTTTTCCGTAGAGACTCAGAGACTAGAGAATATATGCTATGCTGTGTGAAGATTGCTTAATTGTGACTATCAGTGTGTATCCAAAGTCCTATGCAAGCCGACAGTCACATACTCTAAAAGCTCGACATGTGATAGGTGAACACGCCGGACCAAGATTTATGATTTATGATTTATTAAGCTCTTCCACCGCAAGGGAAGAGCCAAAGCGAAATGCCCTAAAATATACAAAAAGCAGAGCCCCGTTCTGTACGCAAAGTCTACCAGAATGAGACGCCATAAATCATCTCCATCTACAAAAGCTTTAAGTACGTCCGACCAAGAGTATACATATATGCGAGTTGCTTGCCTAATCATACATATTCCCCTTCCGACTGCATCGCTCCTGTCATCCCAGGATCCCTAACGGGGCGCTGTGCAAGGCAAAGTCCCGAGGACATCACTTGATCGGTATTTTTTCGCCATCAGTGTAGAATGCATGGTTCTCAACCACATAGCTCAACTGTTTATCTTGGACCTCCCCTGATTTGACTATATACTTCAGGAAGTTCATCCCGGGAAAGAACTCCTTGTCGTGCTGTATACGCTCCCGAAAGTCTCGTTCTTCACCCAGGAATTGGCGGCGAGTATATTGATATTCGTTCTTTATGCGGGTCTGACGCACCGCCTTCTTGTACTCTTCCTCGTCGTCTCTCTGTATAGAAACGGCATACTGATCTTCATCCATGACTAGGAGATAGGCCCAAAGCCTTTTCCCCAGCCACACTGTCCACCGTCGGTCGATTTTGTTCATCTTTCTAAAGGCCTCCGCGTACCAGTCCACTGAGTCTTTCTCATCGAAGCTCTTAGGCACCTGCCAGGTGTAGCCAACGTCGTCGACAGACTGTTGGATTCTGGGCTACCTTAGCCCATCCATAGTCATCCTTCAGGATCAACATCTCCATCTGTGACTCTGTCACATACGTGGCCAATATAAGGCCACGTATCCTTTCCTTTAGTATCTTGGATATAGGGCCACTCTGGCCGCTCCAGAGTAGCTGGAATTCCTCTCCTTAGATAGAACACTTTGAAATCTCACACAGACCGGTCCTCTATTATTTCGTTGCTCTCATCGGTGGAGAGCGAAGGCTCGGCAGTTTCGCTCTTTCTTTCGCCAGGTGAGGCTGCCCGAGGTCGTGCGATTCGACTATCCGATGGCCCGGGGACTGCGGCACTATTGACAAAGTTGGCGATGAGACTCAGGGCGCCCGTGAGGATGAATACGAGACGCATCATGACCAGCCACGTATATTGCTTGCGTTGTATGCGTGTATAGGACGGTCAGATTAAAGTATGATGTGCTTGCGGTCTGACCTGGGGTGAACTTCAGAGAGCTTCAGGTGGCTGTGAAGGATAGCCTCTACGGAACTTCTTTGGAGTCAGGAACAGGGAGGCGCTTCATATACATTGCTTTGATCAGAAGACTGAAAACTTGCGTTTCGGGTTCGCTTTCTTGGTTTCTATGAAAAGAACTCCTGGCCCATCGATGACGAATGCCGGTGTCGCCGTTGGGAGAAACACGCCCCATGATAGGATCTCTGTTCTCCTAGATAGGTATATACATAGAACCATCTACTTCCTTTCTGTGGGACCACGTAGCCTACTATGTCACCAGTACCCATTTTGGGGACCGTTGGCATCCATCCTTCCTAACAATGGAACAATGGGGACATGGAACTTTTTATAAGGATACTGCTTGCCCCGCAAGGTTGGCGGCCGAAATCATGTCCTCCCCATACAGCCGTCGACACACACTTCAGTCTTACAATCAGTAGTCAGGCAAGGCGGTATTGCCTGTATGACGTCGCGCAAAGGCCAGATCTGCTACGGCACCTCGGACCCTTTGCTGTTTGGGCTAGATCCGACTGGAACTTCATCCTTCTCATCCTCCTCATCCTACAGCTCAACAGTGGAAGTTCTGCAACGACCAAGCCGCAAGGTCCCCAACCATGCTCCATCAATGTCGCCACTCGCGCACCTTCGTCCACATCGCCTTCACCCGACGCGACGTCAGCGACAAGTGCCTATGCATGCTTTCGCCATCATCATCATCTCCCCGGAGCTCGACGAGACGACGTTGAGGAGTCCGAGGATTACGCCGACCAGGTGGAGCAACACTTTAATGGTGGCGGCGTGCGAGCTCCCGGATCCAGACCCGCAATGTGACATGAAGCCCACCGAAAGGAAGGGGAGGCTCCATCCTCGGGTCTTCAAGTACGTGGCGGACGAACGCTGCAGCGTCATGAGGGAAGTGACTCATCCTCACTTCTCACATGGCATCTGGTACTTTCCAAGCTGCGACATTGACTTCACCCTTTATCTGCCCGTCTCACATGAGAGAGCCTGATTCTCCCTTCGAGCCAACGTGTTAAGGATGGATACCAGAAGATCCATCGGAGGAGGTTCAAGGATTCACTACATCCTCAGTCGACATTCGACATTGTAGCCTACAGGCAGCGAGCCCAGGTGACAGAACGAGTCCGCAGAAGTGAGCGGGACGCCGGCGAAACAGCAAGGCAAACCGTAGCTTTGTGAGTCCATTCCGTACCCAGCCAGGCAGAGCTCAATCATCCACCTTTGGCCAAGCAAAGTTGTTTCCACATAAGTTTGACTAGAGCTGCTTTTCTACTCGAACTAATGTCCGGCAATTCAAATCCGCGGAGCTGTACTCCAATCGGGACCACGAGTCAAGTCGATCTGAAGCACCTGTGCACCCTGTCGGTCCACTGCTCGATGAGTGAGCAGCAGTGATGTCTGTACACTGGACAGCCAGCGCTGATGATGTCTGATGAACCAGATGTACACGCTGAAGTTGAACCGCCTGACTGCACCAATTTCGCTAGGCCAAGGAGGGCACAGCGAACTCCATACCGCGCCGCAGTCTAGTCTCTTCCTGGGTTGTCATTCCGAGCGAAAGCGTAAGGCGTAGTGCTTGCCAAGACAATACTATTGCATGAGCTACGGCCTAGGAGGATCAGCTGAGAAATGAATTATGGGATTGCTTATGTTTGTCTGACATCACGTGAGCTGAAATAAATCTCGTGTTCCTTCGACCTCCCAAGTTCCGCCAGCAGGTTGTGAGATCCCTCGTCTTGAACTGGGCTGCATTCACACCGTGCAGGTAGTACCAACATCGCACGCATCATGACGCCGCACAGTCTTAAACCCATGGTTCTGGGCCTTGCCCTGGCCTTCTCCATCCAGCCGGCAGCGAGCTCGTTCAGCCTCGACACGGCCGTCCAGGATTACTGGTACTACGTGCACAACCACCTGGCCGACACGACATCGCAGGCGTGCCTGGACGCGTACAGCGCCGACATCGACTGCGACATCACGCTTCTGGGCCTCGTGTCGTCCGGCAGTCCCAACTTTAACCCGGGCCCAGACGACCTGGAGCGCACCTGCGTCCCGTCGTGCTCCGACTCGCTCGACACCTGGGTGCAAAACGTTAAGAAGGCCTGCAGCGCCGACGGCGACGGGGCGTTAGTCAGTGGGAACGAGCTGCCGAAACCGCAGGTGCCCGTCTCGGTCATCGGCGAGGTATTCCAGTACGAGTACGCCTGGGCGTGCTCCAAGAACAGGTAAGCAGCTCAGCAGGATAAAGCTGTTTTGGCGCGTGCTGACATGCTATGTTTCCTCGGCAAAAGTTCTGGATGGTGCTATTTCAACTACCAGACCAGCTCGGAGTGGGCCGACGTCGACTTCACCTGCACGAACGAGTGTGCGACGCAGTTCATGACGAATGGGAACAACCTGCCGGGCTCCAAGTACTGGTTCCAGGTTTATGAGCTGGCGGACCGGTCGGATTGGTGGAAGACACAATGGGCCGAGGGCTACCAGCACGCGTTGGAGTGTGCTGGAGAGGATGCGAATTCGACTTTGACGGCAGGGAGTTCAGCTTCAACGGTGCCTGCCGATGCGACGGCAACGGATACAACGGAGACGGGAAGCGCGACGAGCGCGACGGCAACGGCGACGGACAGCGAAACGGACGCGACGAGTACGTCTTCTGATTCAATCCAAATTACGGCCTCGGAGCCCACGACCAGCTCATCAAGCTCTACGAGTCCGACTGCGACTCTCACTCCAGCTACGGGTACCGCTGGGCGACTGAGCCCGCCCTCCATCTTTCTCGCGTGGCGATGGATTAGCAGCTTATCTAGATAGTGAGCATTCTCGGATGGATTTCATCACAGAACGTCTTGACATGCAATCATAGCAGGTTGTCAACAATATGTAGTAGAGAGGAGGATATTGACTTATATGTGCGTAATGTGTAATGTAGTCGTATACTTCGAAGCGCGTGGATGAGAGTCATCGTTGATTAACTATCTAAACCATAGAGACAAAGTCCATGTACATAGCAGGGGAGTAAGCTTAGACGTTCAAGTTGATAGACTGGCCTCAGCATCTAGATAGATCCATTTACCTACGTTAGCCTTGATGTTTGTTTATAAAGCAGTGATACCAGCTTATGTCGTGGTGAGATATGAGTGAGATCGTGATCAGAGCTCTTTCGTACCATACTGATCGCAACATTGTCCGCTCTACAGCGCCCCTTGTGACATTGGGCCCACGGGGTGATTAGAACCGGCAAATGGCATGTATTTCACAGCAGCCAGTGGATGACAGCCTGTAAAATTGGGAGTACATCGTTGAAACAGGTAGCTTGAGCTGTAGTTGGTAGCAAAGTGGAAGATAGATATTTACCATTGATTGTGAACCTCTGGAATCCTGGAGAAGCACCATTTCACGGAGGTCAGAGCTGCGCCCTGGGGCTGAGTCACAACCACTCTCCGGGTGGCGATTGATGCTACCAACCTCCCCAGGGCCTACTCATGGCCAGCCTGACAGAGGTAGTGGCGGGCTCGTCCCCTGCTACTCAGTTAGGATGACCATCTCATCCAAAAGGGTAGATAAATTGAGCCACCATTATTTTCCTTTGTTCACTAGGCCGACCATTTCGGTGGGAACCCCTGAAGACCACCTCATCACTACCTACACAGTGAACGCAAATGGAGCTTTCATACATTATTGGAGGCCCGGATTACCAACCTCACCAGTGGCTTTATCTGCCCTGCGTACTCTTACGCTATGGCTTCCGCTACACCGAACGTGGGAGATGCCCACTATGAATGCCCCCCTATTGATGATTATTACCCCGATATGTAAATTCAAGTTTCAACTTCTGCGTCGACTTTACGTCAAGCTCTCAGCAAATAATTGACAGCTATGGCAGACATACTACCTCACAGATGGGTTCCAGATGGCGTCTATAGTCATGCTCCAATCTTGGCAGTAACGTTACCCTATCAACCCAAGTGCCCTCCGATCAACCATCAATCCATGTGTCAAGACCCCTTCTCCGGGCTCGCGAAACGCCAACATATTCTGTTAGATTGTTGAACAGGCGATTGGCTGTTGACAACAAAGGTTGAGTTCCTGAAAGCGCAAGCAGTATCCAATAACACTCGTGAAGACGAAGGCAGTCATCAATGCTAGTCTTTGCCTTAATTCTGTCAGGGACGCATCTCGCTTGGGTCGTGCAGGTTTCCCATGGCGGTGAGCTTCGTAAGTACCAATATCCATGCACTCACTAATCCATTTCCTCAGGCTCTCGGCTTTCTTTAGCGTTCTGAATGGAAGACATGGACAGTCTTTCAAGTTATTAGAGTCCTGATAGGACAAGAGACATACAATTACGGAATGAGCCTAGACCGCCTCGTTGACACGCCGCCACCGGCAAACAAGACGGCGACCCCGAGCAGATCGTCAGTGTCGCATGTTTCAATGCAGGCATTTACCCCTATCATGCTGCAGTATGCAGGGGCGATGCGATCCATGTCGAGGTGGCTTCATCTTCAATTCAATTCCACAGCATTCAGCAGAGGAACCCCCTTCCCCATTCTTCACGCCCATGGCTGACTGAACCCTGTTCCTCTGCCTCAAGGCCACTGTAATTGGCAGTAGCAGAAGATGATAAGCACGTCCACAGGCCCGTGACGTAAGACATATCTACTTATCTCACCGCGTCTATAACGTCAGCGTACTCAAGTGATCATGGCAATACTCCGCGAGAGCTAAACACTACATGGAGTAATCATGGGAGCACTCCGCGAGAGCTAAATAATACATCAAATGTTCATGGCAACACTCCGCGAAAGCCAAATAATACAACCGCCTTCGTATGCTCCCATACCGAACCCCTGATAACCAGGAGGCCTCGACAGGACTGGTCCCGTGTAGTCATCTCCCCACCCTCCTTTGTATTACCAGCTCGCCTAGCCATAAGGAATCGAGGACAAAACTCCCTCGTCGGCCTGGTGAATATACCAATCCAGCCCGATCTGTCATCCACGGGCCTCCAGCGGCCAAGTTGGGCGCCTCCCCTTCCCCCTTGAACGCCCTTAACCCCGCAACCATACGGTGCGACGGCTGCTTACCGGGAAGGGTGGTCCCCAAATCCAGCTCATTGGGCTGGGCGGGAGCCGAGAAGTTGTAGCGGAAATGAGACCGTTTCCGCTGTCAAAAGAAGCTTATTTTCCTGTTAGGCAGGCTGGATCGACACGGGTACCACCCTAAGTAGACAGGGCTGACTCACGAATCTTTCCTGCGTTAGGTACCCCTGAAGGCAACATGGACGGTAGGCATCACGGTTGGCTGATGTCGCAAGTTGAGTTGTACGAGGGGTATACCGAATACGACATACCCCTAAGCCCTACCCCAGATTACCCCAGCCCTACAGCAAACAATCCTCACGTCGAATCTCGGGACCGAATCTCTTGTGTGTCGTCGTCCCAAAGCGGCGGCTTGGCGCGACGATCGCAATAGAGCTTCACTTGATGAGGCAGCGAATCACTAACTGAAGTGATGCCTGCTTTCGGCTTATTGTTCAGCTAGAATCGCTGTAAATCCGATGGAGTCGGCCGAACTTGTCAAAACCGAAAGAGCTCCCCGGCTTTGGGACCGCCAAGGCTGAGCTTCACAGGCATGACTTCATCGTGCACGGCAGAGATTGGACTAATGTTGTTCTTGTTCTCCTCGGTGACTTGCTGCATAGCTGGGCATGGCCAGCCATGGTGAGGCCGGGTCATGGCACGCGATGTGATAGCCTACAGTCTGGGTAGTTCGTTGGGCCGTGGCCTCGCAGGAAGGCAGGCAGGAGATCGCGAAGTGATCTGTATAACAGTTTGCGATGCTGCAGTCTAAAACTTTCAACGATCGTTTTGTCCCTGGAACCTACCTCGACCTCACGTCTCTCCATCAGTAATCCATCAGCCCCATCCTGAGCTCAACCAACGTAAAGACAGTCCTTCATACCCCATAAGACTCAGCAACCATGCAGCCCCCCATCCTCGCCGCCGCCCTCTTCGCCGCCGCCGCCTCGGCCAAGTCATCCTCCAACTCCGACTCCGACAACCTCAGCGCAATCATCCAGGACTGGCCCGAGTGCTCGCTGGCCTGCTACGCGCAGACGGCGCAGGACGAGGGCTGCGCCGCCTCGGACTTCAACTGCGTCTGCAACAACACCATCTCGATCGCCGCCAAGATCGGGCTCTGCATTCCCAGCGACTGCGACGGCGGCGGTATGTACATGCCGACTCGACTTCGTCCTCCCTTCTTGCTCCTCAACGATGGCTCCGTCCAGACTTACTGACTGACGTTTGAATCCACTAGCCGCCGGGAAGTCGTTCGGAGAGCTGTGTGCGCGATGGGGGGACGATCCGCAGTCGACTGAGGTCGCATCGGCCACGGCACTGCTCGCTTCCGAGATTCCTGCCACCGCAACCGCCAGCGCCAGCGCAACAGCCAGTCCTTCTGGGGCAGCTGGAAGACCGGAGATGGGCATGGGAGTGATGGGAGTTGCCGCTGCGGCAGCTTTCTTGATCTGATATCTCACTGGGTATCGCGCCTAGCTCAAGACACTACACCTAGTAAATCGGCTAGGAACTCGGGATATGTCTGGACGGGGCCCGAAGAGGAAGGAGGTGGGGCTATACATTGCCTCTTTGTGGGGGTGAGCGAAGGGCTGGGAACATACTAGACGACATGACAGCGCCGGAGTTGGGTGACATAGCAGGCTTCCAAGCAGATTTTGGTAACATAATGATAATGCAGATCCGGATGTCATACTCACATGAAATTGCAATGCTACCATTGATGTATGTACTGAAGCATTCGTCTTCGCAAGGTGGGTGTAAAGGGGCGATTCGGTCAGCCTGCGTCCAGAATACTAGAGGATCCTCGAGAAGGGGTGGACCTTAAGTCGACCTCAAGCACCGTGCTCTATCGTCGACTGATTGAGGGGGGCGAGTCAAGGCCAGATTGCCCATTGGCGACCCTGAAGATGCTACGCGAAATCACGAGTTGACATGTCACAGTGTCATGAGGCTGTAGGCGCGTTAGAAATGCCATTGAAACCGTGCAAGGTGTCCTTACCTGAAAAGCCAGTGTGTGCGTGCCGACATGTCTTTCATTCTGGCGACATATCGGCTACAGCCAGTTCGTGACCAGGTGTCAGTCACACCTCCAATCCAGCTTCTCCCAGCCACAGATCACCACTGTCGTAGAGATCCCGCCAAGCTGTCGCATTCTTCCGCCGCGTATCCCATCCATCACTCAATCATCGCATCCTTATCATCGTCCTTTTCCTTTCCATCCTTATCCTCCTCCGGCGCGGGAGCAGGAGCAGGGCCAGGGCTGCGACTGCGGCTCCGGCTACGGCTGCGACTCCGTCCCCGTCCTCCTCCACGATGCGACTGCCGGGGCCCTCTGTTGCCCTTGCCCGGCGGCGGGCGCACGAACGCAAAGTCGACGCTGATGGTCTGCTCAAGCAGCTTCGTCTGGTGAGCGCCGTCGATGGCGGCGCGCGCCTCCTGGAGCGTGGGGTATTCGATGAGAGCGTAACCCTACACAGCACACAACATCGCCTCGTCAGCACACACGCACACACACACACTCTCTCTCTCTCTAATACACAATTCAGACGAAGGAAGGATAAGCAAGCTCACCTTGACATAACCACTCCGCCGATCCAGATTCAAGTGCAGATTCTTGATCTCGCCAAAGTCGCCAAACTTGTCGTGCAGGGCCTCCTCGTCGGCCTCCTCGTGCACGTTGGTGACCATGACGATCCAGCCCTCGATCGACCGTACGGCGGTCGCCTTGGAGTGGGTCTGCATGTCGCCGACCTTGGCCTGGGGCTCGCCCGCGATCGCCTGCTGCTGGTCGTTGTCCACCTCCATCTCTACCGTCGCGTCTGCCATGGTCGTTTGGTCGCGTCGGTCTATTGGTTCGTTGGTGGGGTGTGTGAGTGAGCGATTGCAGGAAGTTGTCTGTGCGGTAGGGGTTTGGTTGTGTTTGTAGACGTGCGTGGCGAAGAGTGCGAGAAGGAATTGTGTGGTTGCTTCGTGAAGGGTGGTGACCTTGAGCTGCCTGCGGTGACGTTCCTAGAAATTCGCGGTTGGTGGCAGCAGATTGAGAGAGCCGATGGCACCTGGCGCCAGCACCGCGCCAGGTGGCACATCCCCTGGGGCGTTTGACTACCACAACATCCAAGTTGAACTCGGACGACGAAATCACCACTCCACTTTTGGAATCACAAATAGTATGAACACAGTCAGTTTATTATTGCAGCATAAAACTGAATACAATCAAGCGCCATTCAATGTGTGATGCGCGTATTCCAACAGAAACAGGATCCAGAACTCATACAATCCCCTTTTTGACGCCAATCCATGGGTCTCGTAGCCTGACAGAAACAATCCATACTCCCCAAGCGAACAACCGCCATATTGAAAAAGACAAACACCGTTGCTCATCTCAAGTACCACCCTGGTAAAGAGGCAATATGCCAGCAAACTCCGTATCAAGCAGGCTTCCGGATCAGTAGTCCATAATGCCGTTCCATGTCGGGTCCTTGCTAAGGACGCTCATGATCGTCACGTCGACCGCTTCCACGTCCATCTCCTGTCCTCTCTGCTTCTGTCCCTCGAGGACGTCATGCAGGTCGTAGATCTGGTCTCTCTTCAGATCGCGGCGCTTTCTCAACTTCTGAATCTCCGCGTCCAGCTTCTTCCACATTCTCTTGTGAAGTGATGCATCGCAGCCGTCATAGGTAGCCTGCTTCTTAGCAATCGCAGCCGCAAGATGCTTCTCCTCATCCTGAAGACCCTTGACGACCTTGGCAAGTGCCAACGCCGGGTCTTGTGACGGACGTAGCGTGTGCTCGTCCTCATACTTCGTCGCGGCAGCTGACTGTGCATCGGAGACCCGGTCTGTGACAGGGACGGGTCGATCGACACGTACAGTCTGCTTCTTGCTGCATGTACCGTCCTCCTCATGTCGGTGTGAGTTTATTCGCGTGCAGACGATACAGTCGCGACACTCATGATCGTGACAGAGGTTGTTAAGAACTCGCTTTGCCGAGGCCGTAAGCACCGGCGACCCGTGCACGTCCTTCTGCTTCTCTGCAGTGTTCTTATTGCTCTCCAGAGTGACATCATCCATGACAGCCGTTCGCATAACTGGGGAGACAACCCGCGCCTTCCGCTTTTCTCCGGCCTTCTTGTGGCTTTCCAGAGTTGTATCCTCCACGGCGAAGGGTGGTGGGAGGACTGGTGAGTCGAGTCGCGCCTTTTGCTTCTGCGCAGCTTCCTGAGTCTCGAGGGTGATATCATCGATGAACAAGGCCGACGTCATGTTATCTTCGTGGTCCATTTCAAGCTCGAATCGCGTGCTGGGCGACTGCGGACGGTGGAAAACATCCTCCTCAGCAGAGTCGCTGGGGATACTCAGTTCACTAACTCCAGACTTGACGCTGAATCGCCCAGTGAGATCTTGGTCCGACCTGCGACGGGCGGAAGTAGAAGTACTCGTCATCCTCTGCTTCTGGGAGTTCAGACGGGAAGGCTTGGTGTTCTTGAGGATACCATAAGACTGAGGCTCTTGATTGAAGTCGATCTGTTGCGTGTAGTCGTCCTGCATCGGCATGTCGGTCTGCGACGTCGTGGTTCTAGCAGACATCTCACTGACAGTGTTCTTGCCCTTAGGGTCGACAATTCGTGTCACCTTGACAGGTTTGGGCCTGCCGGTGTTGTGTGCCGAGCCGGAAGCTTTGGTCTCATGGCTAATTTCACGAACCTCGAGGTGACTGAGCCTCTTGCTGAGCTGGTCCAGCTGGGCGCTGAGCCGTTCATTTGTGGCCAGAAGTCGACGTCTGTCTTGCTTATGTTCCGAGCAATGCACGGAACACTCGGCTTGCATGTCAATGATCTGTTGCTGTAACTCCGCGTTTTCTTTGGCGAGCTCGCGATTCTTTGCCTCAACTCGCTTCCGGAATTCCTTATACTCATTTGCACTCGCTCCAGTCTCGGCTTCCGTATGATCAAGCAACGCGTCGAGTCGCTCAATTTCATCCTGAAGATTGTGGTTGTGTCGATCGAGCAAGGAGTTCTTCTTCTGGAGTTCCTTGTTGTTATTGAAGAACTCGTCATTGTTTTGTGCGAGACTGGCGTTGTCCAGCTTGAGCATGGCCTTCTCTTCATCGAGAGCGTCGAACCTGACCTGCAAGGACTCCTTTTGCTCGACAACATGATCAAGCCGTTCTTGAATATCGCGCAGATTCTCCTTGAGCTCGTCCTTCTGGCGACTCACCAGACTGTTGTGCGAGCGCAGAGACTGGTTTTCTTCAAGCATAGCCTTCCACTCATGCCGAATGGTCTTATTATCGCTGCGTAATGAGTTATTCTCCAGCTGAAGGGTATTGCCACCCTCAGTGTTATTAATGTCGCGGACCGCTTCAAGCTGTCCGCGGGTTGTGTTGATCTCGGTGTGGAGGCGTTTGATCGTTCTGAGGTGCTCATCAGCACTCTTGCGCAACGCCTCGTTCTCTTGCTCAAGGGAGTTGATCTCTTGGGTGTTCTCGTTCTGGATGGATTGGAGTTGTGCTCGAGCAGCATTCAGGTCGGACTGGAGACGTCTGATCGTATTGACGTGTTCAGTGCTGTGTCGAAGCGCTCCATCGCGTTCAGCAACGTACGATTGGGTGTGAATCTCGTTGATGCTGATCTTGCGATTGGCCTGCTCGAGACGAGCTTGAAGAGAAGCGACTTGTTCTTCCAGATCTATGAAAATCAGTCGGCTGGCCTCATGGGACAATTTCATACAAGAACACGTACCAGTTTTGCGGGCGCTGAGCTGCTCCAGCATTGAGCCTTCCGAGTCTGAGCCCATGGCGCTGTCCTTCCGCGACTTGAACTTGGCAATTTGGACCTGAAGATCATGTACCTCTCCCTGAAGCTGCTCTGCCTGCGCCGAGACCAGCTCGTCATGATCCTTCAAGGCATAAATTTCGTCTCGGATCTTATCGAGAGAGACAAAGATCTTCTCCTCTTCTTCAGGGATGGCAATGCCTTCGAAGTCGGCGTGGTGATCCGCAGACAGCTTGGTCTCGCGGTCGTGAACTCTGCCATGCTTGACAAAGATAGGGATACCATTTCGAAGAGAGGACCACTTCAAGGCACCCGACACGAAGTCGTTCATATACGTGAGATTGGGTAGAAAGAATGAGCGAGCAGTCTGATTGGCAGCTCCAGAGCTCATGTCGTGGTTATTGCTGCTCAGTCGCGCGCGTCGGTCCATCTGCGCCTGTGCCGCATTCGGGGTTGTCGCTGCAGTGGAGCGAGACTTGGGTGAGCTCTCTTTCGACGACTGCTTGACAGCGGATTCGATGGACTCGTTGGATTGGGTCTTCTTGGTCTGGGCAGTCTTGAGCGTCTCGAGGAGCGTGGTGACATTGGCATTGCCACGTCGAGAGTTGGAGTCCTTTCTGGTGTTCTTCGCTTGGTCCTTGTTCTCGGGGGTATGGGCCGATAGACGGGAGAGAACAGAGGAGTCGGACTCGTTCTCGACAGTCGGCTGCATCTCGGCGCGCGTTCGGAAAGATGCTGCACTGAAAATAGGGCTCGGGGGGACGTTTTCCTTGGCTTCGGTGTCGTCTTGTTGGTGGGAATTGAAGCCCTTCCACTCGGGGAAGGTACGGCCCAGGACGGAGGTGTTGATATTGAACGACAGCGGCTTGCGAGAGTTGGGGGCTTGTTGTGACTGTCTTGAGGTAGCTTGAGTTGGAAGCTTGTAGGAAAAGTCGTCGATTCGTCGCGTGGACTCGCCCTCGGGGATATGTGATATCTCGGACGTCAGAGTAATGGTGCCGTGGCTGCCGGTAGAAGATGGGGGAGAAAAGGGGTTGTCGTTATGTTGCTGCATCTCCCTGACAATGCGGGACTGGTACCGGGAGGCTTTGGACTCCATTGATGACGGCCCGACACGCGAGGGAACGCGATCGGGGTGGAATCAAGCAGTAGGGTGACCAGGGATTCAGTTGAAGCACTATTGTGACAATGATAATGCTGATGTGCAAGAAAGGGTTCGATGCATGGAATTAAATTGCTGAGAGCAATGGCTACGACGAGCTGTGGTTGCGATCGCGGTCGCGGTTGCGGTTGCGGTTGCAGAGCTCGGTTGTAGATGGGTTGCGAGAAGTTGCGGGTTTTGGGAGAGGAAGCGAAGACGCGCCGGCATTGTTTACTTTCGCAGGTGTGGTGGGCTGTTGCTGGGATCTGCCACTGACCCACTGCAGATCCAATGGCCCGTGCACGGCAACCAGCCCACCACTGCCGAATTCGGTGGTGCACTACCCCGCTATCGCTGGTAATGCAGACTTCCCATTGGTCGCCTCATTTTCAGCTTCATCGTAACCCCGGTCTCAGAATGACTCAAGAGTCAAAACCCGTTGCTTGGATCGAGGTACAGAAACTGATCCAACTTGTGTGGTAATTAATGTTGGTAAGGTCTTGTCTTGCACAGGTGCACATCCCCGCTACCAAATCCGCTTACTTGTTCCCCTATACATCTAGTATCGACACTTGGAGAAAGAAAGTTAGCTGCTGTTCCCAATAGACTTTACGGTACGGTTTTGAGGCCAACCAGGTTGGTGCCATGATAAGGTATGTATTGTCGGTCCATAATATGACTTTTGAGGGAGCCGTGCTCACGCCAACAGAATACATCGTCACGTACCTACTCGAGCCGGTGAAGCTGGACTACCAAGTCATGCGTAGGCTCACACTGCCCTCGAAGAAGCTGGTACGATCGTTGGCTCGCACATCGGCTTCTCCACTGCAGAAGAGCATATGAGCCCCGAGCCTTGCGATCTGAACCTCTGCACGTCCTCAGCTCATCAGAGGAAGCATTTATATTTTTTTCCGAGTACCACAATAAGCGTCATCGGGGCGGTTGGCCTTGCATTGAGCATAACTAATACTTTACTCTCTGCCCACGATAACCAAGGCATTACCCGCGGTGTCATCCAAAGTATCCTAGATGGTGATCTCCTTATGCGCCAGAATCGTCTCCGCTATACCAGGTGCAATCTTGGCTGAGCACCGCCCTCCAGCGGGTCATGCGGTATTTCGCTCATGATGCCGAAAAGCGCCTTGGCTAGACACCCCCTGAACTCCTGACGATCGCTGGAAAGGCGAGAGGATGGATACCATATTCAAGATGCGATGCCGCAATGCTGCTGCATACGGCGTGAGAAGCATACGGTGAAAGTAGCAATATATGGTGACGACTTGAATCCCGAGTTTCGCTTCCGGGTTTCGCCGTTCACATCTGGAGTTCTTGCGGCTCTCGCAGTCCCCGCAGGTACATGTTGGCGTAGAAAAATACAATGTCTACAATCATATAACTATATGAGGAGCCGCCTCCAAGCAAAGACACAATGGCAAGCAGCACTGGGAAGCACTCCTTCACCTTCTTGTATGAATCGCGCACCACTTGTCCCCAAAGTTACACCGTTCCGCGAACTCTTGAACGCACGTCATGGCCTATAGACTGGTTGTACTCGGCTTCTCGCTGCTTGTAATCAGCGAGACTACATTGGCAGGAGCCGCAAGCGCATCAGCGAGTGAGATACTCGATTGTGTAAGTCACGGTGCTGTCGTCAGACTAACTGGTCCCGGATAAGACTGCTAACATCAAGACAGTGTCACCACCTCGACATAGGACTACCAAACCGGGTCATGTACACTGGCACAGCCTACGACGAAGCGAACATACGCTGGTCGACCACCGCCATGCTCCATCCGTCTTGCATCGTGCGGCCAAGAAAGACCGCTGAAGTGTCAAAGGCTGTCATGATATTGACCGCGGGTGCGCAGGCTGCTGGCAAGATATATTCCTGTCCATTCGCAATCAAGTCAGGAGGCCACACACCTACTCTAGGCGCGAACAAATCGATAACGGCATCACTATGGGCCTACGCAACATCAACGAGACGACACTTTCTGCTGACAAAGCGAGTGTCACATTCGGTACGGGCAGCGATTGGCTCAGCATCTACACCGCCCTTGGCGGCACCGGCGTGGGTGTACCAGGTGGACGACACGGCCGTGTTGGTGTAGGCGGTATCGTGCTAGGCGGTGGCTTGTCCTTCGTCTCACCCAAAGTGGGATGGGTCACGGACAACGTCTTATCGTTCGAAGTCGTTCTCGCTTCAGGCGAGATCATCTTCGCTAACCATGCCACTCACTCCGACCTCTAGCATGCACTGAAAGGTGGTAGCAGCAACTTCGGCATCGTCACTCGAGCCAAGCTCCAAACTTTCCCATCAGACGGCAAGTTTTGGGGGGGCAGTGTCGCACATCCCCATACAACCAATACGACTAGCCTGGTCCTATCCGCCCTCAACAACTTCACGACCAACAACCATCGCGATGAGAACGCAGCCTTCAACAGTAACTTCATCTACAATGCTACCTCGCGAACGAAGAATATCGCCAACACCATCGTCTACTCGGAAGACATCGCCAATGCATCGATCTTTGATCAAGCTCAGTCGATCCAGCCGCAGCTGGCCAACACGGCCAAATCGACTACGATAGTGGAGCTAGCCGCCAACACAGCATCGCTGCCATACGGCTACCGATATGGCGGAGCGACCGTGACGTTCAAGAATACCGTGGAAGCGCTTGCAGTGGCCCAAAACATCACTGACAGCATATACGAGACGGTAGCGAATGTCACCGACCTAGTGTTTACATTCGTATACGAGCCCATACCCAGCTTGTACGCAGAACACAGTATCGCGCGAGGCGGAAACGTAATGGGTATGAAGAACACGAGAGATGACTTGATCTGTGAGCTACCTGCACGCTGCCCATGTGCATATCAATATGGCCCACTGACCTGGATGTAGTGCTTCTGCTCGTCCCACGCTGGACCGATGCCAAAGACGACTCCGCGATGAGAGCGGCATTCGTCTTTTGGGTGGGTGCGATGGAGAAGGCGCAGACTCGGCTTGGCGCTCACCACAACTTCACGTACCTGAACTATGCTGCTGCATCCCAGAATCCACTTGGAAGCTATAGTGCTGCAAATGTGGAGTTCATGAGGAAGGTGGCGAAGACGTATGATCCGCATGGTGTGTTCCAGACAGTGGTCCCGGGAGGGTTCAAAATCAGTGAGGTCAAGGGTGGTGAATGGCGACAAGGGTGGTAATGAAATCTGAGGTGAAAACAACAGGTTTCTACCGCACGTTTGGGCATATATTGCAAAAGCTGGCGGCAAATCTCTCTGCTACCGCAGTCCTTCGATGGTCCAGTAGAAGGTTGTGGCTTGGAGCTCAAAGTATGTGTACTGCATAGCCTTTCGCTTCTGAGGACCGAGATCAGCGAGACAACGCTTCCGGTCTCACAACATGGTGATCTAGGAGCCAGATTGAACACTGTTGGAGCGAGGATTGTTGTCCACCAAGGATGCGGACAACCAGACAACTTGAGTACAATACTATAGCTATTAGTGCTGCATAGAAGAGTTCCGAAGTAGCGACAAGGTACTGTACGCATAAATCAGGGCGACATTGTCAGAGTCTCAGGGGCGATTTGATCCCCTTTTCCAGGTATGAGCCACAGGTTCTGTGGCTGGTGCCCCTGTATTGTGGCGCAGCTATCCACGCCGTCATGTTCGCGGCTTTATCGTCTCCCTTAAGCGTGCTCGTCTCGTACCTGCGTACGTCTAGGGTTCATCCAATCTACTCAAGGAGGCTCACAAAACTAAAGACGTCGGCTCGAAGGTCCCTCCCCAAGATCTTTCCAGTTCTCTCAATGTGCGAAAGGGGATGGCAAACACGACAAACAAGCTAACGTGCGGGTTCTGCGGCTTCATCAGTCCGCAAAGCGGCCTAGGGGCGCGGGCCTGGACGCCGTACTACCGCGGAGTATACTGCACCGGGCCGGGCGACGACGACCCGTATCTCTCCGGCGTGGGATACCACCGCCACGACTCGGCGGAGAACTTCGTGCCGCCCGAGGCCCATCAGCGGTTCGATGACGCCGGCCTGGATCCGCTGTCGCTCATCGCCATCCGGGACATCAACCCACCGGCACCCGAGATATCAGACGCGGAGAAGGCGACATACTCGTGGGGCTTCCTGTTCCACGACGCCTGCTGGCAGCTGCTGGAACAGGCTTCTGCACCGCATAAGGTGGATGTGAAGGCGCTCTGGCGGATCCTGCTCTCTGTGCCATGCGCGTCTGATCTGCCGAATTGGGGCCATAACTACGGCGGACTGTACCTTGGCGTCACGAACGACTCGGTCCGGGGGGAGCATTTTGTCCTGCTGGGCGCGACTTCGCATCTCATCATTCCTAGCACTTTTTCAGATCCGTTCAAGGTGCCTGAGTTGAGCGACATACTCGCGAGGTTGCGCATCGACACGGAAGATACCACAGCGAAGCAGAGCGAACAGCGCTCTGTCATAAGTCTCCATGATAATCCCAGCACATATGATCCCTTCTCAGCTTTACCGTTCGAGATCAAGGAGATGCTGCTGACGTATGTAGCGTCAAAGGACGCCGCGAATCTGCGCCTGGCGTCTCGGGAGATAGCTGCTTTGGGGTTGTCGCAGTACTTCTTCCAGAGCCGGTTCTGGCCAAGTCACGAGCTCGGGTCCGTGTTCGATGGCTTCTTGCTTAGCCCTTCCGAGCGTATAGGTCTGGGTTGGAAGGCGCTATTCTTGGAGATGAAGACGCGACTGAAGTACAATCGGGTCTGTCTTGGAGAGCGAAACCGGTTTCGGATATGGAACCAGACCTTGCGACCGCTCGTGAACGCCATGGACAACATCCGTGCCTTGAGTGAACTGAAAGGAGGGCAGGAGTGGAAGTCGGAAGTGGGGAGTTCTGAAGGATTGGACTGGCCATCCGTCAAAACATCGCGAAACATCGATCCCGAAGCTTACGGTGAGATCAGGCGCAGGGAATTCCGGGCTGAAGTCGTTGTGCCTCCGATCGAAGTCGAAGCAGTCCACGTAAGCTTTGCCGAGTTTTTCGGGGGGAGAAGGTACATAACTGGACTGAGGTTTAGCTTCGGAAAGGACAGTGACGTCGAGGTCGGCTACATCTCTAGAGCACTCGAGGAGACCTTGCACGTTGAAGGGGGGCTCAAAGGGTTTCACAGCGCCGTTGACGAGTGCGGTTTCAGGGCTCTCGCGCTACACATGGGCCAGCATATGACATCGGAGTATTTGCATTGGGCCGGGAGTCCTGGTACATTGTCTCAGGTTCCTGCCAGAACCAGCAGTGCTGTGGGGAGAATCAGAGCATCTTTCGATGTAAGTTCCCCCTTTTTGACAAGCGTATTCTCATGGCTGCTGCTCATCCAAACACAGGCGTTCCGAATGCAATCAATATCGATATTGGAGAGCTGACGACGAGTACCACGCCCACGAGGAAGCCTGTTAGGCTAACAGCCCCATGTCACTGATTGTATCCCGTCTTCTTAACATACAAAGATGACCCGCGGAGGAATCTCGATCTGCGCAACGGTGGGCGCCAGGGATGGTTCACCAGTCCCTCAAACTCCTTCTTCTCCGCATCGCTCATACCTTCCAGACGGCTGCCGGGAATCGGCTTCCCGAAGTAGGGCGACTGTTGGCGCGGTATCAGCTCAGCTTCATATCCCTTCTCCCATTCATGCTCGAGCGCTGCGCAGTTATGGTGATCGTACTCCATTGCGAGGGTGCGTCTCGTGCCCAGGAACTCCCACCAACTCGCGAGGTCTCTTCCCATTGGGAAAGCCCAGATTATGGCTGCCGGACGCGATGTTTCGCATACGACCTTCTGCACCCCATACCCGGACCCCATGGCCAGGATTAACGTGTTCTCGTCGACCTTTACAAACCCCTCTTGGAAGCCGTACCCCGGGTTTAGCATCTCGAAGCCAAGTCGACGCAGCATGATCGTGTCCTCGACGCGATAGTCGTCGTCTTGGGTATACAGACGGACAGGCCCTCCATTGTCCGGCCGGCTCTCAAGCACCGAAGCGATTGCCATTGCTGCTGCATGCTGGGAACAGCGTCTCGCAGTCTCCTCTTGAGAAGCTGTGTCGCGGTCGTTATTGATCTCGTCGAAAATAAGATAGCCGAGACCAAAACAGACGATCTTGTCGATCTTGGGTAGCCTCTTATCCGCAATGAGTTGCTCAAATGTCGCTTTGAGGTCACGCGCGTCTTGGCTACCGTCCCACTGTTCCTTGATCTGGTCGAAGAGCTCGTGTAGACTGGAGTGGGAGAAGATGGCGTACCTTTCCCTGCTAGCGATACTCAGCTGCTGAGTCTGATGTTCCCAAAACATCACAATGTCGTTCTCTCACCTGCGATTCTGGACCGAACCCTGCCCCTGAACGTCAGGCAACGGCGTACTGCTAGGATTGGATGTCTCCTGATTATTCAGATGACCACCAGCCCAGTTGGCCCGCTTGACGATGATCTCGCGCCGCTTGGGATCATCGTGGCTCATTCTGAGGAGGCTCTTACGCTTAGGCGATTTCTCTGTGCTTTCCTGAATGCACAGCCCATTGTGGGAAGTGCTGGCCCGGTCCACGATGAAACAAACGAAATGGATCTGTGTCTACGTGTCGTGGCATGATAACACGAGGGGGGAGAAGTTGTTCACAGCGAAGAGGCAAACGATTTATAGGAGGTTTTAGAAATAATATGAAACATATTGTCGCAGCTGTGAAAGAAGTGGTGGTTCATGATTGTATGCCGTCAGGGGATCTGGTACCAGCAATGACAACAATACCTTCTAACCATGCATGGGAAATGGAGGAATATTGCCAATAGCGGCGACTGAACAGTGATGGTTATAGCATTGTAATATGTGTATGGCCGTGGGTGCGAGTCACGAGGTAATACATTCGCCAGATGAATACAGGTCTGTGGAGACGTAATGGCCGTACAGAACCAAGGTAAAGGGACGACTGTTGGCTTTTCTTTCGAAGGCTCGCTTCTATTGTCTCATTTGTCAGATTTAGGAGACTGGACTTTCTTCTTTAATCCACAGTACGAGGAGTTTTACTCTGGTCACTATCAGTGTCCGGTACGTCAGTAGAAAGGCTCCCCTTCAGCGCAGTCCACCCCTTCCTCAACACACCGCTTAACAGCCGCCTCAGGATCCTCATCGCCATCCAACATATCCAGCCAGCAATTCTTGACATTAGGCTGCTCCAGCAGCAAGGCAGTGAGATTCGCGACCGAAGCGCGACTCGAGGTCCCAGTCGCCTTGACCGTCTTCCCCAAGGTGACTTTGCCACTCGGCTCCATGGTCAGCGCACTCGGGCGCAGGCAGATACCCGCGAAATCCGAGCGCTTCTTCCCTTCCTCGTAGAGCACCTGGTCTGCGGCGACCTTGGCCTCGTAGTATCGCGGCAGGGCGTCGAGCGTCTTCTTGTGCGCTGCCTTCCAGGTGTCCTCGTCCCACCAGGACGGCTTCGCGAGCCGCGACGTGGTGAAGGAGATCATGACGAACTTTGTGATTGACGGCGTGGCCACAGAGGCGCGGATGAAGTGGCATGCGGCGTCGCGGTCAATCGTGAATGTCTGTTACCCACGCTTTAACATCCATCATTGAAGAGTGAACAAACCACAGCGAGCGAGCGTGACTCACCCGTTCCGGCGCCCCCTTCCCTCCAGCACCGGCACTGAAGACGACATAGTCGGGCTTCATCTCGTCGATCAAGCTCTGAGCCTGCGCGTCGCTCTTGACCTCCTCCAGGCTTCGCACCAGGACGTTCAGCTTGCCGCCGCTCTGGTTCTCGCCCAGCTTCTGCAGGTTGGCGACCTGGTCCGGGTTCCGGATGATGCTTGTGACGTTCCAGGACCGCTGCAGCAGCATCGGCGTTAGCAGTTGGGCTACTTTGCCGCTGCCGCCGAGGAGGAGGACGTGGTGCGCTGCTGCCATGATTGCTTTGTTCTGCGATTTTGTGGTTTAGTTGACCGAACTGTGAGAGTCTTTCGGTTCAAAGGAAGGCGCTGTTTGCTGGCGGATGTTCTGCGTATAGATTCGATTGAAGATGGAAAGGTGTGACGTCGGTCAAGATCAATTCCTCAAAAGATGCTCAAGATGTTGGTTGATGGCCCGGTTACGTCACGAGAAGTAAGGGTTTCGTGGGAATGCGGGGACGGCTTTACGATTACAAATCTCGTCGCACGACAGCTTACTTCTCCAAGCACCATCAAATCCCGTGATTCATTCCTGCCTCGTACCGTCCAACAGGATGAAGAGGAAGAAATCAATGGTGTCCGGGCCGTCTATCATACGCCGTTGGTTTGTCGCGTGGAAGCTTTGTGGACTATGAGGTGGAGTATCGCGGTCGCGTAGCTACGACAACTCCTCTTGAAGCCGGGGAATGGTCCCAGCAGCTCCAGTATAACTGCCGGTAGGGCCAGACTCGAGGGGTTATATTGATGTCGCAGAGTTGCTATATTGATACCAAGGAATCGCAACACTTGAGCCTGAAAGGTAAGCACGGTTTAGGCACAGTTCAGCAGCCCCTCCTGCTTCGGCAGTGCCTGATGGGACATGAAGCAACGACGTATAATAGCCGTAGGTACCTTGGATCCGCGGTCAAACATGCTCTCGGATTTCCGAAACCCTTGGAACTACCTATCAAGTCATCATGATCTACCTACTTTCGTTAGTACTCCTGAGCCTCGGCTCCCAAGCTTCAGCAGCATGCAGCCGAGCAATGCTGCAGCAGGCCACAGCAGCCTACATCCAGGCCCAAACCGCCGGAAACCCGAGCATATCTTCACTAACCCCCAACATAACCTACATCGAGAACGACGTCCCGACGGATACCACCAAGGGCGTGCTAAGCCAGCCCATCACCATCGACTTCAACCGCAGCCTGCACGACACGACGCAGTGCGCCACGTTCACGGAACTGTCCGCCGCCACCAACGAGCATCCATACGTGATCCACACGCGGATGTTGCTCGCCAACGACAAGATCTCGATGATCCAATCCGTCATTTCGGACGCCGGCGACTGGGCGTTCAACGCGACGGCGCAGCTGTACTGGAGCCAGCGCGAGGACTGGGACGCCGTCCCCGAGGCGGAACGGGACACGCGCGAAGTCATCCAGGCCGCGGGCGACGCGTACCTCACCAGCTGCACCGACGACAGTGTCGAAGTGCCCTACGGGACGCCGTGCGCCAGGCTTGAGGGCGGGACGTACACTGGAGAATCGCAGCCGACGGCTAATACGTGCACGATGCCGCTGTTCCCTGAGAACTTCAATATCACGAATCGTCGCTACATCATCGATGAGGAGGTCGGCGGGCTGCATATATTTAATAACTTTCCGTTTATCGATGTTGAGAAGCCTGCCGGGACGCCGAGCTCGAATTTCATCAGGATTGAGGGCGGGAAGCTTCGTTATATTCATGAGGTCACTGTGTGTTCGACTCCCGGCTGTGCGAGGTAGTCATGGGTATCGCATGAACTTCCATGTAAGGAGCGGCGGCGATTGAAGCAGCAATGGTCCAAAAAGTGGGTGATTCACCAAAATGGTGTTTGCCAGGTAACTAGCCTGCAAACGTAGCTGCAAGTCACCCGAAAAGGGTTTCCCCATCAATATCCCTTCTCATGTCCTTCTTACAGATGCTTTCCGCGGTGTTCATAACTTTCCACTCGTAAAGGTATCTAATCGAGCCCCTGACATATGTGCAAGACCCCCGGACGAGCGGAATGCTGCGACCCGCCGGTACACCGTCTAGAGCCTTCTGCAAGAACAACATGGCGTCCTTGTTTCCTAGCCTGTAAAGCATCAGTGTGATCTCACTTGGGGTATGGTAGGGAATTTGTCTCCGTAGCCGGGATGCCCATATGGGTGAAGCTTCATGTGTATCAGGACTTACCTACTCATAATCATCTCTTTGCTTGTCATCCACGTAGCCCACGACGAGCTTGCATGTGCCCTCGCGACCAAACTCCTGCCAGTTCCCTTCTGAAACGGCTTGCGTTTGCATAGGGAAGACACCACGATTCTCTCGCTTGTAGAAGACCTCGATCAGGTTCTGGATATCTGCCTTCTTGATGTTTGCGTGCTCGCTTAGCCCCATAAGTTTCGCATAGATGTCAATGCAGAATTGAACGTCGTCCGTGTGCTCCAGATGATCTAGATATGGGTTTGGTGGCATGATGATGCCTTCTGGTCTACCTCGTTGTATGTGGTTGGTGTGAGATTGTGTAAGGAGGTGGTATGTGGTAGGCGATTGGTGAAAGCTGTTGTTGTGGGAAGATTCGTGGTGGTTTAGAGTGTATTGTCCTGGAGAGGAGAGTAACATTGAGGGCATCAAGCACATTGTGAGCCTACAAATATGGATTGACGAACCCGGAGATATTCAGAGAATGCTTTGCAGAATCGGCCATGGTCAAGGCTATTGCTCTATTGTTTAGTATTGAATGCAACGAGACCTAGGGATGGATTCTCCATGGGCTAGTGTTGAATGTTATGAACATGACACCGTTAAACTAGAGATCCAGATCGAGGACCTTCAGGGGGGGATTGACCAGGCGACTAAGTTGCGGGAAGATTGATTACTGAGGAGCACCTCCTGAAAATACGCAATACATTCACCCACCTGTCCACTCGACAACGAGAGATATTTTTTATTCTAAATATTGACCACATGACTGTGAATGCATTGGTCTGTGTCAAGATTAACCTAGCACGAGTGCAGCCACACCATACCGTCTGGTATGATACACTGACCCGCCATAAGTCTTCGAGCATCCCCGCATTTACACCAAAATGCCCTATATCTTTTGAAAATAAGGTATTATTGGTAGCTAATGCTTAAAAATGATGAAGTTTTAGTAACTAATCTTTAAATATTAATTTTTTAGGCGATTGAAATGCTAAAAAAATGTATATATAAAAGCAAAGTTTTGAAATCGAAAGTCTTAATAGTTAATAAAGCTATATAAACTGCCCTAAAAAAAATCATCTAGGTTATAATAAAGTTATATATTATTTATTAACATGTAATCTACTTATATGCTATAGTTTTTTACTTCAGTGATTTTTGAAAATTTAATTATCTTAGAAAGTTCTTTTTATCGAAAAACTAACTTTTAAAAAGGTCATATTTACTACCATTATCCTCGAGACATATAATTTTTTAACAACCCATTTTATTATCCTTTCAAGTTTAACCATTTGTTCTATAAGTAGTTAAGTCGTATTTATTTTGCTTGATTTACTACGATAGCCTAAAGTCGGGGTGTTTTGGTGTAAAATAGGGATGCTCGGAGACTTATGGCCGGGGAATGCTAACAACATCTTCTGATCGAATACAAGAGGAAGTCCAGCACTGCTGACTGTGACATGTGCGTAAATGTAGGGAATGCAAGGCTCAAGACGATGAGTACAACACCTCGAGCTGAGCCAGTGCTGCCTTGACTCGAAAGGGATTAGATTTTTACGAGAAGATGAAGAAGCTGAAGCGAGACAGCCTGACAGTCTTACGCAGACTCTGCTCTCCCCTGTCGTAGATATAGATCTAAGCTGTAAAATAGCCGCCAGTCAAGTGCATAGAGCAATGAGCGGAGAAAAGTCCCTGTTCAGCGTCTCCTCTTTTTGTCCGCAGCTCTCCTCCTGAGCCAGTGTTCCCTAGCCGCAGCCTAATACCGCGCTCAACACCACGACCACATGCGACTTCTATACTGAGGAGAATATCGGCGAGAACACTGTTGCTAATCCATAGCTCTTGATGACCCTCGTCCTCCACTTGCCTCTCCCAGGCCCCTGGGTTGCAACTTTCCTTCGCAGCCGCTGGAGCTGCATTGGTGTCTCTCTTGTAAGGACCGAGAGGAGTCGATGTGTGTTCTTCCACAAGTCCACGAACCAGTGGATACGTGGAAATAATGTCCAGCGACTCGGTCGAAGGAATGAAAGCACTAGAAGAAGACGTGGCCCGGTTCATCGATGCGGGGAAAGTAAGGAGGTCTCCGCGCGCCTATACATCGATCTGGCTCAGATATGCGCAAACCCTTTAAGGAGAGCTTTTAGTGTTTATAGGCCTGTGTGATCCAAATCGAGACGACTTGCTTCAATTCCTGGATATTATTTCACTCTCCCCTATTCAGGAAAACGTTGAAAAAAATGCTCCGTCCTCCTGGTGCCTAAACCCTCTCTCTAGGGTAGACACACCCGCCCTGCCGTCTGACCTCATCCATGATCTCCATGACGCGGATCGTCTCCGACCAGGGCATGACGGCGCTCTCCTTCCTACCGGCCGCGAGATCCAGCGCCGTATTGTCCGCCTCGTAGATGAACCCCTGCTGCGCGCTCTCGTAGTCGTACCTCTTCCCCTGCGGCTTCTCGTCGCCCGTCCACTTCGGATACACAGTAAACGATTTCGGGTGCGACGGCGCTCCGCCCTCGACCTCGACGAACCCGTCCGTGCCGTCGATCGTGGCGACGATCTGCGACGCGCCCTTCTTCCGCTCCGTCGTGGACGTCACGACGCCCTGGCGGCCGCTGCTCGCGTAGTGCAACACGATGCTGGTCGTGACCTCGATCCCTTCTACAAACGACTGCGCCGCCATGATCCGCGGCGTCTCGCCCTCGCCCTCGCCCTCCCCATTACCATCCCCCGGCAGTTTCGAATCCAGCATCAGCAGCGCCCACGTCAGCGGATAAATCCCAATATCCAGCAACGACCCAGCGCCGAGCTCCAAATCGCGATACCGCGACGTGGCCGGTGCGTTTTTCATATCAACATACATCTGAAAATCGGACGTGGCGCGGAACACGTCGCCGATCACTTTCTCCTCGTACAACAACTTCCGCAGGTCGGCCACCAGCGGCCGGTGCCGCAGCCACATGGCCTCGGCAACGTAGACACCCGCGCGGCGCGCGGCGTCGAACACGGACCGCGCCTCGGAGGCGTTGATGGCGAAGGCCTTCTCGCAGAGCACGTTCTTGCCCGCCGCGATGGCGGCGAGGCAGTCGCGCGCGTGCACGCCATGCGGGCTGCCGATGTAGACGCAGTCAACGGAGGCGTCGGCGCAAACCTCGGCGTAGCTGCCGTAGAGGGCGGGCTTGTGGTGAGGGGTGTCCTTGAGGTGGGTATCCGCGAAGGCCTGGCTCTTTCGGAGTGAGGAGGCGCCGATGGCTTGGATTATGTGGTGGGCCTTCGCGTCGGGGCGGGGGAGCACGAGGTCGGCTACGAACCAGGAGGAGATGAGGCCGGTGGCTGAGGGGGGGTGGTGAGTGAGTTGGTTTTGGTTTCTTGAGTTTAGGGGGTTGGGACGTACTGATGATGCCCCAACGGCAGGTTGGAAGTTTGGCCATTTTACTCAAGATTCGTCGTCAGATCTTATGATCTGGTTTGGCGTGGAAGCGTGAGAGGTTATGGTGCATAAGTCACACGTCTCAAACGTTTGTGTGGGTGTGGGGTTCATGAGGTGCAACGATGACCTATATATATATATATATACCTACTAGGTAGGCATTTGCCGCAGCCGGTATACGTCATGTGCGCAGCAATAGTTTCCTACCAGGTACCTACAGTATTGTCCCCGCGTCAAAGGAGGCGATTCGCGGCGATATCGACCGAGGTCTCGGTGCCCGCTTTTCCTGCATCTCGGGATGTCCTTCCTTCCTTCCTTCGACGCACACCATTCTAAGGAACTGCATCAAAATAAGTCAAGCAAGGCCATTCGGTGTATCATTAACATTAACTACCTAATGGAGCGGCTGGTCTATACAGCAAACCCACCCGAGTTCTTCTGTCTCGGCTCACCACCAGCCTCAAACGTGCCATTCGGCAGCAGCCGCAAGCCCTGAGCCGTGCTCTGTCCGGGGGCGACCCACGTCACGTTGTGGCCCAGCGACGCCATGTACGCGACGGTGCTGTTGTCGTAGGCATACTCGAACGAGACCTGGTTCGGTTCCAGCTGGTCGTGGAATCTCGGCTGTGCCAGCGCCTCTTCGGTCGTCATGCCCTGGTCCAGCACGTGGTGGATGTTCTGGATCGTGGCCGTGATGATGCGGCTCCCTCCCGCGGAGCCGATGACGAAGTACAGCCTCCCGTCCTTCTCGACGATGGTCGGCGAGATGGACGAGAGCGGCCGCTTGCCGGGCCGGATGAAGTTGGCCGCGCTGGGGATGTAGCCGAAGGCGTTGCTCGAGTTGGGGATGCTAAAGTCGTTCATCTCGTCGTTCATGATGACGCCCGTCTCGGGGACCATCAACTGGCTGCCGAAGATCAGGTTGACGGTCGTGGTGAGGCTGATGGCCATGCCGCTCCTGTCGGCCGTCACGACATGGCTCGTACCCGGTGTCTCTAGACTCTCAAGTCCTGTCGGGTCGTACGCCGACACGTTCTGCGTGTGGAAGTCGGAGATCTTGGAGCGGACCTCGGCGGCGGTGGCGTCGGACAGCATGGACGCCTGGTACTTATCCATTCCGTCCACGAACAGGGGGTCGCCCAGTTCGGAACGCTGCCCGTATGCGAACCGCATGGCCTCGTCCAAGCGGTGCGTGGTCAAGTTGACCGCAGCGGGATCGTCGAATCCTGAGTAGCCATTCACGATGTTCAGAGCGCTCAGCACTACCTCACCGCCCGAAGGCGCACTGCAAGCTGTCAACTTGTAGCCTCGATACTCGATCTCCGAAGGCTTCCTGATGGCAACAGTGTAGTTCTTCAGGTCCTCGAGGGTCATTGTCCCGCCAGCCTTCGTCAGCGCGGCGATGGTCGCATTGGCAATGGCGCCGGTGTAGAAGGCGTCGGGCCCCTCGGTCGCGATGACCTCGAGCGTGTCGGCGTACCGCTTCCGGGTAATCGTCTCGCCCAGCTTGACTCGGTAGCCGTGCGGGGCGAAATCAAGCGCCCACGTCGGATCGTCCGTGAGGAAGTCATCGGAAGTCGAGTCCATGTACCTCACCAGGTCTTCTGTCACTTTGAAGCCGTACCGCGCCACCTTGATAGCCGGTGCCATCACGTCGGCCCAGGGTAGCGACCCGTAGTTTTTGTGCAGGTGTTCCAATCCCCTCACTTCGCCGGGTACGCCGCTGTATCCAAGTGGTCAGCATCAAGCCCCAAACTCCAGCGATGAGCCGGTTGTGCTTTCTGGGTGTAATGAGAGCTGTGCTGTTTACCTTGCCAGACCGCCGTATAAGCTGAGGTCGGTATCGTTGTTGTACATGTCCTCAAAAGCAGCTGCGGGCGCAGTCTCGCGGAAGTCGATGAACTCGTACTGCCCATCGCTACCGCGCACCAGCATGAAGCCGCCGCCGCCCAAGCCGCTGTGGTACATGCCAATGACGCCGATGCAGAAGACGGTGCCGACGAGGGCGTCAGCAGCATTGCCGCCGGCCTGGAGCAGGTCGGTTCCGATCTTGGAGCACACGGCGCTTTCAGATGCCACCGCGCCCAGCTTCGGCACCGTGGTCCCATTGGCGTGGTGGTAGGGCGAAGCGAGCGTAGATTGCGCGAGGAAGCCCAGCGGCAGCAGAGTCGCTGCTGCGATGCGCTTGAGAGACGCCATGGTGGACGAGTGATAGGGCCAACTAGAAGAGCTTTGGAAGCTGCTTCACGGATGAGGGACGTCGGCTTGTGCGAGTCTGGCGTTCGAAGAGGAGAAGAGAACAGAGCACACGATCACAGACGCGACGGGCTGTCTTATTATTAGTGGCACAGCTCTCGCGAGAGCACGCAATGCCTGCTTGGTAACGAGGTTACATTTTACAATTACACTGCAGATTGATAGAGCTAGGAAGCGATCCGGGTCCTGGACCAGCCTACGAATTGTTGGAGAGCTTCTCCAAGCGTTGTCCAGTCACTCTGAGCTCTCCAACACCCCGCCTCGCTACCGAGGTGAAGATAATCAAGCTTTGTAATGCTGGCTTGCTGGGTTTCCACACCGATCGGCGGGCTTATCGTGATACCGACCTAGAATTGCATCATCATAGACGCCCAATGGGAGCGGACCCGGCCGGTAAAAACCTCTCATCAGCTCGAGAGCGCGGACAAGGGTGCTTATCGTCCTTCCTCTTCCAGCAATTTGCTTACGATGGCGGTCTGGCTAGTGCGGCAGTGGCTTCGTACATGAGAAGAGCTGACGACTCCCTCTGGAGCTGCGATAGTATCACTTGAACTGTTAACAATCACTATTCGTAACGATGTGAAGAGTCGCCTTATTAATTATTGGATCACCGATCTACTACGGAATCCTCAGCAAGATCTTGCTCTCGTCGGGCCCGCTCCCAACCTCGGCAACACCACCCTGCGCAAACGCGAGCTCGCCCCGTTCATCGTCCGCCGCGAAGAAGGCCGCCGTACTGAACGGCGCAGCAAATATACACCCGCCGATGTCGAGATTCAGATTGCAGTAGCCCTTCTCCCCGGCATTAGCCCGCACATAGTTCCGCAGCGGGACCTTGATCGCGACCGTCGTGTTCTTGTCAACTCCAGTGAATTCGAGGTCGATCGTCAGGTCCGCCGGGATCGACTCACACTCGCCCGGCCACGACATGTAGCCCATCGGGCTCTCGACGATCCCGCTCGCGTTATAGAACGCGTCGCGCGCCGCCAGGCTGATGGGCAGGTCGTCGCTCTGCGTGCCCGAGTCGAACAGGCACGTCTGCGTCGTGATGGCCGACTGGTCCAGCGCCTGACCCTTGACCGTGACCTTGGGCGGACTCGTGTAGTAGCCGACCGAGGAGCCCCCGGCGTCGGACCGCAGGAACGGCACTTTGACCAGCGGTCCGGTGAATTTGGACGCGTCGACGCCGCCGAAGACGGCGCCGCCCGTGAAGGTGCCGAGCACGCTTGCCGGCGCCTTGTCCATCCACATGGACTGCACGGGCGCGCTGATCACGCCGCGCTCGAGCAGGTCCTGGCGCACGTGCGGGCCCGTCGTGTTCCACTCGGCGCTGCGTTGGAAGGGCGCCGTGCCTAATATCGACTTGTCGTACGCGCCGGGCTTGGAACACGTGCCGTCGTCTTCGAGCCGCTGCTGCATGTAGTACGCCATAGACACGCGCACGCCTGGGATTTGCGACCACTGCCCGGACGCAGAGGTGAACAGCATCGTGTCGTTGACGGATATGTCGCCGTAGACCCTCTTGGTGTAGCCCCCGTAGCCCCCGAAGAACTCGAACTTTGCCGTGTCCGTCGTGCTCGGCGAGTTGGGATAGTCGTAGAACGGCGTCACTGTCGTGTTACACGGGCCGGAACAGAAAAGCCCGTTGCAGCCCCAGTTCATGGTGGCGTTTGGGCCGAATATCCAGAAGTTCTCGGAGCCCTGGTCGAACTGGACCTCTATGGTCATGTTGCTCCAGGGCTCGACCAGATCTGTTGATATCTTGTGGTTTTCTCCATATCCTGGATGACGATAACATCAGCGTCAATCGCTCTGAAGAGGAAGTCATCTGCTCCATCTGAGACTAACTGTAGTTTAAAGGAATATACACAATTGGAACATTTGTGTTCTGGCTCTGGCTCTGGCTCTGGTTCTGGCTAATCGAAGCCGCGAGCGTACTTGTGGCCGCCAGCAGCGAAATAGACGATGTGGTATGCATGGCCGGCATGCTGGCCAGGTATGTTGAGGGAGGCATGGGAGGGTAACGAACGACAGTGAAGCGAACGGTATGGCGCCTGGAAGGAGGACTCGTGATTCAAAAGATGCCAGGTTGGAATCGGACGACGGATTGGATCTGCAGTATAATTATATCACCTGAAGGATCAATCGGTTCCTGCCGGCTCCCAAACCCGCAAATGGATCAAGGGAACGCCATACACAGTCCCTAAATGGGCAGACATGATGACCAAACTGGAAGGCAGGATTCAACACGACCCTGCGTACATGTGAGCAGCTTCACGTGCACACACATGCGTAATCTTGTGTTCAGACGAAGGATTTGGAGATGACAATCGGATGATGCCGTATTAGGGTACAGCCACACGACGATTCATGGGGCTCTTGAAAATGCGACCCCTCGGCTGTTATTACGTCAAGAACATCCGTTACCTATCACGAACGGAACCTAATGGCGCTTGCCCGGGTCCCGCGATCGTGGTCGTCCACCTCGGCGCGGCCAAGGCCGAGATGATAGTCTGCGGTGGAACAAGCAGTATTACACTCAATTTCCCATGAATAATCACCCGTCATCACTTGACAGCTTGACATTTATTCTTATGAAGCTTCTTCACACGGAAGATCCAATTGCGAAATGCCGTAGGAGCACTGGCAAGGAACTTCAACGCGGGACCCCGGGACCAACCCACACCCACCCGGCGATGTTAGTATCCGCAAAGTGCATGCCGGTCCGGCCCAGGCTACGGACTCTCTTTCGCGCATTACCTCTTCTTAGAATACGAATCTCGAGATCGTCAAGCTTTGGCGATCGACTCAGATTTGTCTTTTGCTATGGAGACTTGCGTGTTTGCACAACCTAGAGCGGAATACGATGATAATTCCGCATTAGGATCTCAATAAAAATGACGTGGTGGCCTCTCGAGCTCTAAACAGGAGACCCACCTGTAGGTAGTCATTCGCCGTCATCCCCGACGGTTTTGGCGACCGAGGTGAACCGGCTTAGAGAACTGGGTGTCAATGCCGTCGCGGTTGTGGAGGCTTAGCTTCGGCAAAACGACATTGCGAGCTCTGGTCGGCCCGGCTCCTGGGTGCGCTTCGATGTCAGCGTCGCTGCTGTAGACCCTAGAGGGTCGCCTGGTGTTGAGGGCAACGCAGTATAGCATCCTATATCTGCAGAGTCTTAAGAGCTACGAAGATTCCGTGTACCCTGTGACCTAGTTCGTTGGACAGCCGACCTGGAGGAAAGCCGAGTCCCGTGATGCGGAAAATCGAAGGACGCCGAATCAGGAGGCATATTGCAATTGCCGGTGTTCTAGAGGAGTACTAGAGCCTGGCCGCCGCGCAGGTCTTCCTCTCGAACCACAGTCTACAGAGCAACGAGAGTGGCTACTCCCGGCCTGACAACTTCCTCATCGAGAACCATCCACAATGGCAGCGCTCCTCGACACCGAGTACGTCATGCCCTTCGTCCAGCTCCTCACCGTGACATACTACTCGACGAGTGGACGCAGGCCACGATCGACTCAAAGGTCGAGTTATATCCCGATGATGTAGGTAGCAACGAGCTATGGATGGAATTCCTCGAGTAGTTGCGTACGAAAACGCCGCCGGATCTAGATGTACTGGAAGAAAATGAAATGAAATAAAAATGTAAAATACTGCAAAAAGCTCAGTCTACGATTCGAACCTGGCTAGGCGTGCTTTGACCTGTGCGAAACCCTATCCACTTGCTTGCCAACACGCCCCAGAATCGAATCGTGGACTTAAGAAAAACCCCCGAGAAGGTTTTGTCTCATACTGCTATACCAAGAGGCCTTAAGGGTTGACGTTGGTACAGGGCGTCGGTGAAAGATCGTGCTCATATTACGGTACATATGTATCTGGGGGTGTTGCTGGGGAACTCGACCTGACCTGCAGGACCTGCTCCGCCCCAGCGTGTTCACCCTCAGGCACCAAGGCAGTCAGGCCCATGGGGGCGAGCAGTCAATCCCGCTGCCGTACGCCCAGCGAGTCTGCGATCTTTCCATGCAGGGTCGCCGCCGACACCAACACGACAAAGTTCCTGCTGACCTTCCCCGTGGACTGAGCCGATGTTCAACAAGGCACAAACACTGGCAGAGGCCATGTCGGGGCTGCGATTGGATATGTAACCTGCCTACAGCCCCTTTGGCTCTGCTGGCACACTGACAAGAATCAGAAACGTCGAGACGATCTGGTTCTTTGCTCAGAGAGAGGATATTCAGTGAGCCAGCGAGCCCCTTTCGGTATCCACTCAGCCCTCATAAGTCTCTATACGCGCATCTTGGCAAGAATTTGAACCATCAGTGAGATAATTGGAAATACTAGAATAAGCGCCCTGGAATAAGCGTCAAGCACAGTTGATAGAGACCAAACTGCTTATTCCGGTGTGCTTATTTCAGTTTGATGAATGAACCGTTGTTTGCTGAAACGGGTGGTGTACGGAGACTTCTAAGGGTTCAGTGTACCAGCGTCAGCGACTATTCATAGGACGGTCTAATGAAGCTTGAGTGGCAGGCGCAACTAGACGGTGTTAGATATCATAACAGTGGCGTATTTACCCTTGTCATGATTGCTGTGAGTCATCCTCCTGTGGGATCACATGTGATAGCTGTCAGAACTTAGCGTACAGCACGGGGGCTTTGCTTTTTGTTGTCTTTTAGGGTATTTAGGTTTGGCTCCTCCCTTCCGGTCGAAGAGCTTAAAAATGAATGAAAATCGGGAATCGTCCCTTTCCCACCTATTCAAGTAGGATGGCACCTCCATCAGCTATCCTTATTTCTCTTCCAATACATACCATTCCTAAATTTCCTCAGTCAGCACTTCCACCATGCGAAGCTACATCGGTATCTGGCCTTAGCGCCAGCTCTAGAACATCTGGATCATCTTGTTCCTGCAAGCGATCTGCATCATCATCTTCAGCAACTTCTCCCTCCTACTCCTCAACGCCGCGGAGAAGTTCTCTAATGACTCCCGCTCCGGCAGCAGCAATACAAACGACACGTACTACGGCTACACGCGCGACGAGGCGACCAACTACTACCCCAGCCTCAAAAACTCCATGCGGATGAACTTAGATATCGGCACGTCAATACTGAACCTGTTCGAGATCATCATGTCATTGTTGGGGAAAGGCAAGCTCAGCCCTATTGTGCTGTGCGTGACGGCGGCCGTGAAGACGACCGCGTGGTTCATCTTGCGGATCTTGGGGACTCGCGCCAACCTACAGCTCCGTACCGTTCTAGTCAATACCTTTGTCGGGTTTGCAATTTGGCTCCTGAGTCTGCTGCAGCTGGGGCTCGCTGCGTATGTTGGGCATGAGGTGCGCAAGGGACGGCTGCCGAGGAAGACGCCCGAGGACAACGGCAATGACATGGGACTTCGGGATAAACACCTGAACCAGGACTCCGGGCGGCAGTCGGTTGGAGAGCTAGAATATTGCTTCTGGTGTGTATAAGAGTAATTAATGTGTTGCATACTGGGCGTGAAGATTTAAAAATACTGAAATAAGCAGATAGGCATAAGCAGCTCATAGCTATAAAGTTTTATTCATGCTTATTCCAGCGTGCTTATCCCATTTATAAGAAACGCACCTCTCGTTCAGTATATCGTCCTTCAAACGGGCACAAACCCTTTATACACAATGACCATTCAATTTTTAAGACCCTAAAATTGGAGAGCAGAGGGCGGCTTAGGGGCAATTGAAATGGAAGGGCGCCTGAAATGCCTGCACCCAAACAAGGCAACACTCGCTACCTTGACAACCGTAGCAACACCACCTCTATCTCACGGCCCTCAAAAAATCCAAAAAACCTACCATGCCCGAGCTTCCCACATCTGCCCACCATGGAACTCATGTACGCCCGCCTCATCACGCCCTCCAATATCGGCATCATCACCATCTACCTGGCCACCACCCTCGTCCTCCTCGCCCTCCCCCATCGCGAGCGCATCGCGCAACTGATCCATATGCACCTGATGGACGATATCATGATCTTACGCGAGGCACTCTACATGATCGGCATAGACATATACCCGTGGCTCATCCCCGCCGCTGCAGCCGCATGCTGCGTCGGTGTCTGCGTGTTGGTCTGGTACCTGCCGCTGGGGCTGGCCGGCAGCTGCCTCGTCGGGTTTTTCTTGGTCACGCTGGTTGTGCTGCTGGTTGCGCTGCCGGCTTGGATGTTCTGGGAGTGCTGGCATGCTGACATGAAGGAAAGGCGACGGCAAGTACGGGTGAGTAATCCATTCAACCGTCCCCATCTCCAACCACCCGCCCAGAACCGAAAAACAACCCGCCCAGGAGCTGACTACTTCCCAGAAAGCATACGGGCATATACGCTTCATGCGCCGCCTCGTAGAAGGCCCCGACTGGCCGACTCAAACCCCCTGGAAGCAGATCTTCTGGCTCGCTGACGCCTCCTACCGAAATCTGGGCGGGAATTGGATGGAGGACATTGTCACTGATTTCGGGCTTGCAGCTTACGGCGCACCGGCCACGTACCGAGAGGCGCAACTCGCCACGGTCACAATGTTTCGGGAACGGCTTGGCGATTATATCGAGATGGTCGAAGCTTGAACATTGCTCGGGTGTTGCGAGGATGTCCTTCCGCAGTTGCTGGGTGAGGGGTAGGGGTTGTCTGTGATGGTGTCTGATGTCAAAGAGTTTAGCATGGAGGGAACTTGTGACCAGCTCTTGTATTCTCTAGATACATGGTTGCATCATCACATGCAGTCAATAGGTTACTGGGATAGATAAAGCACACTGCACCGACAAGTCACATTCACAGTGGCTTTTGGAGCAGACAAAGCTTGGCCTGTAGTTCCATCTTCCTCATTCCATAAAGCGAAGACACATTCGGGTGAAAAGGCTGCACATCGGATGACCGTGCTCCGTCAAAGGAAAAAACTATCTATCCCCAGGCAAGATGCTTCCCTATGGTAGCATGCAAACAGCTAGCAATCCTGATCCTCCACCAAGTGAGCGACCAAGTCTTCTCAGTCTTCCCGACCAACACCCAAGCTCGAGAGTGTTCATGGGCTCGGAGCTCTCAACACCTAAAATACATAGCGGGATATTCATATACACAACGGTTCACTCTTGCGAAGATGTTGCACAAGCACCGTTTTGTCTCCTTGCTTGACCCTTTCCTTATTTTTCTCCTGCAAAGCCCCTCATCAATACCTCGTCCGTTTGGAGAGGCCTTGACATTCTCCAGGAGCACAATGCTCGGGTGGAAACGCTTTGCATAGGGGTATATGGGCCGCCAAGTATCTCCCGATTTGCCGTTATCTTGACAGGTTGTCGGGCTGGTGAGGGTAGAGGACGAAGCTTAGGGCGTGAGCTTGGCGTGTAGTGGCTGGTGGTTGTACTCTCCATGGCTATCCTACCCGTTCTTGTCTGATGGCTTCCAGCAGGCCTGGGTTATGTTGTCTGATCCATCGGACGTAGATGTTTAATCCATTGTCGAATGTTCCTATCGTCTCTCCTGGATGTGCGAAGGCTCTAACTGCCCGACCCCAGTTCCCTCCGATGTCGTAGTATATTGAGTCGGCTAGGCGTAGGAGCCGTTCCGCCAGAGTGCTGTCAGGATACATGGCCCTCCCGGTGACGGCGCAAGCCCACAGTCTTCTCATCCCGTAATTGTCCTACACTACCTGTTAGCAATGTATCTCTTGATCGTCCCACGGCTGGACTCCTTACCCGCATCGACGCAAGATGCTGTGCAGACCCGATGTGCAAGTAGGGCCACACCACGACCCATATGGCAAGGGACAGGAGATAGGCAGCCAGGTGGTGAAGAGAGCCCCTGCTAAGCATCGCAATTGCAAGCGGGCTAGTCACCGTGATCGGAATCCAGAAGGCGAAGCGGGCTGCGACCAGCTTTGCTGCACGCGAAAGGTCGAAGTGCATAAGAAAGTAAAACCGTATTTTCAGAAAGAACAGTCGTACTTTCCTCTGACAAACGCGTAGGCCATGTCTTGCGAGCTGAAAGCACAGGTATAAAATTCGGATGGTACCAGCAATGCCGTAACGTGTTGTCGCAAAGAGGATTATCTTGGCGGCCACAATGAAGCAGGCGAAGGTGAGGTCCATCGTGGCGCGGACACCTTTGACAAGGAGATGCTGTGCGGGAGGTTGTGGGTCGAGAAGCGCGAAAGGCGGCTAGGTTTTGATGATTATGCCACGATGTATTTGTGTGATAATTAGAAGATAGGCGGAGGTGATTGTGCGATTGTGCGATTGCGATTGCGATTGAATTATCCCATTTTTATTATGTTAAGTTGCGACTTGACGATGCGTCCCAGGCAGCTTCTACGTGGCAGGCAGTCGCGACTGTTACTTCAAGATAGCTGCAGGGCTGATTGGGAGTGGGAGAGAGATCGCAAGATGACTTCACATCCGAGGCAAGTACGGAATATATATGTCGATGCGGTTGATTTGAAATTCGCCTGCTCAGGGAACACTGTATTTCGACTGGAAGGACCAAAAAGTCAAACGCCCAAAGTTAAATAGGTACCTAAGAAGAGCTGGAGGGAGAAACCAACACATACATCGAGACAGTTCGTATATGGGAGTAGAAACAATTCCTACCAGCGCTTGCTTTTGCTTGAGCTCCCATTTGTCGCTCGCTGTCTTCGTTTGTCCACCTCTTCTAGAAAGAGTCATATAATTTACTCAAAACGCCCTCGGGAAGTTGACCAGAGCCAGCTGGGAAGTTTTCGTCCTGAGTCTTGCGGATCTGAATATCCTCTTGGAGCTGATAGATGAGGCTCTCGGAGGTCGGATAGACCCCACGATTATAATCTCCTGAGATCTCGCGATGGAGGGTCGGGAAAGTAGCCCGGATTGCCGCTCGAAAGTTGCAAATCCGGCTCATCGCAGAGTAGTCGATCTTCTGGTGCTGCACACGGTCCATTAGTAGGCGGCATTTGGCCATGTCAGAATACATGCTCAGTGGCGGTTCTAGCCTTGTTATGGTTATCTAGCCTTGTTGTCATCCATTGGGATCACATGCAGCCGTCAGAGATCCCTCTCACACCTATTTAAGTAGGAAGGTACGCTTCTCAGCCATCCTTGTCCCCCTTCTACTATAACGGCGGGGGTATAGATGTGGGACAGCCCTAGATGTGGGACAGTTTTCACACCAAAAGACCACACTTGCACCCACACATAACTCCATCTGGATTGAGGCCCTAGATAATATAAAAACAGCAAAAGAATCGCCTTTTCTTGGAGTTTTTAGCAATACTAATTTTTGTCGCGGTACCGTGCAGGCTGGCGGATTGCGCTGCGCGAAGATCGAACCACAATGGGCTCCTCATCCTCCTCATCCTCGCTTTCGTCCCCTTCATCAACAACAACCCCTTCATCCTCAACACCCTTTAAGGGCTCAAATTCTTCTGAATCTGATGATTCAGGCAAGAGAGAGTCATTAGAGAGTGGTCTCTCTGATTCATTCGTGTGCAGGTTCTGCAATTTGGCCACAATTCGTCATCTCTCGGCCCGCTGCTCGATCAAGACTTGTGCAGCCTCCGTTTGCTTGATCTGCTCCTGAATAATGTCCCTAACTCTCCATAGCCGTTGATTAGGCTCTTCTTGAAGTGCCTTACGGCGCTTTTTTGGCTGTAGACGCTCCATTTCGGCGTCTTTTGCATCCAATAGCTCTTTTACGAGGGCTAGCTCAACCACCATCTCATCGTACGACTTTGCAACCGAGCGTACTGCTGATCGCTGCTCAGGGGTCTCAGCAACTGGTGATAGCATCAGGGCTATGTCCTGTCCTGATTTAGGGGCTTCTAGGGCCTCGTGGGTGGTCTCGGGGTCCATTATAGCAGCTGCTGCTGCTTGGATCTCCGCCGCCTTCACCACATGCTCGTTCGTCAACGTTTTTCGTCGATTTACAGGCCAAAGCCCAGCAGTACGCCACCCCGAACGCACAATAGCCGGCGTAGCTTCATCGCGAGCTTTCGCTAGGCAACTGAGGAACTTAATCTTGCCAATAGGGGCCGAATCGTTGAGCTGGCCAAGCTGATTGATCAAGCGGCAGTAGGCGGCTTTAATAACAGAGAATACTATCAAATCCAGCGGCTGGAAGATATGAGACTATCCCTATTAGCAAAATAACTACTAACTGATCATCTAACTTACCGTGTGAACTGGAAAAAAGCACATATATACATTGTTAATGTAGCAAAGATATATAAACTCATCCGAGCAGTGGCTGCCATGGCCATCTAATATTAGGAGGCGAGAATCATTGGGATCTTCAGGAGCTGTATCAGAGAGATACACCTGAGGCTTATTAGCACATAGTTAACGAGTAGTACTCGTTATTTATTCGCCTTTTTAAGCCACTTTAACGCGATCTCGTTCGAGGACCAGCCGTTAATAGAGTACGTCACTATCCACTTTGCCATCGCGAGATGCTCAATAATGAGCTGCTCTTTAAACCACTGAGTCTGTATCGACTTCGCCTTGAAAATAATGAGCGGCTGGAGCTTCTTCCTAGTGGCAGTGATCAATTCGATCACTGTAGTCCACGTGCGGTTGTCGTTAGACTTGACGTTGGCCCTTTTTGAGCCAGAACTACCTATTACAAGGCCATCAGACCTATTATCGGCCCAGTCAGCCGTCCGAAAAGCACTTGGATTGGGCGCTTACATACTGCCAGCCCTGCATAATGCTGTACTTATTGATATTTGTCCGGTTCACGGGTTTGATAAAGGCGAACTGCTTATAGAGATCATGGAAGCTATTGATGTTCTTGGGTGTGGCGGCGTTGATACGCTTGTAGTCCAGCTTTCTGCCCATCTTGGTCTTTATCTCTGGGTGCTTGCGGATGAAATTTCGCATGTATTTGCTCCCTAAATGATCTGCCCTGCCCTCAGACTGTAGGATCTTCCGGATGATGTACCTCATATTGCCGTGAGTTAGCGCGTGGCCAGCCTTCTCTTGATAGAGGATCCATAATACAACCTGAGTTTCTTGTGCAGGGCTTAACTTTTGGCTCCTAAGAGCCCCCTCACGGCTAGTCAGCGTTGGGCGCATTGTGGTGCCGTCTATCTTCGGCGCGAGAGTTGATTTCGGTACTCTCCAGCGCTAATGCGCCTTGCGGAGGGATATGCCATCGTTCATAGCGGCAATTGCCTCTGCGAGGTCTTTTGGAGTGTACGAAGGAGGCATTTCAACGTACTGAAGCCTATGATGCTGACAGAAAAAAAAGAAAAAAAAGAACAGCAGAACTTCTGCTACAGTGAAGGGGATAGGGGGCACGGGTCCCATTACCCCTTAGATTAGGGCCGGGAGTGCTAACTTCCAACCCCCACAGCGGCCTATCCCGCAGTGGTAAACCTGATGAAACCAGCACTGCTGAAAACAACAAGAAAAGACGATTTCAATGCAGTATTTACGATATCTAGGGCTTCATTACCGGTAGAGATATGTGTACGTGAACATTGTGATGTTGGGTGTGAAAACTGTCCCACATCTAGGGCTGTCCCACATCTATGCCCCCGCCGTTAAATCATTACTAAACCTCACAGCTTTCAGCTTCTATCGTATACTTTCACTCACTGCACCGAGTCGACCGACATAGCGTAAACGCCACGATACACTTACTCAACGACTTTTCCTATTAAATTCTCGACTGCTAAAACCAGCTAAAATGTCCCGACGTGCAACGTTCGCATGTGTCATCCTATTAACGGCGACCATCATTGCTGTTGGGGTGGCCACGACAATGAGCCTCTGTGCAATACTTTCCGATTCTTGTATTCTCTGGACGCAAGGAAGAAACGATCAAGGCAACCAAGATGGAGGCGGGCAAGGCTGGAGCAACAACGCGCACCTGACATCGACTGAACAAAACGGCACCAATCTCACGACTATTCTGACATCAACTGAACCAAACGGCACCAATCTCACGACTAGCATCGACTGGCTCAACCCGTACCCCAGAGAGCACGACCGCAGCGTACGGGCGACACTAAGACTAACCTATGTGGCCCCTAACACGTTGTCGGGGTCGTGAGGGTATATGACGAAGCCTAAGGCGTGAGTTCGGAATGTAGTGACTGGTGCCTTAGGTGGTGTTCGGGGGACGACGTTGCAGGGCTATACAGTGGACATAAGGGAATATCCAGGGCAGGACAGTGTTAGATCCTCCATCATCTTCACATACCACAATGCCACTCGTTGGACCCTCCACCACAAAGTTCAGTCCTGGAGAAACTCTCTAGATGTACCTCCTAGACGTTGATTTCATGGCTGCGGGGCTGACGCGGAGCGGGAGGATCGTAAGATGACTTTGCATCAAAGGCAAGTACGGAATGTATATGTCAATGCGGGGTGATTTGAAATTCGCCTGCTCAGGTAACACTGTACCTGTATGTAGGTAGGTAGTAGGCACAGAGCCGTTGTGTTTACAGCATGTGGTTCCGCTAGCAGCTGATAGGTGTAGACACTCGATGGACTGGGGAGGGAGTCGCCCAGCATTCCCAATGCCTTTATAGTGACAAATACAGGTGATATTGGGGGTTCATAAACCAGGTACGGATCGATGTCTTCTCAGAGCCGTGCCCTCGGTCTGCCGAGTGTCACGCATCTTGCCTCTGACAATGACTATAAAGTCGAACGCCCAAAGTTAGATAACTTGCTTGAAGTGCCCTCATGCCCGCAGGGTACTCATCTTTACACTAGAAACACAATCCAGTCACCACCACTGCACGTTACCCTCTTTCACTTACTGACCACTACCGCCACCAGTCTGCGCTGTTGTTGTTTTGACCAGTCACTTTCCAGCAACATATCGAGTGGGCTGATCCGAGTCAACTCCAGTAAAACGCAGATGAATGCCCACATAATTATAAGTGCCTAACGATACAGACTGGAGTTACTATTCAGTTTCCCTCGAACCCATTGACGATAAGCACCGCAAGCAAGGCACTCTATAAAGTTAATCGCGAGCTTGTAAACAATATTAGGTCCGTCACGACCTTAAACTGTACGTAAGACTTAATATTTGCGGGATAGATCTTTTATTCAGCAGACTAATAACCTTGTCCGCTTTGTGTTTTTTTCCGACCTGGTTGCTTCGCGTTGCCCCTTGTTTAACTTTAGTTATGTTGGATCCATGCGATTCCAGACTGCAAACCATCTATACCAGGACCCATATGTATGATTAGATAAGATAAGATAGTGGATTGAGAGGGCACTTGGCCAGACCTTCGAGTCCAGCTAGATTCCTCTCAATCCAACCATCAGCAACATCATGACCTTGACCCCATACTCGAGTATTATGATTGATCGTTCAAGCCTGTTCCAACACTGATCAGTATTGTCTCCCAAGGCAACACAGATAAGCAAGGAAAAGAAGAGGTCTTACTGTATCAACGTTCCTGACACGAGACTCGGGATACAGCCAAAGATCTGGATCTTTTGTCGCAAACGTTCCTCAAGAGGCGATTCGAGGCACAGCACGAGATCCGAGGTTTTTTACTGCAAACGTTCCTCCAGAGGCGACTCGAGGCAATAGATTACGCTGCAATCACAGCAATACTCATATCCCGCGCGGCAGCACAGACTGTTGACAGAACCCTCCCCCACACATCCATCCGACGCCCATCCGACACATGCCAGATTGTTGACAGAACCACCTGACACACATCCGTCCGACACACGCCCATCCCACACATGCCAGATGTTGACAGAACCACCTGACACACATCCGTCCGACACACGCCCATCCCACACGTGCCCATCTGACACGTCCATCCGACACGTCCATCCGACACCACGTCCATCCGACACGTCCATCCGACACGCCCATATCCAACACAAGTACATCCGACACGAGTACATCTGTTGGATAACAGGGGTCATGAAGATGAGCCGAGTCCGACCGGCACAACCACGGTACGGCGGAGATGACCAGCACCAAACTGGGAACCGATCAGGGGCACCTGAACAGACAGAACAGATACAAGACACTACATGCAATACACGAAGAATCACCCTCCAATCACTGAACTCGCTTGAATCCAACAGATGCCGTTGTCTTTACGCGGCTCCGCCACATTCTGTGAAAGAAGGGATACCCCATGTGGATTATCAGATGGATAAAAAGCTATACTAACAGACGGTCGGCTAAGCTCCTTTTCGATGGAAAAGAGTCAGCAGCCCGAGAATTGAGTGCTGGAGTCCCCCAGGGGTCCCCAGCGTCCCCCATCCTCTTCTTGTTATATGTTGCCATACTGTATGAAGAGCTTGAAGCAGCAGGCTTGCCCATGATGGTAGTGGGCTTTGCTGATGATACCAACATGCTGGCGGTCCACCCGGATGCCAAGAGGAATTGCGAAGTCCTTAAAGAGGCATACCAGGTATGCGAGAGGTGGTCGGTTCGCCACGGAATGCAGTTCAACGCAAAAAAAAGCAAGGTTATACATTTTACGCGACAGCGGGAAAAAATCCTGGATCCGGTCCGAAACGGGATGGTCCTGGTAAAGCCGGTACCGTCAGCTAGGTTCCTTAGAGTATACCTAGACAGAAAGTTGCGGTGGAACAGGCACCTAAAAGAGATAAAGGCAAAGATGGAACGCCAGATCTTCGGCTTCACCAGGATAGCGGCCTCCACGTGGGGATGTAGCGCGGCACGAGCCCAGGAGGTATATACCAAAGTGGTACGAAGCGCCATCGCCTTTGGCGCGACGGCGTGGCATACGCCATCGGAGGGCAACCAGGCCCAAGGGCTAGTAAAGAAGATGCTCACCACGCAAGCGGCGTGTTTAAGGGTGATGGCAGGGGCCTTTAAAGCCACGCCGCGACATTTGCCGGAGACAGAGACCGGTTGTCCCCCGCTGGACGCATACCTAGATATGAGGGTGGCGGCGTTTAAAGGTCGAATGTACGGAGAGGCTGGTAGACACGTTACTGCCGAAACAAGAAAGGTGGAAGGAAGAGAGGGCGAGAGACGCAAGGTTGGCGGTAATGGAAGCCGCAAGGAGACCCGCGCAAGCCGGCAGGCGGGGGAGAGGTCGGCCTCGGCGGTCGCCCAACGCAATAGCGTCCCCACAGAAGGATAACCCAACGGACCAGAAAGAGGCGATCCTAAAGTGACTGGGCCAAAACCACCCGGAGCAGGCACTGGAGAGGTCGTGGAGGAGTCAATGGATAGTGGCCGTCACAAGAGCCAGCCAGACGGGAGTTGCTGCGAGGTTGCCAGCAGCTCAAGAAGAATTCTTACAGGAGCTCGTAGGGGTGGTCCTGCAGTATTACTACGGACTGCGGAAACACGAGGTGTCTGCCCTATGCCAGGTCCGGACAGAGATCATCGGCTTGAGGGCTTTCCTGTTCCAGAGGAGAGTGCCAGGAGAGGCTACACCACGTTGCGACTGCGGCGAGAAGGAGACGGCATACTACGTGACGGTTTGATGCCCTCTATACGCGGCCCAAAGAGGCAGACTGCAAGCCTCTCTCGGGACGAGAACGTTGCGGTCAAGGAGAGACTTCGAGAGCTTGTTGTCAGATCCAGACAGGACCCCGAAATTTATACGGTGGTTTTTGAGACTAGGGCTACTGGGGATATTCTCACTAGCAAGAAAGCTAAGCAGTGGCGAGGTGGCCCAATAGGCGCCAAAGAGCCGGACCGCAGAGGATATAGAGCAGTACCGGATAGAATGGAGAAGGAGGGGGGATATGGTAGTAGGGATATCACGAGGGGGAGGGGGGATATGGTAGTAGGGATATCACAAGGGGGAGGGGAAATATCATGAGGGGGAGGGGGAATATCACGAGGGGGAGGGGGAATATCACGAGGGGGAGGGGGAATATCACGAGGGGGAAGAGGTCTCAGGGGCCAAGGGATGCGCGCCCTATCAGGTTAGTCAAGGCGGTGAAGGTCATGACATACAACTGTAGCAAACCGCAGTGGCGCCGTAATAAAGCCAGAACTAGACCGTAGCATGTGGGTTTTCATCCCCTGCGAGATTTTATCACACAGAGATAGATCATAGGAGGTCTGCATGCCGGACGACTCTCCGAGATGTCTATACGGCGGGTCAGCATATGAGTAATAATATTTGATAATAACGCTTTAAAAAACATTCAAGTTTCATTAAATAAGTATATTATTAGCATATATTATCATAACATTTGTTTATTTTAATTTTGTTTAATAACCATTTTCTTAAAACGAACCTTATATTGAAAATTCAAATAGAATATATTGAAATATTTTAAACCGGGTTTTTATAAACCTTATATTAAGTATTAAAAAAGTATAACTTAAAATATGTCTTTTTTATAATTTAAGTTATTATTATTTGCACTATTTATTAGTTAATATGTAGTATAAAAAGCAATTTAATTAAAATAAATGCATAAGTTTATGATTATAATACGTAACGTCTTTTTATTTTATACTAGATATTATAGTTTGATATAGTTAGTTTCGATATTTTATACCTTTTTAAGTAAAAAAACTATATAAAAAGTTATTAAGTTTTATTTTTCACAAAGATATCGAAAAAGTATTGAACCTAATTTAATGTTTAACGTAGATGACAAACGACCGGCAATTACAAGCGAATTGCAACTTCTTACCGACCTATCAACTGCCATGTTAAATAACTTAATCACAACGTATTCAATTCAATTCAATCAATCAGATTCCTCTTCCTCAGACGTTTCTATCTCTATTGTACAAATTCGCGCATTATGGCCAGTGTTACCGCAAACGCCACACCGTTGCTCACGCGCTGCTGTACTCTTTAGACGACGACTACCTTTACTCATTTCCTGTCTTGCTAGTTCAGTACCATCCTATATAGCCTGAAGATCTATTATATCTTTAATAAAAAGTATTCCTCTTTTTATTAGACATTTATTTTTTGTTTTTTGGTATTTATCTAGTAAGTGATTGGCCTCCTTTAGTTCGCTGACCTGGGAATCAACCAAAGTGACCTTGTGCATAAGACTATATATAGCCTTTGAAAACGAGCTCAATGCATCAATTATTGATGTAGGTGAGCTTCCCTAGTGATTTCTGACTCGATTTTGGATATAAACTGATTGGTTTACTGCTTTATTAATGGTGATAAGCATCTTTGAAGTCCAAGTAGTGGGTGGCAGATTGCGGTCTGGTGACGGTGTTCGTACGATAATGACAGCATCCAGCTTTGAAATGACACTTTCTGGGTCAAAAGAAACAAGGCCACTAACACTAAAACCTGCTCAGATGTTTCCTGGTGTCATTGCAGCATTGTGTGTTTCATAAAACGCTGTGAGAAAGTCCTCCTTTGAAACATGGGTTATATGACGCCGGATAAGATCCTCAATTGAGTGACCATAAGCTCGTTTGAGTGGGCTGAAACAACTGACATCTAAAGGCTGGAGCCTATGTGACAAGTGGACAGGCATATAAAGTGTAATGATACTATTATTCTGACAATAATTCTTAAAGACCTGGAAATGATGGCTTTTGTGACCATCTAGGATGAGAAGGCGTTTACCGGCTGTCATACGCAGTCTGATATACTTATCGAGATGCTGAATCCATTTCAAACCGATCTCATTTGTAGTCCATTCGTTGTCAGACGCGGCCACCTTCTAATTGTGTGGTAATGTCGTGTAGTAATACCATGATGCAAGGTGGGTTTTGCCCTGTAGAATGATGAATTGCGGGACCACCCAACCATCAGTATTGATAGCAAAGATTGCCGTAAACCATTCTCTGTTGCCTTGCTGAGCTTGTCTAGGCCTGCCACTTCTTTTGGTGCTTGTGATGACCATGCCAGACCCAATAATGACTATCATAAATCCAGTCTCATTAAAGTTGTAAATGTCCGTGTCTTAGATACCATATTTTGCGATTGCCGCTGCAACTTGGCAAAACCACGCGCAATACGTGTCTGGATCTTTGTTTAAAACCCTCTGGTAGTCCATCCTCCAATGAAATTGCGTTCGGAGGCCTGGTGTGCGTTTAATGAAGTTCTGCGTTCAGTTCTTTTTAATGCGTCCATCCACACATGCTGCCAATAATTGATTCGCCATATCTTCAACATAACTGTGCCAGGGTGGAAATGCTCGCGCATCTAGGTCAAGAATGAAGGAAAGAATGGCATTCTCTTTGGAAACTGTAAGTTTTAAAGTATTGGACATGCTATTGGGCCGTAATAGCATTCCTTTGATTCTATTGCTCAAAGTGGAACAAGGGATGTTAAAGAGTTTCGCAAGCTGAAATATAGAAATATGAGGGTCACGTCATTTAGCTTGGACAGCTAGCTATAAGTCTAATTCATTGTAACGTGGTGCCATTGTTATTAGTAGAGATATAATGGTTTTAATTATGTTGGTTAAAAAGTTCATGACGAGTGCCAACTCGCTTGTAATACAAACTCGCTTGTCAGCTATATTATAAGAAAGAAAAAAGTTATTTTAAGATTTTAAAAAGTTTAATAATATAGCTATGAAATAAGGCTATATAAGATATATATGTTTTAATTAGTTAAAGTAAGCATATTTGTTAGTTAAGTATATTTTTATAATAAATTTATTTTTAAGCAGTTATTGTTATTTAAGCAGCTAATATACAGTAAGTTTATAACTCTATCGTATCGAATCGCCAACGTTATTTTATCATAGATACGTCAGCTTTACCCGTTAAATGCACAAAGCGCATTGACAAGTTACGAAGTAGCTGGTCGTTGTGAGTAGTAAGCTGCCTTATTCATGTTATTATTAGACTCCATCTCCAGTATCGAGGTATTCTTAACTCCTGACAACTATAATGCTCCTAACACGAGGAGGGATTATCACACAGGGGATAAGCGGCGAGGTATGCCGATGCGAAATGAACTGTAACAGCTCATCCATTCCTCCCGAATCCTTCCTATCATCTCAACCCATACCACTCTCATACGTGGAGTTGTCCTGGTTCTTCATACTGTATGCAGTTTTGTTTCAGCAGAATGGGTATCGATATAAATGCTAAGAACAGCCAGCGCCATGACGAACCATCACAACCTACAGCCACCCGGCTCATCAACACAGCCTCGCCCTCATCCACAACAGCCGTAACGAAGTCCAGGAATCACAGGCAGAAATTCCACAGCGCCAGCCCCGTCCCAATCATGGGAACAATAACCCTGACCACGTTCAGCTGGCCCCACTTCCGAATGAGCCCCGTCGCCGTCTGGACGCTCAACGTCTTCTCCCTGCTCTTCTCGTCCGCGGCCGCCAGCAGCTTCGCATTGGTAGGGAAGATGAACGCGACGGTATAAGGGATGATAAAGATGGTCGACGCGGCGGCTGTCGCGAGCCCCCGCCACTCGAGCCCGCGCGCCCAGCGCGGGCATCAGCGCCTGGCCGCGCAGGAACACGGTCTTCCACTGGCGTACCATCACGTCGGCGGGCGCGCCGTTGTTGACGATCGCGGGGATTGCGAAGAGGGTGAGGGAGCTTCCGATGCCTGGTGTTGCGGGTGCTGTTAGTCTCTTTGCCCTCGCCCTCTTGTTATCTCATCCTTGGCATCTGTAGTAGCCAGGGGACGCGTGCGAGCACATGTGGAAACCTTACCTGCTGCCCAGGCCATGGCGAAGATGCCACTGCCGGCGGCAATGATCAAAGATGTTGAAATGGATTGCATGGTAGCTTGTTTGGGGGTGATGAACCTTGGAGGGCTTCGAATTGAGGTAGGCAAACTTGTGATTTGTTTAACAGCGACTTCATGACGAGGGAGCAGGTACAGTCGGAGGCAGAAGGATACGCAATGCTATATATCCTCAATGACTTCGGGCTCCATCCACTCAACACCCCTTGGGGATCTCTCACGATCCAGGAATACTAAGTAGTAAGACCGTTTTTGGAGTTTCGGGCCCGCTTCAGCATGGGAACGACAGAGCGGCTGAACTTCTCGGTCCCCGAACCCCGAGCAAGATCGGCCCCAACTTGGTAGCCTGGAGGCTTTTGGCACCGCGCATTCGCAGAAGTGCACACCACCAATCTGCAATCATGAGCATTTACATACATAGGCGGTGCAAGATTCTCCCTAATTGAGCTCGACTGAATATTGAATCACTTTCTCGGCGATTCGAAGCCAAGGCAGCTCGCTATATACGGCACGAAGTCACTGCACCTGGCCCGTCCGCCCAATGGACGTGACTCTGGCTATCACGCCGAGCTTTCGCGCGCATCCCATTTAGTTCCGTGTGCACCGGTGTCCGGTTTACTCCCCACCCCGACGCGATGGACGGGTCAACTAATACCGTAACTTATTGCATGATTTGCAAGACTCAACATTCGATGTTACGAGTAAAGCAAACAACAAACCCGACGTACGTCACGAGTTATACAACCCTTCCAAGGTCTGCTCAGGCGACAGTCTCTCAGCTACCTTGCCGGCCTCTAGAGCGCGAAGCCTATAAGCTCCACATCCAGATGCTCGAAGCTCTCGCGACTATCCGGTTCCTGGAGGTTACAGTGGGCCTTTGAGCCTTCAACACCCCATTCTGAACCCAGACTCCTAGAACCCGAACACGCGCATCCCGTCGGCCAGGCCGATGATCAGCGTCATGGTTCGAAACGGTATAGTTGTGCGTGCGTTCGTGTTGCTATTATGAGCCACTCAGGGTCAAGGCGGTGTGGACCAAAATGGGTGGCGAGGCAGCCAGGTAATAGTAACAGTATGATAGAGGTGGCAAGTGACGCGAAAGTAACTTAGTCATTAATAAGTTAGACCCCAGCAAACATCATCCTTCTGTGGAAAGCAACACCTTTCTCTATAAATAAAAACCCCAGCAGGTCGAACCCCTCCAATGGTCCACTATGGTGCTTTTTATACTCATCGACGTTTGGTTAGTCGCTCCTGCTGGTGCCACTCGATGATGCAACTACCTATGTACCTTAAGCACCCTATATGCCTTTCTACGCATATAAGAAGGCCGCTTTACCAGACACTTTTGTAAAATCCACATCCCATCTTACGTTCTACCATACCAACACGCCTCACCAAAACGACTCACCAACACAGCTCACCAACACGACTTACCAACTCGCCGTTACCAACTACGACAAACACAATGCCTTCCACCAAGACCTTGTCCTTGTATACCCTTCTCGCCGCGCTTGCCTCACCCGCTAGTGCCGACTGGAAATTCGTCGGGCACCCTGACAGTAACTGCAACGGGACGCCAACCCTTGATGAGTCAGGCACCACGAACAGAGGCTGTACGGAGCTCGAACACACTTCGAATACCAATGGTATCGACGTTTCCATTCGCGACTCCTGCGAAGTATGGATGTTCCATAGCAAGACACAGTGCGATAGGATAATGGGTGAAGTCGATGCAGACGGTGATCCAAATCTTTTCAATGTCAATGTTTTCGACACATCGGATTCGGTAAACCCGGAAGTTTGCCACGCGTGGCATAACCATTGGGAATACTATGCAGTCGTGGACTGCCCGCCGTGAACGGGCCTCTCACGGTGATCAGGGTCTGGGGACTGAGTGACGGAATATGGGTGCAGCGGTGGTGTGGTTGGGTATGGAGCAGTGGGAACTGCCGACAGATATGTGGGATCTTGACAGCTGGCCTACGGGCAGAACCGAACGATCAGTCTCGACTTTGGGCAGGACGGAGCAGTCCATCTAGCTGGCTGTCCCGATAGAAGGGGCCCAGTACACACTCTTTCATAGATTTCCTTATTTATAAACACACCTGGCAACAGCTAAAATGATGCAACTCTGTTTGAATATATCAAATCATTTCCTTACTAATATGTGACTTGTTTATATCCATTCTTTCCCCGTTTAAGCCTTTGGCTAGGTGGCTCTCTTATTCAGAGTATTGAGCTCCTCGTCGTCGGTGGCATCTTCCTGAATTGGAATCGATGGTAATGACAATCTTACGACCATCTTCGGTCTGGGGCTCCTCGCACCAGGCCGCCGAAGTTCAATGAAGGCTGCCCGATGCTCCAATGTCGATTTGGGGTATTTTAACTATAAGCTTGGTGTCACGGCACTAAGTAGCAGCCCCACAGCTCCAAGGGTCCAACCCCTATATATACCAGATCCTATTACCTAGCTAGCTTTATAGTTTCTTTCCTTCTTTACGTACATCAACAAAGTCATTTCCACTCTGGCCGCTCCAGAGTAGCTGGAATTCCTCTCCTTAACAGAACACTTTGAAATCTCACAGAGACCGACACGATGCCATGCACTTTGTCTCGATATCAATAAGCGGAACTCTATAGCGCTGCATCACATTGCGGCTCTAAGCTCTTTTAGATTTCCGATTTCCTATTATCAAAGGGACAACGGAAACCTCACGGCCTTTGGAGCGCGAAACCGATGAGCTCGACATCCAGGTTCTCGAAGCCCGGCCGACTATCCGGTTCTTTCCACGTCTTGAACGACCTGAAACCCGCTTTCTCCAGCACCCTGATACTGCCCGGGTTGTTGCTCTCCGCCATGGCTGAGACCATCTCCGGCAACTGGGTGCCGGGACCAGCCTCCAGTCCCGCGACAGAGTCAGCATCAACCTCGACCTCGACGACAGACCGGGGCAGCGCCCACCAAGCCTCCGTCCACGCCGTCACTGTCGCACCGCATTTCCATCAGTAAAGAACTCCCTGCAGAAAGCGAAGGTAAGAAGGATAGTTAAACTCACAAAACTCCGTAGCCAGCCCGCGCCCCCAGGCCTCCTTCCGGAACATATAGCCGACCTCAGGCCAGCCCAGCTCGAGGCACTCCATCTTGTGCATGCCGCCCGTGCCCAGCACCCGCCCCGTCGCGCGGTCGCACATGACGAAGTCGTAGCTGCGGCCCTCGTTCGGCGGCAGGTAGCGGTCCATGAAGGCCTGCGTCTCGGCGCGGTCGCGGTCCGGCCGTCCCACCGACGTCCACTGCATGACCTCGGGCTGCGAGCGCAGCGCGTGGATGCCGTCGAGGTCCGTGGGCGCGAAGGGCCGGATCACGAGCCGTGGCGTGAGGATGGGGGCGCGCTGGGCGTTGGGCGGTAGGGGGCGCGTTGGGAGGGTGGTGGTGATCTTGATCTTGGAGGAGGGAGCTGGGGGAGGCGGGGAAATGCCCGGTGGTGATTCGGCCGCCATGACGGGACGGGCGGTAACACTGACAGGTACGATGTCGAGCTGTTGAGTGAGGGGCCGCTATGCGGGATGCGTCCGCATGCACTTCGGATTGAGTAAATGTGCTCAGTCAGTCTACCTTGCCTCTCTCTCAAGTACATTAAACACTGAGATACCATATCAGGCTTGCATTTAATATATTTTATGTGTCATGTTTTCTGAGACGGTGAGTCTTCATCTTCAGCTGAGCTCCTGTCCACGGGTGCTGTGACTCAGACGCCGGCTCCGGACCGCGCTGCCTTAATTCCGACGAGTTTCCACCGATGCCGACGAATTTGCAGCCATGGACAGAAAAGCTTCGTCACTAAGATACCGTCGTGGCCGCGCCGTACCTTGCTTATAGTTGATTGCGCCGTGCAACATTGATCGCTGCTTTGGCACTACTGAAGTCAAAATGGCTAGACCTAGAAGAATACCATTCGCTCGCTCAAGGTTGCGGCAGAGCCTGAATTGACATCAAACTTTCCAACATCAGGCTTCTGCCTTTCCCCCTTCAAGCCAAGTTTCTCCGCTAGCCACACAGCATACGTCGCGCAGTTGTTCTCTTTGGACAATTCCGTGTGTCCCGATATCTTATTGTAATCGCGGCCTTTTGACAAGTTAGAAAATGAGTGTTTTGTAAGCTTCGAAAGGACCCAGAATCAACTCACCAAGACGTATCAAATTATCCTCCAAATATATGTCATCTTTCTCCGTATCGTACATATCCACATGTAGGCCATCACGTTGCACCATGTCGATAGTGCCCAAATACTTACTCAGACTCGCTCCCCTGAGGGACGCCATGGCCTTACCCTTACTCGCGTGTTCAAATTATTAGGGAAATTGGCGGCCACACCGAGACCCGTGATCATCCCGCTAACTAATTTGCCCCCTTGCTTGAATGGCAAAACGGCGAGCCCGGTATGCTGGTAGCCCAACCGGTCCATCAACTCTTTGATCTCCTTCGGAGCCTCCTTGTACACATCGGAAGTCGTATCGAGCGATGTGATTTGCTGTACAACATGTAAGAAGTTCTCGTCTAGATTGTCCTTCCCAGCAAGCTTAGCGACCGTCTCATAGACATTGCCATCGTCTCTGGAGACAACGTTGTCCCACTTGCTGCCGCCGGGGAAGCCGCCGCTGTCGCCCCTCGGCGCTGGGCAAGGTCTCTGCTTGCCCAGCTTGCCGGGGTGCTGATGGCGCTCGTGGCAGCTAATCCGATAAGGAACGTGGTCAGAGACAGTTGAAGCTGCATCGTGGAGAGTGTTTGTTCTTTGACTCGGTTCGTGCAACAACTGGTAGATCTGGACTTGGCGTGGGACGCAATGCGTTCTTGCGACTAGAAGAAAGAATGGCTCGTAAACGTAGGTTTTAAGATGATAAAAACTGCAGTGACTATGGTTTGAAGATGCGGTATGGTTTGTGAACCGGTTTGGTAGTCTTTAGAACGAAAGAGTTGCTGCACTACACACTGTCAGGAAGCATCCAGGAGAACAAAGAACCTTCATGTACATATACATGGCCTCTGTGCCTGACTAGTATTGCACCTCTCTGCAGAACAACATACCATTTACCCCCCACCCCCATGGTTCGGCCTTGTGACAGTTTGTTCTGCCTTCAACAAATAAACAACCTCAAGACCACTGCTTCAATCACGGTATCAGTTATCACAGCATACTTCTCGCTCTTAGACCTCGCGTTTTCAGCTTCAGTCGATATATCAGATATCACGTCGCTCTCAGACCTCAGCTTCAGCTTTTCAGACCGCCACTTCAGCCTCAGTCCCCTGAATCTTCTCGTTGGAAGGGTCGTTGCCAAGCGAGCCCTGGTTCAGTCCTTTGTTTACAAGACGATCACAGCCTCACCGCAAGCGCTCTCAGACCCCCAGGACCACAGAAAAACAAGGAATGAACCCGGAATCAACGTCAGAACCTTCGGAATCAACAGCAGAATCAATGGCAAACCTGAGACGTGTTGTAATGGTGTTGTAGCGACGGTTGTACATATGGGGCAAATATCCCCTCCTCCTGATTCAGACCACGAGATCAACAACACATACCTTGACCCTGACCCTGACCCTCACCCTGTTCTACACTTGAATTCCCCAACCATGGCTACCAACACCAACGGCAACTTCGGACAGTCAGGAGACGAGACACTCAGTATCGAGGAGCTGCTGGGCAGTAGTTAGCCGACAGTGCTCAAGTCTTGCGTCGAACGCAACTGTGACGGTAACTTTCGCCCCTTTCACAACGCCCTCTCTAATGATTCCGGCAATAACTTGCAGGCCAATACCCAGGCATTGGTGATCTTCAATGCGCTCGAAAAGGCTCTGAGTCTTCAGGAGGCGAAGATAGCGCAGCTCCAGCAGACCGTCACGACGGGCACTGGCGAGTTCCAGGCACTGCGAGACCAGCTGAAGAAGAAGGTGAACAACGAGCTACAATCGGCGGTGATCAGCGTGTTTCCCAAGCCCCAGAACGAAGACTTCGACGGTTGGGTGGAATGCTATCGATCACTGACCGAGAACATCGCCGACTACGCGCACCACACTGGCAACAAGAACCTCTTCGCAAACAATAATCCGTTTAATAATAACAGCAACAAGAACAACAACAAGGACGGCAACAACAAGAACAACCAGATGCCCCAGCACCCACCCCGAGCGCAGAACCCAGCGCCAGCAGCAGGTGACCCGATGGACCTCGATTCCATTAGACTGCGACGCTTGTTAACCACGGAGAGGCAGAAACGGTCGAGAAGGGTCTGTGCCTGTACTGCGGAGGAGAGGGACACATGAAGCGAGACTGCCCTGAGGCCCCCCAGCTCCTGCAATCAGCCACTCCCGCGAGAGGCGGTGGATTCACCTTGACGAGACCCGGATCCGCGCTGCCTGACGGGAACCTCCAGGGAAGCGGCAGCAACAACACCAACCCTTTTCGACAGGGCCACGCGTCGGACCTTCGGATCAGAGCCATCGGCTGGAGAGGGAACGCGGATGACTGGCCAGGGAGCACCACGAGCACCCCCGGATACAACAACGGATACGGTCAGCAGTACGGCCACGAGGGTAATGGCGATCAACCCTCGAGAGAGTCAAAAGGTCAGGTCCTGAGGAAAGTCGCCCCTAGGACCTTGACCACGAAGATGTTCCAGATATGGATGTGCTGTACCTCAAATCAGCGAACACGGGCGGGAATTCTCTCCTACTGCGTGCAACCGTCCGTCAAGGTGGCCGCGGCAAGGTGAATATCGTCACTTTGCTCGATTCATGGTGTACAGCACTCTCTTTTATGGACACTACTTTTGTGCGAGATCATAATTTTGATATTGTACAATTACTGAAACCAAAACAACTTCGCCTTGCTGACGGTAAGCGTAGGAACAACGTCACTGAATTCGTCACCGTGACGATGGAGGTGGATGGCCACCTGGAAACCCTGCTGTGCTTCTTGACGGAACTGGGCAACGAGAATCCTCTGATCCTGGGCTTTCCATGGCTTCAGACGCACAATCCTTCTATTGACTGGCAGACATGCGAAATAACCTTCTGCTCTGACTTCTGTAGGAACAATTGCTTCCATGTCCGACCTGTTCAGGTCAGAGGCGGTAGGAAAGCACCAAACCCAAACCAGCACAAGAAGAAGGTCCAGTTCGCTGAAACTGAACCCCTCCGCGACTGTTCACCTGACGACCTCAAGATCTCTTCAGCAGTCTCTTTCGCATGGTTTTGCCGTCAGAAGGGTGTCACGATATCCCGGATCACGGTCAAGCAACTCGAGCAAGCCAGCCTCCCAGAACTCAAGCCCCCAGAACTCTCCGAACACGACATCCGACAGATCCTGACTACGGAAGGGTCGACAGAAGAACACAAAGCGAAGCTGGACACTCGGTACCACGTGTTCATGGACGACATATTCGACAAACACTTCCTGAACCGGGTCACGGACAAGGATATCAAGAAATACCTCAAGGACAAGGAGCCTGCCACGTTCAACAACATTAAGAAGAAGCTGCCACCTGAATACCATGATCTTATCGACGTTTTCCTGCCTTTTGGAGCAACCACTCTGCCCGAACACCGCTCGTACGACCATCACATTGATATCGAACCCGGCAAGTCCATACCGAACCTGAAAACGCGTCCTATATCCCAATCCGAGCTCCGAGTCATGAAGAAATACCTTGATAACAACATGCAAAAGAAGTTCATCCGGCCTTCGAAATCGAGATCAGCAGCACCGCTTCTGCTGGCACGGAAATCAGGTAGTGGCGTACGAGTCTGCATCGACTATCGCGGCCTCAACGACGTTATGATCAAGAACAGGTACCCACTTCCACTCATCCGCGAGACGCTCGACGCATTATCAACGTCCAATATCTTTTCGAAACTGGACGTCATAGCAGCGTTCAACCGGATACGGATTGCAGAAGGCGACGAGTGGAAGACGGCCTTTACGACGAGATTCGGCCTTTACAAGACCTTAGTCACACCCTTCGGGCTCTGTAACGCGCCATCAACCTTCTAGCATTACATCAACGACACACTGTACGAGTTCCTCAATCGATTCGCGTCAGCCTACCTCGACGACATCCTTATATACTCAAAAAACTTCAAGGAGCACAGGGAACACGTTTGCAAGGTGCTTGAGGCACTGAGGGCAGCGAATCTGCACATCGATATTGGGAAGTGCGAGTTCCACACGACCAAGACCAAGTACCTCGGCCTCATCATATCCACGGACGGCATCAGCATGGACCCAGAGAAGGTTGACGCGCTGCTTGTTTGAGAGAGTCCACGTAATGTTAAGGACCTCCAGCGCTTCCTGGGCTTCGCAAATTTCTATCGACAGTTCATCCGCGGCTTCTCGTTAATTACGAGACCTCTGACAGGCCGCCTCAAGACATCAGAACGATGGGATTGGACCCGCGATTGCCAGACAGCATTCCAGAGCCTCAAGGAGTCTTTCACACGCGCAGTAGTTCTCTCGTACTTCCATCCCGCGAGGCAAACGATGATCGAGACGGATGCCTCGGATTGGGCAGCCGGAGGTGTGGTCTCTCAGTATGATGACGACGGAAACTTGCACCCCATCGGCTTCTATTCGGCCAAACACACGCCTGCTGAGGCAAATTACGAGATATACGACAAGGAACTGCTGGCGATCATCAAGGCGCTCAAAAAGTGGCGACCAGAGCTCCAAGGCACAGACGAGCCATTTGAGATCATCACTGACCACAAGAACTTGCAGTACTTCATGACGACCAAACTTTTGACGCAGAGACAGGCTCGTTGGGCGGAGTTCCTCAGCCAGTTCAACTTCCAGATTGTCTATCGCAGTGGCAAGCAGTCTGTCAAACCTGATGCGCTCAGCAGACGGCCTGGCGACTCACCTATGAAGTTCGACACCACGAACTCTCGTGTGGCGGCCAGACAGCAGACAATTCTCCCAGCTTCACGGATATCCCCAGGCATGGATCAACAGGACGAGGAGTACTTGTGCGTGTTGGACACCTCCGAGGACCTCGATGACCTGATCGACATAGCATACAGTACAGACCCAATGACAAAAAAGGTGGTGAGAGCCTTGCTAATACAGAGATCGTGGCCAAAGACCGTGAAACGATTCATACAAGTGCCATTCGGCGACTGTGAGTTGCGCGACGGCCGCGTCTTTTACCGCAATAAGCTGTTCATTCTGGAGAACGATCACCTGCGGTTACAGATTGAGTATTACAGGAAGAAGGAAGCTCTCGAACAGAGGGATTGGCATAAAAGAAGAGAAGAGAGTGAATCAGAGTCAAGTGACGATTCGGACACGGATTCAGATGAGAACTCCACAGAGAGCGACGATACCACTGATTACGATGTTTGAATTGCCTCATTTGCGGACAAATGAGGTTTGGAAGAGGGGAGTACTGTCAGGAAGCATCCAGGAGAACAAAGAACCTTCATGTACATATACATGGCCTCCGTGCCTGACTAGTATTGCACCTCTCTTCAGAACAACATACCATTTACCCCCCCCCATGGTTCGGCCTTGTGACAGTACACACTGATCAAGTACATCTTGATATAGGAGCAGCACACTTCTAAACAGGTGGCCAACTTCGCCAGGTACCAACCGACAAGCACCAGGATACAGTGGTACTTTTGCCACATCGAGTGGATCAGCGGATCACCTCGGTGTCGCGAGGGACAATGACTGTTAGGTGGCAAGGCCTTGTACACCTGGTCAAACAACTAGTCTATCTGGTGCTCTTAGAGATCCCAAAATGCCGTAGGCATCGGTTGATTGCAAGATCCTCAACTAGCCGTGTACTCTGCGAGCACTAACACAAAATATAGGTGTCACAAATGGTAATGGTTAGCGGTTTCACGTGTAACTTCCATGCTAAAAATATATACCTAATAACGACGTTCTTATACAAAAGTTCCTATGAAAGTTCCTATCGCGTAAAGTTCTACCTATTACTATTAATAGATATACGCGGAGCCGCTAACCATAGGTTACCATCCTGGACACCTGTAGGTAGAACGTTACGCGATAGGAACTTTTCATAATAAAGTTCTGGTTGCGTATGTATTAGCATGACAGGAAGGGGCATCATATTGGATCCAGACCCATACCCTGGAACCGCTAACCATTGCCATCCTTGCTACCTGTACTCACTTCTGTCCCCCCGTCAGCCATACTATAATAGTTGAAGGTGTATCGACAACAGTCTTCGTCAACTGATCACTTACGTCGGACTGTCTATGATATGAAGTAAACCGAGAGTAGAGACCCATTGCATCCAAGATCAATGAGATGGGTCGCCTAAGAGTCAGTCCCTCAGGGAGGCAGGTCCAAAAACGTCGCATGCATTGTATTGCCGGTGTCTTGGGATGATCGCCACAGGTCAAGTAGCTGCCTAGACCTGTCACGGGTACGTACCTAGGTACGTACTGTGCCACCCTATGTGTATATAACCAGGTCTGGACCCCCAGCTACTTGTTTTCCTTCCTTTTCCTTCTTTAATAGCTACAATATACATTGGTCTACATATCAAGCTCTTCGGGTTCATCCCTTAGACCTTGTTCGTTACAAGACCCAAGTTTTTGGGATGTATACTGCAATTGTTGCAATTGCACAAACCCCTTACTTAGCTACCATAGCTTTATTCACATGCACACCGTCAAGCTTCCTTAACGCTACCTCAAAATCCAATGGTTGCGAATATATACCATCCGTATCTCAATAATGCTCCACCATCAAAGACCTCCGTGTCTGGGGTAGACGTTTGCTGTTTGCCTTCCAGCTCCGCGTCCATGGTCGGAAGATGTTGATAGTTCGTGGTCTTCACCTTCCACATAAACTGACAGAAGCGCAAGACGATTCTGCTAGGACAAGTGATGCTGACAGGTTCAATTAGGTCGCGGTTGAAGGCCTGCCGCAGGTGTCCAACACATGCATAAAGCAATATACAGCGCTGAGACTCCGTACAACGGGGGTATCCGTATAACGGTACTGAAATAAAACCCCTTCAAGGCACTAAACCGGAAGAGGTATCATCAACGCAGTTATTTTAGGATCATCTGCAGAGCGTACTACGTAGACGTAGGCAGCCGACAGGATTTGAACCTTACACATCGCGATGACGACGACATTTCCCTACGCAGATGGAACGGACTCTTCAAGGTTACGGTAAGGCAAACATGGTTGGCGCAGGAGCACTAATAAGTTCTGTCGCAAAACCGGCCACCCTTATACGACAGATAGTGAGGCACTACGTCACGGCTGTCTAGGTACCTTGCTACGCCTTCGCCTTTCCCGTGTTTTGTCATCCAGTCTCGCGGGCCCTCGCGAACTTCGTCGGCGTTATGGACGCAGGCCAGACCGCGAGCAAAGACTCATCACCAGTTGATGCACCGTCTCAACCTCAACCTCAACCCCAACCCCAAGCCAAGCCGCTGAGCTGCACGTCGTGCCGGTCGCGAAAGCTCAGGTGCGACAGGCAGCACCCGTGCCGGAACTGCGTGCGTTCCGGAGCCGACTGCATCTTTCCGGCGCGGAAGCGGATCCAGAGGCCGAGGAAGACCAAAAACTCGGAATTGCTCCAGCGATTGAACCGACTCGAGTCTATCGTCGGGAAGGTCGGCCTCGCAAACTTGGAAGATCAGCTAAGTGGCGACGGCCCCGAGAATGCTGCCATTCAAGGAGACCCGGCAACAGCGCCTCGCGCTCATCCCGTGGTTGCGGGATTTGCAGGTCCTCCCGAGGGGCAGGCAAGCCAGTCCCGGCCGCAGGATAGTACGGCCTCGCGCTATCTCAGCGGAGAGTTCTGGTCAAGCCTTTGTGACGAGGTTGGAGGTCTGAAGCAAGCATTGGAACAATCGACAGATTCGGATGACGATGAGCCATCCGCGGAGACCACTCCGGAGTCGGCTGGCGATGCCTCCGTATATCCAGGCATGTTACTTGGGGCGATGCCGGGCGCGAGATCTCAACATGTGGAACATCCATCTCCAGAGCACATTCGCTACCTCACCGCCACCTACTTCAAAAACGTCGATCTGCTCCTGAAGATTTTGCACAGACCTACAATAACCGTCGCTCTATACCAGCTCGCCGACTCGCCAGAGACCGAATCCCAGCTCGCGCCCGAACGCGCTGCCCTCTTCTTCTCCGTCTATTTCGCGGCCATTAGTAGCCTCTCGCTAGAGGAATGCCTGACGCATCTGGGCCAAAGCCGCAGCGACCTGAAGCAGACCTACCAGGCGGGCGTGGAGCGCGCCCTCGCCCGCGCCGACTACCTCAACAGCACCAGCCTGGAATCGCTCCAGGCGCTGACGCTGTACGCATGCTGTCTGCGCAACCACAGCGGGGGCTCGCGGTCCTCATGGGTGCTCCTAAGCTTACCAATCCGGCTGGCGCAGGCGCTGAACCTGCACCGGGACGGAGATGGCAGCCAACTCCCCCCCTACGAGGCCGAACTGCGCCGTCGCCTCTGGTGGCAGCTCATCGTCATGGATGTCCGGGCAGCGGAGGACAGGGGCACGATGGCGATCATCGCGCGAGACAGCTACGATACGCGGCTGCCGCACAACATCGACGATGCCGAGTTCGGGCCCGAGAGCACCGTCCCCCTCGTCGACCGCGCAGGGCCTTCAGACGCGACGTTCAGTCTGTGCACGGCTCAGAGCTCGGACATATTCCTCTATCTTGAGCATGGCCAGGAGGCGGGTTCCGCGCGGCCGGCGCAGAGCGTGGAAGAAACCATCCGTCACGCACAGCATCTAGAATCGCAGTTCGTGACGGGAGCCGACCCGAGCCATAAGGCGTCTTACCTCGCGTCCGTGACGGTGCGGCTCATCATCATGAAATTATGGCTTATGCTGCATTACCCGCTGCACGGCCGACGGGCAAAATCCATAGCGAATTCGACTTCGGCTGCAGCAGCAACATCGTCATCACAATCACCACCACCTGCCTTCACATCAGCCTCTCCAACATCGTCAACAGCAGCAGCAGCAGAGGCAACAACCACAGCCACAGCACCAGCACCCCACCCCCAACCCCACCAAACCACCACCGCCCCCGTATCCCGCGAATCCGTCCTCCGCCTCACCACCAAAATCCTAGAAGAAACCCAACAAGGCCGCGCCAACGCGGGCGCCTTCGCCGAGTCGTTCCGGTGGTGGCGCGACACGTACGTGCAGTGGCACCCTCTCGCGGTCGCGCTGGCCGAGCTCTGCGCTTCGCCGCGCGGCGAGGCCGCCGACCGCGCCTGGGCCGTCGTCGACGGCGTCTTCCCGGTATCCAGCGAGATCATCGCCGACACCAAGCGCGGCACGCTGTGGCGACCCATCCGCAAGCTGCACAAGAAGGCCCGGGCCGCGCGCGAGGCCGCGCTCGCCGTCGACAGGGCCGCGCCGCCCGGGCTCTGGGGAGGCGGGTTCACGCTTTATCCTGGCATGCCTGGGTTGGATCTGAGGCCGGGTGGTGGCGGAGGGGATGTTGCAGGGGGAGGGGGAGGGGGCGACGGCATGGCCTTGGACCCGGCGATTACGGCTACTGCTGCTCCTGATAATGCTTCTATGATGAGCCAGCCGATTGTGCCGCCGGATTTGGGCGGCCTCAATCTGGACATGGCGCCAGGGGCGGTGTCACAGGAATGGCCGGTGTCACAAGAGTGGCTGGCGTGGCCGGACCTCAACTTTGATATTCCCAGCTTCAACATGCCTATAGCAGGCACCGCGGGTATGGACACAATGGACTGGAGCACGTGGGATGAATTTGTACTCGATACTCACGCCGATGCACAATCAATGCGAGGGTCGAGCGAATGGAGCTAGGTAGCACATGGCACTGTACTGATAGCCGTACCATATCTCAAAGCCAAACAAATTCCACTTCACGCAGAAACCAGGATATGCTCAATTGTGGATGCATTGGTTCCGCCCTATCTATAGAGAGCTACCTCATGCCATATGAATCATGCCATATGAAGTTTTCCGCAATTCCGTAGTAAACACCGGCAAAGACCATTCCCAAACCCCCCACAGGAACACGAGAAACCACCTTATGCGAATGTGGACGGTCGGGTAGCGCTGAAGATCTTCTTCGTGCTGGTACGGGGAACACGGTGAGGCAGAGGGAAGGAGAGGCCCTTGGCGACGAGTTGCTTAATGTAAGGGCGCTTGATGTCATCGGTCTTCTCGATTTCGACGACGCGGAGGATCTGCAAGTATGTTAGTCACGCAAGACACATCTGTAGTTGTCGGGGATTCGTACGTGGATCGATCGGAAACGAGATCGGTGGCGGGCAGCCATGTCCTGGTACATGGCCTCGACAGCATCCGTTCTTGACATCTCACGGTACTCCTTGTACATGTTGTGGGTACCGGAGCGCGAGTCGTATCGGATCCAGATACCGAAGTTCTTGACGCGAAGGGGGTTCTTCTCAGCGATCTGCAAGCAATGTGATTAGCCTCCGTGATCCCGTCATCTCTTCAGTGTGCCATCCAAGACGTACCTTGTTCAGGCTGATAATCTCGCCGTTGGCCTTCTTGACCTTCTTCAGCTTCATCAAGAAGTACCAGAAGCGGGACTTGGCGACGACCTCATTCGGGGCGAAGATTCGCATCCGGTAGAGCTTGGGGGTGGGGTTCGCCTCGGAGGGCAGGTGGCGGCCGATGACCTGGTATTCCTGAAGACGACCTGCCGCCCACATGATTAGCAACAGTCCATTTGCGACAAATGCAGCCCATCGCGAAAATTGATTTCCAGTCTTTGGTCGGGAAGTTCGCAAGCTTCCGACGTCGTGATGCGTAGTTTCCATGCGTTGAAACGTTGCTGCAATAGGAAGCCAGAGCAGAGGCGTGCAGTCCCTGGCCAGAAAGAGAACGTTTGACCATCGAAGCAAACCCTGTCTTTTCCCCCGCCAGATGGCAATCTTTCGAGTCATCCACCCCAATGCGAAGGTCGTGTCCTGTCATCATCTCTCTCGTAGGCTGCTGGGTGATGATTGCTTCTGCTCGTGGCTCTAGCTCGTCGCGCGAAATCGTCGTCGGTCGCTGATCGCCTCGTCCCTCACATCGACAGTACCGGAATTGAAAGGAAAGTAGTTGCGCTTACCCATCTAGAATGATGTTAGCTGTCGCCAGTAGACGTATTCAGAGCGTGCAACCTACTGTGACTTGATGTTGGTCGTGCTGTCGTGCTGCGATTAGTAGTAGAGAGAAAACACCGGGTTCCTTCAAGTGGTGGATGCGGTCTTGGGGCTTCTCGGCTACCAGAAACTTTTTGGTAAATTTTGTGCTGAGGGTTTCTCGCCCTAGCAATTTGTGGCATTCTGTGGCCGTGCAGCCGTTCCCCTCTGTGGCTAGTGTGGCTGACGGACCAGATAGTGGGGTGGGGATCTGATCGTGTGGTCAGTGCGGCCCTGTTTCTCCCATCAGTTCGTTCGGCCAATCAAGGTGGAGCAAACCGTCATTCCAAAGAATGCCGCTCTTTCTTGTAAGGAGTCTCCTGGCTTACACCTTATGACCTTTGGTGCCTTCATGCATTATCGAAGATGTCAGCTCATTCAATCAACCCTTTCAGTCCTTCATATTCTCTTTGACAGCCTGTTCACGGTTTTCTGATGACCTAGAAGACTTCCATACCCTCTTCAGTAGACCGGACCCATCAGCCATGGACAGCCTCATTAAGGAATTCAATGCGGCTTATGCCGCCATGAAAGGCGATCAGCTTGCCGAGACCATTCACCCAGACATAGAGCGTTATTCGCACAAGCTACGAGCAATCTGGGACCGCGGAGACTTGCGCTCCACCACGGCCGACCTCAACTTCTTGTTCTATCAAGACAAGTCACATGCGAATCTCTCCAAGGCGGAGGCTACTGGTTGGTTTGAGATCTACCTCACCTATTGGAAGGCTGTAGGAGAGATCCTCGCTGCAGAGGGCCTACGGGGTAATGTGAAGGTATGTTGGAGGTATTCTAGTCATTCAAACTTCAGGTTGATGAATCGCGGACCCTCAAGTCAACCGGGACACCGCTCCTTTCCCCCTTGCCCTCTTGATATGCTGACCGAAACTAGGGTTCTTGGACGCAAGTGTATGTCAAATGGAAGGAGCTCACACTCCTCATCATCCGAGGCTACTCGCATTACGAGTTTGAGAACTGGACGATACCGTGCTTGTACGTTGCCGGCAAGTACCTGCGGCTGTATGCCATGCGAGCCGACGCGGAAAAGAGCAGCAGCAATGATGATACCGCGATGACTGGGTTCCAAGATGATTTCGACCCGGAAGCCGAAGAGAACAAGCAGCTTGAAGACTGTGCGAGACATCTCAACCGCATCTTCCAGATCTGTCTCACTGACAGGTAAACACTGCACCGTGACCATTCACCGGGACCTGGCTGACGTACGAACAGAGCCCCCCTGGAAGAGTCCCGCAAGTGGGGCGTATACTATGCTATCAATCTACTGTTCAAGACTTACTTCAAGCTGAACTCGGAACCCCTATCGAAGAACGTGCTCAAGGCCATCTCGGCGGGCCGGTCAGACATACCGTTGATCGACAAGTTCCCAAAGTCGCAGCAGGTCACCTTCAAATACTACGAGGGTGTCTTGTCTTTCCTGGAGGAGAACTATGTGGAGGTGCGATACTACTCTAAAACTTAGTTGACTACAGATAACTGATACACCTCAAGGCTGAGAAGCATCTTACGATGGCATGGCTGATGTGTCATAGGGATGCGCAACGGAATCTCGAGTAAGCTTCTTACCTGAGCGATTCTTCTTGGCTCATTGTCTGACACGTAATAGGCTCATTCTCACCTACCTCATCCCGTGTCACCTGCTCACCACACACACCCTGCCTAGCGCGCAGTTGCTGGAACCATTTCCCCGGCTACAGAAGCTCTTCATACCACTGGCAAATGCAATCAAGGGAGCCGACCTTCGTGCATTCGACCATGCCTTGCGCGATGGAGAAGACGAGTTCATCAAGCGACGTATCTATCTGACGTTGGAGCGAGGCCGCGACATTGCGCTACGTAATCTATTGCGCAAGGTCTTCGTCGCGGGAGGTTTCGAGGAGTCCAAAGATGGCGCCCCGCCCGTTCGTCGCACACGAATACCCATCGCCGAATTCACGGCGGCGATCAAGATCAGCAGTGGGGAGGATATCGATGCGGACGAGGTCGAGTGTCTCATGGCCAACATGATCTACAAGGTAAGCGCATCTCTCTTCCACTGTCTTCACTGCCCGTCTGCTTCGTGTGCCTTTTCAGTGTGTTGGCATTGGGTGATTCACACCAGGTCTTGGAATATTCGTCCCTTGATAGGTAGTCTCGGAGGGCTTCGTCACTTTATAGCTGCCTCGTCAGCTTCCTATCCCGCAACCACACCTCTTGGGGTAGTGGTCCGTTGTCACCTCTAATTGGCCTGCACCCGATCCTACTTGAGCGTGACTCACTGACGGTGTGAACCTATCACAGAACCTCATGAAAGGATACATTGCTCACGAGCGCGGCTTCGTCGTACTGAGCAAGAATGGTGCCTTCCCCGGGACCAACGTGTGAGTCAGCGGGCGTGTATGTATGGGTCAGACACCGAGTACGTAAGGTCCCCAATTGACAGGAACACAAGGCTGCCAATAGGCGACAGGCTGTACGTGTCTCCGCGCGCCTTGACGTACGCAGACCGAAAGAGAGCGATGACGGATACTATTGGGCTGCCTTGCATCAAAGGTGCAGTCGAATCATGACACTTGAGAGGCTGGTGGTGTGGGGAAGCCAGATGCACATGATCACGTCGTACAGCCGCAGATGTGTAGCGCCAACGAATGAAAGACGCGGGTTGTTACGCAAAGGATCTCCATCAATTTTTCGGTGAAGTTCCTTCATAGGGCATACAGCCAAACGTGACACACGTTGCATGCGTCTCGTTTGCTCGCTGACTTGCATGCGATCGAACCCAATCAGCCCAACCTGCCACCAGTCTGCTATTCCCACCGTGGACGCATCCCAACTTCGAAGACCTCAGAAGTCATCTAACCCAGTCCGATACAATACTCTGCTCGCACTGCTACGAATCACCGGTCGAGCGCAGAGCCGTGCGCGTTTTAACGTAGGCAGTCATGTAGGTCCTACGATGGCAATTGACATGCACAGCACCCACCCCTCCGGACCCAATCCGTCGGAACCCACGTTCAACGCTCGCTCTAACTCTGCTACTTCTATTAATATCCTATCGCTCTATGGTTGAGGCGGAGGCGCTTTAGCTGGTCGCTACATTGGAGATGCGACCAGCGAATTAGGGAACAAAGCATGACCGGAAAAGACCTACCGGTCGCGTTATATTATCCCACGTAATAAGTGCCTACGAGCTTCCAGAATCCTTCTCGTTAAGTCCATCAAACAAGACAATAAAAAGAGCAATACCGGTAACGAATAGAGTATATCTCCCAGATGCAAGATTGACCCGGCCACATATGCACAAGCCATGTGAGAATCACGCTGCTCACGAGTCGGGTATGCTGTTTCTCTTCCGTGATGCCGCAACAGCGCCAACCTACTCAGAGTCACCAGGATGAGCCGCCAACCACTTCCTGCTCCTCTCCAGCCGCTCTCTAGCGCTTTTCAGGCCCTCCTCGTACTTCTCGACTTCGCTCCGCACCGCCTCTCGAGCCTTCGTAGCCGTAGTGGGAACCCGCTCGCCCCATGCCTTCAGTTCATCGAGCTCGATTTCAAACTCCGCGATAAACTTCTCATTCCACTCAATGTCTCGCGCTGTACGGTCTTGTCCGGGGGGATCACGCCTGGTTGCAGCTTGGAATGTTGTATTTGGACGTAGACGCTGGGCATCGGCCAGCGAAGCTTCGTAGGCAAGCTGCAGAGTCGCAGCCTCCTTCTTTTTTCCATCTTCATCCGGGACCGCCGATTCTGCTGCAGAACGACAGGATTCGGCCTCCCAGAGAGGCAGATCCTCTGCTTTTTGGCAGATGCCATCTGGACACAGATGATCTGCTTCATCTCTAGCTTTCCCCAATTCGCGCTGGATCCTAGCCGCTTTTTTCTCAGCCTTCCAGACCTCGATCTTACCAACCCATCTCGCATCATCATCCTTGAGATCCATAACAGCCGTCTTCGCCTTCTCAATATCGCCTTGGCCGTGTCTCGACCACATCACGAACTTCTCCACCGCCCTCAACGGCTCTTCGGCATCGTGATGCGCATCCACCCCACAGCTCCACCGCGCCCTGGCAACCTCAAAGGCGTCCCCGTCGAAATGGTCCGGCCAGCCGTGGGACCTATACAGCGCCCGCCAAGCATCCGCATCCCAGTTCCCGCCATCATGTTCGCCGCCTCCAGGCACGAGCTCCAAAGTACGAAGCCACCCCACGATATCGCGCAAGAACTCCCCAGCGGGCCGAGACGGGATCTGGTCGAACCGATTGCGATTGCGCACATTGTCCGGCCCATAATTATTCCCTTCCAGCGCCGGATCGGTCGACATCCAGCCCTCCTGGTCGATGCTCCAGATCCGATGCTTCCGCGCGTCGTAGATCCATACGCTCTGGTGGTTGCCCATGTTGACCAGCGGCGTGTACCAGGCGCGCATGTACTCGCCGTCCTCGGCTTCGAAGCCGGCGTCGGGCTCTGGGCTAGCGTAGAATGGGTCCCGGCCTTGCGAGATGTCGTCTGCGTCCCGGTAGTCGGCGAAGGTGGAGCCCCAGAGGAAGTCTGTGACGCCGGCTGCTGGGCCTATGTAGGGGAGGTGCGAGTAGAGATAGACGACCTCGGGCGCTAGGCCGTGCTCGCGAGAAATCGGCAGCAAGTGTGTGAGGTTATGCGGCCCTTCCTCGATGCCGGCGGGGTCTAGAATGCGCATTTCCCCCAGGGTACGGTAGATCTCGAGCATGAGGTCGGCTACCTCGTCGAGCTTGGCCTTTTGCCGAGACGACAGGGCTGTCGAGACGTCTGCCATGGTCGTGATGGCTGATGGGCGGCTTATCCAGGACAGGCGGAAATATAGTGTAAGGAATATGGTGATGACCGCTGTCACGAGCGTTGCTCGTAGCCATGTGGCGCGCATGTCTGCGTTTGAGATGCTTGTGGCCTGTGAACTGGCACTGAGATGACCGGGTTGTTCGTTGCTCCCCTCTTACTCGGGTTGTCTTTCTCGTTACATGCTCGACCTCCAGCTAGCACGGCATCGATACGCAGAGAACTGCGATACGTTGTGTCGTGTTGGTTGTACAATTGATGTGTGATGTCCAATTCAACAAGTCAATAGGGGTTGATGGTGAGGTTGAAGCTTTGTCGATAACCGCGAGATCCGGCGCTATGCTGGATTAGGCTACGTGCCATACCTACCATATTCCTACCGCCGCGCCGGCGCATGGAGTTTTCCGTCAGAATCCTTCTCTCAATCTCAACCCTCTTCTTCCGACTTCATCAACTCTGCACTGCATCCCCTCTCTTCGTCATCTCCGCCGCATATGCACGAGCCATGTTAGAAACGAGCTGACCCATGCTAGCTGGCGATGAGGTGGTATGACTCAGTGCTCACTCACTCCCAGATTGATGACTCTCATTCGGCAGAGCACCTTGTGCAAGGGTGCGACTTGGGATTTTGCTTTCGAATGGTGGGGTGTCCCCCGAGGTGGTCTCAGCCGTTTGCAAGGGGTCTTGTGCAGCCACTTTAACTCGCGACTGGGGTGGCGTGTGGACACTGGATACCTTAGGGAGGGGTGTTCGTGCGCGGGCGACTGAGTCGCTTCTATGTTACTTCAGAGTATTTTGCGTGCGGGATTATCTTTGCTGACAGCCGGCCCGCCCAGACCCAGTCACCGTTCTTCGTCGTTTGATCGGACCTTGGCCGATTCCTGCGCTTGGTCATGGCCAGGGCGTTGGCCATTGGCGAATCAGTGCGGGCGCAGACAGGCCTGGTTTATAGGATTTGGCCACTGGCGTGGGCTACGGGGGTAGGCTTATTAGTGTTCGACCTGGTTAGGTATTTGGGCTATGTTTCACCAGATGAGACGGGGAACTATTCCGTGGCTAGCTGGTTCTGGAACCCGGAGGATAGGGGGAGGCGAAATTTCTGGTCACTTTCGTATCTCGCGAGGCTTGTCTGATGCTCCAGCCGCGGATTTGAAGCCGACCACCAGGTTGTTCACGTGCGTAAAGCCAAGAAGTCTCCGAACGAGCACTTCAAAGTCATTCGTGAAAGTATGTACAAGAATGGTATATCATCATCAACTCATCTTCTCGAGATTACTCTCGAGGTCTTTTCCTCCCTAGTCATGGCCCTCGCTCTGGCGAGACCAGGGAGGAAATAGGAACTGGCTATCAACGATAGTTCAGAATTGTAATAGTACAAGAGATCTCATGGGTGAGAACGAAATCCTCCGGGTCTTGCAGTCTAGATCGCTTTTTTTCGCTTCCTCTCAATTCGGCGCCAAAAACAAACATCTCATACAAAACCCGCACGCGAAACCACAAAAGTGTTTTTGGTAGTTTCTTCATACCGTGATTGAAGAACGCAGTGCCAGGAGATACGGGGCATAGAAGTCTCCCGCCTGCGAAAGAAATACCGCCGGAGTGTCCGGTGTCTCTTCCCGGGATGATATTGATACAAGGTAGTCTGTCTGACCGGACCAAAATACCGAAACGCCAATGTGTGGTATTTGTGTCGTTGATGTACCCGAGCCACAAAGGAGACTCCCCAAGGATCTCGGAGTAAGACGGGAGAAAGCGACAAGAGAAGACGTTGATCATTAGGTTAGTTGATGATGACGATGATAAGATCCGACGATGGTGAGATGGGAACCGAGCATCAAGGATGGGGTGGGGAGGTAGGTAGCATCATGAAAGTGGTCGTCGTCAACTTAAAAGAACCGGTTGCTTCGAGGTGTGTTTCTGGAGACGAAGGTTAGTGGATGATTGACACAAGATTGTGTGATATGACTTACGAAGCGCTGGAGATGTCGTCAACATGATTGCACAGGGCGACGAAGAGGTCGAAGAACAGCTTAGTGCCACCGTTGAACATCTCAAGTTGCATCGTGCCGCTCCGCTTGAAGGTGCTCCGACTTCGAATGATCAGAGCCAGGTAGTGTGCACGCAGCTTCGAGTCGGTGTCGGGTGTATGGCAGTAGGAATAGCGAGCCGAAGCCAAGATGGTGCTGCACTGAATGCCAGACTCTATTGGAATAGGTCAGAGATGGGCTCAAGGGATGGGTGAATGGCAGTGGACACTTACGAAGACCTTGCTTGCGCAGAGAAACCCGCTTGAGTTCTTCCAAGCCGTACTTGTCAGCGGTGCAGTAGATGACGGTGTCCTTCAGGATATCTCCATCGATGGCATGATGGTAGATTGTCGACTCATTCGCTCCTCTTTCCTCGTCGACTTGTTCAATCTCCCAAGAGTTCCGGCGCTTGTTGTGAACCAGACGAGGGTAGTAGTCGCCCTTGTAGAGATATTCGAGTACCGACGAGAAGATCTCGGGCTCATCGTCGGGGAGATGGATGCGCTTCTGCGAGTCCATGTATTGATCGGTCAACGCTTGTTGGAACCATGGAGAGGCACGGAGTACGTCTTCGTGTGCGGCGAAGATCCTCTGGTCTCGCCCAATGATAAGTGTGACGATGGAAGGAGTGAGGGTGCTGTCCAACGGAATATGTCAATTACATGTCGACAGAATGGAATGAATACATGGCTACTTACCTGTTTGGCGACATGGTAGGGTCAGTCCCAGCGGGCTGCGATGTCGTGGCTGTTCCCGGGCGCCGACGGGACGACTCGTGGCGACTCTTGGAGACCCCATGGGTCTTGCTGAATGATGAATTTGACTTGCTGACCTTCTGACTCTTGGAGAAGCTCTTGCTCGGCGGTGGCTCGAAGCGTTTGCTGAACATGTTTGATGTGATGTTGCTTCAATCTCCGACCCCAGAGTCACGAGTCCCAACTCGGAACTGGTTGAAGTCCAGTACCAGTAAACAACCAAAGCCTCGGTCGCTCCACTGAGTCGCTCGGGTTGTCGGATGTCGGTATTTCGACCGATGGGTTGCGGGAGTATTTCACGATGCGGCCGTGAAAATCGGGGTATGCAGATGCGATGATGGCGTGAGAGATGACAGAAAACGACGAGAAACAGACAGGATGGAGAACGTCGACCTACCCGAGGCTCCAGAGATGCGGATGGATTGAAGGGAAGAAATTTTCGGGGGATGGCCTCATTATATAGTGGACGACCCTTGTTGGGCGTACAGTGGGAGTGCCTGCGCATGGTCCTGGCTTATCAGGCAACACCTCCTCTGGGCGCACGACGCGCCTCTTTTGGAGATGCAGTCGGCCCACGCGTCCGGTCTGACGGGATATTCTCACGTCCTCACATGACTTTGGCTGGTCGTGCCTGGGTAATTAAAGTCGAGGATGGCCCAGCTGGGTTTAGCGCCACTTACAGCCCCCGGCCCCTCCTCTGCCTTTCGCCCTAATGCAGCCCTGATAGCAGGCATTGCCGTGCTGGACCCAGCCAGTAGCAGGGCAGCCAAGGGAGGCGGTCAGTGGGCCAAAATGGGGTGGCTGGGTGCATTCCACGCTTGCCAGGGCTCTCCGACAGGGAGCTTCCAGGTCAGCCAGGGATCGACACAGCTCCTAATAAAAAAGCAATCCTGACCGGCAAACACTTGCTCCGTCATTCTGGACTCGACTTCGGTCAATTGTGTCAATCAGTTCGACGTCGCTGCTCGTACGGAATGAGCTGTCATATGCGTATAATGTGTTGCGATACTCCTTTCTATTGAATGGAAGGATGGAAACACCGATGTTGGGCCTGTGCCGATTGTCCTGGATGAGGCGAGAGTAGCTCCGAATAGCGCCAACTGCCGTCATGCAACGAGTCATAACGATGGAGTTAGTCTCAGGGGTTCGACGTTCCAGATGGTGGGATCTGCTTTTTAGATGGCACACCACCCAGGCTTGCCTATCAGTGGTGTTACGTGAACTGCTGCCATGGGTTCCGCAAGGACAAACAGTCACCGTCGACAGCCTACGACGAGGCAACCTGTTTGCCTACCATCTCGACAGTGAGTTCCATCCAACCTGATTCAGTCAGCTGAAGGGACCTTCATCTCCCTGCCTGATGACTTGAAAAACATCAATGCTGGGCGAACTTGCGGGGTCTGGTGAGAAAAAGAAGATACTGCGACTCGGGAATGTCTCAACCTCCTTACCCGATTGTGTGGAGACCCTTGTTGTCCTTCACAGCAACCTCGAGCTCCTGTTAAGATAAAGAGCAGCCCACGCGCCCCGATTCTAGCTTTCAACGGCGCCGGCCAACTGATTTCAACGCCACCACCGCCAACGTGCAACCTGACAGTACCAGCTGCCTGAGTCTTCGGTTCACAACGCCTGCGCTTCCCCCGGTCTTGCGATTTCGCCGGCAAAAGCGGGGTTGGCTTCGGCCTGAAGGATTAATTGGAGGCGTGCATGCAGCACAGGCCGTCCCACGCCGCCTCACTTTGGCAATCCGCCCTGTCTTGCACGTGCTTTCCCCTTTCCCCCGGCCATTGTGGCTGGCGGTATCGGCAGACCAGATCCATGTGTCTCGCGCTGTGCCTACTAGAATGAAGCTTTCTTCAGAGCGCATGGGATAGATAATGGAACATGGTACGTACATGGGGCATTGACGTGCGGATTGCATTGATCACGCCGTCGATACGCACATGTAGACCAATGCAATCGTCGCGAAGCATACTTCATACCGAGTCTCCTCCAATCCATCCCAAGATACACCAGGAACACTTCCATAGTTCCCGAAGGATGGACGGTGGGAGCCGAGATGTTGATGTTCAGGTCAGGTCCTGCAATGCCCCCGTGTGCAGCAGGCGACGGGGGATGGTCTTCATGGATTCCTGGGGCAAGATTTACAATCGATTGCCGTGGTGTGTCCACGAGGCGAGATGAGTCACCCCCCTGAACTTCGTATAGCGCTTTTGGTTGCCTCATCTATAGAAGCAGCAGCCACGCCTGTGGATGGCCATAATGGCAATAGATCGAGCCACGGGCATTTTTGCGCCGGTGTACTTATCCTCAGGACTATCCACCAGCGGTGCATGCATCGTATGCTCGTTTTTGTCTTCCTGACGCGCTCATGTTCCACGCCAAGAGATCGGGGAGGCAAGCAAGAAAAGGGGGACAGGGGGTAAGTCGCGGTCAATATCAGGGCTCTGGAGCCTGCGGTGCGGTGCACGGCTTTGTCCGTGGCTCTTGGTCTGCAGCCAAGATAAACCATGAATAACGATACGCGGATCTCGCTGGCATGGAATCCCACTGGTTGCTCAATGGTTAACGCTGTAGTTCACTGTCGGTAGGATAGTCCGCGGCACCATGATATAATGAGGGGATGTCGTAGTCAGAATATGGGAGGCAAGGGGTAAGAAAAGAGTGTCTTAAGATCTATCTATATATGAAGTATACCCGAATCGACGGCGCCGAGGCGATGAACCCTCTATTTCCATGGTATCAGCGAAGCTGCTACCTCCTCAGGCGAGTCGCCGTGTAGCTGACTCGTAACCCGATACCGCGACTCTAAGCCGTTGAGCCAGCATGCTGCGCCTTCTTGCGGTCCGCCTGGACGTTGGCGAAGTTTGCGGGCGTCAGCGCATCGTCGGCGGCGCTTCGGGCGTGGTGCTTGAAGGGGTGCCCTTTCGCGGCGCGAGTGGGTTTGCCGGCCACTATGGAGAGGGTGGTGGGAGTGCGAACCACGGGGATGATGCTGACGGATACAGTGCAGATGGCGGCGCAGGCAAAGATGATGTTGGTGAGCTGCATGTTTGATTTGCTTGGGGTTGGTGTGGTGTATGTGTGTGTGGTGATGCGTTGGTTGCTGTGGTGCTTGTTGTTGGGGTATATGAATGAATGTCTTGAGGAAAGGAACGTATGTATATGTTGATCTGGTGAAGATAGGAAATTGTCAGCGACTTTGGCAGTAGGTGGAGTGTAAGGGGAGAGGGCCGTGATGTCGGGGGCTAGAGTTTGGCGCGGTTTTATATAGTTCATTGTCTTTCGACTAACCGCCGAAAGAGCGTCATATTTCTTTCAGAGCGGATTGTTCGTCACCACAGGTTCGAAAATTTGTCGTCTTTCTCTGTTTGGTGAGCAGTGCTTATGATATGGCTTTGTCGAGTACTGGGCGGTAAAAAGCCTTTGTTGTGGTGCGTCATCAGCAATGTCCCCCGTTCAGCACACCAACAGGATGCCAAAGTGGGAGGAAGTTCCGTTACCCTTGAGTGGTAAAGCGAAATGATGATAGCATCACATTCTAGTAAGATGAAGTAAAAGTATCAGGTCACCAGACCAAGATACCCTGGCTAGCGAGCTGCATGCTAAGAATTGAAGAGGCCAAAAAGAAAATGTCGGCAAAGGCAAAAAGGAGATTCGAACAGTCGACCTTCAAAAAGCTTTGGGGGCGTGGCTTCTTAACTCCCCATACGAAAACTTACGGAAAGGTGAAGTTTATCTAACCGTCGAGTCAGTGGCCGGATTCCGCTTCGCCAATCCACGGGCCGTACCACTTCCAGCTGTTGGGGTTGTGTCATATTTGGCATTATATACCATCCTCCCCTTATGCATCTGTATGCCAGCTGTACATTAGTTCCCTCTCTGCATTGCATGCCCTTTCGTAACGAGCAGTAGCTCTCAGGCAACCTCTTGCCCACGCTACACCTGCAGTATTTTACAGAAGGCCTCTACCCTCTCCCCACCCAATCACCCACCATCCTTATTAAGTATTTACCCACTAGAGCTCTCTGCCTCTGAGCAGATTTAGGTAGCACGATGTCTACTGTTTCCATGCCAGCTCTGAATGATCTCACTCGTGTACAACATCGCGAACGTGGTGTTGTGTCATGTACCTCAGGCACCAATAACCAGGATACCTCCTCCACCACCACCACCTAGAATATCTAGCACACCTCAAACCAGTTGTGCGCACTTCCTATCGTGGCTTTCACCATGATAACTACCAAAACCTCTAATAGCACTGCGTTTTCACGACATACGTGTTTTCAGTTCCCGCAAATGTGGTGTTGTTTACCCCTTTTAGCAAGTGCTCCTCTATTACGGCTGAAACCTGTATTTGGCGCTTTTCTCTGGCAACTGGCACCTTAGGTAGTTCATAGTAAGATTGCGGTTTTCCTGGGTCCTCATTGAGAATGGGAAAAAAACATGTTCGATTTTCTAATCACGCTGTGTCGAATGCACTCGCCGTCCATCCCTCTCTGGCATCCCTCCTTTCTTTTCACCCACACAAACCATCACTTTCCACTCTTAAATGATACCGTCGAAAACTAGTCCCATGGCATTCCTTAGCTTCCTCAATAAGCACAGTGTTGGTGTCAAGGTTGCGGCACCTAGCGTGAGGGATTAAAGTGCGCGAGGAACAGCAAGGTGGTCAGAAGATACGAGGATCTATTGAGCAACTTGAGCAACTTGAGCCATTCGGAGTGTGTACAGTTCATTGGGCATTAAACCGTTCCGATAGACAAAAATATGTCGCGCAATCTTGTCTCTACGTGGGACGTAATACTCGTTCCACCCAGAATCTGGGGCCAGACCGGGAGTTGTTAGACCAACGGAAATCTCCGACCATTTCGACCAGATGAAGTATATCGGGCGGCTATAGCTATCATAGGTTGCCTCCCGGAGAAACAAAATGTCTGCTCCAGCAAATGCCCTCAAGCGCAACTGAGAACGCTGTATCTCATCCTCGGTCTCTGGCGACAGGACTTCATATTCAACTTTCGCTCCGCGCCGAACGATGCATATGAGTTCACTATAAGGCTTGTTGAAATTCAACGACGACATTTGTCCATCGTTGCCAAAGTTATGGTATTCGATGTCGGGCTCAAACTTCTCGAGCAGCCTGTACTCGGAGGAATATGCCATGGCCCGCGTGGCTGATCGATACAACGCAAGACTGGCCAGAGACTCAGCCCCGTCCCGCTTGAGCAATACATTCCTCCAAGATGACGGCTGCGGCTGACGTCGGCTGAAGAGCAAGGCGAAATCGTGCCTCTCGAGAACGGGATCCAGCATGCACGTATTGCAAGCGATAAACCGGAGTGCCTTCCACCCCATCCCCTTATTGATCAAGCGGTCAAGGTTGCGATATGAATCAATCATGCTGTAAGAGGCCAGGACTGTGAGGCTATCAAGTCGTAGGCCTGAGAGCGTGTCGAGGGCCTCGTCAAGATAGGACTCCTGCCATTCCTCTCGGTCAATCCGCCAACCTATCGCGTTACCACGAACACGCAGATGACGAATCATAGCGCCTGTTTCATCGGGCACGAAAGCCAGTTTCCGCATCATAGTGGGAACCGACTCGTAGTTGAAGACTACCTGACGGATCCACGACGAGACTATATCATTCCGCATTCGACGACGCACGCGAAGTAGGGCGAGAGAATGCCTTAGAGGGTGCAGACCTGGCCCTGGGTATGGAGATCGGCACCATTCAAAAGGTGACGGGCCGTAAGAGAGCATTGTGGACTCGAAAACGTGCCGATCATTTGTCGTTGGGAAAATGATGGTATTGACGAGCCCAGTTGGGTTGACATTTACAGCATCAATAGTGAAGTGAGCACAGCAACCAGCCAAGAAGAGAGGCATGCAAAGCCAATTATAGCGGCGTTGCGGTACCAGTCTGTAGAGTTGACGTCAATCAGCGGATGTCAGCAAGCACAGGGAAACGGGATAAGCATGCAGGAATAAGCAGCTCTGGTGTTATACAAAAAAACATCTTATAATGTATTAATTTAAGTATATAATCATACGCCTTATTCTATTAAAAACATCGCATCACCAGTCCCCCGACGCCCAAAGATGGGTGCCGGGTCGCACCAGAAGTCCTTGCAATTCTGGAAGATCTTGTCGCGCATCTCTTGCTGAAGGCCGTAGAAAAGGCAACCCAACCGTTGTTCGGCGGTCGGGGGAACTTCAGGTGTCTCGGCCATGGTGTCTTGTGGAGAGTTATGCTGAAATTATACAGGCAGAATGGTTTGTAAATTGACGAGATTGTGATTGACTTGTCCCTTGCTATGTATGCGCTTGTGTCGAAGAGTAACACAGGGAGAAGTGAAAGAGGGTGAAGATATAAACATGAGAAGAAGAAGAGGACAGAGAGGGTAGGTAATGGGAAAAGCTTATGAATATGGACACGTTGGTGCGCCGCTCACGGTGGAGCTAGTTATTCCATGAAGCCACAGGCAGTGGTTCACCGCAAATCCAACACATGCGGTGAAGTGAAATTCGTCTGGAATAGAACGGCACAGTAATCGTCGGGCAGATGATCAGAAAACCACGTGTTCGTTCTACACACAGATATTTACCAGAAGACATGCAAGTCACTAGACCATCTGAGGTCAAGTACCCTGGCGGACGGCCAATCAATGCACCGTTCCAGACAATGTCGGTGTAGACTTGCAGCAATTAGGAATGCTGGCTATGTTACAGGCTACATGTCTTCTTTCTTGAGGCTTCTGACCACCTCGCATTGACTTGATATGACGCAGCTCACTAGAAACAAGATATTTTGCCATCAGCAAGCAACGGCGAGGTGAGTTCCCTGATCCCCACAAGAATAGCACAGGAGATAGGGGACAGACGGAAAGGCACAAAAAGGGGTAAAAGTGGGACAGTCGAGGACATCCTCAAGAGAATGGTACTTTTCAAGGGAAGTGAATGCAAAACAGAGCTACAACTGATCTTCCCGTCAAGCCATACATCCTGATCTGTCATTGCCAAGGTCCCGACCAACTCAATCCACGTCAATATGGGGGTCCCGTTAAGTAGGTTGGTAAGCTTTTTGAAAATTTTCCAATCGAGTTGATTGACGTTGATTAACAGAGGGGTCCCGTGAATATTGATTAAAATCCGTTAATATAAAAAGATATAAAAAATAGCAAGGTTTTATAAGGTATAAGAAGTATTTTGGCATGACTTATTATAACTCGGATTATCGGATCATCAGAGTCAGAACATGGGGGTGATGATCGGTCTATTGCGTTGCGTTTTTTATCCATGGGTCTGGGGGACCAATCTAGTACTAAATACACACCAAAATACAAAGATGTACCCATCCATTGATCCTCCAGCCAAAGATCCCTTGTCTATCACCCATGAAAGCCACCTTTCCTGGTGCTTCCATCCCTTTATTCTGCCAAGGTGCCTGCCTGACCCCTTGTCAGCTGGCAGCCTCCCTGACTGCCACCATACTGCCACCATACTGCCACCATACTGCCACCACAATCCTCACACGGATATTTTAATATGGTAAAAAAAAAATTCCCACGATATCTACGTCAATATCAACTCACGATAGCCTTATCGTTAAGTTGGTTACTAAGGCTGCAGGGGTATCAGTGGATTGAGTTGACGTAAATATCCACGTCAATATCAATCTACCGCGGATATCCGCTGAGTTGTTCGGGACCTTGGTTATTGCACCCAGGAGGAGCAAGGTTCGATTCACTAGAGGGAAGGCCACCCTCAAAGTGTCCAGTAATGAAGCCTACCGTGAAGTACAATTGGCGTATGGACTCCCACAGAGATATCGTGAACAACGCCCGTGGGGACCTACAGCCAATGAAGGGTCCATGCATCGATGCGTCTACGATGAGATGACGTGGGCTCCAGGCACACCGCACAGACAGCACTTCGAGTACCGCCTCCTTTCATCGTCCTCACCATCACCGGGCAAACAAATTGATCCCAGCTTGCCTCAATGACAAATATCCGCGAAGTCGGTATCCTGCCCAGTGACAGCACACTGATAAGGACTTGTGACTTTGCGCGCATGTCATTAAAGAATCGGTTGCAGCTATAGGTAAGGTATGATGATGATGATGATTGTATTTAACGTGGGGGATCGCTCCTTGGTAGTGCAAACCATGCCTCCCAGAGCCTCTGCATCGCAGGGTTGTGAAGGTATCAAGATAATAAGTACAGTCAGTCCCGCTCACGAGCCCATCCCCGTTGTTGCGGCTGTATGACTTTGGGGTCATCCATCTGGTCCTTTAAGAACAGCTATCTATCAGAGGCAGATTAATAAAAAGAACTTGCTTTTCTCAATAAATCTTGCTCATTCCACGCTCCTCTCCCCCAAGTATTGTAAACAGGCTGTCCTAGACGAGTACCTGGGCAGCAGTCAGTTTTTCCCAAGCCTCTTACAAAAGAAAATATGTTGTGGTGTTCTCTTCTCACCGCAGTTGCAGTGATTATTCGAGTCTGTATGCCCAAAGCGTTCGTGGTATCTGGCAAAGTCGCCATGTCCAGATCTGGCCGTTAGAAATCTGTGTAAAGTACTCCTCTTAAAAGATATAAGGTCTCTTTTAGTTATTGCATATGAGTATACTTCTTGATACCTAGGTTCTGATTGGTCTTTCCACCATTGATTGAACTCTTTCTTGCCCTTTCTTTTGAGATCTCTCTTAACCCACGAGATTGTGGGAAGGTTTGTCGTGTCTGATTCTAGCATGGCACCCTCTTTTGCTAGTGTGTCGGCAGCTTCGTTGCCATCAATTTCTCGGGGTCTGTGAGGTGGCTGCTAAGCTACTAAACGATTAAAATCACAAGTAAGGCAGTATCTAATAGCCTTTGTTGGTACACGGCCGCATATTCGATTACACTCCTTCTGTATTCGTCGCTCGGGACATGGAGGCCTGTAGCTGGAGCCAGCAGGCAAAGGGAACGAAGGACCACACGGACTTACTAAGGAGACTTATCGGGCGTATAATAATGCCAGCCAGCAACATTATGTCTATTCAATTCCTCTCAGCAGGCTTCGTGACGTGTAATTAGATAGCTTCTGTTATCGAGAAGCCTGTCATGCCCACTTCGCCATGCGTGCTGAAACTGACAGCGGTAGTAGCTGAGACGAGGGATACTATTGCTCGATGATTGCCCATGTCTATGCACGATTGCAATCGCAATCTTGTTGAGTATTATGTGAGGAAACTTAAACCAAGCATCCACTCGATAGTCTGACCATGGGCGGCTCGCTACTCCTATGGTGACTGAGGAAGCTGGTCAAGTCGGGTAGCTATCATCTCTTCGTTGGGGCCAACATCGGAGGGCATCAACAGAGACGTAAAAAAGAAATACATAAGGAGTCAAGAGTTGACCTACTTCTCGGTTACCTTGATGAGCGTTGCAATTCGATTAAGGCTCTTGTTTGTCCCACCCATCCAATGTTTTTTCACCGTCAGCTCATGCGCAGCAGGAACGACTTTGCAGGGGATGTGCGAAGAGATGGATGATTGACCCCCTACGCATGTCGAAAGTAAGAGACACAATATGGACGTAGATCAAGCGTTTCTCATTGAACCGACACTAGACGAACGGTTTTAGTATGTAGGCGCTGCAATCGAATTCGCTCCAGGTCGTGGAGAGCCCCCTTTACAACATATTTCAGCCACAACTAGCACCGCCACCAGCCACACATACTTCCCACAACAACACGTCGCACGTGCGGTGCGTGACGACCTCACAACTCCATCTTCAACTTCATCACCTCCAGCTCCCAATGAGAACTACTTTCGGCGAACCCACACGCGACTCTTGAAAATGCAGCTACTATCCCAGTACCGAGATGAATCGTAGGATAGTCTTTCATACCCTCTAAATATCATACTACAATTGTAACTACTGCTCCACCCTTGCATCAATCCCGAAAGCGCGCCCAACGGCTCGAAGATGCCGGCCATCAGCCTCGTCGATTGCCTGGCAGGGCACATTCCGACGTGATGCCTCCAAAATGGCATCTACAACCAGCTTGCCTCTTTCGCTGCTGCTCAGAGGGACCTGACAGTTGTCCTCTGAGCAGAGTCATGACGTCTCCTTTTGGTAGACTGGATTGCTGGCTCCAAACATTCCTGCCTGCCAGAGACGCCAGCCTGTGATGTTTGGTCCTCTTCCACTCACCACAGGAAGGTACACGTCAGAGCTCACAATTGACCTACAAGCGGAGCATGGGCACATCGGAAACCCGTACCCGTCGTACCCTCGAGCCGATATGAACCACCATCACCATCTCTGCTGCCCCCCTACACTTATATATAATGATACCTATTTAAGTCGTCCGATGTGTCAGTCTTTGGAAACCGTTGTGGAATCAAGAATAGCTCAACAGCTACTCACCCTCTCTCGTTTCTGTTCTCGGTTGTACTGTGGAGAGACGGAGAAGCACGTCGATCGTAGCTGAGTGGTATGTACTGCTGCCGGTATCTATGCATGCCTTCTAATAGAATGTGCAGGACGACAAGTTGCATACCGAGACTAAAGATATCAAAGGAGGAGACCAACGAGGTATCCGGCTGAGTACACACTATGGTGCGGCAGACTTGACCGGAGTAAGAGATCTCCTGAGGCCATGCCGAGGCCAGCCAAAAATTCCAACTGAAAGGACATTGGCGTTGGGCTTTCAGGTGGCCTGTCCCAGCAAACGGGTAGGCTTGGTTGCTGTGGAGGGAACGCTACGTAAAGTGACTCGAGGGTGACCTACAGCTGACAGCGAAGAGTACTGCCTTTAGGTACTTACCGACCACAAGCCCTCATCGCCCCGATGCCTAAGGTTCGTAGCAAACACACCAGGGATCCACTCAGGTCGCTATAATTTTCGAGCAGACGTGTGGGCCGCGTAATCTGCCACTTTACCTCTACTCTGCTGACCTTGCACCTTTCGCAGATCCCGCCCTCTCGCAACCTACACATGCAGTTGCAGAATTTTCGAACCCTACTCTCACCACTCAATTTACCATTCCTTTGGTTTGCGCACACCGCAATCTGTCAATCTCGCTGCAATCTTGGCAGATCCTCAATCTGTTCATCTCGCAATCGAAGGCACCTGTACATTTCCCCATCTTGACTATAGTCCCATCTCAACACGCCAGCGAACAACTCTAAGCACAAAGATGAGTCTGCTCCAAGCTGTCTTCAATCATGTGGTGCTGCCTCCTCAAGTACCGGGCTGCAGCGATGCGGACCCTGAGGGCGTGTCTCGCGATGTAGCACTACGACTCCTTCACGCTTGTAACACTATCAATGCGCTCTCGAACCCGCATTGGTCTGAAGCCTTCCAATCTCTTCAAGCTTTGCTTGCCGACTGCCTATCTCTCAACACAGGCCGTCTCGAAAGGTCGACGCTCTTGGAACACTACCGCCAACTTCAGCCGGGTCAGATGCTTGTTCTGCACGTAGTTGAGCAGAATGCCGCATTACTCATCCGCCGCGAGGAAAGGTCAGTTAATCAATGCCGAAAGAGTCGATGAAACACCATTTTGCTGACTGAATACCCTAGCAATGACCGGCATCGTGTCATATTCGAAGCCTTTGAGACGTCACCTGCCGCAGAGAAAGTACTCGCTGCAGGCCATACCTTGCAGTGGGACTTCCCTGGTCGCTCCGCACAGTTGTCTTTCGCCACTTCTTCGGACAAGTCTTTTCAAGAAAGTCTGGCTATCTTCCTCGAGCAAGCCAGCATGGAACCGATCTATAGCCTTCAAGCTGTCGCCAGGAAGGCCAATACCTGTGTAACCGAGGAGCGGGACACCACCGACCCAGCGCTGACTACGCAGATGCTCATGCCGCTTCTGGAGGCGATGGAAAACACTTCGAACCACCTCTACAAAAAAAGAGAGTGAGAGATGATGTCAACATACAAGAAGGCGCCAAATTATCCTGGCGACGACTCCCTTTCTGGCTGGTCTTGCGTGTCGCAGCTCAACGACACCTCTGCCTGTCCTTGGGGAATGAACAGGGTCGCTTCGGGTACCAGTTTCTGATGTGCATTTTGCTCTCTGAGCTTCTCACAGAATCTGCGGGGCAAACTGAGTCCTGATTTGACCACCACGCTCTGCGCCAAGCTGTCCCGACGCATGGCGAAGCTGGAGTTGGACCGAACCAAGATCGAACCTGCCAGTATTGAACCCTACGACAGCTTGTTCGCCCATCTCGGCCCCATGGTGAAGGGTGCTATCGCAGAGTCTACCAGCCAAATCAAGGTGGCATGGGAATCCTACAAGCGTACAGTAACCCGACATATCCCGAAGCTTGATGTGCGCGTTCCTGACCGGGCACTGAGGCTGTCCCTGCCTAACAGTGGTATGTACCTAGACCGAATCTTGGACCGTCGGTCATCGCAGCAACGAGTTCTGGGATCGTCTAGTCTTCCGGAACCACTGGACAAATCTGTGGCGCAGATACAAGACTTTACCGATCACATGTTTCTCCTCGCAAAGTTGGAAATGCGAGCTCTGGACCAAGAGCAAGTCGAATCATCCAGCAAGAGTAGATGTGAAAAGCACTGCATTGGTCTAGAGGAAGAGATTGACAATATCTTCAGCGAAGTGGATACATGGTACAAGTCGGACCCCGAGCAGATTAGTGTCATGGTCCTTGCACTTCTCGCCTTATGGGCTTGACTTGACGAATGCGCCATTATTGCATGCCCCATCTTGCGACACTATCGCCCTGCTTTCAGCCCCAAACTGCTTGATGTCCTTCAACTTCCTACCAAGTCGCAAATGTGGAGATTGCAAACAATTCAAACATACCTAGCTGATCGGCATTCCGGATCGCAACATGGCACCATCCTGGACCAGACCGGCAAGAATTGCTTAGCCTCGCGGTACGTCGCAAACTACCCAGAAATGCAGGCTTTGGGCTCGAAGATCCAGAGCGCGTCAGATAAAGCCGACAGGAACAAGGAAGCAGAATGGAAGCGATGCTGTGAAACATACGACGGCCATACGGAAGAAATTCAAGATGGTGTCTGCACCTGTACCTGGATAGTTCGAGGAGGAGCTCGAGAGCGTGATGTTCGTGGATGTAAGAAATGTTGCCACTGGCGAGAACGGAACCGCCTGAAGATCCAAGCGCAAGAGGCGCTTCTCCCCAAGAACAGCCCAGCCAGGGTGGCGATGGTATTTGAGCTTGCTAATCCGAGCTACTTGGCTGCGAGCCACCTGGCGGATCCTACGAGAATTGGCACACCCAAGCCGCTCCCTCAGTTCCCCAAGCCCTCAAATCGCACTCAGGGACTGTGCACCTCTTCAACGCTACATGACGGCCAAGCCACAGGGGATTTCAGTCGCATCAACCATCAAATGCTTCGACCAGACCCATTACAAATTCAAGACAGGAAAGGTCCCCCTCCCCCGTGTTGTGATACCGCTGGGCGCGAGCTTCGAACTGTACGATCACGACTCTGAACTATGGGTCAAGGACCTCGGCGGAATTTTGACATTCCAGCACATATGTGGTGTTCATGTCCCTCGCGGTCTTCAGTCCACAGTCATGCCGGAAATCCAGCACCCTCTACCTGATATTGACGGACCCTCGTCCTACGAAATTCGAGCGAACCAGAGCCATTGTCCGTCGAATATGTCCGTTCACAAATTCTGCGCATTCCAGAAATTATTTGCCGGCAAGGAGCGACGTTGGCCCAATATATTAGTAGAAATGGGCTCGTCAAACCTCAACTCCAGCAGCGAGGATACAATGCGCATGCTATGCGAACTCGCCGTCCAGGCTTGCCCACGGTCGTCAGATTATAAGTTCCGCATTGTTCATGCTGTTTTCGAGAAGCCAGCTATCGTAAAGCGTTTGGTTGAACTCATCAAAACACGCCTGTGTGCCATATCCAGCAACTGGCGAGAGCACAACTGTATGGAGCTACTCCTTACGCTGAGCTTGAGACTGTTCACTCTGTCTAGCTTCTCGAAGAAAGAAGCCGGCTACCTGATCAGAGATGCAAGAGATGCGACCTTGAACTGGATAGCCCGCCTTCGAGAAGAGGCGAGGATTGCCGTCGATGGCGACGCAGCACATCGTACTGCCATGTACGGCTTGTACGCCGCTCTGTTATGTCGGCGGACGTTCAGCACCTACAAGTATCCCTACGTCATGGAGGCGGAAGAGCTCACTGCCTGGGTCCAGGCTTCTGTGGCGTTGCAGGAGAACCTAGTAACACAGATCAACACTCTACCTTTAACGTTGAGAAGGTTCTTCATTCGTGACGCCAAGATGGCATTTCACATCCAGGACATCCTTCGAGATGCCGTCGAAACCCATACCGCCTGTGTTGGTGATGGAATCGTCAGCGCCTGGTCGGATGCTGCAGACGGTGTCACTACACGCTTCTCGAAATGGACCTTTCTCACCAAACCCCACAATCGCTGGGTCTATGCTACAGTATCTGACACGAACCAGGCTGGCTTGATATTCCGTCAAAGGGTGCACTTCAACCTCATTGAAGGTCATCTTCTGGTCAATGGCAAGCTGCCGCTCGAAATCCGCGAGAACCCTATCGTGAAGGGCATGTTTGGTAACCAGCACCTATTGACCTATCCATCATCCCTAGAGGGCATGACACATCGACTCGCCGATCATAAGGGCGGACATCAGGTGCATTTTGGCGTGCAGGAGGGCCAAGTCGTCATTCGTGCGCTGTCGAGCGATGGTCTGCTCGAGTACGTGCCCAAGTCCGTCTTCAAAAGCCTACATAGCTTTGATTTGCCATCAGAACTAGTGGACAGTTGCTTCCACTGGCTCAATACGACAACAAAATATCTCGAAATCCGTCAAATCTCGTCCACCTGGAAGACAAAGGAGAGTGACTGGGTCATGGACGTCCCGAGACGCAGGGCCAAACGTCGCAGAGTCACCCTAGTGGATCCCCAGTCAAGCGTATTCACCCAGATAGCAGCGATATTCCACGCCTTTGAACAGCCGGAGAAGCTCACAGTCTACCAGCCGGATGAAGGATGTATGTGGGTTGAGTTACGTCAGATGGACTTGTCCTTCGTGAAAGCCAGCGGCTTGCTCGAGTGCCGTCAGCTCAAGGCGGTAATTGACCCGAACCAGGATCCCGGGACGTGGCATGGCCTTGCGAGCAATTTGTGCTACAAGATGTAGTCTCTGCCAGGCGGAGTATATTGATACCTTTTGGGCGCATGACCTTCGTGCGCCATGGCCTGCATGTACATGTGTGCGTGATCGGCGCACTTGACTATGGCAGATATACAATCAACCAGCTCTCGGGCCGGATTTCCTGCCCTCCTGAGCCGCGGCTCATATACATGAAGGCTCTCTGTCACGCCATCACGTCTTTCTGCGTGCCCGATAATCTCACCAAGCGGACGGGTGTGGAAGAAGCCTTCGACATTCTCCGATCAGGGGTTGCTCAGCCCTGGATGCCTCTTGGAGAGTCGCCACGTTCAATCCTGAAGGCACTAGAAGCGTTGGCCCCACGTCGGGAGTATTACCCAGCCAACATCAAACGCCTGCAAAGAGTCACATGGGACCCAAACCTGACACATAATATCCAGCATGATAGCTATGAATCCCTCGTTCAAAGCATTGTGGCAAAGTCCAACCGCCTGGGCAGATTCTCAAGCGTAGGCACTATCACGGATAACATGGGAGTGCTCTCCCATCTTCGCTTGCGCGGTGAAGCTCAACGGCAACTCTACGAACGTCCAACTCGCGACACCAGTGCTCAGACTCTCGGGGATGCAGTCTACATCCCTCGTGATCGCCAGGCGTCGTCCAAAGAGACTAACGTGTATCAGATCGCCCGACTTACCTTCGCGCAATCCCCTTCTTTATGCATGGACGTTAAGTTGAAGTCTGTTCTCGAGTCCTACCAGGTCATTGCCGGGTTCCATCCGGACGCTGGCCTCTCAATCGACCGAGGCCCCCTCATTGACCGAATTGAAGAGCCGATTAATGAGAAATTGGGTGATCTCGTGGCCTTTTGTCGTCATGCGGAACGCCAAGGTCCTCTTCTGTTTCGCCTCGGGCTCCTAGCCTTCGCGCCAAAACCCGATATGGATCTCATCCGTTCCCTTGCTGCATTTGCTGGCTTACAAGAGCTCCGAGACCTGCAACCACCCGCCTATAACAGCTTCTTGGATTTTCAGTCGCGGGGACAGCCCACTATTCAGGACATGCAAAAGCTCCTAGTCTCAGCTTATCCTGCGTTCGACCCAAAACACACCCGTTGGGGAGGGAGACACAACGACGCGGCTAAGGCTCACGTGGCCAAATGTGAAGAGGATGCCAACAACCTTGCCCGACACCTTCTGAAGCAGTGGCCAGTCGCAGAAAACAAGCTTTCAGTGAGTGGTTGTGATACGCAAATCATTGATTCTGCGCTGGCCCTAGAAAGCGTGCAGCCTGAACGGAAACGCAGACTCAGAAATACGGCTCTGGAGCTGTATGTCGACCAGGCGCAAACGCTTCTCGATTCACTCAGAGCTCCGCGAGATACCTCGGCGCCGCTTGTTTGGAAACACAAGGAACCGTCTTTCTTTAGCGAGAAACACGAGCGAGTTATCCCGTCCGTGTCTCTGGATCTAGTGCTCAAGATTGGTCCAGTCCTGGAAAGCTCGCTTCCTGGCGCTTCCCCAAGCGATTCGCACAACATGGCCGCCGAGACTTCGACCAATGTTACATGCGTAAGACCACCCAAGACGGTCTCATCGGAAGCTACAGAGTTGAGAAGCATATTGGACAGATTCAAATGCTCCGAGGATACGCTTCGTCAGAAATACGCCGAAGACCTTCTTCAGAGTCTCGCAGCATTTGAGGACCTAGAGCAGACCTTGCCGCAGGACCAAAAGCTGCCCATCCCAACCACTGGAGAGTTCGCCCAATCCATCCAACGCGAGCTCTTGATGATGAAACATTCCCTCGAACAAGTCTCGGAAGCCCTCGCAGTCAACGACCCTCGATCCGAATGGCTACAACTTGGCTCCATCTGGCCTTGTGCGACACCTACCGCAGTGCTTGAATTGTTAAGGTCGGCATCATCCCACAAGTTCGGTACTGGAATGAAGGAAGCCTTGGTACACTATGGACAGTCCATCACGGCCCTGCAACGTCTGCTACGCATCCAAGACACCCTGCTGCGCGAAAACTATCGAGTGTTTCAGGAAGAACTAGACAATATTGGCCATAAAAACTGGTCGCCCCTTGAGCAGACTGATTGGCTGCTCCTCGAGATTCACAGCAACATTCTCATTCGGCCAGGGCAGGTCGAGGTTGCGCGGGCAATAATTGCCCCTGCGTTGAGCGAGAACATAGTGTTGCAAATGAACATGGGCTAAGGTAAGTGTGGAATTGTGTCATAAATACAAGGCGGGAGTAACGCTAACAGTTCCTTAGGCAAAACTTCTTGCATTGTGCCCATGGTTGTAGCCATTCTTGCCGACGGAAAACAGCTTTCGCGCCTAATCGTGCCCAAAGCACTGCTTATGCAAACAGCTCAAATGGCACAGTCACGATTGGGTGGTCTTGTTGGCCGAGAGATCCGCGAGATCCCTTCTCGCGCAGGACGCCGACAACAAGCGATATGCTCAGCTTGTATGCGGAACTCCATGGTGAGATGCGAGATGCCAAGGGTCTCGTTCTGACCAGCCACGAACATCTTCTTTCATACAAGCTGGGTGGGTGGCAGCACCTTGCCGACGGCAAGCTCGGGGCTGCACGCTACATGGTTAGCTTCCAGAACTGGCTCAACAATCATTGTCGCGACGTCCTCGATGAGTGCGACTTCACTTTGTCGGTCAAGACGCAGCTAAATTACCCAAGCGGGCCCGAGATGACCGTTGATGGGCACCCATTCCGATGGCAGGTTGCGCTTGGACTGCTGGCTCTAGCGTCCCACCACATTCCTCTCATACGGGATAACTTCCCCGGTAGTATCGAGATACTGCGAAAACGGGGATCGTTCCCTATGGTATACTTTCTCAAGAGTAGCGCCGAGGATGCCCTCCACGAGCGCATACTGGATGAAATCTGTGCTGGCCGTACGACCTTCCTTCGTCCTGCGGATTCATTCTCCTCAGACCACTCAAAGATCATCCGGCGAGTATTGACTGACCAGAGCCTCGACCACGGCTCGTTCACTCTTGCTGTCAAGGCCTTCTCGAACCCACAGGCGGCATCTAAAATGCTCCTTGTTGTCCGTGGGCTCCTCCTGAACAGGATATTGCTTTGCCTGAACAAGCGATGGAATGTGCAGTACGGCCTTCATCCACAACGCCACCCAATCGCAGTACCTTTTGAAGCCAAAGGTGTACCCTCTGAGCAGTCCGAATTTGGCCATCCGGATGTGGCCATTCTCTTCACTTGTCTAGCATTCTATCATACAGGTCTGACATCCGAGCAATTCCGCAAGGGCTTGCAGCATGTTCTTCAGTCCGATGATCCAGCTGCTCAGTACGAACACTGGACATCTTCTTGCAATAACCTGCCGGAAGAGCTACGCCATTGGAATGTGATTAATCTTGACGATGGGTCACAGATGGAGGACCTATGGCGTCAATTGCAACTGGATCGCGTGGTCGTCGACCACTATCTAAACAACTTCGTCTTCCCGAAGTACGCCAGACAGTTCGAAATCAAACTGCAGGCTTCTGGATGGGATATACCGCTTGTCGTTCCAGACAAGGAGCATGGTGCGAAGACCACGGGGTTCAGCGGACAAACGACAACCGCATGATGCTGCCCCTAACAATTCGTCAGGACGACCTCCCTACCCTGCGGCAGACCAGCGCTGAAGTCCTCTCCTACTTGCTTCAACCACGTAACCGCGGCTATCATGTCACCAGAAATGTTTCTGGTACGCGGCTGACGGAGCAAGGTCTTCTGCTTGAGTTATGCGAGAAGAAAATCCGCGGACTGATTGACGCTGGAGCCTATATCCTTGAGATGGATAACAAGAAATTCGCTGAGACATGACTTGCCATGGACAAAAAAGCCAAGGCTGCTGTCTACATTGGCACTGACAATCGAGCGTGGGTGCACTTCCAAGAGAAAAACAAGGTCACAGCTCCACTACTGGCGACTCCCTTTGCGGACAACCTGACTGAGTGTGTCGTGTACCTCGATGAAGCGCACACACGTGGAGTAGACTTAAAGCTGCCTCCGCAAGCTCGAAGCGCGCTGACACTGGCTTGTAGCCAAACCAAGGACTCTACTATGCAAGGTAAGTGGTGTTTCACTGTCTGACACTTATTTTTAGGTGCTTAGCCCGCCCCTTGAACCTCGGTGTCGAGTATTACTGTCATAGTCGACCAGTATTTCTGACCTTATTCCAGCGGCCATGCGCCTTCGACAGTTAGGCACAACACAGTCTGTGACTTTCTTTGCGCCACCGGAGGTTGATCAAAGTATCAGAGAATTCTTCAACCCCTTGCTCAACGAGGAGATCGACTCGTCGCACGTAGTTCACTGGCTCCTGGAACAGACTTGTCGTACCAATGAGGATCTACAGGGCTTGTATGTCGCGCAGGGCATGGATTTCTGCCGGTGCACCGACGCAGCATGGCGTTATCGCAAAGTGCTCACTGACGAGGGACAACGTGCGTCGCTGCTTGATGTACTGCGACAGCCGGAACGCCAGACATTGGAGCAGCTGTACGGCGCTGCTCCCGCAAGCTCTGCGGCCAGTTCTATATCAGATCCTCAGTTACAAGCCTTTGCTGAACAACTTCGACGCCATAATGGCAGAGCAGGCGGGTGTCAGCCAGGTGCCTTGGAGGAAGTTGAACAGGAACGCGAGCTTCAGGTCCAGGTCGAGCAGGTCCGACAATCGAAGAAACCGGTCCAATACGACGCTATGCCGTTTCCTGGACTCCATCCGCATATCTTGCATTTTGCACGCAGCGGGGTGCTGGTGGTACGACAGTCGGACACCCAGGGTACTCAAGGTCCTGGAGCTGAGCGCGCGCTCTCAAGTATCGCGAAGACAAACGTCGGAAAACGTTTTGATATCCGGGAGACAAGCTCGCGACTTTATGCGTCCAGAGAGTTTTGGAACACAATCATACAGTTTGAGGCGGTCGGAAAGGTGGCAGACAACTTCTTGGTGAGTTCCCAAATATCCAGCCGGGCCATATGACTCCTCAGATCTTTTGGGCGATACTAATCTACTTCCTCAACAGCGCCCTGTCGAGTGGATTCTTTGGAGTCCGAAGCATGATACCGCACTTGTGGTCATTCCCGAGGAAGCCGAGTTACTTATCCCGGTCATCCGTGGCGCTGGAGCCGACTCTCCTGTATACCTTCTTGCCTACGCTGTGCCCGTCACCAAGTCGATGATGCACTTCAATGATCTCAAGTACTATACCGTACCCGAGCTTCCGGACGGGTACTGCTTTCCAGAGTGGCTTCGCATCGAGCTGGGCATCTTCGCCGGCAGGCTCTATGTCGACATCGAGGAATGGGCTGCTCTGTCTTCGTATGTACGACAACCCTCAGCTGGAATTTCTGCGGCGAGAGAACTTACGCCTTCGATGGGGATTGCGAAGTTCTCTGATGATCCCGCCGCTTTCCTATTGGAGTGGCTCACCCTCTGGCGCAAGACGCAGGATATCTTGCACACCCCCATGGGGTACATCTGTACCGGCCGCGCCTTGGAGGAGGACCATCCTTTCAGAGACCAGACGTCATGATGCGTGACAGGAGATGTGCGGGATTTGACCCAGGGTCAAGCGCATGTTGGGTTTGTCCACATTGATGGCGCACAGCACGAGTTCTTGTATCGGCCAATTGAGCTGATGAGAAGATCGTGCATTGGATGGATCCAAATTTGCACCCTTGTTGGGTGCACCTTGTGTAATTAGATATCTGTCACCAGAGGTGCCTGGGCGGAATCAGAGAACTGTAGTATAGGTGACCAGGATGAACTTAATTGACTCAGATAAATATGTCTCCATTGACTTTTCATATGTGACCGTTGAACCACCATAGAGTTTGAGCGTTGAGAATGGTGCCCCGTCTAGAGGCGTTGCAGACTGCCCCTATACGCCTCGCCTGAGGGCATGCTCTTGTAAGTGATTTGGGTAACTCTTCACGTACGACATACTTCATGTCCATGCTCATCCTGGCGATGGGGACTCCTTTCCTATACTCCTATCCGATCGCTGTTGTTGTTCCTCCAACGACGTCAAGCAGGTACTGCCTGATACCCATCGCTACAAGAGCATACACGTAGACACTTGTCCAAGCCAAGACTCCACGACTTTAAACCCTGGACGAACACCTCAAGTCAGAGGGTGCGAGGCGACAGATCACTTGACAACTATGTATCTTGGTCCCTTGCCCATCATTACGAAACCCACGAGTGGCGTAGAAAGCAATACCACGTAATACCCTCGATGCAGCAATGTTGCAGAGGCCTAGCCTGACTGGAATATGAACGGCTCACTGCACAGTGGGCATCAAGACACTCAATCGCGAACAGTATTTATTCGCTCTCTATCTACTCCCAGCTATACCAAGTTCCTCCGGGAGGACTCGTGGTCTGAAAAACTGGATTCCTCCACGAATATATTTGGGATCTGCGATAGTTACTCGAGCGCCATGCAGAACCATTCGCTGCGCCACCCACAGAACGGAATCGCATATTCGGGTCAGCTCAGCGCTCACCATAGGCAACAGGGGCTCGCTATCCAATATCCCCAAATCCTCATCCAAGACGCAAAGGCAATAAACTTCAATGCCGTGTCCATCACCAAACGCTTCCACGAGTCACAAACGTAGGACACTCAAATGATCTGCGTCGCCTTCTTGACAGCGTCCTCGCCAGTCATGCCGACTCCGCAAGCTCGGCATCTAGCCATGCGATCGCCTTGTCGGCCAGCAACTCCCACGTGTCCTTCTCAGCGGCTCGCTCTCGGCGCAGCCACGCCACAACCAGGGCCGTCGCCAGAACTTTCCGGTTTCCACTTTGGGAATTCGACACCTTCGCGAATATGGCGTCCTTATCCCAGGCATCCACCAGGGCATCGGCGTTCCAACCCATGGCACCGGTCAGGGTCTGGTCCCAGACCCAGTAGCCCTCAAAGGTATGTAGGAGGATCAGTGTCTGCAGCTTATCCTGCGACTCGGATGCTGGTGCTGGGGACCACCCCCCGAACGGTGGCCTCGTGGGTGGTGAGGGTCCTCCCGCGCGTCTGTATCTCACACTACTGCCTGCAGAGTCAGCTGGTGACCCAGACTCCAGCGATGCTAACTCAGACTTCGGAGAAGTTCGGAATGAGCAAAAGTTCGCCACTTGAGTGGCTGGCGATGGGCCAGCCGCCATGCTGCCAATCGAGTTCGAGTGCGACGCAGCTTTTCCGTATCGAGCTAAGTCAACGTTAGCATCGTCGTCACTCCAGCCGTCATCATCATGAAGTGAGTTGTCAAATTCGAGTTGATCTTCCCAACCACCTTCCAAGATGAGGTTCCTATCTGATCCAGCGCTATAGCCCTCGCAATAAGCATCGTCAAGGCCAAATGGAGCTGCGTCGCAGGCAGCGGAATCTGCCAAGCACCAATCTACTTCAGCATCTTCAAAACATTCCGAATTTGCGGACGTGTCATCTCCTCACCGTCAGCATCCAGACCGACTTCCTACCCGACCAGATAAAGCTCTTCATCAAGGCATCTCTGCCTTCCGAGGAGAAGCAGCTACTTCGCATCCATGGGCCAGCCAATCAAGAGTTGTGTGCTGCACGAAACTTCCGCGGGGTGAACGCTAGTTGTGTGAATGAAATGGGGTCTGACTTACCAGGTTGCATAGGCAGATGCGGTGAGACACGGTATTGGGCATGAGAAACAGCGGATGGTTGGAAGGCTCCCATGCTCGGAGGCGTGCTGCTCATCAGTCCGAATGCTGAGGGTGCTGCGCTTCGCGTTAATGGTGCTGAGAACGCGGGTTGTTTGAATGAAATGGGGTCTGACTTACCAGCACGATATTGCGGTGCAGCATAGGAGAACGGCATAGCAGGAAGTCCTTGGGAGGCACTCATGCTCGTAGGCGTGCTGCTCATCAGTCCAAATGCTGATTGTGCTACGCTTGGCCTAACGGATGCTGCGTGTGACATAGGAAATACCCGGAGCGCCGCTCCCTTGGCCATCATGCGTTCTTGAGGTGATTGGTTATCCACAGGGGAACTGTCTGCCTCTCGTTCTTGCAATTTCTCGTCGCCGTCCTTCTCGACAGCAAAGAAGGAGCACCACTTACCGCCGACCTGGTACTCGACGCCCAGGCGGACGGCCTCACGCTTGACCACACCGGTAAATTGGCTTTCATGCTTGTCCTTGAGCAGCTTACCATCGGCTGTTTTGGCATGGAACATCCAGCCTCTGGAATCCTCCAGTTCACCGACTGCCTTCTTCGCAGCTAGTTGGTGGATTGTCTGCCCCTTCTCTTCGAGGACCGTGACGGGTATTTCGAGCTCTAGAGGTCCGTGAGTCGATGTACCTCGTAGGAAGACCGATTTGGGAGTCGCCTGGTTGGTCTTGGGGGAAAGCAGGAGGTAAACCGTGGTCCTGTTGAAGGGGAACAGAGGTGGGATGTTAGAAGGGGTCTGCAAAAGCTTGGGTGGCTCTATGGCAGGGATGTTGAGCTCCGTGTCATTAACATCCTTCATGTCAACATCGTTTTTGACAGATGGATCGAAGAGAGAGATGGGTGTCTTCAAAGGTTGCGCCGTTGCCGTTGCCTCTGGTTTGGATGCCCCAGGCAAGTCGATCACCAGGCAGTCGACAACCTTCTCGATAAGCTTGAAGTCATTATTTTCGGCACCAGCATCCTCGTACTTGACCTCAAGCGTGTAGTCCTTCACATGCGGGAACATCGCACCCTTCAGCATACGGACAACCTTGCTACCCATCTCCTCTGAACCGCTAATGGCCTGTGAAAAGCCATTACCGACCCTTACGACACCCTCAATGAGAGCATGGCTCGCCTCACTACCGATGCCAAGGGTAAAAACTCGAATCGCGCCATCGCTCTCGTCCACATGCTTCTTTACCGTCTGCATCAGACGCTCCTGGTCCCAGATCGAACCATCAGTCAGGAGGAACACCTCCAGGTTGAGGTCCAAATATCGTCGTCTGAATGTGTCTTAATAGGTTGCTGCATCTCGGTTCCGCCGTAGTTGGCAGTGAACGTGTCAATGTGTTGCATGGCCGCAGCAACACTCATCGAGTCGTAGGTCTGGGATCGTTCCCAGAGGAAGGTGTGGCTCGACCCGAAGCTGCAGATGTTGAATTTAGTACCGATGGAAAGCGACTTGACGAACAGACGAAGAGCCGCCTGAAGATTCCCAATGCTGCCACCCATGCTGCCGCTGCGATCGCAGACAAAGACGATTTCGGGTTTCTCTGCCGGTAGGTTGAACTTGGGCACCAGGGTTGTCATCAAGGCACGCTGGTTGGGGATAGTAGGGTGCTGCTCGAGAACGGCAAGGGGGTTTCCAGTGTTGGTGGCTACTACTTGGAGAATGAAGTCCTTATCAAACTCGGCTGTTCCCAAGGCGAGGGTGGCGGGAAGCTTTGTGGAAAGACAGCTCGGCGGTAGGCGCAACGGAGGTCGTCCCGATGGTGACCGCAAGCTGATGCGAGGGTGATTGGATCGACTTGGATCTGCAAATCCTTGGGCACTTCCGCGTCGACGGTGATCTTGATGCCCTGGTCCGAGACAGGATGGCTGGGAGACCACAGTTGACTGCTATATGTGTTGTAGGAGCTGTAGCGGGGGGCAATGTTGGTAGGAATGGTCAGACGGATGCCGTCAACCTGAGCATCGTGCTTGAGCTCTCCGAGGTACGTGATCTTGACGACAATCTGGGCTCCGGCTGGAATATTGCCCACCGTGGTGGTGAATACATCAGACGCAGCAGGCAGTTGCTCGAGGAGGCCCGCTGTTTCGCCACGTGCGACGGCCTGTTCGTAGTTCTTCCGTGCCTCCTGTCTTTCCTTCACGACGCCCACGATGACGCGGCCGCCAACAGTACAGGTAAAGCCCACGACACTGACACCGTCGTAGAGCGGGAACTTGTATCGGATCTCCTTCAGAGCGTTCTTGTCATCCGGGTTGATGAAGGTCTGAGTCAGTGTAGTTCGGGAGGTGGAAGAGATGATGGCTGCGTGGGCCTCGAGCTTGACCTGGGGGAGATATCTGGTGAGGCGGAGGTTGATGTCGTAGTAGTAGAAACCACAGATGTGGTCACTCCAAGTTCCCGTCATGGTCTTTGAGTGGGTGCGAACCAGGGAAAGATCTTGGGGTAGGGTACGCTGTGGACTGTCGTGCGTGGCCTCGGGGGTCAGCTGTGATGGTGAGGGATGAAGTCGATGGAAGGTGTAGAAGTCAAGTGTCACTGGGATGGAGCGGGGTGTCAGCCGGTGGTTGACCTTATGTATGACAGTAGGACCAGAGTTCCTGGGGTGACAAAACTTGGAAGGTGTTCGTTCATGCACCAGGCGTCAACGGCTGCCTTGTTGATAGCCTATAGCATATTGCTTTGGGGTAGGACAATGACGTCCGAAGCAAACACGTACCGAATAGGAGGTGAGTAACGGCGGCCTGATAGGGCTGCGGCTGCCTGGAGAGACGCAGCCAATCAATGGCACAGAGGAAGGCACCAAAGCGGGGTAGGGGTCCTACATGTGTCCTGACTTGGCGAAAAGGGGTAAAAGGGGAAAGCGAGGCAGCTAGGCGGCATGCATCGTCCATGCGTGAATGTTGAGCCAAATTGATCTCCAACTCTTTTAGATGACTCCAATCACCTATCTGAGGTTCTGAGACCTTTCATTCTTTGAAACGTCTTCTTTGCCATCTGGCGTTGTGTTGCCGCCTCGTGCATGCACAGCTGCATCAAAGCACTCCAACATACACCTGTCATTACTGGTACCTGGCAGAAGGGGAAACGTACTTACGTTTCACAGGAGACTGTCACCTCATCGCTCAGAACCCGGCCCGAGATTCCTTGTCACACAACCTGGAAGATGTCGCCTAGCACCCTCCCGGTCAAAAGTGCCGACCGGAGACAACGGATATGTCTGCATCGTGGCCCATTCCAGAAGTCGTGGGCACTCTTACGGCAAGGTGAGTACGAACCGTGCCCATTAAGTGTTCGCACATGGGCATAATTCGGTGAATACAGCCTGTCCGGTGACGCGGAGCTTGTGTAACAACATCCCATATCCGAACAGAGCACTGTGCCTGTACTGGAAGTCAAGCGCGGTATAATGATCATACCAATGTTTGCTTGCCCAAGTAAACATACTCAGGAGGCGTCGACTCCCGAAGTGTTTCAAGACTTTTGTCATGATGGAACCGCCGACCCTCAACATCTCCCCAAGACACGATCACCAACCTAAGCCCCAGCCCGAACCACCTCAAAAGCCTCCAACACAGCCTTCTTCTGCTCCGCGCTCGTCCAGACCAGCGGTATATCTCCACACCGATCCGCCACCGCGTCCACCTTTGATACCCAAGCGAAATCCGCATGCTCAAACAATTCCAGCGTGACAGTAGGCTCTTCCTCTCCCTCATTGGAACTGCCGCGCTCGACTTCCACCAGAAACGTGACCTTCTCCCAGACCTCCCCTGCGTCAATCCACTGGTACGCCCTCACCACGTCCACGACGTTTCTCGCCACCAGTCCAGATTCTTCGCGCAGCTCCCGAATGGCGGCAGCAACGACGGTCTCGTCGCTCGGGTCGCACTTCCCGCCGGGAACTTCCCACGTGAGAGGGACGAACTTGTGCGGGGCGCGCTGGAGGAGTAGAATTCGGTTTGAGTGCACTACGATAGCTGCAGCGACGATGTGAGAGGTGGTGCGGATGTTGGATGCGTGGTTGGCAATGTAGGTTGTTGGTGTGACCTGGTATGGACGCAACCGATCTGTCATCACGAGGCCCGTAGCTGCAGATACGTCTGGTGCCATCGTGAGCTGTGTCAATGCGCAGTGGGTGAAGAAGCCTGGGATATAACTGAGATGGTGCATATAAGCTTCCTCTTACTGCTCAAACGTCCAGGTTAAGTCTTCGTGTGTGCGTTATAGGATTCTGTCATCGAGCAGCGAAGTTCGGAATACGGTTGGTTGATGATGTGGTTGCCTGAGAGACTCCCCCCACAATATGATGGCAGCCAGCGCCACATCTCCGGCATTGCTTGAACCGCTCGTGCATTACTTGCATAAGCTGCGGAATTCGTCACCTCCTCTTCGCATCCTTCAAAGCTGACCATCAAAGCATCAGTACACCCAGAAAGCAGTGGCAACTACTGCTGGAGGGCCAATTGGAAGTATGAGAAAACATGGTCAGAGTACAGCCTGATACACATGTCGATTTAGGCATATCCTTACAACTGCCCGCCGGGGGAAAGACAGTGCAAAACTCCCCAGAAGCGAAGTTCTTCGAATGCATAGGCTGGCAGCTCCAACATTAAGGGTATCGTAATGCAAAATTCCGAACACCTTTCCAGTTACCTCGCCTGACTCGCTGGAGCAAGCCCCGGTACCTGCGTCCATTTGGAGAATGTCAGCCATAGGTCTTTCTGTGCTATGTGACAAGCTTGCAGGAGTCCCTGGATACCAGGGATTCTGTGAAGCTCATGGGGTGTCCGCGGCAGCGTTGTCACGAGACGCTGGATCGTGTCTTCGGTAACGATCGGCTGGGTTGGTTTTGGGTTAATCGCAAAGACAACACTCTTGACATAAGCCTCGAGCTTCTTGCGCAGCAACAGCCTCTCCAGGTCCGCGGGACGAGATTTTGCCTGTACTTGCGACGGCGCTCGCGTTGGCTTCGATGGTGAAGGGCTCGGCACCAGTTGTGCAGGCACGGGCGCGGCTGCTGGCGTAGGGGTCTGAGAATATCCTTCCTCAGGAGCTGACGGTGAAGGTGAATACCTCTTCCGTTTCAGCTCGGATGATGTTGGCATCGGCATGGTTTCGAACGCCGCGTTGTCGTCGGTGTCGTCGGCGTCGGCAGCAGCGGACTCGTTTCCAGCTCCGTCTTCGTCATGGCCTTCGTCATTGCGGTCGCTAGCATTCAGCTGCGTCTCCGAAAACTGGAATGATAGCCCAGTACTCATGCTAGCGGGGAGGGGCCCTTTGAACTCCAATGAGCGTCCTACACGGGCAATATTGCGCCTCTTCGCACTCGGGTCATCTATACGCGGCTGCAATAGGTTAGGGCGCTCGTCGGCACTTAAGTCCTTAGATGTTACCGAGACAGGCCGGTGTGCAGTTGCGAGACTCTGCTTGACCTTAAACTCGGCGATAATTCGCAGCCAGGCAGTTCCGTATTCGTCTGCTTTAGCCTTTCCAACACCCTTGACAAGTAGGAGTTCACGTTGGTTAGCTGGATGATCATGGGCAATAGCTTCTAGTAACCGATTGCTGGCAATGTGGAAAGCAGGTACGTTTTTGGCATCAGCACAGGCCTTGCGGTGCTGGACCAGCCGATGGTAAAGCGCATCAGATGATCCTTTGCTGAGTGGTGTAGTTTCCTTCTTTCCTTGGCTGCTTGGTACTTTGTTCGGGGTCGTAGGCTGTAGCGGTTGCTTCACCTCGTCGGCGCTGAGTCCGTGTACTGCAACAAATGAGCTAACAGTATGTAGCAATTGCTCGCCATAGTCTTGGACCTTTCGATCGCCAAATCCATGTACTTGTGAAAGCTGACTTTTGTTGGTTGGGCAGGTTCGAGAGAGGGCTTCCAAAGACTTGTTGGAGGCTATGATGAGCTTTTTGCGCTGCTGAACGAGCTGCTCGTACAGCTGCAGTGGCAGGTTGGGTCTCGAGGGTGCATCGCTTTTCTGGCTTCCTACATCAAGGGGCGCAGGGTCAACCTCTGGAGGGCCTTGCTCGTTGGGTAGCTGAGATGCATCTCCCGTAGCCATACCGCTGTGGACCAGGTCGTCCAGATGTCGGTCTTTCATCGCTGTAGAATTGTAGAATTGCTCGGCAGTGGTGAAGTTGGCGCCTGTCCCTTCCGTCGTTGCCCGAAGTCGAAGAGGGATAATTTTCGGCATTGCAAATGGAAGATACGTTTCCGCCAACATGGGTAGCGGTGGCGCTGGGTTCATGGCTAAACGCTTCCCGTTCATGCAGTGGAACAGCATGAAGCCAGCATAAGCATCGTTCGCCGCATATGTTTTCTGACTATCGCCAATCGCTATGCTCCAGTTACTTGTCCGGACTTTTCCCTTCCAGAGTGGGAGACCCAGGTGAGTCTCTACCTGTTTCGACAACGCGCACAGCTTTGTGGTGACAAGCTCGGGATTTTGGGGCCCATGGGAGATGAGGCGGTGCAGATGACTCAATTCGAAGGCGCCTTTTGGCTGCAGACCAAAGTGATCCCTCAGACGCTTGAAGTCGGCATTCATAATGGCGACGCCCGTTTTGATGATGTTCGGTGACTCGATAATGAGCCGCAGAGATGGTGCAATCAGTTCATCGCTTGTCTGGCCCTCGTGGAGGCCAATGTGGAAGAGTGCGGTCTTGCTTTCACTGGCGATCTGTATGAGGCCGATTTTCTCCTGCAATCGCGTGCGCTTGTCGGCATCCCAGGGCCATTCCATATCGAAACCCAGTACGGGCTCATTGATAAAATGCTTTGCGATGAGCTCAGACTGGGTTTTGGTACTGCTGTAAAGAATTCGGACATTTTGGTTCTGAGGGCCTCGGAAGTAGTAGTGGTTCCACCAGCGCCGCGGGGGAGTATCTGGCTGCGGTTGACTCAGACGATACGACATAGGCCATTGGGCCTTGTCGCTGTCGAAGGAGACGCCCGCCGTCTGTGTCCCATCTGTCATCAGGGGAGCGCGTCACGATAGGGAAGCTCAGATGTGCAATGCGGGTACAGTACGCGTTCCAGTCCTATGTTCAGCAATTCAAGCGAAGCATTGAACGAGGTCAGCAACATGAGAGCTGACAGGCACCAAGAAGAGGCTAGATTGTGCAAGTGATTGCCGATTGTCGTGAATTCGATGGAGCTGATGAGCGTGTGTGTTTTGATTTGGACTCGTCCTCGACCTCACTGCCTCCACTGTCTCCGAGGGAGGCGGAGAGGCTGACTGTGGCTGAGACTCGAAAGAGTTTCAGTGAAGTCCCACTAGATACCTACCGCATGGCCTGTGCTCTACCAAGATCAGCGTTATCGGAGCTAAATCAGCACAATCGGAGATAAAGCAAAGCTATCAGTTCCTCGCGTCGTCAACTCGTATGATTATCACCATGTGGTGGTTGCGATGTTCCTTCCACTCTATCAGAAACGAGGCCATGCGCCTCTCGTCAACTCAAATAACCGCGAGAGGTAGCATCCAACGTCCCGGCCCGTATGTCGGCTGTGCCGCCGGTTTGGCGATTGGGGCTGACTTGGGCGAAGTGGTCCAAATTTAGAAGTCCGCAAGGCGCTGAAGGCTGACATCACCCACGCAGCTGGCTCAGCGAATCGTGTCTTTTAGGTTCCTGAATCTCCCATGATCGACAATGCCGTCTGCATCGCATCCCGAACCCTGTTTGTTTGAAGTCGACGCCATTTGTCGGAACCTTCCAATTTGCGCGATGAGGCTATCCGGCTTCAGAAGACGATGCCGACTGGCTGACATGACAGCCCCTTGCGGGTCCTCCCATGCCTTCACCACCTCGTCGTCCAAATTTGCACGTTCATAATCTTCCTCAAATCTTCCCAGATAACCCAACGTTCCTAAGTCTTGAGTACTGAAATAAATTCTTTTCGTACCCTCTCTGAAATCAAAGTGGCAGATACCTGACCCTTGACGCATTAGCAGCCCACTCTTATCACTTGCCATCCACCGCCCAAACCACTTTCCAGCCAACGCTACCAAGGAAATCATCCTGGCGCTGTGACGTACCTCTTCCGGGGTCATTGATTGTCAAGATCCCTTCGGGACAGAGGCAAGGGATACTCAACGGTTGTTTGAAATAGTCTCTCGCGGCTTTCCATCTATCCGAAACCTGCTGTTCCCCATTGAATTGACCATTATAGTGAACGCCGAGGTAGTATGTCTGTACAAATCAGAGGAAAATCCGCAAGGGTTGGACTGATGAGCACTAACCGAATCCCTGCGTAAGAGAACCCAATCGTCCCAAGAAGACTCCCCAAAAATGAGACCTTTTACCTTTCCGCTGTACTGCGAAAGCCGGGGAGGGTGAGATCCTGGTGTTGCATAACGATGGACAATATACAGCATGTTGAAGAGAAGATCGAGTAACACGGCTGCTCAGAGCGTATCGGGAGGGTGAATGCTACCAGATTCATGGTACGTGATCACCGCATTATAGATCTGTTATGTGGCGGATCATCAGCGATTGACCACAAGGAAAGGGGAACGAAGTCAGAGCGATACTTTCTTGTCCAGGCCGTCGAAAAGCTTGCTCAAGATGAGCTCCATTGAGGAATGGCCGAGGGTCAATAGGTCTGACAGCTTCGGTTCCCTCTGTTCGAATGGGGGAATGTTGTTTCCGGCAATCTCATTCAAGTGCCGGCTGGCCACGAGGACTTGTTCAGTCAACTATGTATCAGGACATTAGCAGGAGTTCTTCACGCACCAGATAGTGGTCATTACCCATTTTCGGATAGGTGAGTCTAAGTCTTTGATATCTCCAGCGCCTGTCGACGGGGGAGGAGTAACCGGAGTCGCTGATGCTTCGTGGGAGGGCATTTTGGGAGCAATGACAGACCGATCGTCCTCGAGTGGTACTTGGGTAGATGCGAACTATTCGTAGCGTATCTGTGACAGGCGAACGCCCGGGGGAAATCCAAAGACTAATATGCTCAGCGATCTGCCCGAAATGTTTGCTGCGAGGTCAGGTGTTGGGAACAGGTTGTGGTTCACAGATGACACAAGTGGAGTGGTTCTTTGTTCTCCTCCAACAACCACCCGCTTCTGGACCAACAGATCACCAGATGAGGGACCCGAATGTTTCCAGGACGACCAACAGCGACTCAGAGTGCCAACTTGTGCGATTCACCTTTCCCTGTACATTTCACGCACTTGAAAGATGACTGGACCGTACAGTATTGAACGGCGCGCAAGCCATTGTGGCGCTAGGGAGGTGGCAGTGCACTAAACAAAGGCCAATAGGGGATTTTGGGGCCACCTAGCCACCAACAGAGACTTTACAACCACAGGTCCATCAGAATTGATCAGCACCAATATACACGGATATCAACCATACGAGCCATATGAACCCTTTACGCACTGTTTGACAGTTAGCGAAGCTTTGCGAAGCCTTATTCCAACGCGCTGGCTCTCATCCAAACCACAACATGCCGTAGGGATAATAGGGTTGATTGCATTTGATTGGCAGTTTTCAGAAGTCACTTAATGCAGGCAGTATTATAATACTGGACTTACTAAAAGCAAGAGCTTACCTACTACCTTTTCCCCCCACCAGTAGTTACCGGCTACATTGGAGGCGGAAGGGTGGCGCGTCAGGAACGTGGCATCATGTTGAGCCAGACTCGACTTCTATGGTGTGGAAGCAATCTAAATACACCAAATCGTCGACTTCGGCATCGCAACCTCGCCTTCTATCCACGCGGTACCCATGAGGTGATATCAGTAACGGTCAGGGGACAGTGAGAAACACTCTTCCCACGATTCCTCCTCGTCGTCTCCCTCCTCTCCTTCCTCATCCTCGCCCTCTTCCTCCACTTTCTCGTCCTCATCTTCGCTAGAAGACTCCGAACTGGAAGACTCCGAACTAGTCGAGGAGTCTTCAGGGTCTCGAGGGATAGCTGGGCTCACACCATGCAGCTGTTGGAGGCGATCTAGCATGTGCGCCTTCCAGATGTCCCTGATAGCATTCGTCCACATCTGCTGCGTACTTCTGGGAACGACCATTTTGTCATCGATGCGTATGTTTGATTGGTATACGCGATCGGCCATTCCGTCACCGATGCGCATGTTTGACCGGTATGCGCGATCGCCCGCCAATTCAAGAGGCGGATGGTAGAGGTTGAGCGTTCGGCATCGTTCTTTTTCATCGTAGCCGGGAAGCTTTGATGCTCTAGGGAATGAGAGGTAGCCAATCTCTGTATACCATGTCAACATGTTTCATTGCGGTGATCCTTGCGTCCACGTACCATGTGCGATGGTCTCGTACCAGACCGCCTCGATTCTGGTAGGGGCACAACCGTCCAACTGCAAATACTTGACGGGTCGTGTCTTGAAGGTGTCGAAGATCTCGAAGCGGGGACGGCCATCTGTGCCAACCCGTCGTACGATCCATGGTGATCCTTTAGAGAAGGTTCTGTTCCAGCTAGCTCCGGCATCGAGCTCCGGTTTGCGAGATTCAGATAGTAAGATCTGGGCGAAATCTAGCACCTGTGGAAGGACTTGAAGAAAGAGCGCCACTATCAGAATCTCCATATTATCCATGTGCTCGTCTTTCTCCCCGCGGTCTTCGGCAGCCTGTCTCTCGGCCGGATCCCAAGCCTTATCGATCCATCTCAAAAGCTGAATTGATTAGTCAGAGACTTCGCTGAGAGGGACATGACCCGGAAGTTACCTCCGCGTTGATTCTGATGATCCCGAACTGCGACGGCTTGATGTTCCTGTAATCATAGTTCCGAGTGCCGTCCCAATCGATGAGCGCTCCGCGAATCCCATCATCGACTGCTATCACAAGGGGGCAACCCATTCGTAGACGTTTACCAAGTCCTTGCATTACTTCGCGGCGGTGCTTCGCCTCACGCTTTTTAGGTTCTTCATCGAAGAGGAAAGCCCATGAAAGGTCGTCCTCCTCGATATGTCGGATAGCCCACTAAATCGCATTATGGGTCTTTTTTCATACACATGTCCGGTCAGAATAGAAGAACCAGTGATGCTGAGGGAAACTTTAACTTTACCTGGAAGCAGGATGTCTTCTGAAGCCATGGACTCCCCTGTTCGTCCATCAATCGAAATCCCCAATCTTTCCACTTTGCTTGTAGGTTGGGCATATCTTCCAGTTGGAGGTGCACGATATCACCCAGGGTGGTGGCTATTCTGGTGGATTGTTCAGGCATCACCTCATCGCTTGCACGACGTTGAGATATGGTGGATTGGTCAGGCATCGCCTCATCGCTCGCACGGCATCGAGACATGGTGGCCGGTGTCGGGCAGGTCTGGCAGCTTCAAGCAAGGGTATAGTTCTCGAAGATAGACAGTGAAGTGATTTGACGAAGCAGACTGTTGTGGAGTGAATGTGAGCCATCGACCAAGAGCAGTAGAGCTGTAATTATGTGAATGGGAGCGCGCAATAAATCGAGGGGCGCCAAACCAAGCGCTCAGTATACTCCGGATAAATGCACCCTCGGATGAGCGTGACTCACAAATGGAGATCAGATGGTGGTTTCGGTGATTCACGGATGTATGTGATTCGGAAACCTGAAAATGGGCTTCATGTTCGGACGATTCCCCTTTGACTGGAAGAAGACTGATTGCTCGCATGGCAGTCACCATGGGAGAAATCATCCCATATACGCGGTGGGTCTCAACTGATTGTTTGACATTGTGAGTCGGTGTTGGACCTCCAGTTTGCTTGCAAAACGGTTGTTGGCCTTTTTTCTTTGTTCTGTAGGGGGCCGAGGTGTTGGTACGTCTTCGGCCCAACCAACTCGTTTGTCCCTACGATGTTGGCCCTGGGAAACAGTGTCGCGCTGGTGATTCACACCACGGTGTTCATGCAGATTCATGAGAACCTCGGATGTAACATGGCAGCTCCCTCCTTTCCTTAGAAGTCGTCTGGGTTCTACTCGTAAATTGGATCAGTGGAACATGTGACCCCATGATGTACACATTGTCAGGGCCTCGACGGGAACAGGCGATAAAGAAAGGAGGGCGAAAGGGACTTGACCAAACCCTACGTCCTTCAAGTTTTCATCCACCAATCAAACTTGAGCAAATGGCATCGCCACCACCAGCCTTTGACACCACTCAGCCCAATTAACGAGGTTAGATCGGCTGAGTTGGTTGGTTGGCTGTTTAACGTCTAAGCATGTGCCCTCAAGGGCGATAGGACGTGACAAGCAGTCCACCCGTCCCACCGCCAATAGGTCACCGTCTCTCCGACCGTACCGCGAGCTCCTCCCACCGCCGCGGCAGTGGTTCACCAGCAATTTGGACGGTACGTATCGTCAGCCCCTTCTATCGACGTATGCTCGGCGTCGGGACTCTCTCATATCGTGGTCCGGGGCCGTCGGCGTCACGTCGCTAATGAGTGCGCGCGCCGTGATCCTCGTCGTCAGGTCCTGCGGCGACGAGCGGCACGTCTCCTTTCCCTAAGGTCTGGAACCGTCGCGACGACGACGACCACGACCGCGACGACGACGATTGCGACGACGACCTCGTGAGAGCCCAGTCCAAACCGCGGGTGATAAGCGGCAGGGTGTCGGTTCGAGTCCGGCCTGGACCAAACTTTCTTTGCCTCCGAGGGGCTTTTGTGCAAATCCCCTTTCCGACGTTTCGATTCGAAGGAACCATGATCATTCAAGTGAGTGCAACACCACATACTGTCGTAGTGACCATAGTCGGATCTCTAATGCGAGTGTGATGAGACTTTCGCATAGCAACTACACATGCTGCTTGTAGAGCCTTAGGCGGTGTGCGAAGTCAAACAAGACAACGCTGGACCCCGAATGGCGAACCAAGAGGCGCCAGACCACTGCATGCCACGACACTGGACAGGCGATGATTAAAGAACGAGCAACCGACGCGCCCGGGGATGCCTTTCGCTATGTACGCTGCGAATGCCGCATGTCAAGGTCTCAGTCTCTGCGATGGCAGCCGAGTGTATCGCCATAGTCGCACCTCGTTGCAGTCATGCCGAGGCGAAGGTGGAGGACGAAGGCGACCTGATCTCATGGTACAGTTGGAGACCGGACAGTGGTGGAGGAGGAACACGAAGGATGGAATAGGCCGTCAAAGGGTGGTGTCAGCATGGCAACGATGATAGAGTCAGAGGTCGCTTCATGAGGACGACCAAGTGTGGTACATTATGATGTTGAAAATGGCTGTTTCATCAGCATCAATTCGTGTTCACGAGACCTCGACAGACCAAAGCCATCACGTGTTGATTTGGCATCTCGCTTCTGAAGACATCACCAGCCTGCCAGCTTGAAGAGCAGACGTGGTTAGAGTGTATGGGCCTATTGGAAACCACTACCCCCTTTGGTGGCGCTCAAATAAAGGAGCACTTAGTGGTGCCAAGAAAGAACAATCAATAGCAGTACGGTAACTCGAACCGCCGAGCCCAATTTCGGGTGCGCAACTGCGGCTGGCCATCTTGGCCATCTGCTAGCGAATTTCTCGTATGGATGTTGGGTTATCACCTCAGACCTGCAGCATCGCAAGCGGTCGCAGCAGAGGTCATGCGATTCAAGACGGGAACACGCCATGACTGGAAATGGTTCATTTGGGGCTCTCATATCGTCGTGACTTTGAACAGTTTACCACGGGCAGTCCGCGTGTCGAGCTTCCGTACATTGACGTAAGCGGTACAACGGATGGTGGAGGTGGAATGTCCACCGTGGAACTTGGAGATTCCCGTCTAATTTGTTGGTCCCGATCATGTTCGGTTTCGGTCCGGGTGGGCCAACGGCCCGTGATGTCATCAGCCATGGATCTCGTGGAACGCATTGAAGCATCGATGTTTCGTCGGTATCGTCCTGTCTTAGGCGTTTTCGGTAGGAAAATCCGAACTTGGGAAACTCTCTAAATGTACCTCTAAAATGCTAGGCCCGCCCGAAAAACACTAGATAATAGATTAGCGCCTAAATACGCAGCTAAATACGATTAAAAAGGGATATATTATCGTAATATAACTAAGGGTATATTTTAAATATATTCGACGTTTTTCCCCCTTATAACCTTTTATAAAATATACATTTTTATTAAATCCGACTTTTTTAAGTTATATTATAATTAAGATAAATTGATACACTGTAGTATATTAATTTTAAATAAATTATAAAGTTTAGAAAGTTTAATTAACTTTTGACTTTTATATACCTTATTTTCAACATATTTAATATTATTATTAATATATATTGATAAATAGTTACTATTTTAATAAAAACGTTTATTTGAGCTTTTTATACTTTATAGTTGCTTTTTAACGCTATATTCACGATAATAGAGAGAAAAAACGATACCAATAACAAGTTATAATTCTATTTATGTAATGGAAAAAAGATAGTTAAACGTTTACTATTTAACGTTATAACTTTAAATTTTAAGAAATATATATATTATAAGGCATACTTTTTTTACCTTGAAAACTAAGTTATTATCTATCTTTATTTTAAAAATAATAATTATATTAACACTTAATAATAACTTTTTAATTTTTCTACGATATATATAAAACAACTTACTTTTTAAGACTTTAAGATTATTTGACGCTACTTAATGTTTACTTTTAACGATATTTTTATTAAAATGCTAGATAATATAATTTATTTATTTAATAAACTCATTCCTTTTATTGATTAATGTAAAGTTTGATTTGAATATTGTTGTCATTCTCAAGTATGCTCGGCAGGGCTAATCTACAGCTAAATACCATACTGCACTATGCCAGAGTGTATCCACTGTTCCCTTAACAGCCCCCTAGTGGGTACTGCACCTAAGGGCACCATATCTAGGATCCAACATCTGACACTAGGTAAATATATTTAGTTTTTAAGATTTATAAGGTTTTAAAAACGGATAAGAATTAATGACGATTTATAATATTAAAGCTTATTAACAGTAAGATATTTAAGTACCTATATTAATGTTGTTTTAAATAAATAAGAAAAAAACACGTTTAATAAAACAAAGTCTTTAAATATAAGATAAAAAACACCGATTTAACAATTCTACGCTATAAATAACGTAAAGGTTTACTTATATTTATAAACACCCAAAAAACGGCAATTTCTAAAGACTTAAAATATATTAAGCGATAATCTTTTATACTCTTATCACGCGCTGCACTTAAATCGCTATAGTAGGCGGAATACGGGTGTAGCTTTTGTTTATTTCTTAAGTTCAGGATTTTCCTACCGAACACGCCCGTTCGCATCTTATTTGGCCATCGTAGGACTCGTTACGGTCCCACACCGTGTCTAACCGCTGATAAAATGCGCGAGCCGCTCAATTGTCAATTGGCAACCGTGACATGTGATGAGATCATTGTCAGTGGATTGCAGTAGTAGGACCCTGTGACATGTGAGACCCTGACACTGCCCGCCCAGTGCCCAGGGGCCCCAGGTGGATCTGGACCCTGAAGACCTTAATTAGATCATCGAGTGGATACGCCCACCGGTGGGTGATTAGGTATGGTGGAGATTGGCGTACCCCACATGGAGCCGAGGGCGGCTCCAGGCGCCTTTAGGAGTTCCAACATGATGGGTCCATGGCCCTCTTACCTTTAGCAGCTTAGGTACCTAAGTAGTTAATAGTGCCGTTGCGGCCGTCTCGCCTGTGTACATGCTCTGTACGCAGCAAAGACTCTGCAGAAACACACCCGACTGCAGCTGCAACTGCGTAAATTGGGGCCGAGACGCGTGCGGGGGACGACTGGATTGGGGCTGAGCCATTCTGCATTCTGAGCCACCTTGCGCCAGTCACGGTGCGACGACCAGGCACGCGCGGCTTGGCAGTAGGGTCCAGTTAGCGACGGAGGCCAGACCGCCAGGGTCACTTAGTCCGTACCAGCGTACCCCGTATAAGCCGCCGGTGTTCAGCCGTTGCAGCTGTAGGTACCCACCCGTTACCGTCACCGTCACCGTCACCATACCTACTATGTAGCTTGAGGGGTCTCGGGGGCGTGCCCAGGGTCTCGCGGCATGGGGCCTGGGGCCTGGACGGCTGGAGGCCTGGCCGACCGGAAAACGCCCCCAAACGATAGTTACCGATGGTCCAAAACAATACCGCTCCACTATGTATCGATGCGAAGATCGCCTGAAGCGGTTTGCGCGTTTGGGGGAGCAGCAAAAGCCCGCACACTGCACAGCCCTGACAGCCTGCAGACTGTACTGTATTCGTAGGCGACCTAATGTGGGTAGCCGGATCCATGCATCCGAGGGAAGCTGAATTACAGGCTTTTGGCTTGGCTAACGGTTGAACCCGCCAAAACGGACAATGGAAAATGAAGAGGAAAGGAGGTGTCCCGACAAGCAGGACAAGAGAACTGCAGACTGCAGAATGCAGGCCCTGACTCCCACTCCTGGGCAGCGCTTGAGGAAGGGGCCAATGCCGCGTGTCACGTCTCGTCCCTTCTGCTCTTTTGCCGTGTCATGCCTGCCATTGACCATTGACCATTGACATCCCACTGCCCTGGTGACTGCCCTGGTGACTGCCCTGGTGACTGCCCTGGTGACTGCCCTGGTGACTGCCCACTGCCCACTGCCAACTGCAACTGCCAACTTTCCAAGGTACCTGCTCCTCTCGTCTCGCAGTTGCCAATCTGTCCCGACTCTCACCCACCAGACCAACGGGTATCCCCAGGGCAGTGTGGATTCTGCCGTGCACACTTAAGGAAGGAAGGGTCTGGGTCTGGGCCTGGTAGCCTGCAAGTTGTTGCAACTCGGCAACTCCAACCTGCTCCTGCCTCTGCCTCTGCTTCTTTGTGCAAGGTGTTGTCCCTCTCTGTGCCCCAACCTGAGCTTGCCTGATTGTTTCTCAAGCATCTTCTACCAATCTTCCATCATTCCTTCATTGATTCACTTCAAGTTCTTCGTCCACGCATACCTCATCACACCCATCACACCGGGCCAACGCCAACGCTAGGGTTCAATACCACCACCACCACCACCACACTGGGCCATTGGTTGTTTGCCAGACCGCGAGACAGTTTGCCATTGTTCGGTCGCCTTCTTTTCTGCACCGTCTGCAGCCACTCTCTCTCTTCCTTTTATTCCGTTCGTATTCTCGACTGCAACCGAACAGCGAACAATTCGCATACCAGTCTCGAGACAAACCACCTTCAGAACCGACAATCTGCCCCTGGGCCGGCCTCGATCACCACGGTACCCGACCAAGAGCCGACATGGCGACTCGGGACAGAACCCTGACACCGCGCGCGGTCAGGTCATTGATTGCCGAAGGACACAGCATAGTCATCTTCGAAGACAGCGTGCTGAAGCTCGACTCCTGGCTCGAGAAGCATCCCGGAGGTCAGCTCGCTATCAAGCACATGATAGGGCGCGATGCGACCGACGAGATCAAGGTGTAAGTGCTCCCACGCATCCTTGTCTTCGTTCCAGCGGCTTCGCCCGTGTCCCAACCTGCCTCCCAGTCCAGTTCCAGTTCCCAGTCCAGACCCCAGGTGCAGTCGCAATCCCAATCCCAATGCCAGTCTATTACCCATGGTCAGGCAATGCCCGAGACAAACGGAATAACCTGAGCCCAGAATTGCGGTGCATATTTTGAAGCTGCATTGTGTGTGCGTGTGTGTGTGCCAATAGTCAAGCGTCAAGCGGTCCATGTCCCAGTCCCAGTCCCAGTGGATGGTGGTGCATTTGGGGGTTGGAAAAGTTCAAATAGCTTCCTGGGTGTGTAGGAAGTTTGAAAGTTCGAGGTTCCCCAGATTTGCTTATGCTTACTCATATACCCGATCCATCACATGCATCACCATGCCGTAACTCCACCATCACTCTCACTATCATAAACCCGAACATGGCCCGCGCTCCGAACCCTCTATAACACACTATTTGATGGCTAAAACTTTGGTGTGGGGAATGCAGGAACCATTCGGCGGCCACACTCAAGACCATGAAGGCTTTTCGGATAGGCCGGAAGCTAGCTGGACCCTGGACCAACATGACACCCCCAATCAGAGGCGGCGTCTTCGTCAAGGAGAAAGACGAAGAGGAAGACTATCCCCCGTCTTCTGCCTCCGACACGGACACGGACCTGGATACCGCCGACGATAGCATCAGTCTAGCGTCCGACCGGAGCTCCCTGACTTCTTCCACCTCGCTCACTGCCGACTCCGTCAGCCACCTCCGCCAACGACGGCTTCCCATCCACTTCCATGACGCCGAGCTGCCCGCCGAGGGCAAGGATGAGGCTCATGGCAATGTCTACGCCATGTCTGCTGCAGAGTACACCGAATTCGCCGTGCAGCAGAATGTAGAGGAATCCCGTATCGACTACCCGTCGCTAGATGCGGTCGTGCAGCAAGACATCGTTCGCCGATACCGAGCCTTGCATCAACGTGTCGAAGATGAGGGTCTGTACGATTGCCCGTACGTCGAGTACGGCAAGGAGATGATCCGTTATACTGCCCTATTCGCGGCATTCATGGGAACTTTGTACTACGGCTGGTACATGACGTCGGCTGTCTTCTTGGGTTTCTTCTGGGTTCGTCAAAAGCCCCCTATCACCTCACCCGAGGGCATTTACTAACATATTTCTAGCAACAAATCATGTTCACTGCTCACGATGCCGGGCATCGGGCTATTACTCACAACTTCGTTGTGGATACCCTCATTGGCATATTCATCGCCGACTTCTGCTGCGGCTTGTCGATTGGCTGGTGGAAAAGCAGTCACAACGTGCATCACCTTGTGACAAACGCACCGGTCGGTTCCTACCTTTGACCTTGGAGGGAGGATTTGATTGCTAACATCACTACAGGACCATGACCCCGATATCCAGAACACGCCGCTCTTCGCAATAGCGCCTCAATTCTTCCGAAACATCGTATCTTCGTACTACGGCGGCTTCGTATTCTATTGGGACGCCTTTGCCGATTTCATGATCCCCATTCAGAAGTACACCTACTACCCGATCATGGCCGTGGCGCGTTTCAACCTGTACATGTTGTCATGGTTGCACGTCCTGTCGAAGAGATCCTCAGGACTCGGCACGGCGAAGTGGATCCGGCCTACCGAGATTGCTTTCATGACCATCTACTGGTACTTCTTCGGCTACCTTCTGCTCTGGTGCTCGCTGCCAGACTGGAAGAGCCGCGTTGCCTTTGTGCTGGTGTCCCATATCGCCACCTTCCCGCTGCACGTCCAGATCACCCTCTCGCACTGGGGCATGTCTACCTCGGACCTGGGCGAGTCTGAGTCGTTCCCCCAACGCCAGCTGCGCACCACCATGGACGTCGACTGCCCCAAATGGCTCGACTTCTTCCACGGTGGCCTGCAGTTCCAAGCTGTGCACCATCTGTTCCCGCGAATGCCGCGACACAACCTCCGCAAGGCCCAGGTCTTGGTCCGCGAGTTTTGCAGAGATACCAACATTCCCTACTCGATTCTGGGCTTCGTGGATGGCAACCGTTATGTTCTCAGCCATCTTGACCAGATTAGCGATCAGGTCAGGATCCTGATCAACTGCCAGAAGCACATGGCAAAGACGGGAGAGTCGGGACTGCACTAAATGTATACTGCGGCTGTGTAAAATTGGTGTAGATACAACGGAAGGCGACTGTCTCTTATGTTTTTAGAATTAAAAGAGAACGAGATTTCTCCCCAAAACTCCCTGTGTGATGCAACATCGCCTTGACTACCCTCGCCTACGACTTGCTGTCGCCTACCCACGTGTTAAGCTGACCAATGTCGCTCTGAAACCCCTTGGGACACGGCCAATGCCCATGTACAGGTCTCAAGAGCTGTCCTGGGCCCATTGACCTATCCAACGAATGTGGGTTTCAGCCGTTTTTGCAATCCCGCAAGCCCCGAGACCGCCGTTAATGGGGAATTCCTTGCCCAAGGTCTATATGGGACCCGGCTCGACGACATCAACGCTTTTCGTACTGCCCTCGGAACGATTTAAGTGCCTGTTTCATGTCGCGTTTGGTGGGTTTGAAGCTCAGCATTGGTAGGTACCTAATAACAGGAAGTGGTCGTATATACGTGTGGGTTATCTTGAAGTAGCCTACGGAAAGGAAAACCGCCCTCCTTTCCTACGTGTGCTATTGAGCTCAAACCGAGTCCGATGGAAACTTGGCGAAGTGAGACTACTAGGTTGATAAGACCTACGAGATATATTGGTATATCGATTGTGTCGTTGGCCGGTTTTGCTACGTCTTGATCATTAGTTGCTTGACCAGCTGGTTTCCCCTGACGGACTCTTACCGTGGCCGGCTCGTTGCCCGTCCGTCGCTTAGGCCATTTCTTAGGTACTTATACTTATTCTTTCGATGTGAGGTCATGGCTAATGGAGTATCCTTTAGCGCGGTTCAACACATTGTCTTTGTCTGCAGTCTCCATGCCGGCGTGAGAGCTTCTAGCGAGCTGAACAGGACAGGACAGGACAGCCGCCGCTCCCCAACATCACCCCCGACATGCGGCAGAAGCGGAACGTGCCGGGTCGATAGCCTTCCAATCTTCTGCCTGATTGCGGACAAGGACGTGGTCAGGTTCTCGGCAGTCACATACCCCGAGATCCCGTGCGTCGTGTAGCCAGACAAGTGAGATCTTCACGGAGGAATATAGTAAGGGTGGACCTTGCAGGACGTGGTGAACCACCGTGGCGAGGTGTCAGCAGTTGTATAAGCATCGTTATGTATCGCCGCTGCGGGCTGGCGCGACGGAATGGTAAATGCCGGGGCTACTTCATGGGCAGGTTGGGATCGTGGTTGTGGCTTCGAATGGGTGTGTATAATGAGAATGTCATGGGCTGGCAGTCCTTAAAGAGCCGGCCGGGTTGGCGAAATGGACTGGTTCCCCGAGGGCGTCACCGATGCCGGGACTCGTTGTAAGATGCATTGCTAGTAGATGCTCTGGACAAATAGCCAACTGACTCATCTAGCTTGATCATACATGACACGCAGCGACCGTGGGCTTTAGCTTGGCTATACCAATCACTCGAAGGCACAGGTGCAGCACTGACTGCGTATAGTTGTAGATTGCAATGATGATTAGCATGTAATTTCTTGCATAAACCAAGACTCGCAACTTAGCCATCTGATACCCCTTGACGGAGGCCATGTATGCCTCGGATGATGCATCGAGTTCGTATGTCTCGTGTGCAGTAAGTCCGGTCAGTCTCAGTCTAATACACCCGAGTAAATCATAAGAACGTTTCATTATTAATCAACATAACTTCCATGATCTGTTAGGCCTCGAGCTTGTTGTTCTACACTTTCCTTCTCGAAACCCCCCTAGATCTAAGTCGAGAGGATTGTCATCGCTCCGGCGCGATCAGTCATCCGACACGGCTGGTCTCTCCATCTCTCGCCATAGTGCGAGTCCAGCCGACGACAGCCCTCCGTTTGTCAGACACCACTCATCCAACAGACTCTAGCCAGGCAGTGACAGCCCCAGTCCTTGCAGTACCGACCGTGCTTCCCGCACCTGCTCGTTGGAATACTGCGGAAATGGACGATGAACCGCATCAATGGCGTTCGAGCGCATCTTGATGAACATCCCAGCATGTCCGCGCCGTCGCCGCAGAATATTGACGACGGTCTCGGGCTCGTGCTGTAGCTCGTAGATATCCCCATGATATGGGGGGCCGGGCATGGTGTTGTACTGCCCATGCCTGATTTGCTTCTCATAGAATCTCCGCACCAATATCGTGCCTGGACAGATTTTGATCAGCAACCGCAGTTCTCCGTTTCGGAGGATGCGCTGCACTGATCCTGCTTACGTAACAGATTAGAGCTGCAATAGTGTGCCTCGGGTCTGATAACCATGTACATATCCTCTCCATCTCCATATTTCTTGGTATCTGGCTTGAGCCGCAACAGCAGCCCCAACATACGGTCGATTTCGGGTCTGACGTCGAGATTGACCTCGACTTGGATCACTGGCTGGTCTATCACCAAAGGGGCCGAGGTTCGTGATCACCGGCATAGCACCCTTCCAAATGCGCCTTAACTTTTCGCTGGCCGTGGAATCTAGTTCTTGCCCCCCTGACACAAGAGCTTGCCAGATATCGAGGATTTGGGGCACGAGCTGGAAGTATAGCGCGGCGAAGACTATCTGGTCGGTCGGGTGGTCACGTGGCATATCCCGATGGTCCAACATGCACGACCATCGAAGTAGCTGCAACATCGATCAACCCAAGTAGGGGTTCGTACTTGGGGATAATGGAGGTTTCTTACCTGGTAGTCGAGTCGCAAAGCGCCCGCGGTATGCAGCAGCGCGGGAGACTACTAGGGGCGCCGGCCATGTCGTGGGGATTTTCCTGAATCCTTTGTAATCGACCAAGGCGCCGGACTTCTTGTCTTGGATGACGATGACCAGTGGATAACGTTGCTCGACTGCGTGGCCAAGTTTCAGGAGAGTGTCTCTGTTAATTCCCAACAGCACCAGAATGTTGCTGTCATACAGCAGTCTAGAGCTGACCATTTGCAGAAAACAATAAAACTGAGACGTGACTTGAGGATTAGCATACGGGCGGCAAGATAGTGATAGCTGGTAGGGTATAGCGCACATTCCTCCGGGCGTAGTTGCCTCCCGGAACATATTGCGTTGGCTCATTGCTGTGCTCATCTATGATAGTGAGCTCGTCGAAGTATTGCGTAGCCATTCCGCCGTGGGGATCGAGAGAGTTCAGGGAACAGTCCAGTGGGCGAATTGCAGACAAGGGCAAAGTTGGTTATGCAACGACTTGTGGGATCTCGAAATCCTGATATATAGAGGCATGGCTCCTACAAGCGATGCAATTAGAAAGTCGAAGACCTACCAGTCACTACCAGTCACACAACTGACCAAGCTCAGGCCATGATTCACACAACATAGTCATGAGTCAAGGTCCGGGGTCGGAGCAGATACTTCAATGCTCTACTGTGACAAGAAATTGTAACAGAGTAGGAGATCGATCTCGTAGACAAAGGAATGATAGATTTGCGGTGTCACCAACACCCAAAATTTGGCATCACTGGTGTTCTGCTGTGACTAAAAGTTGTAGCAGAAGAAGATATCGAACTCGTGGACAAAGGAATGATAAATTTGAGGTGCCACAACACCCAGGATTTGACTTCACTTGCCGATTCTCGAGTACAATGAACTACCTAGACAACTGATTGTATAGTCAGCAACCAACAGATCCTCAAATTGTGAGCCAACCTGACTGTGCAACCAGCTGTTTGTTGGTGCTCACTCGGGTTTGAGCCGTGGAGTAACGGAGCACTGGAAAGTGACGCGCTGCCCACATGTCGACTCGATCTGTGGTCTTCGAATAGTGAGCTGCACATTTGACACGTAGTTCCAGCGCAGATAACAGAGTGTTCTCACCATGCAACCATAATCGCTACCTAGCCGGCACCGTCCCAATTTGGCGGTACGTGAACCGCGTGTTTTCGGCAAGCTGGCCTCAACGCCGCAATTTTTTCTTGAACCGTCCGTCCTACGCGACAGCCTGGGGGGCAAAAGCATATCTGGGCATCATCGCCATCCTCTCCTCCGGGCTGAGCTCATCCTCGTATATCATCTTGACATTCTTGTCTTTCTCCTTCTTGGACTTCTTGTCCGGTGCGGCCTCTTCCGCGGCCGGCTGGGCAGTGGCAGGGGTATCGGGCTTCTTCGGGGGCTTGATGCGGTTCTCGGCCATCCTGATGAGCGCGTCGATCTCGTCACCCTCTGGCTGCGGCGCGCCTGACACCAGCTCGTCGATGGTCGAGGCATTTCCTTGCCAGCCATGTTGACCGGGACGAGCGGGGAGCCCAGGAGGAGCAGCAAGATTGCTTCCGGGCCGCGCGGGTAGACTCGAGGGAGGATACGCTTGAGGGTATTGCGGCGGAGGGGTATAACCGGGGACGGGTTGTTGAGGGTATCCGGGGAACTGGCCACCGGGCGGCGCAAAGGGCGAATTCTAAGTGAAACAGTCAGTAACTTATAGCCATGTAGCTCGAGGGGACGTACGAAAGCGCCAGGGGAGCCATTCTGTGCCGGACTGTGCCCATCGGGAAGACCCTGCGTAGGTGTATGGGTAGCGCTTCCACCCGCAGCTTTCTGGGCAGCGGTCCGCGCGCGGTGTTCGGCCAGTCTCTTTTTGAGCTCATCTGCTGATTCAACCTTGATCTTCTTCGCCGGCCCCTCCTTACCACGCTCTCCCGGCGGGGGATTCCCCGTCGCTGCGAACCGTTCGGCTTGTTGTTGGTAGAATGTCTGGATGATTCGCTGGTTGTGTTGCTGGACTACATCCTCCGGGATACCTTCCATACCAAAGATCTCGACCTCGAGGCCCTGTCGGTTGGGGAGGGCATTCTCGACTGTGGTCAAAGACTCCTTGTGCACCTGATTCATATGAACCGAAAGACCTGCGATGTAACGCGGTCAGTTTCTTGTTGCGCACGCGTTGGAGTTGGAATATAGAGCTGGCATACCTCCTGCTGTATTCAGTCGTCGTCCACATCTGTCACACTTGAAGTGCTTGGCCTTCTGATGCGATATCAAGAGCTTCAGATCCTCGAAGTCTCGTTCGCCTGCAGAATTGTCAGCTTAATCCCGTTAACTAGGACTTGCGAGGCGCACAATAGTAGCACCATGCTCGCGAGAGGATCTCCTCGATATCGGGGTGGCCACGCTTTTTCTTGCCCATAGTGAACGATGTCGCGCCCAGAGCTGCGTATTGATGTGCGGTATTGCGATTGTAGCGATAAAGACGAGGGGCGGAATGAATTGCGCAAATAAACCCGAGGAGCGCGTACTCGTTAGCGATGGTCGCGCATTGGAAATGGCAGATTCCCCTTGGCTTGAGGTTGGAGGAGGTTGAGCTTCAGCCTCAAAAGTGTGGCGGCCAAGGTGTGGCTGTGCAATTCTAGTACCCTAGCGCCGCCCAGGCCATCATCAACCTCATCTCATCACGAAAGTTGCCTGGTACAGTTAATCACCCATCACTGCCATCCAGACAATGGCCGATGGACATTGTCTTCACATGCAAAAGACATAAGGATTCCCACCATTCGAGGAAGTCCGATTTAGGAGACAAGGTGGCATGTGTGATGGATGTCGAGCGCAAGCGAATGAAACCCCGTTTCCTGCTAACCTCGGGTCTCAAAGTCCTAGCGCGTGACGCGAATCTGTCCGGCATTGAACTGCAGCGACAGAATGCTCAATATGAGACGATTCGATCTGAGAAGACATCACATCCATCATAATCAAGGATCCTCCAAGGAGGAGAACTGCTGGTTCAAACCGAGCCCCTTTACCTGTGCTAGCTCGACATGTGTAAGTGAAGGTTATTCCTTCATTGAACGTTCCAGTGACAGAGATATCTGGTACGAATCCCCTCCCATCACCAAATATTATCAGATGAATACGGTGATCACTAGATGAATGCCACAATTGCCGAATTGAGGTAATACTATGCAATATACATGTGCTCTTCGAGCCACAAAGAGCGCAGACGACACACATGAGGTATACTCGAGTTCGTATAACATATATTTCCTATTCAATCCGCAACCGGGGGGTTTCTGTCTGAGGCATTATATTTCGCAGTGGCCCAACCTGGAGGTTAGGAACGCTCGCCCTTGGGCTAGAGAAGAATCATCTTGAGTATAGAACATGACAGCGTGAGAGCGACCAACCGCGCAATTAGATACTGCTATACGTTTGTAAATACTACACGGCTGTTCGACGCGTGGCTAGGTTCCATCGATCTGATGTCAGCTACCTGACCAACACGAAGCTAGGTCGCCAAATCGCCAAACAGGTAAGATTCCTTAGCCAACACCTGCAGAGGAGCAGCGAATCGCAGCGGCGGAATCCGTCTCCAGGGGTTCATGGGCCTGCTGTGTGGTCCGTGCTCATAGGCAAAACCACAGCTTGGCTGTCTGGCAATTCAGCGTCGACCTCATCACGTGATTGGAGGCATATCCTCTAACACTGTAGAAAGTCACCCAGTCAACACGACCAGCTGAGTCAAGCACGCGAGTCGGCCATTCATGCTGCAAGCCCGCCGTGAATCAAGCATAACATGACACTCTCACAGAATCACCCAATCAGTAGCAGATATGCTACAGCGACATGTTGGTGATCGGGCGCACCATCACGTCAACCCCAATCTGCGTCGTTGACATCATCTTCTCACGGCATCAATGACAACTAGGCGCAGCCTGCTTGGTCATCTGTAGAATGACCAAGGCAAGAACTCGTTCGTGCAGACAGCAGCATGAGAGCACTTGCCTGAGTGCAGTGTTTTGAATGTGCGTATAACATTTAGGGGTGCATCGTGTAGGAAAGAAATCGTGTTCGGCGAAGAAGCCAGTTTCGTTGCTTGCTTTACCGAGCCGATGCGATCATGCTGTGCTCGCTTGGGCACTGCGGAGCCGGCGACAACATATTCTGCTGAACTGGCGTGGGCTGCGGTAACCAGCTCATCTGGAACTTCCCAGGGACGATGAGGCTACTAGAAATTCCTTCCTCTGAGAGAGCAGCACGGATTGGGGAATGCGTCGAAAAGTGCATGCGAAATTACATCCGGCTTGAGAACACTCGCTCATGCTAGATGCAGTAGGGTACCAGGCGATGTGGTATGCAGGCCGCAAAAGAGATATCAACCAGATGGTAATATGAGACGAAGTATATGAAACTCGCAATAAGGAGAGAAAAGAAAGAAGCCACCTATAAGGCTCGACGACAGCGAAGATGGTATCAGGTATGGAGTGAGGCTGCAAGTAAGAGCGGAGTGTCCTGTGATCAGGGCCAGGACTTCCCAGGACTGAATTTCATCTCATCGGATAAGGACTACTCCTGCAAGAAGATGCATCGGTGTGAAGGACGGTAGCGGAGGACCAGACTCGACAAGACTCACAGTAGATGGCGTGTGGTATAAATGTAGCGCCAGTAGCGTTGTGATACCCGTGGTTTGCTGCTTGGTGGCTGGCGTGACTCCTCAACACTCAACCACTGGGCCGTGGGTGGTCCCATCGACTTGCAGAGAGTTCTGGCCGATATGTTGACGTCCGACGACACTTGGGTGCGGCTAACAAGCTACACAATATCAGACGTCGATCCGAGGGTAGTGTGGCGGGTGATAAGGTGGTTGCATGCAGGATGTAAGTCGGAATGCTGTCATCTGATTGGTCTGTGGGGGCAGAGACGCACCCCTGCCTCGACACACACCCATAAAAGCCGGTCTCCCCCCCCCCTCCCCTACTCCAAATTCCACACCTTCTTCCCCTTCATCCACAACCTCCCCTATACCATCAAGAATCATCAAAACCAGCCCCAGGTCACTTGAAACCATCAAGTTCCACCAAGAACAAGTCATGGAAGTCACATACATACCCTTTGATGCCTCTATAGCCCATACGAGGCGTAAGCCTACTCATACGCAGTACGACTCGTACCGCCAAAGACTAGGGACTTCACCCAACGGTCGAAGTTCCCTAGACCACGGCCGGTCCTCCAAATATGAAGACAAGTACTTCATGGGTCGCGAACCACGTCGTGCACGTGACCACGCGGCTCCCATGATGCCAGGTAGGAGCCAACGCAGCCAACAGCTTTGGAAGTCGTCTCATCACGATCTGACAGTTGTAGATGAGAGTATGCCGCTGTACCCTGCATCAAGACGTCGTCAATCGATCGTGATGCCGTCAGCGACATCACCTGGCTACTCACCATTAGCAGTGCCCGTAACACCGCCATACAGGCACGGTCAGGATGAGAAGGATCGATACTACCTCGCGCATGAGCCCGCCAGAATAGCTTCAAGGGTTGACGTGCCCTACAGCTATGGGCAGGTCATTGAGAGCAGGCGAAGCCGGAATCACGGCCATGCAAGATCTGGAGCTCGAAGGTTGACCCCGGAGTCTCCCGATACCCGAGCTCTGCAGATCCTGGGCACAGGCCTCGAGAAAGACGTGCGCTTTCGTGATAGGGATAGCCTCATTGCTGGATTAGGGGAGCGGTTGACAGGAACGTATGAGTATCGGCCGAAGCCATCCAGTCCTGACTATGACCGGCTTCTCGATCAGCCCTTGGGCACCAGGCGTGGCCGCGCCAGCACCAGCAAAGAACCAGTTCCGCGACTGCCTAGCCCCGACCACTCCAGGGAGAGGCAGAGGCGGCAGAGAACTCATCCTCCGGCAGCACCTCAGATCTCAAGGCTCCCCACGCCGGACTTCGAGATGGATTCCAGTGAACGGGACTTGGCGGATTACCGCTTTTGCGCATGTTGCGTCTCCGATGACGAGGAGTGTGATGAAGCGCGGTGGAGAAAAGGGAAAGTCAAGATGGACAGACAAGGTACATTTTCTTCCGCCTAGACGACTTGAGTTGCGGCCAAGCACCGTGATCCATGGCAAGCCAATGCTGACTGTCGACAGCGAATGCTGCAAGGGCTCACATTAAGCGTACATCGATAAGCGGACGGCTGATCGGTGGTGCCTGAAAGTGGCATGGGTTTCTGATCGGGTTGTTGTATGCAGGTCGGCGTATCGTGCGTACGAAGAACTGAAAAGGGGACAGGCAACGATATTTCCATTGGGTCTTGTCAATGGAAAAGATGATACGAGTACGTGGACGGCGTCTTGGTGTAGCACTAAGCGATTCTTTCAAATCAGAGTCCTGGGGACAGTGGTGTGCCTAGAGTAAGGCAACAGTGATTCAAGAACACATGAGGTGAGGTCGCGGAATCTAGGACTTTGAGTTGACGTCTGTGGTGATGTGACTGTTGTCATGTTGGTTGTGTGGATGAGCCACATGTGTGGCTGGTTGCCTCCCAAAAATAGTGGGGCGGTTAGGCAGCAATACGAGATGTGGCTTGCTTCCTTCCGTCACAGTTGGCGCGAAATGAGGCGCAGCTGAGAACCCCTTGGATGACATCAATAGCCCCCATTCAAGATGTCCTCCTAACAGTTGAGAGATATTAAGATACCCACGAACGAACAAAATCCCAGGGAGACAAGTATGATAACTTTTGAATTGATTTACGAGGCATAGATTGATTCACGAGGCATAGCCGAGACATGACTTACATAGGATGGCGAACCGCAAAGGTTGCCGGGAAAGATCCCACTAACTTACATACGACGGCTTTGCCCATTCAGTCAAGACTTCTTGACAGCTGCCGGATACTGCTCAGACTTACTCATCATTGCGCGCAGCCTCTTCACTGCTATTGGCGCCAGTGATCTTGCTCGCTGAAGCCGAACCCCTTGTCACCCTACGGGTTATGTAACGGTCCTTCTCCTTCACAGCGCGCTGGCGAACACGGCATTCTTTGCACGTCTTGAAGCCCACTGCCGCAAAGTTGTTGCACGAGAAACCATCGAGCCCCCGCATGGGAGAACATGGGCGATTCGTACTTAACAGCGCCTCGTTGACGGGCTGCGTTGGCCACCGACAACTGCTACAACACCCGACGCCGCCTTCGGCCGGACGCTTTCCGCAGTAGTAGCACAATCCTTTCTCCTTCCATTAATTTGACGAGAGCCTTGTTTCGCACAGTGGCCTCTGCATTGTGACGCTCGCAGCGCCTGCCTCCGGTAGCAGGAGGTAGGGGACAATCCTTCGTGGTGCAGAATCGAGGAGTGCGATTACACCGCTTTTTGGGCTTCTCACCCTTCGCTTGTCTCAGTCGGTCCTCGGCTGCCTTGCTGAGTTTGTTGTGACGGGGCCTTCGTGGATCTTCCAGGTGCATGTGGTATAAGCATTTATCGCTGCCCAAATCCTGTTGGGCGAGATCAGTACTGGCCGGAGCTGTGCAATGGGTGACAATGGCTTCTTCAGTATCCATTTCGGTGGCGTTACCAGACGCCTCCTCCGGGATCGAGGGCTCGGCAGTGAGCTGCTCCCACTTCGTTGCTTCAGCTTCCATGTGTTGCTCGCACGTCGGGAAGCCTTCAGCAGAAGGTCTCGAACAGCGCGACATGCAGCACACGTCATTCATAAGAAAATTAATCGAGCACACGTCGGCGCGCTCAGCGGTGTCGGGCATCCCGATGTCTGAGGAGGTAGCGTTGATGGGTTGGAAGCCTGACGACATATTGACTGTACTGCTTCAAGAAGTTTCGGTTCTGGTACTTGTGATGTTTTTCTACAACACAGGTCAGTACCGAAGCTGAGCTTATGTATTCGACCGCGCATACGGCTAATAAGAAACGACAATGGGGTTGTTGAGCAATACCGAGGCATTGTTGTTCTTGCATGCACAGATCAAAGGCACTCAAGGACACTTTGGGAACAGTGGAACGCAGGGGCTACGTGAGCATAATGAGGCCTTTGTCCTGGTTCATTGTCGCCCCTGACCTACCGCTTCGACTCCAAGTAAACAGTATTTCTTTTACTCACAGCTTACAGACGGCCCCGGAAACTTTGGCATGGCGCTTCCGAGGCTTTGCGGAGATCTTGCACCGAGTCCCGGAACGAGGCTTCCAGGGGCGTCATACAGACCTTGAATGAGGTAGGCACCTGTGACCAAAACCAAAGCTTACCATTTTTCGCCTTCCATGGTGCTGGGGGTAACTCCTGGGGCAGTGCTTTCTCCCACTGCATGCGGCTATGATGTTTCTTGTTCTAGTCACTGTAGCCCCGCAGACGACTTCATAGGGCCATACAGTCACGATTCACACAACACATCCGGAGATATTTCAACGTACATGGTGATCACATCGGTCGTAACGTAGTCATCTTCAGAGCCTGGAGTGGGATATGGCGATGCGCATGTGCCATCTTCATACGCGCTCGCTATCGTAGGTGTGCACACGAAGTAGAAGACAAACACATCGTATCCGAAGGAGGAGATAGGTACAGGTTGGAATCTTTTTCCATGGATCTTCGAGTCCAGCAAGGGCTGTACTCTATCCTGCTCGGAGGTCGGCGGTGGTCGCATTCGAAGCGCTCGAGTCGACTAGATCATCGTAGGGTATATTGCGTATGGACTCTAATTTAAGGTCGAGGAATTTAGTCTTGAGGAGCTCGACACGCGGTATAATACTCGCGCTGGGCGGTGGGCCAGACATCGTCGTTGTATTGCGGCTGCGATGAGACTGGATTGTTGGTCGGCAGGTCGGTCCACCGCAGGGTGACTGGAGGAAAAAGGTGCAGGAAAACAGAAGACAAACGCCTCGGGCAGTCGGCCTAACCGATAAGTAAGTACATATAAGTTGCTAGCCCGGAGCTATGAAAAGTCTCATGGTGCTTCGAAAAGGGTAGACAACCCCCATAGATAGTAGAAGAACTTATCATATATACACTCATGGTTTCATGCTATAGTAGATGCGTGTACGCTCTCAGCATTCGCTTGGAAAGATGGGTTAGTTGGACGATGGGTAGTGTTCCCTTCAATATCTCATTATATATGCCTGGCTCTTAGCGACAGTTGGGGGGCTAGGTATGTCGCAAACACATTTGTGACTCAACACCGGTGACAGCGCGATATATCTGCGCCCTGAATATAGTGCCACGTGGTTTGTTCGTGAGAGCGCAGTCATACAAACGGAAAACCAACTATCCCAAAAAAAACATTCTAACAGTGAACCCTCCTCTGGTCACAGCACCCATATAGCCGTCCTTAATCCGAGTAAACAGTACGCCCTTCGCGTGGGACACGCGGACCATGCTCCCGAGTGAACTGACCGGGCATCGAGCCGTCCGCGAATGACGTGCACAGTCAACCAGGAAATGATCAATGTCCAAGATAAACATACCATTCATGCCCTCCAGTCGAGCGCTCACTCATATACATAATTCATAAACGTGACTTTGTTAATCGCGTACATTGATGTCCTCATTGACATATTCATCCATGGCTGACATGAGCCGCATACTTACGTCTATACTGGCCAGCCATATAGGTACTCTGTGGGTGGCCATGGGCAAAGTTGGAGGGTTTGCCTTGTGTATGACTGCGTTGTCATGGACAAACCACGTGGCATTATATTTAGGACACAATTATATCGTGGTGTCACAACTCCTGGGCGATCAGATCGCCCATGGCGACACCCAACTAGATATTTGTCAATGCCGCGAATTGGCAACCGGATCACCGCTGCCTTGAGTCTTCAAGAGGGAATAACGTGGCCCAGTTGGCCCGAGGGACAACGAGGTCTTCACTTCCATCTCCAGCCAATGGAACGAAGATGATACGAGACGCGATCTACAGGGTCAAACAGAAGAGTCACTGGAAATTTTCAAGGTTCAACTTATACCCGCATCAGCAACTTCTCTGTGTCGATCGGAGTCGCCCAGGCAGAGCACACTCGCACACATAATGATATATATCAAGGACGTGTCGGACTTATGATGCTACGTTGATCAGATGTGGTACATTGAACAGGAGCCGAGGTCGAAGATGAGCAATCAGGGGTTCAGAGGATCATTAGAAGCTCGAATTGCCGATTTCTTCCCATGTGGGCTCCCAGCAACTGGTGTGGATGAGATGTGGAAGACATACCGATACTTGTGACCTCCACGCTGCTCATCTAGCGACAGCGTGTGGAATATAGCAGGATCGTATGAAGCTTCGTCTTGGTCGACGAACCAGCTTATCGCAGCCGGAATCAGGTTATTGGTCATCAAAATGTGCAGCCGCTGTGGGACAGCCCGGTGCCAACAGGTCCGGCTGTGCAGGTATGGGCTTCGAACAATGCGGCTGAAACTACCATTTATGCAACTCGATGCGTAAATATATGTCAAGTTTTTAGGCGAGTATATGTAAATCCACAAATTGGCCCTCAGGTAGAAAAATTCTCTTCTTCCCCGTGCTGTCGCCTTGACAACTGGGACAACCCAATTGCACCCGATCTTCCCAATTTTCATTCCAATAGACTTATGCTTTCAATCCCTTTCTCATCATCTTCAATTCCGACTTCTTTTCTTCAACATTCGCTCATCTGGCCTTCTTTGCCCTAGTATTCCCTGTCTCTGCACTTCAGCAACTGCTTGGACGAGCCCCTCACGATGTTAAGCGGAGACCTTATGAGAAAGTACCTCACGTACAAGTAAGGCACGGACTACGTCGCACAGTATCTCGCTTCGTCTGCATTGAAACTTGGATACCCGGTTTCACAGTTGGAACTCTATCGCCGTGGACCAGGTGAAATATATTTCGACTTACCTTCTTACGCTTTCGAAACCCTAGCAGAGTTCGTCGTCTCGCGAGAAAGCATAGCCCAGCATGTCGTACAGATTCTCGCAAATATCATTGACCTACGAACCTTCGTTACCCGACAGGACGAAGGCCACCCAGATTTCATCGGAAAGCTAGAGGCAACGCTCCACCTGATCCGACCGCAGCATACCCAGGTAGCTTCTCAAGTCACGGAACTTCCCGAGGATAGGACAATGGACAAGCTATTGTCCAATATGTTCGACGTCTTAACACTTGATTCGCCAAATAATGACGAGCGCGAAGATGCGACAACGAACGAGGAAAATGTGACCGTGGAACCGAGTCTCGTTTTCAAACTTCAGCCCCAACACGAATCACAGATGCAATCCTGTCCCTTTCCGCCTTCCTCTCGTTCTTTGATGACACCAAGGCCTTCATACTGAAGCACTGGAGACTCTACGAGAGCGGACAAGAAAGCCTCTCGACAGCCTCTGCCATAACCAACATTGGGTTTCTCGCGCTAGAAAGCGGATACATTGACGTTCAGGAGATCATCGACAGCTTTGGTGGCCCCCTCGCTCTTCTCCGCCTGACTAGCGACGACCACAATAATGGAAACGCGCGCATACAGACTGTCCAAGGGATACTGCATCATCTCGTTGGTCTCGCAAAAGACCATACTACGATGAAAACTCAACCTGCCTGGCCTAATTTCTCGAAGACCGACGACTTCGGCAGTGAACACTCGACCGAGCCGGTGGCCAGGTTCGTGACTAAAATTCTCTGAGCTTTTACTTCTGTCCCTGAAAGACTTCTATGACCAATGGACACGTAACATGCGGGATGCGATACGTCGCGGAGTTGTCTCGTTTACCTTGGCTTTAACCTCAATCATTATAGCCGACACCATCGAGCTACTCGGCGACAAAACAAGCGCAGCGTATACCGAGTTGACCAGTACCAGCAGCAAGCTGACGGCTAGTCTGGATTCGATCATCGAAAGACATAAAGATTTGCGAACTCCGGAATGGCCAGAGAGTGCCGACGTTGCGCTCACCTCGTTGGACCAGCATATCAACGAGAGCGCATTGAGAAACCCGGTCCACCGCGCCGGCCGGAAACACCGGTGGAAGCTCGTCAGTTTCAACCTATACAAATCACAACCAGTCCTCTCTGGAGTCATTCTATTCTCGATCAGCACAAAGCTTCACAGCACATCAGTCGATTATGTCAATGCCTGGGGCATAATATTGCGCGGGGCGCACGTTTACTGTGCTTGTAAAGAAACCTTCGCGATAAAATCCTCTTGGATTGAGATGGAGCACTTGCTCGACGTCCAGCCGGAAACAAGTCTATTTGTTGGCGGTCTCGAGATATCGCCCACCATGGACCAACCAACTCCAAGCAACGAGACACCTGAGAACCGTCGACTGCGCCGTTACTGCATCGCGACGGGAGCTTCCCCGGCTCTTTGGAGCAGGGGAAGGAGAAGCAAACCCCAGGTCGTGACCAGCACTGGTTCATATAGGCAGAACAGGGTCAAGAACGTTGTAAAGATTCATGAACACCTTGGACACATCTTCGAGAAAGGCCAATGGAGTGACGGAGACGGCCAGCGAATGAACCATATGCTTGGAGAACTCGGCCGGTCGAACCAGCCCTCTTCATCCGTGAGAGAATGGATGGATTGCATCAGCGCAGGCCTCAGTAGGGAAGATGCCGCGTTACAGACGAATCTTCTGGACCTGCATCAGTATACCCTTGTGCAATTCCAACGACTGAAGGACTGGGTTGACCCCCTAATCAAGGGGTCAACCCACCTTTACTACATGACCAAGCCACACGAGGTGAAGCATATCGTGTAGTACGTGATGGCCCAATCGAGTGGCGTCGTGGAGCTCTCCCCGATGGAGAAGGATGGATTGATGGATTGATGGATTTGGCGGGCACGTTCTTTGGCTAGGCACCTCAGGATCGTCTGCAGAGTACGTAACACCTATGATAGCGAGCGCGTTTGAAGATGACCACCAGTGCGTCTCCCCTGCAGTTTCACACGTTACCGCACAGCTTCTGGCAAGGATGTACTCGCTGGAAAACGATGCTGTTTCCCTGCAGAACCGGAAACATGGCATACAGCAGCAAATCGACAAGTCGGTCGATGATACACTAACACGGTTTCTAGACTGTGGACAGGCTTGACTGTGCAGAACTCGACGACACTATCAAGACGGTGATTACAACACCGCTTGAGGATCTACGACAAGAACAGTCGAATCTCACGACTGGTTCTTGAAGGAAGATGGCACCCCGTTCGGCAGAGACAATGACTACAGTGATTCCGAGCGCGAGCTGGCGGCCAAGACTCCCAGCGGTCAAATCACCACCCAACGTCACTCCAAGGGCGATGGCCGCCGTTAGGAGTTGGGCAGAGCAGGAACCTCGCAGTCCATGGACGAGACTGTTGAGAACAAGTAGAGAGGGTGGTTTTGCGACCTAGGAACTTGGTGTTTCGGATTGGTCTTCACATGGCCACCATGTTGCGGTGCACTGTCTTCGAATGCGCTGGGCGGGCAGCGTGGGAGCGGCCGGCATGAAAGGGAGGGCACAAGACGTGACGGGCCAATGATTGACTGGCCATTTCATCCGTCCACGTTATTCAGTCTGACGAACAACCCAAGACCAACAACCCAGCCTCACAGTCATGTCTTTGTGTCTGACCATTTTCCAATGAGCTTGGATACCGAAGGAAGTATTCAGGCGACCTAATGAGCCACACAAGCCCATTGAACAGCACATATAGGCCAACAGTCAACAACTACTTGGAAGAATCGGCCAGACTCCCAGTCACATCCTTCTATCCAGAGTCTCGAATACCTTGTCCGATGGCAGGGGTACTCGCCGATTGACGATATATGGTACGCGAGGGAACTTTTAATGCGAAATGCGGCAGATCTGGTGACTGCATATGACAAGAAGAACAGATTGTCTCTCGACGAACTAGAAGGAAAAAGGCCAGAGCTGCCAACTGAGATCGATTTGCCAGAGCCAACACCTGGCCCTCCGGAAGTGAACATTGTGTTTACCTCAGGCAACTAATCTTGCCAGCACCTAAACCAAGCACACGCAACATTTCTCTGCCAGATCACCCGGCTACGAATTCGTACTGCATTCACTTCGCCCAGAGGCACTGAACGATCTCGGGTCAAAAACGATCGACCTGCTGTCTGTTCATACACTCCGTCGCTTACCACCACAGAGACTTTCACGAAGCCATGCATACATGCTTCAGGGGAAGGAAGGCAAGGAGTTTCTCTCGAGGATCTTGTCGAACTCGCACTGCGTCAACTAGCTTCCAGCCTCGATCCTCGACGATATCCAATCAGCCGCGCATATATCTCATACAGTTGTTGAGGATAAACTTCGTCACCGTGAACCTGTAAGGAGAGCGAGTGCAGGAGCTCCTAGACGCTTTCTGGTGTCTCACAGGCGTGTGAGGGTGGATTTGGGTGAAGCGAGGCACGAAGGGAGGTCGGCGCGGCGGCTGGGGAGACCGTTACGCGCATTTGATTTTTTAGCATAGATGGATGCAGTTGCTACCGAATATTCAATGTGTATTACACTGCAATTCCCAAAAAGAGGCACCGGACTTCCAAGCAAAGTGCAGGCGTATGCTCCGCATAGCTCAGTGTTTGGGTACCCCTCCGACCCTATCCAACTAACCCCAAAGACAGTTCAACAGCGAACCCTCACCAAACTACGGCACCCACGTAGCCGCCGCCGAACCGGCAGCTTAGCAGGCTGTCAACGGGCAGCCCGTCGGCTGAACGTCCCATGTGCTGCCGTCATTCGCCTCCACGGGCGTCACTCCCGTGATCGTCAGGCTTTTGTTCCTATGAGCAGCGAAGTCAGCATGAGATTCGCAAGGTACCCCACGCCCTATGGATCTGGATTCCGGACTCCAGAGACAATCCCGATCTGGGGCCCTTGTGCACCAACCTGGCGCCCCCACCCCTTCTCCAGGCGCACAACGACACTTGCCAACCAACAAACCAAGCAAAACAGGGGCCACATCACGAAGACTGATCTGAGACTCACTGTACATCATCAAACCATGTAGCAGTCACCGCCAACACGCCCCTCCCATCCCCGCTCGTCTCGTACGAGCTGAAGTTGCCCGCAACCGCTCGCATCTCCGAGCGCGAACCCGGAGCAGCAGAGAACGCCAATAGCTGGCAGGCCTGCAGCGGCTGGTCGATCGTGCCAGCGCAGCTGGCGGCGAAGGCGGGGATCGAGGCCGTGGACGAGCTGTAGAGGGGTGCTGTGAGGTTGTAGGCTAATTAGGTCTGAGTTAGTGATTATGTCATTGTCGGTCTGACTGAGGAGGGCGGCGCTCGACGTACAGTATTGACACGGCCACCCGGGACACGTTTTCGCTCCCGTAAAGGCGAAGGTCCAGGCGTAGTCGGCGGCGCGGGCGGGGATGGCGCTGGCTGTGACGACGGCGAAGGTGAAGGCGAAGGCGGCCGCTATGGAGAAGAAGCGAGCCATGGTTATAGAATGCATAGCAAGGGAGACGAGTTATAGAAGTTTAGGATCTTAGAAGGTTCGTAGGTTTTGGCGCATATGAGTAAGTGGTGTTTGAGCGGGGGACGAGGTCGTATGCGATGAATGCTGTGTATATATCGGTTTCTTGCGTGGGAACACAACTGACGTGCATCCAGAATCGTGGACACTATCCTCGTGACGACCGGGAGGGATCTATCACCAACCGTATCGATTCTTCACTCGGCAACCCAGAAGGAGTACTGGCGACGGTACGAAGGGCTAATCCTTGCCACTTGATGGTGGGCGATGAAGCAGTTGGGAATAGAAGCATCCAGACAACGAGAACAGTGAAGGCACGACTGACTACTCGATCAAAAGTAAAGCGCAGTTCCAATCTACAGCCATGCTGACTACCTAAGTAAGGGAAAGGCTGCGGTTGCACATGTGACGGAGCCGGCCCGTCGCCAAGTCCTCCTCGTGTCCAGCTCGGCTAAAATCAGCACATCGCGCATAGATCCTCCAGGATGCGCTACGTGATGCGACCGAGCCTGGTGGTACCCGATATAGCAACCCCTCATCTCATTTGAGGGAAAGACTCACTGCTCACTGCTGGACTTGGGAGCTCTCATTTTTGTTGTGATGGACTTACATGCCTAGCAGGGGACGAACGAGAACATCTCGCTGCCCTAGCCAAGACGATCAGTCTATCACAGTCTGTCGGTCGGACAGGAACACCAGTGACAGCCAACGTCGGGGTAGCTTCTCCCCACCAATATGATCGCTTGAACACAAGGCAAGGCAAAGCAGTGATTTGGGCGACAGTAACGTCGACGAGAAGTTGGAAGACGAGAGACGGGAGATGGGAGACAGGGGCTCACGGTAATCCGACCAGGGCGATGGTGGTCAGGATGGTTTCGCGTTCCACGTGACAGGGTATCTTGCGCGACCCCCGTACCTGCAGGGCAGGGAAGAAAAATTATTCTTAGGAGCAAAGCCGAATGGCCAAGGGTATAGCTGATATACACGAAACCTGGAGGATATGCCTACCTACACTAGTCAGACCTGGACGAAGACCTACCTCCTACCCCCAGCTCTGCATCGAAGCTGGACCATGATGATATCCTCTACCCACAGCGCTGGTGGGTACTCTTCTCGCTTGCCCAACAGGTCAAATATGGCACATTACAATGGCGGCGCGACGAAGTGCAGCCCGCGAACAATACCCGCCTCCCAGACTGGATCTGGTCCGGATTCATTATGCCACCAGTGGCTTCTACCGGACATCATTGCGACAGCGTGCTTGGGACACCAATGTAATCATAGTTGTTCCTTTGGTTACCTAACCTAGTTGCGCAGCGCATGGAAACTATACAATACCAACGACAATATTCTGAACATGAGTCTGCACCTGTGAGCCATGCTTTCTGGGTTAAACAACCCCCCCAGACGAGCTTCCAACCAATCCGACAAACCTGAACGCCAAAAGATCCGTTGCCACCCTTTCCTGGTATCGTATCATGAAGTCGTGAACTGCGCGCCTGTGCTTTTGTTGGCACATTCGTTTACCCTGGAACGCCATGCCTTCGAGTCCCCGCTACTTCTTGATAGGGACGCCAGGGGAAGATTGACCATAGAGGGAAGCAAGAAGACGTTGTGGACTGGGAGGAGAATTGGAGCATCGGAAGAGTGACGAGATAACCTCCTGAGCAGTGCTTAATCCTTCCATGTCGCACTTCTTGACCGTCAACTTCGCGTCTTCGAGCAAACCGTCAGGGTCGTTGACATATCTCATTGACTCCACTCTTCGTCTCTCCAGGAACAAATTATCCTCAAGCGTCTTAAGTTGCAACGTAACAGAACGAATGGTGTCGGGGTTGAGTCGGCTGAACTCGAGGTAGGTGAGGCCCCCAGATAGGCTGTGATCGATCCAGTCAGAAGAATGGTTGGACAGCACGAGGTCAAGATTGGATTTGAGGGCGTAGTATGATTTCGTCACGTCGGCCAATTCTATCAGCTCTTCCTTCGTGTTGGCAAGACCATGCTCCTTGCTGGCCTGGAGCTCGTCAATGCACGCCGAGACCTGGTCCTTGAGGGCATACACTGCTCGACGAAGATGGAAGACTAAATGGCTAGACGGCGGGCGATTCGTATGATCTGTAAGGTCACCAAGGGTCAGCGTTACGGGTCAAAAGCGGCAAGGGTACCGTTAATGGGGAGCAACCATGTAACTCAAATATGAAGTGCATATGAGTGTATTACTAACCTTTGGTACGCTCCCGGGAAGATCCGCAGCCGTTACGACCCTCCATGGGCGTGCAGGCATCGAAGGTATCGGGGACATCGCAAGTGGTCAGACAAGGTAGGCTGGCGGTGTGGAACTCATTGAAATCCGCTCCAATGGTCGGCATGAAGGCCTCGATCTGCCCACAGAAGTCGAACAATGTATCGTGGTAATGCTTGGCATCAGAAGCACCCCAGGTCTGAGTCGAAGAAGAAGCACGTCCCTGCATCTCCGTCTGCAGTACTGCTTGCAGACCAAGCAGTTCTATTCTGAGGCTTGCCATCCATTCGTACAGGCCGGGGTCGATGGGAAGCTTTGTGATTTCTCCCTCGGGCTTCCAGTGCTTCGCGTAGCCTTGCAGAATAGGCTCCATGTCCTTCAGGTGTGATTTCAGCTCCTCACATGCCTTGTTAATCTTGTCGGTGTCTTCGAGAGGTTGGTAGTTGCCTCGAAATCTGGTGCTGGCTACGATTTCCGAGATCAGCTTCACCAGGGAGGTGGTGACATTGTAGAGGAAGGTCGGATCAATGTCAACGTCCAGCATGTCGCTGAGCTGGGTCTCTTCGGCCATCGAGTCTTTTTGGGGTTCCTTGGGTTCCTTGGGTTCGGTGTGAATAACGTCTTTTGTATCCATGCCATAGTGCTCGACCTCGACCTCGGGCTCCTCATCACTTGTTTCGATTTCGAAGGAGAAGGAAACACTCGGCTCGACCTCGGGCTCCTCATCACTTGTTTCGTAGGGAAAAGAAACACTCGGCTCGCGGGTGCAGTTGTTGAAGAAGTTCAGTCGCACGGGACGGGGAATGATGCTGTCGGCAGTCAGAGAAGGCGCAGGGCTGCCCGCCTGACTTGAAGGCAGGCCCTGCATGCCGGCAGTCAGCCAAGGCACAGGACTGCCCGCCCGACTGGAAGGCAGGCTCGGTAGCGAAACGACGGAGAAGGAGTCGTCGTTATCGACTTCCTCCCAATCGTCCGCAAGGCAGGCAGACGGAGGAGCCATATCGTCCGACGTGTCAGGAGCGAAAGGTCTGGGCGCCATCAGATGATTGCCGAGACAGGTGGGTGTGCGCGGCGGTCGAGGGTACGCAAGGTGGATGGCGGTGGATGGCGGTGGATGAGGTGGAGATTAAAGTGATGGAAGTTATGGATGGAGGTGATGGAAGGTGTGACGAAGATGGAGGCGAGGCTACATGGTCATTGAAACGTGCTCACGGTGGACGGTGGACGTGTTGAACCTAACCTTCAAAAATGACAGATGGCGAGCAGCTGAGAAGCTTGACGGATCTGGCCTAGAGCTTGCCGAAGCTTCGAGAGTCGAGACCAGTCCCAGCCCAGAGCTGGTTATGCAGATATGCAGCCTTACGAGAGTTTCACACCGAGTGGTCGTGATGCCTGAGAGCTAGCTTATCGGCTGGAAACAGAGGTCCTATCGCTGGCAACGGCGGGGCACAGCTGCCTAAAGCCAGGGAGTCGAGTGGAGCTGACAGGGGGGAGCTCCCCGCTATTCCAACCGGTCCCCAGTCCGTGCACGATCCCCTTCAGCCACAGAAAGCCACAACAGTTCGGCCGCTCGTGATTTGGTACTCTGACAGACCACGTGCTTCAACGGTTCAATTCACATCCTTTCCTGGCTATGACTCCCAGGAGAACAGATGCTGGTTGTACCTGGTTACTAGCCGGGACTCATTTCACAGACTGTCTCCTATACTCTGTTTCGTTGTTCTCCAGAACTCTCGCCTTGCATACTGCACCTGCCTGGGGTCTTTGACAAGATGACTGCTGCGTTATGGGAGTTCACATTTAGAATTATGACCATCCTGTTATTGAAGCTTTGCGTCTTGTTCTCTACTGCCAAGAGGGCTCTCAGCAATGGACCGGACTTCAGTGAACAGGTTATGGGTGACTAGCGGGACTACAGCTGAGACACCTACTGTCGCAACCGATCGATAGTATCAGGACTCAGGTTCCAACGAATGATCTTGATACCCAACTTCCAGCTTCTGGAGGTTCATTATCAACTCTACACCCCCGTATAGGAACACTTTGGTTCCATATGTCTGAACATCAAGACTCAACACCAGAAGGCCAAGTCCAGTAACACCAGCTAGGCACTTAAGATCACCCCGCAGTCCCGACCGCAACCCACCGCTGAACCAGTCAGCACCTGCTACCATCCAACCTAGATATCACGACATCATCACAAGACTTATTACTCCTCCAATTGGGCCTCGAGATCACAACCCATCTGGCACGACACCAGCACGCCATATCTGCAAGAGCTTCCTATATCACTCGTCGATGAGGCCTACAGGCCAGTCTTGTTTATCAAAACGCAGCAGGCATGCGTCTGCAAGCGACCCAGAAGCAGCTCCTTGGGGCCTGGCTTCTGACTGAATCCTATAAAGCTCCCCAGCAGGTACTTCTCAAGTTTGTCTTACCTCCCTTGCCGTGTGCCGTTCCACCATATCATCCCCAGCCTATAGAGTTGACGCGCGTTTCATCTGAGCTCTATGTTCCTTGAAGTCTTTCGCATAAACTAGACTGACCCTAGCCTTCGTCATGAAGTTGAATCCCATGAAGCTGGTTGAGGTTCTCGTATCCTTGGTAGGATTTGGGCTAACGGCAACCATCTCCCGAGATCCATCTATCTCATCAACCTTTGTCGACGTCCCGGCAGAGGTGCCTTCAGATGCCTCAGCCGTCATCGACCCTGACTTCCCCGGTCTTGCTTTCGAGGAAGCCTCGTTCGTACGCTACGCGCAGGATGACGATGGCAACATCAACGCCTTCTCCACCAACCTCATGGAGGCCATCTACTCGCGTACCGGGGGGAAGCCAATCATCCGGCTTGGTGGGACTTCTGCCGACTATGGGAAATATCTGCCAGGACAGGTAGAGCCGGCTCTCCCCGTTGCGGAGCAAGACAACTATCAGGATGTCGGCCATACGACCATTGGGCCTTCCTACTGGCCCCTGGCTCACAATTTCCCCAATGCCGCCTACATGGTCCAAGCCCCGTTGGCAACGACGAATATCAGCGAAGCCATTGCGTGGACGCAGACCGCTATAGACGCTATTGGTATCGATAGTACCCATTCCATCCAGGTTGGCAATGAACCAGATCTGTACTCCGATACCTATACGGGTGAAGGCGGGATCGAGCTGAACCCTCCAGGCTACCAGGGTAGGCTGTCAAACGAGTCTTATGTCGGGAATTACACCAAATACGTCACTGCGATCAAGGAGGCAGTGGATGTACCCGATGGGCGCTTCTTCACCGCCTTCGACGTGTCGACACATTTCGGGGCCGGGGTGATGAAAGAGCAATACATCCTAGCCGTCGACCGATGCTTCGAGCTCGGCATTGACGCCGACAGCATCATAAAAGAGGTCTCGCACCACTACTACCAGAAGCAAGCCGGGACCGCAGCCGACCTGGGCAGCGAACTAATGAACATGAGCATGACGCACACGCACCTCGACCAGTACAAGGTGCGCATCGCCTGGCTGCAGCAGAACAAGCCCGACGTGCCCTTTATCCTCAACGAAGTCGGCAACTCCCTCCAACCCACACATACCTACGAGTACCAGGCCCGCCTCGGCAGCGCCCTCTGGCAGGTCGACTTCTACCTCTACAGCATGGCTATCGGCGTCGCCCGCATCAACTACCAGCAGATCATGCACTCGGGCTTCGACATGTGGCTGCCGGTGGCTAGCGCCGGGCTGCCGGCGCAGACCTTCAGTAACTACTACTCGCAGCCCTTCGTGGCGGATTTCATCGGGTCCTCGGGGACGACGCGCGTTGCGCAATTGTCTCTAGAAGGCGAATACGAGAATGTCGCCGCCTATGCAGCCTACGACGGGGGCGCCCTGAGCCGCATCGCGGTTGCCAACTTGCAGTACTGGAACGCGACGTCGTCGACGGAGGACCGCGGCGGCGTCACGCTGGACCTCGCGCTACCGGACGGCGTGGAATCAGTCACGGTGTACCACCTCAACAGCCCTGCGGGCGCGGGCGCCGCCGCTGACTCGATCACGTACGGTGGGAGCCAGTGGACGTATGGGAGTTTGGGCACCGAGGTCAAGGGCGTGCGCGACGACACCGAGGTGGTGGCTGTTGTGGATGGTGTTGCGAGCGTGACGGTTGCTAGTAGTGAGGCTGTGCTTGTTTGGCTTTGAATAGCTCGTAGGTAAATGTATATTTTGAGGAAGCTGTGGTGCGTGTATGTAGGTGGGTCTTTTGGATATGACTGTTGTAAATACCTGTACGTATACTTACACGAATGTTTGCGGTGGCTCCTTATCACGCTGGACTCGAATCTGCCACTGAGCTTCCAAATGTTACGAGTCCAAACTCATACTTGCCAGAGTCCCCGTAGCTCACTTGCCTCTTCTCCTAGCTTCCCTCCCAGGTCGAATCCCGTCTTCCGATATTGATGTACGGACCTGCTGGGCCTACAGACTCTGCTATCATATGTCGCTCCTGCTCCTCAGCGGTCTCCTCGCCGGTAGCCAAAGAGCTGACACTCGACTATGAGAAGGATGGGTAGATGACGCTCGCTCATATGGGACTCACCAATAAGCGGAATCTATCGGCCGCAACTTCAACTCAGGCTACGCATTTGGCCCCATTTGGGTCAGCCTTCACACTGTCAGAGTACATCTAGCTTGATTGTTAGGTAACGCCTTCGACCTGGACCAGCGAATTCGCTACTACGAAGCTTACGCTCGATCATCTCGATCATCTAGACGGTTTGCGCTTCTTGGGCCGTCTGCTATGCGGGCAATCCAGCCACCAAGCCCACCCCAGGATTTCAGTATCTTATCCTCTTAAGCCAGACCAAAAAGCATTTCGGAGAGCCAGGTGATGATGCAAAGCCACTTGCGTACGTATATCGTAGCGAATGCAGAGCCACACTTATGGGATTTGCGCCTGTTCGAAAGACGCCGTCTCTCAGGGAGGAACCAGAGGTCCAAAAACTCGTGCTAGAAGACTCAAAATGCCCTCAAGGGGTCAGCAGGGCAAGCCACCTGAAGTCAAAAGTCCATAGAAGTAGTGAAACATTGAATTGACCAAGTGCCTCTTGTATTGATGTTATGGTGTCTGACTTTGTCTTGGTACAAGTATCCCGCCATCAGTAGCCCCAACCCTCTCAATCACGCTGCCATAAGATGCCCTCGCCGTCTAACCCCTCAATAGATCTTCATTCAATAAATCCAGGAAAGGGAGACTCGAGAGCCGCGCCTATAATTGGTAGTATACCACGAACCACCCACCTGACCATTCACTCACCTCGAGGCCCTGCGGGAGGATCATGCCACGTTTCCCAGTACTTTGTGTAGCCATAGTGTTTGATCCCATACCAAGAGAGCGTGTTTGATCCCACACCGAGAGAGCTAGGGGTGGCAGAGAATAAGATGCCTGATGGTATTCTTGGGCATGGCATCTGGGAATAGCATCCATGAACGATTGGAAGTGGGGGGCGTCGTGGGAATATCGAACGACCAAGATCCCTCCCATTCCTTCCCGAACTGGGGGCGCATTCCTTTCCGAGCCGGGGCTGGATGATGGGTTCGGTATGCAAGGTACGGGCGGCACAGCTCCTCGTAGGCTAGTAGAGTAGGGAACGTGGCCTGTGGAGTGCAAGGAAGAAGCACGTGGTGCTATCGCCATTCCCGCGTCTACGGAGCGGGCCCCGGAGATGGTGGTGAGGTGTGGCTTGGGCTGGATACGCAAGGTTTACCTGCAGGGGATTGATAGCTTTACTAAACGAGTGCCTTGAGTATTCGGACTCTCATCGTTACTTCTGTAAATAGAAAGCGGCGCAGCTAGATGTTCGTGCTTGCGATGGTCTGGTTAAATGGGAGCTTGCCTCTTGTCTGCCTTGGTAGGGCGACGGTTGGCAGCATCGTCGGAATCGGAAGTAATCGGCAGCGCGACATCCCTTCAAAAATGCATAGAAGATCGGCTAGGACAGTTCGAGTCCGGAGGACCATGCAATCTCGATCCCAGACCTAATGCTGCACTACGGTTGGGTTGGTTGTTTGTCGCCAAAGGCCCCAACCGGGGAAAACTGACGCAACGGAAGATCTCTGAATAGCAGATCTGCGGGGTTCTATGGAGGGCTGTTTCGTACGTCATCAGTATGGCGATCCACGAACAATACCTAGATTTCACCGCTGGTAGAGTCATATAGTTTGGAGAATGGGAGAGAACGACAAGAGGTGAAATCGGAAACGTTAAAAGATAACAACCAGGCTGCAGCACAACCTCTTGCAGCTGAGTTGAATTTGACAATGGATTCCGACTTCATGGTGGAGTCTTCACGTCGAGTTGCACTCATCAATGGCAATAACCTGCTGACGGAGGCGCTGCGGTCAATTTGAAACTGAAGGGATTGGTCATCAGACCAGGGGTGATCGAGTTCCAGTCTTGCAGGCCACATGAATGATGTGCCCGGGCCACGGCAGATGACATCTCGGGCTGAAGTATGGGTGTGGATTGAAGATCAGATCAGCGCCACACACCTGTAGTTCTAGTCATTCAACCACATACTGACAGTCAATCCATAAGGGAACTGAGGAAATACCAAATCTGAGCAGGTAGAGAATGATAACCGGCCGTCCAGCCCGGCTAGCGGTTCTGGCGGTCCGCAGCTGAATGTTGAGGCTGCGATAAGCCTAAATAAAAAGGTGGGCGTACTGATAAAAGTGTGAGTTGACCAAGAAGTGACGGCTTCATGCAACCGGACGCCAGATGGAGTTATTGCCGGTTTAGGGGTCACGGCGTGGTTGGACTGGTTGCTGATTGGCCGCTGGGGTGGCTGCTTTCAGGGTCGCAGAGAGCCCTGCAGGGAGAATGACGCCAGTTTTACGTCATGGCTGGTATCACAGGCACTGGCGCTTTTCGCTTAAACATCCATGATGAAAGAGAGTCATGGATGAGGGCACATGCAGATGCAGAAATCGAGCCTGGGAATCTGGGATGGCCTCCAATTTCTAGGGCAGAATTGAAGCTGAAGGAGAACTGGACGAAAGCTGGAAGAAATGGAAGCTGAATGCCTGTGATGGAGAGAAATATGGTAAATTGAGACTGATGCGTCGGGGTGGACCTCCCATCATCATCGTCATCACCGTCACCATCACCATCACCATTATTACCAACCAGCCAAATGTCATTTTCGTGTTGTGCACTGTGACAGTTGACTCAGGTACCCTCTGGCGCTACCTACCTTCCGGGACCAAGGGAAACAGGTTAGATCATCGTCATTCAGATTGCTGGCGTTCTGCTGTGTCTTCCTCGCCTTAGTAATGTCCATCCAGCATCCAGCTACCGTACAAAACAGACTGCCTGTTAATGGCATTCCCACATTGCACACCTTGGTTAATAATAGTTGGCACAACAAGGACACCTCAGGCTGTCAGTTCTGCATCTACGTCTGAATGCATTCACCTGCATTTCGGCCCGCGGTTGCAGCTTTTGCTAGGATAAGTCAAGTGCACCTTGAATAAAACTGATGTTGCTGTCTTCTGCTTGCGAGACAGACATTCAGGGCCTCCCGTAGATAGCAACACTGGAATCTCGATGCTGGACAGGGAGAGGCCTATGATGAAAGACACCATGCATCAATGTTGATGAGCTGCGAACGCGTTGATCACATACGTACAATCTCTCTGGTTTTATTTGTCCTTTCCTTGCCAGGACAAGCAGTCTGTAGAGCCCAGAAGCTTGGATGAGGTAGCATTTGAACCCATGGAAGCCTTGGAAGTTGAACCTGTCAAACCTCCGCCTAGACAGGCAGAACAGGCTGCCTACCCCTGCTGCCTTGGTCAGAGAAGCACGCGTCCATTACCAATGCTCGTTCAGATAATACCGTCGGCCAGACCTTCATTGTCAGGCTTAATGACCACATGCAGCTACACATCAGGCATCAGGCAGGTGGCTGTGACTGCAGAGGTACTGTAATACATATGTACTTGCTGGTGGATTGTGCAGGAGAGGACGGTACCCGAGCGGCTGGGTCTTCTTACCGTACAATACCGACTTCCAAGGTTTGTGACGGTTTCGATGCGATTCAGCCAAAATTGGACCACTACATCATCGCGCCGCACCAACCCAGCCGGGCTTGCCAGGGCATTAGTTCGTCACTCCCGCTGGCAACGCCGTCATTTGGCTTTCCCACTTTCTCTCTTCCCTCTGAGAGCCCCCCCAAGAGACGGAGTCAAGTCCTCCCATCCGGCCATTCCTCCCCCAATCCTTCCAGACCTTCCCATCCATCCGCCCGCCGGTCCAGTCAATCAACGCGTCGTCTAGAGAGAGAGACACAGATATAGAGCATCTACTCACGAGCGCTTTGTTTACTCCCTCCTCCATTCTGGTTGATCGATCGTGCAGCGATAGACTTAAGTCTGAAGACGACGAAGAATAACAATTGCAACGCAGCGTCCCTCCCCCCCCCCCCAAACCTGCCTGATCCGGTTACCTGACAGTGCCACCCACTGCGTACATATTAGCAGTCCTCCCGCTCTGCCGCTCTGAACCTTCGACCATCTGCACCACACAATCACTCCCAGAACTACCCAAACTGTAAACCGACCGACCGACCGACCGACGACTGCACGAGCTGTCCACAGCACAGCAGCTACCCGTCGACCCATAGCCGCTGTCTGCCGAGCTTGTTGAGAGACGGCACCCATTGCATGTGCCATCGCTGAGGATTAAGGATCATTTGAGCCTGGCCTGAAGTTGCTGCGCCTGCGACAGTTTACTATTACTAGGTCGAGAGGAAGGCGAAGGCGTCTCGGTGACTTCTGGACAAAATGTCAACAATCCAACAGCTCAAGAACTTCATCCGCCATGGTTCGTACCCACTACTCCTCCCTTGCATCAACGGATCAACCCCTCCTGTCTTTGATTTCTTCCCTCATTTTCTGCCCTCTGCCCTCCGCCCGTCCAATCTGCCGTGTCCCTCAATCCCCATTCGGGTCCCTGCAAACAATGCCCCCACTACCGAACTGATCTGCCCCCACGCCCCATGATTGCCCATGGCCACTGACATCATCGCCCCCCAAACAGGCAAGCAGGCCAGAGTAAACAACAACAGCGACGATTCTCAAAAGAAACATGACCACTCTCCTACTCCTTCGCATTCTGCCGCTCATCATCCGAAAGCCATGGTTGGAGGTGCAACAGAACCAGGCGTAGTACCCGGCGCCAACACCCACCGGGGCGCCAACATACTCATTCCGGATGCCTACTCGGTCCAGCCAGGACATATGCAAAATCGCGTTGCCCAGGCCGACGGCGTTGCTGCGCATCATGCTGAAGAAAACCAGAGTGTCCCTGGCTCCCGCTCCAAGAGTGAGAGGGCAGAGGAAGTCCACGTCGCCAAGATCGTCCAGGAGGAGAACGAGAGCAAATCGAAATTCCCCAGGTATCCGGGTCTCGAACGATGGGAACTCCTCGAGAAGATGGGAGACGGCGCTTTCAGCAACGTCTACCGCGCCCGTGACCTCCAGCACGGCGCCGGTGAGTGCGCCATCAAGGTTGTCCGCAAATTCGAAATGAACAACATGCAGGTGAGTGCCGCTGGACGCTGAATTTTCTTTTCTCGAGACCGAAACTTCTCTCCTACGTGGCGATCCATTTCCAATATTTTGTCTCTATACCAACGCCGGACCATAGGGCAACAAGCATCTACATCCCGACTTCAAAAAGGTGCCCAAGGCTGCAGAGGTGCGAAGACTTTCTTTCATTTGTTCCAGACTCCTGTCATTGCATTTCCATTGCTCAGCCACTTATGTACATTGATCCGTCCGGCGCCTCATGCTATGAGACGTGCCATCCTCTTGCACCAACGATCGATCCGAAACACCATCGCTTCCCAAATAAACAGTAGACTAACGGGCATCACAGCGAGCCAATATCCTGAAGGAAGTGCAAATCATGCGACAACTTGACCATCCCAACATCATAAAACTCGTCGACTTCTCGGAATCCAAGCAGTACTATTACATCATCCTCGAATTGGCGCCTGGTGGCGAGCTGTTCCATCAAATCGTTCGCCTCACTTACTTCAGCGAAGAACTTTCAAGACACGTCATTGTGCAAGTCGCGAAAGCACTAGAGTACCTACACGAGGAGAGAGGTGTTGTGCATCGGTAAGTTGCCTTGTATGGTCTTTTCCTTCCGGCCGGCGATAGTGGCCATGTTATTACCGAGCAGACACTTCGGCATCGTAATGCACGAACGGGTTAGAATCTGGTGTACTAACCTGTTGGCAATAGTGACATCAAACCCGAAAACATCTTGTTCAGCCCGATTCCGATTGTGCCATCAAAGGTCCCCAAGCCCAAGCAGGCTGGGGATGAGGACAAAGTCGACGAAGGCGACTTCGTCCCGGGCGTCGGAGCCGGAGGTATTGGGCAGATCAAGATCGCGGATTTTGGCCTGTCCAAGGTTGTCTGGGACAAGCAAACCATGACTCCATGTGGCACTGTCGGTTACACAGCACCCGAGATCGTCAAGGATGAACGGTACTCGAAGTCAGTTGACATGTGGGCCCTGGGCTGCGTACTGTACACCTTGCTATGTGGTTTCCCTCCTTTCTACGATGAGAGTATCGAGGTACTTACCGAGAAGGTTGCTAAGGGCCAGTACACATTCCTCTCGCCTTGGTGGGACGACATTTCCAAGTCTGCCCAGGATCTGATTTCCCACCTGCTCACTGTTGACCCCGACAAGCGATTCACCATCACCGAGTTCTTGGCGCATCCTTGGGTCCAAGGTTCAGGCCCGACGCCACGTGAAGAGAAGAAGATGCAGAGCCCGGACACACTCCGCGCGTTTGATGCGAACAAACTGATTGATGGCGAGCGTCGCATGGATTTCCGATCACCAGGTGCTATCAACCTTCGTGAGATCTTCGATGTTGGTTACTCGGTGCACAGGCAAGAGGAGGAGGCCAAACGCCGGAATCAAGTTGGTACCAAGGGTGTCGCACCAGCTCGATTCCAGGCCCTCAATGAGGACTCGGAAGAGGACGAGGAGGAGCAGGCTGACCCTCAATACGTGCACAAGTCCGAGGCAGAGCGGCTTGAACAGAGCATGCGCAAGACAAATCTTGGGAAGGACCAAGACCGTGGCCGAGAACGTGACCGACGCACTGAGAAGACCGAAAAAGGGTATGGACAGCACAGCGCAGCCGTTGCTTCGGCCGCACGACAGCAAGTCCGGGATCGTAATAAGCAGCGAGGTGCATTCGAGCTCAGCCTGGATGGCGCCACGCTGCTGGGACGACGAGCCAACAAACCTACCGCTAGTGCCGGTGGATTTTAGACGACTTGTGACCGGGGACGAGGCAGGAGTCGGCGGCCGGGGGTCCGTACATTCGGGCGTTGACAGTGGGGATGACGACGTTGTTGACAGCAACGATTGCATGAGGTTGATGAGCTTTCTTACGACGTTCTAATCGAGGCTCCGCATAGATGTTGCCGTTATGGGTACACGATGGCATCAAGGCGTGGTATTGGTCTATTGAGCAGCAGAGGGAGTTCCTGTTTCAGTACCCTTGTTTTTATTGTACGCACCCTCTACACATAGGCTCGGCGTTGAATGGGATCGAAAATTTCTCCTCGCATCTGTGCATGGTCTTTTTGATGGTGTGCCTTAAGACGCCTATTGTGCCCGCATTCCAGATGCCCCCCTAGTTTCTAGCCTTTTTCGTCGCCCTGCTCCCTTCGCGGCGTATAGATGCCTACGCTACGCCGTATCTGCTACTCCCCGAGGTGAGACAATCTCGCCACCCCGCCATGTCGAGTTGCGTCCATATTTTTCTAAAATCGTCATGGTCCATACGTTCTCCCTGGCTTAGGAGCTCACCATCCGCTACCGGGACCATCTATCGAATTCAGACAGCGATGGCTTCGACTCTCGGCCCCTTGGAGTCTCGAAAGAGCTGGGTCTCAGTGCCCCAGATCTGCGCCAGTGGTTGGTATAAGAGTTGATGGCCAACCGGACTGAATGTGCTCCGTTTCGCTGTAAGGACATCAACGCCATCCTTACAGTCGCTTTGACGGCTTCTGGCCACTTTTGCCTCCTTGCTGCTTGTGAGCCCGCTGCTCAGCTGTATCCTGCTCGCTTCTTCTAATTACTTTACGTCTCCCACTCGCTCAGTTGGTATTCTTGAGGCACCTTAGAATTGTCAATTCATCACGATACTGCAAGGCCGCATAGCTAACACGGTCTTTGCACACACACCCACACAGTCTACCCAGCCACTCGACAGGATTCACTCTATCTCATCGATCCAACCCAACCCAATACATCTCCCAACCAATCTCAGACAGCAGCAGCAGCAATGGCCAGCCCCCTCCCGCTGACGGTGCAGTACCAGCCCGCAACGGGCGGCTGCACCATCGACATGGCCGCCGCCGCCGGCCACGGCCTCGCCGTCTGCCGCACCATACAGATAGGCGGCCCGGGGGACGCGGGCGGCCTCGAGTTGCATGATGGGGGGAATGTCATTTACGTTACTCCTACAGGGGCTGATGATGGTGGGTTTGCTGTTGATGATGGGCATGGGGACGGGGGCGGGGGCGGGAACTCGTCTACGTCTGCTTCTGCTGTTGTTGACGTTTTGCCGTCTACCTCTTCGCCTGTTACGACTGCGTTCTCGTTTTTTACGTCTGCGTTTACGGCTTCAGCGTCTGCCACGTCTTCTACATTGACGTCCCTGTTTCCCGCCGTCGCCGTGCAATCTACGTCCTCGCCCACGTCCACGACTGCAGTTGCTGCAGTCTCCGTCGACCCAACTACGGCTGGACTGACGGCGCCGGGATATCCTTCTTGGCCCCAAAGCGTACCGCCGGTTGAGGGTGGGCCGCCGAAGGTCTCGTCTGCCGCGACTACGTCGGAGGTCTCGTATATTAAGACTACGCTGGGAGTCTCGTCTGCTGCGACTACACCTCGGGTCTCGTCTGCTGCGACTACACCTCGGGTCTCCTCTGCCGCCACGCCTCTGGCCTCGTCTGCTCCGCCAGTCAAGGCCCCAGCAACCCCTCCCGTCAGTGCCGGGCAAAGCGGCGAGGAAGGGAGTCAGTCTTCACCTCCCCCGGCACCGCCGTCATACCCTGTCGGTGCTGAGCAGCCCGGTGGTGACGGATGGACTACTCAGCCTGGAGGTCCACTTCTTCCGGCTGTGACGCCGGCCGCGTCCTATTCTGCCGGTGTTGGGCAGGGCGGCAGTGGAGGGACTCAGCCTCCATCCCCTTCGGCATCGTCGGTCAAGGTCCCGCCTGCGGTTATGACGTCGCCTGCGCCTTATCCTGTGGCTACTGAGCAAAGTGGTGACGGAGGGGTTTATCCTCCGTCGTCGGTCAAGGTCCCGATTCCGGTCGTGACGCCGCCTGTGCCTGTGGAGTCAGACGCACCCTATCCTGTCGGTGCTGGGCAGGGCGGTGACGGAGGGGACAGAGGGGATGGTGGGGATGGTGGGGATGGTGGTGTAGGTTCGGCTGGAGGAGATGGAGGTACTGGTGGCAATGGAGGGCAAGGCGGTCCTGGAGCAGCGGGCGGAGATGGTGGCGATGGTGGGAACGGAGGAAATGGAGAGAACGGCGGCGGGCCAGTCGGGCCTGTCGGGCCTGTCACTAGCCCCGGGGGTGCCGGCGGAGACGGAGGCAATGGTAGCGGCGGTGGCTCTGAGGCACCAGGTGGCGTGGGTGGTGACGGAGGCGACGGTGGTAATGGTGTTGCTCTTCCGGCAAAGCCACAGGCATACCCTGCGTATCCAAACGTCACTCTATCGTCAGTCACGTCGACACCAGCGATCACGAAGTCCCCTGGCCAGCTCACTCCCCCATCTCTTCCACCTGTACCCCCTACTTATTTCAACCTCACTCGATCGTCAGCCGTGCCGACACCTGGGAGCACCAAAACGCTTACCACGACTCTTCGGAGTTCTGACCACTCCCAGAGCTCGTCACTTCATCACTCTTCCCAGTTGGCGCCTGTGCAGTCCGAGGCACCACCATCATATCCAACTGCGCCGCCAGTTTCCGCGGAATCCCAACAGCCACCAGTCACCACCTCTTCCAAGCCACCAGTCACCACCTCTACCCAGTCACCGGTCGCCACCCCTTCCCCTCCAGCGCCGCTCCCCAGCTACTGCTCACAAGAATACATCTCCATCGACATAACAACCATCTCCAGCATCTCCTTGCACGACCTCGACCAATACATCACCGTCCTATCCCAAGCAGAACCAGAACTAAACCTCACCACCCCCGACGGCGGCCACATCAGCCTCTCCGGTCCCATCTCGTCCTCCTTGACGCTTCAGTATCGCGTGACCTGCGGCGTAGTCTTCCCGGCGACCGATCCTGTGTTTCCACAGTTCCCCGACGAGGTCCAGACGCAGGCGTCTGATCATATGGGCTGTCTGGCGCTGTGTGAGGGGGAGGCTGTAAGTAAAGCGGATGCAGGGGATTTGAGCGAGTGTATTGGTGCGGCGTTTAGGGGTGGCTTGGAGGGGACTAATTGCCGCTATTGGAATGCGGAGAGGGAGGAGCATGAGGCTTTGCCGGTGGACTCGCTGCCGCTATCGAGGGACGGGCAGGGCGTTGGGTCGGGGGATGTGGTTCGTTGGCAGGTTTTGTATTTGTGAGCTGGTTGGTGGGCTGGGTATGCGGGAGGCTTGGGCTTGGGCTTGGGATTGGGGGTTGTTGATACCCTTCTTTCCGCCTTTTCCTTTTGTTGGCGGTGGTTCGGTCTGGGTTACTGGGACGCTAATACCAGGCCGCGTACTTACCTGGACGGTGGTGTCGTGTTCTTTAGGTGCTTCTGGGAAGCAGCCTGCCGGTTGTATCTTACTAGTAATGGTGCTAATTCGGTATTGGAAGGATTGGTTGATCGTACGCAACAGATGATCTGGGAACGATGGACATCACTCATTGGTAGTTTCTAATTTATTGTTTAATGCCTTGGTCTGTTCTTGCAGTTATCTACTTGTTGACGGTTATGGGCGCCATGTGTCAAACAGAGCGTAGGGGCTTTTAGATGGATGAAAACGTATATTCTGGTGTAATCCCTGTTGTTGTTCCTGTGTGAAAATCCTGCTGTGGGCTAAGTGGCCTAAAAATGCCCTATTGGCCTTGTTGGTGCACTGCCACCTTCCTGAACGCCACGGTGGCTTGCGCGCCATTCAACACCATGGCCTAACGCCGGTAATCATTGTCAGCCCTTTGCAGCATGCTGAATCGAGCCGCTTTATTAGACTAGTTGGATCTACATAAGCTGTGGACTATGATACTTCGTATGCTTTCACATGGCTGAAGTCTCCGAAACTCAGTCATGTCATACTTTGTGTCACCAGCTAGAATAGGGGCTGACGTGGGCACTAACTGAGAAGCCCAACGGCAACCAGGGGTTACCTTGTTTCAATCGATGGTGACTCTGTCACCAAAGCTGTAGACGCTTTAAATGACTCATACGACCATAATATGACACGTTTATCTTTACTGGGAATATCCTATGCCTGGTGTCGTTGACGATGTCGTGGGGTCGTGTAGGGCATTACACTACTCTTCGCCCCCAAATCAGTACTTACAATCCTTTGCACGCACACTTCACCATGTCAAGGCGATGTTCTTCAGTGTCTGCTAGCAGGTAAGCCTCCTTACTCAATGTATGAAGCGTTGAGCCGTTGCTTTTTTTAGGAGGTTGTGACAGGCTTATGCCCAAGACAGGCAATTCCAAAATGACTTGCTACATCATCATTGCCTGCTTGACGTGTGAGGCTACTACTTGACAATCAACTATGACTACATGATGCTCACAAAGATGACATGCTCATAGTTATTGGCAGAGTGGCTTAGTCGACATAGGCCATACATAAGCTGTTTTCGCGCTCAGATGGAATATGATCTACAATACATGGATCATGTGTATATGGGACAATTATAGTGGGCGTGAAAGCCATTTACTTTCGAAGCAATAGGGGTACTTGCACACTAGCCACTTTATCTCAATAGCTTTCAAGTATGCGAACGCCGTTACAGCTTGTGTCTCATCGAAACATTCTCGAAAAGTAGGGTTGGAGACTGTTTGGGTATTATCCTTGATTATTTGAGCCGTAACGAGCGTATTATGCATTGTTCTTTTGATACAGGAAAAATGGTCGTCTATTGTGAACACAAGCTGGCCAGGCACCATATCCTCGTGAATGAATGTTATTCAACAATGGGCTCGAGTAGGCAGTTATCTGCCGACTGAAGCAGGGTTGCTAGACAATAGATTTTCCAGTGCTGCCTCAGAGGAATCTTTGACCGCCCCTCAACCACTGCATATCAAAAAGTAGCCCCCGGGGTTTAGGACCTGGACGTTTTTCTCGTCTCCTTCACGAATGATCGGCGGATAATCAATTTCAACCGATCAGCCCAACGCTAAATCTTGAAACCAACACCCTTCCTTGAAACCAACACCCTTCCTTGACACCAACACCCTTCCTTGACACCAACCATTGACTTTCCGCTGCTTTCACCCCAATACGAAGCTGCTCTCGAGACTCTGTGTCCAACCCGCCTCTCCGGCACGTTCTCACAACTACTCTGCACTGCTGCACATCAGGATTCTCACTCCGCTATCCCCATCTTCGCCGCTGTACACAGCTTTCATACTTCCTTTCAATCACTTGACCGGGTCTAGGCATATGCGAAATTTCGCAGCCGACTGTACCGATCGTAAGGACTCAGACACCGGAACGGTGTATTCTCTGCGAGAACGAATCGAGGCGCTCGAAGCGCGCGTTGTGGAAAAGCAACAGCCTGGCAAACCCCAGCGTCTTGAGAACTTTACGACGAAGACTGCAAGACCTGCCCGGATTCACCGGCGCGAAACTGGCGGGTTCCCATTCCCCTCCAAATTCAACATATCAGACGAAGGTACATGCGAATCCACTGACACGTCAACGTCAAGAGCCCGCGCATAGCTTCACTACTTCTGTTATCACCAAGTTACCCGAATAAGGCTGTGGCGCATCAATCAAGATGGAAAGCTCCAAAGCCCGCGGCAAATACCCTGCAGCAACCGAAGCTTCTGTTCGCGACAGAAGCCTTCCGCCGGACATAGCCTTCATGACACCCCTGATCCCGTTTCAAAGCACACTCACATCGGAACCTAGCGAACCTTCGTCCACGAAAATCTCCAATGAGGATAACACCCTCTCGATGCCACGATACATCCCCCCGCATCGACGAGGCAACACCTTCATTTCATCTCAGAACACCAAAAGCCTTTCTGACAATCGACGAACACTGCCCGGTCACTCCACTGCTTGTGAGATTGCGGGTGGCCAGAGTAAGAATTGTCGTCCCCCACTTCGAAACAGCAACTAACATTCAAAGCAGGTTCAGGTGACCGCAGAGTGGGGGTTGTGCGAGGAAATCCGGACGACTCCAACCCGAACTATAAAGGCAGCCACTCACTGGTTTCTGATCAGAGCGCGGATATTCCAGACGAACAGAATGTATCCTTTTGGATGAAGAATCTGTCCCCCGGTTGCACGACCAAGACTCTACTCGAGGAGGTTAGAGACATTGGCAAAGTGTCGCACAGCAGCGTGACGCCACCCAATGGCGCTCATACTACTTCTGCAGCCAGACTGGAGTTCTTCGACCGAGAATCGGCGGACAGGTTCCTCGACAAGGCCCATAGTGGCATATTCACAGTCCAAGGATATGTTCCTCGAGTGACGCGTAACCGGTAAGCAGCCACGTGATCCATTCCCCAGCATAACGGAGATGGATTGCGAAAACCAGCTCACCTGGCTTTGGACTTCCAACTTCTGCTACCACTTGGCCTCAGAACAACCTTCTCGTAGAGTCGTACTACGAGTCACGCGAAATGCTGACATATCTATGTATAGTATCAAGGTAGCTGCTCTCCCAGAATCGCAGATCAGCCGTGTGCTGGTCATCTCGAGGCCCGTGCAGGTCGTGTCAAGGCCGTATCACCAAGATCAATTCGACTTGGGGGAAAACTTCAAATACGACTTGCACGAAGTAACTGTCCAAAGCGAGGACACGACGACAAGAACACTGGAGTTCCATTTTGCCAGTGCCCGAGCACAGGCTGGCCGAGCACGTGCTATCTTAGAGGAGCTGAAGCAACACAAGTGCGGTGAAGGTTACGAGGAACTTGATGCCTGGTGGGGCCATATCAAATGCCATTGGGGCTTTGATCCATGCCAATAAGAGAGCGTAAAGCTTTGTGGAGAGGAAGACAGCACGAATGCGTCTTCTTCCTCCCCGGCTAGGCGGGGACGGTTGGGCTCTGGATGTTATGCATCTAGGTACCTAGGTAGCCAAAGTCCATATTCAGAAACTCTGGGCTTGAAGAGGCACCACCGACCACTCAAACCCATCACGCATCGCCTGATGGACACTTCTTTCTAAAAAAAACATCAACATTATATTCTTCCTATATGGCCCTGTGGTGCCAGTGCAGTTACCTCCCTCTAGACCTCAATGCCGTTCTTCCAGTATAAAAAGCTGCTAAATCTCCCCGTCTCTTTTGTTTAAGATGAAGAAAGCCACCTCATTTAAATTTACAGATACATAGATGTTTGTTCGCTCTGGTGGACTGGCAAGTACTGAATCCGCATTCTTTACCTCTATCCTGTCTCTTTGCTCCACGTAAATTCTCGACTTCGCTCTCGATGGCTTCTATGCTCAGGACACCAATCGAACGCGGTGACTAGCGAATCCATTCCGACTCAGCCTCTCTTGGATAATCTTTAACTTGCGCTTCTTTATTTAAATACAGTGTCGTAGATGGTCCTTTGATACATCAGCCCCTATCGATCTTCCACGGGCCACTGGCACGAGGGTTTGATGGTACGTCCTCCGGTACTCATTGCCAGAAGCCCCCATCGCGATGTAATCATTAATGATCCCGGTAGTTTCAGATACATGCCAGCACGTCGACGCCCTGGAGGTGCTGCGACTCATCAGGCCGCTGCTGCACTTCTGGCCACTGGAAGAGACAACTTATGGACGGGTAAGTCCATAGCATCAACCAACACAGACGAGTAGTTTGATCGGGGTAAGATATAATACCTTCCATATCGTCGGAGAAAAGTTGACGATCACCCACCAGTCAGCCAAAATACAAGGGAGATCACACACTCGCATCCAACAAGTCTGCACATCTTGGAGGCGAAGCCAATTGCTCCACTTACATTCCAAATCTCCTCCCGTATTGCACCGTTAAGATGCTCACGGGTAGTGTTCGAGGAACAGGGAAAACTTCGGATTGCAGTCTGGGCGCACCGAAAGATGGACATCCTACATGTGACGCAAAAACCACATTTTTCGACGGTTCCTCGTTGGACAGGCTATTCGACAAGGTGGGATCTGATGCCTTTGCAGTCGAGTACCACAAGCCCAAAGTGGTGATGAGTCGGTATGTAAGGCACCACAAGCACAAGCAATTAGATCCAGCAATATGGTATACCTGCTGTGAGAGGCAAGAATGCGCCGGAAGCTATCCGTCGCGGTGTAATGCCTACTGGCAAGGACCAGTCGCCTTCCCCCCACACCACACGCACCTAAAGGTCAAACTCACGCGTGACTTTACTGACATACCCCGGGGGCCGTAGATCAGCGAGACTCACTCGACAAAGCTGCCATTGCACCTAATAGTGGAAGCTGTTCCGTTTACGTTACTACATTACCAGAGACCTGCGATTTAAAATTGTTATTAGGTAGCTTGAAGGGTATCTGAAAGATCTCACACTTGAGCCTTACGGCACATAATGGGGTTGTTTTTAAAAGGTCAGTCTTTAAGTTCTCATCTAGCCCTGTTTCTATCCCGTCATCAGGAAATCATTACTGTGAAGATATAGTCTTACACTGTCTGCGCCTATGTCATCACCCCCTCTCCCGTCGTCCAATTTCTACACTCTGCTGCCCAACAGTCAAAAACGACTGCCTTGTAACTCACCAAGATGACGCACACGTAAATCAGAGTATCATAGCTGATGTGCAGCAAAAATAATATCTCAGTACTCTTAGGCTGAATGTTATCTGCACTTGTGTGAAGTCTGTCTAAGCCTATATTTATCTTTGGTAATCGCATCAATATTATATATAGCATGGCTTGAGAGCTGATTGCTGCCTAGTACGACACAACTTGTATTCAACCTTAGACTAACAAAAAAGGTTACCTGAGGGTTGGGTGGTAGGGGTGCATATATCAAGCTTATAAAGTCGCTGATTCGTAATCAAATGAGCAGCCCGTCACAGGTCTCCGAGGCTGACTTCGCCGTGGTTTCCCCTCTGAAAGGAAAATCCCGAAATGTCAATGACGGCAGCACCACTGGAATGAAACTACCTCAATTGAACGAAATCTCTAAGCCATTGAACGCGATGCTGGGAATAAAGCCTCCTCCTCAGAGTGCCAGGACCAAGTTGCCAAAATACTAGATAAAGACAGACACCTTTATAAAGCCAGGATGACAATATTTCAGGAGTGTGCTGCAGCAGTTGACAAGACACTTGAGAAAGCCGGAACCGAATTATACTCACATGCCAAGGAGTTCAGCGCCTTCTTCTCTAAATGCCTGAACGAGTGGCTAGAAACCCGAGATTCAACCATAAGGAAGGCCACTTCCGGGGGGATGGTGATGGGGAAGCCCACCATGACTTTTGCCCAAGCTACGGTTGATTCAGATCCAGAGACCACATGGGTGATCTCTCTGTCCCGTGCAGCAAAGAACCCATTCACGCTTTTTGTTCACTTAATGACCTCGAGGCACATTCAATACTCCCCCAAGGTTCACCAGTATGCGAGCTGCTTCAGATAGCATGGTAGAAACTACTGATGTAAAAAGCAAACATGTGCACGTTGCGCCAGCACAATAAAGCAGGGGGAGTGCGAAAAACTAATCCCAAAGTGTGTCAATTATAAGGGGCCTCATGCTGCCGACTTCGATAAATGCCCTGCACGTCCCAAGGTCGTGAAAAGTATCATCCATAAGCACACATGGGAGCAAATCCAGGAAATAAGGCTAGCCGGAGAAAGAGCCAGATCCAGGGCCTTCAATAAAACAGGGAGAAACCAAGACAGGTCAACGCCTAACAACAATAACAAAGACACTACAATGGAAATTGACACAATAAATACAGTTCATCCCAGAAATGCCGACACCATTATTGTCCATTAATGTTAGGTACATCAAACGAAACACATCGACACGGGCACCTGGTCATCCATTCCGTGAATGCGGCAGGAGGACAAAAGAGTACAGGCCCTATAGAGTTAGTCATTAACCTGGCTGACTACAAAAGAAAGCAAACAGACATCATTCTGATACAAGAATCCTGGGTCAGCACACCACCAGGCAGAAGAATGGGAGTAAAGACACACCCAAATTATGGTATATATTCCCCTGTTGATTCCTGGGACAGCGACAGTACACGGCCCAGATCTCTTATCTATATGAGAGAATATCTTCAAGCGGATCAATTTCGGTCTTATGCTACACGAGATATCACTTGGGTCAAGGTATGAGGCATTATATTTGCCAGCGTCTACCGACTATGCGATAACCCACAGGAAGTGGATGACATTCTGGAAGTATGGACTCCACCCTTTGGCTGTGTCATAACCGGAGATTTCAATGCTGGCGACACATCCTTGGACTCAAGCAATCCAGGATATCATGGTGGTGCTATACTTGCATAGATTATGACAGACCACGGACTGGATCTGATTTCTGAACCAGATGTCCCGACATATGATGACAGAAATGTACTAGATCTGATTTTCTCAGATGTCCCCATGGCCAAAGCCTCAATGAATGATGCACTCCAGTGCACTTCAGATCATGAGATATTACGAATAGTTGTCCCAATTCAGGGAGACCTGGACCGGGTCCCCAAGGCTGATCAGTGGATAGTCCCAGACAATAAACTACAAGAGCAGGTAAACAATGTCCAAAACAGGATTCATGAGCTCCCCCGGCTGGGTGCATCCCCTGGCCAGGTAGATGCCTTTACGCAGAACTTGATCAACATAATCCAAGGCTGTGTCAGGACAGTGGGCAAGAAGCCCCGTCAATCTAGGCCCACTACTTGATGAAATAATGAATACAAAGCAGCTCTTCAGACATACAGGGCCTCGTCCAAACAGACCGTAAGCCAAGAAAGGCGGAATTCAGCCCGACAGGACTTTCGCCGCGTAATTCAGAAAGCTAAGAGAGAGTACTGGCAGACTCTAATTGATTCAGCAACTGAGCCAAAAGATCTGTACAGAATCGTTTCTTGGCACAAGCTATCAGCAGGATTGCGTTCCCCTCTAATTATCATAGGAGACCAAATATTCGAGTCACAAGAGAGCAAGGCAAATGCATTACGCTCAGCCATGCTTGAACGAAGTACCTCAGACAACGATATCATCGACCCCTGGTCCGCTCAGATCACACAACCCAAGCCATATATCCCCCTTGAATACCATGTCGGACTGGAAGAGGCTAAAGGGTGCACTTTAGGGACCAAGAGCAACTCCCCGGGAATAGATACCCTCATAGTACGGATTCTGAAAGCTTGCTGGCCAGTCATTAGGGAATATATCAGAGCCCTTTTCCAGACCTGTCTACAGATCAGACATCACCCTAAATCATTAAAAATAGCTGAGGTAGTAATGATCGCAAAACCAGACAAGACAGATTACTCCAACCCCTGGGCCTACAGACCAATATTATTACTGTCATGTCTTGGTAAAGGCCTAAAATGACTTATCACAAAAAGAATTACTTGGTTTATTATCAAACTTGGAATTCTAGCTCCACAATATTTAGAGCTCTATCAAAGCGTTCTGCCACTGACTTGGTAGCTGCACTAATACACGATATTGAGCAGGCCCTTGACCAAGACCTCGTTGCAATGGTAGTCACGTCAGATATGAAAGGGGCCTTTGATGCTGCCCTAATGGGACGGCTGGTGGTTCACATGAGAGAACACGGCTGGCCGGGCTTTCTCATAAGATGTGTCCAGTCATTCATATCCGAGCGGTTCGCAAGGGTTCAGTTTAAAGGTATTATAACCAATATTAAAGTTCTCATTTGTAGGCTATTACAAGGCTCACCAGCCTCTCTAATCCTTTATATGCTGTATATAGAGCTAATCTATGCCCGACTTAGTATGAAAAAGAGACGCTTTGGATATACAGACAACTTAGCGACTCTCTATATTAGAAAGGACCTTAAAGAAACAATTATAGAGACTTCTGAAAATCTTTATTTGCTCAATTAATAGGGACATAACAATGCTATTAAATTTGACACCAATAAAACTAAGATCATGCACTTCTCAAGGAAAAAAAACTCAAATAACCCTTTAGTCTGTCACGGAACAATGAACAAAATAGCCAAAATTTCCATGCGATAGCTAGGTGTCCTTCTGGATAGAAAACTAAATTTCAAAAATCACGTTTCCTACTGGGCCAAGAAAGCTAATAAGGTAACAAATCACCTTTAAGAACTATACAACACAATCAAAGGACTTCCAGTAAAGTCAACCAAGAGGTCTGTGAAAGCTTGTATTATTCCTATTCTTACACAGAGCCTAGAGGCCTGGTACCCAGGAATCAAAAAATTTGGAAGGTTAGGTAAGACATCATTATATCGTATTAAGGGGCTTCTTGGAACAATAGATGCTGTACTACGAACGGCGATCAGGGCTATCTTGCCAGTCTAGAAAACACACCCTGGACATATCCTACACTTTGAATTACAGATTCCCTCAGTAAGAGTTCTTGCAGAGTCAATAAGACGACATCACGGCCTCTGACTAGGACGAATAAACCAGAGACACCCTCTTGTTGGCAGGCTCCAAATACAAGCTCGTAAGGAACCAACAAGGCTATAAAAGAGCTTCTAGCTAGTCCCTGACTTCCAGAGACCAATACTCACTAGGCCATCATGAAAAAAACCACCAATCCGTAAGGACAAAGACAAAAAAATAGAGCTCTTCAAGCAATGGCTATGGGAAAGAAATATGAATACTGACCTTGTCATCTACTCGGATGGATCATAATTGGACGACCAAGGCACAACCCGCACTGGATGGGGTTATACTATTAAGACAGGCAGCAACATACAAGAAGTATACCAGGGAAAAGGCAGACTTCTTCAAGCAAAAGTAATAGATACTGAAGTCCATGGCGCTCTCCAAGGTCTCGCAGCAGCCAGGGCGATTAGACGCAGAAAATGGCTATATGTCTACCTGGACAACACGTCAGGGGTAAATGGGCTCAATAGGACTCTACCCGAGACATTACAAAACATTTTTCTACGATTCCAAGAACTTGTCACGGCACACACTCCTGGAGTGACTATTAAATGGATTCCTGGACACAGAGATATTGATAGCAATGAAGTTGCTGACATACTAACAAAAGAGGGTGCTATGCCAGAAACAGACGCAATAAACTTTCCTACAATCTCTTGGGTCAAGAGAGATCTCAAAAAAAAGGGCAAGAAAGAGTTCAACCAATGGTAAAAAGACCAATCAGAACCTAGATATCAAGAAGTATACTCATATACAGTAACTAAAAGGGACCTTATATCTTTTGAAAGGAGCATTCTACACAGACTTCTAGCGGCCAGATTTGGACATGGCGACTTTGCTAGATATCACGAACATTTTGGGCATACAGACTCGAATAACCACTGCAGCTGCGGTAAGAAAAAAACACCATAACATATTTTCTTTTGTAAGAGGCTTGGGAAAAACTGACTGCTGCCTAGGTACTCGCTTAGGACAGCCTGTTTACAATACTTGGGGGAGAGGAGCACAGAATGGGCAAGATTTATTGAGAAGAGCAAGTTCTTTTTATCAATCTGTCCCTGATAAATAGCTGTTCTTAAAGGACCAGATGGATAACCCCAAAGTCATACAGCCGTAACAACGGGGATGGGCTTGTGAGCGGGACTGACTGTACTTATTATCTTGATACCTCCACAATCCTGCGATGCAGAGGCTCTGGGAGGCGTGGTTTGCACTACTGAGGAGCAACCCCCCACGTTAAATACAAAACAAACAAACAAACAAACAACCCTCCTACACTAAAAACTTTCGAGGCGTTCGCGGTCCGTGATCGAGTCGAATTCTGCCCGCCCGCTCCCTTTCAAATAGCCGTGGAAGACGGTCACGAACAGATAGTATTTAATCTGATTTATTTCAGTCAGACACTCTTAGGTTCACCATCGTGGCAGAAGTAGGTTGAGCTTCTTAAGCGGACTGTGGCTCCGCCCAGCCCTGAGACTATCAATGCGCTGGTGGAAGAGTGTATGCGCAGCCATATCGCGGTTCTCGAGCAGGAGGTCGCTTCGCACCAGTCAAACGAGGCCGAGGCCAAGGCTACGATCGGGGGACATAATCGCAGTTCAAGGTCGTGCTCTACCGAGTTGGCGGCGACGAAACCTTGCGCGACATGACCGGCTGACGGAAGTCTGCCAGCGATTGGTGGATGCCAGGCTTGAAGTGGAAGATGACGACGTGAAGGCACCTCGCCCCGACTTGAAGGCACCTCGCCCCGACTTGAAGGCACCTCGCCCCTACTTGGAGTTGAAAGACCTCTGTACACCTGGGCGACTCCCATGACCACCTAGATCTTACAACCGATTGGAACTCGCTCCTCTAAATCATCGAAAGATTAGAAGGCCTGCAAGACGCGAATGAAAGGTTTCTAGCTGGTTTCTTAGATCGTACACTATCAATTCACGAGTTTCTCGCACATGCCTTGCCGTCCTGTGTTTAACTATATCTTTCCAGTTTCAATGTCTTCATCATCCTCCGTTCACGCCCGCAGACACTTTATCGTCGATTTATCAGTCTGGTCGATGAGCAGCCCATGCAATATGCGCATACTCGTCGCTAGATTTGTTAATTTCCCATGCGGACTTGAGCAACTGCAATCGCAATGAGCAATCATCCTGCTGGGTTGCGTCCAGAAATTAGTTCCTTCTCACGGGTGAACTCTGGAATGTCGAAATTGTGCTGCAATTGTTACATATACTGTGAGGAATTATATGGGGCTGTAAAATCGTAGGCAGACTCACATTACAGCTTCCTCCAACTAGGCACTGACCTTCCTCTGTAGGCCCAAGCGGATCCAGAATAGGCCGGCTTGCTCTTAGTTCTCACCCCTCCAACTATCAAGAGCCTGAGATCGACATCGACTCTCTATTGGAAAGAATGCACTACCAAGGGGACCTGATCGACCGAGACTGCTGCAAATTGTTGAGTGCTCGCAGCTTTTCCCTTTTACATCAAGATCAAGCCAAGGTTCACGTTCTATCGAGCCATCCGCGCCTGAGGCCTTTCGTCAAGCTGGACACTTCCATGGTCATGATGGTGAAAGGTGGATTCGGTGGCCGCAACATACCCAACTCACCAATCTCATACGTTTCGGCCAGACTGGTCGATTCACTTCGGCAGCTTTAAGATGAAAATGCGATCATCTAGGTAGTGGCCTTCTTTTGCGGCGAACGTCGACATGACATCTTGTCCAGTTGCAGAGACCTGATGATCACACTGATACTCCAGCTCATCGACCAGTACCGCGCCTTCTGTTGAACGGGGCAAAAGTGGATTGTTGGCTTCTGTGCCATGGCCTATTTAACACCTTCAGCCAAGGTGTCCTCAATGCTTGCAGCCAAGGTGTCCTCAATGCTTGCAGCCAAGGCCTGCTGCAAGGCAACCTGGGACAACTGTGCGACCTTTTAGAGCAGTTGACCAATGAGCTACCTGACCAGGTCATTCTGTACTAAGCGGATGCTGGATCCCGTTGATATTCTCGCCCTGCAGTACAATGTACGAGGACCGACAAACATCGGAGATCAGAAATGGTAGGACACGGGAGCGGCAGAGGGCATATACGCACTCGGTGGAACAGAGACGTAATACAAGTGTGCCGCGCTCTTGCAGCTTGCATCGAACAAAGGGTCAGCTTCGGAGAGGCACTGGTCGTTGGGAGGTTACATGTATTCCAGTTGTACTCGTGAACATGCGAGGAATTGATTGCCTCGGTCTTGTCTTTTCACTGATTCGAATCTGTCCCTACAAGGCGTGCTCTGTGGCAGTGTCAGCCGTCCTAACAGAGGCTGTGAATTACCCATCAGGCGTGCTTAAAGCTTCCACTAAATCGCTACTGGATGTGGCTGAATAATGAAGATGATGATGAAAAATACATAGGTACTGAACCATGTTGTGGCAGATGCTGTCTACTAAGTAGTAGGCACTTCTGAGCACCCTTTCAACCAGCTCACCACGATGTCTGACTAGTAGTATGAGCTGATGTTCTTCATCCCGTGCGACGTCTACCGATCCTCGTGATACACCCTCCAAGCTCTTCCATTTGACGCTATTATTCACGTGTACGTCAAGAAGATGCCTGGAGACTTTCCGCCCCGTTGCCCCAGACCTAGCCCCAGACCTAGCCCTGAAAGCGAGTCAACACTTTCAGCGTCTTTGGTAATGAGCGTCGGGCCTTTTGCCACGAACTTCGCAACGCTATTGAGGTGCTTATCCAAGCCTCCTGGTCTCATCAAAGTCTGCAAATCCTCGCCAATTGCGGTGGCCCCTGACAGAGGCACAGCTGTACTGGTTTATGCAGTCAATCTTCTCCATAGCCTCGATTTAGACATTCACAGCGTCCAACCAAGAAGACTGGACCAGTAGTGGTGGAACTTCCGGGTACTTGGGCATGGTGAATATCGTCCTCGCAGCTACGCCAAGTCCATCTATGAACCTTCCTCGGCGTGTATGTATGACGCGGACGACTTTCATTTGATCGTGACAGCAAACATTACGGGTAAGCATTCTTGTATAGCGTTGTCAAACCAGGAGACACTATTGGAACGTTCTGCAAATACCAATATAACAATATTTCCCTAGAACAAGATTTCCTGCCTGCCTCGGAAAAAGATATTCTTCGGGTGCTCAGTAAAACGGCATCCATGTATGTGACGAGTCACCACAGCGCGCACCCTTGAAAGTCTGTTGGGCCTTCTTCGAGTCGCTAGTGAGATAAGGGATGAGGTCACTATTATTAGCCGTGAAGACATTATAGAGGTGCTCCCTGTCGACAGGCATCGTCAGCGCGGTCGGTACCACTCATCATGAGAAACTTCTGGTCTAGATTGCGCCACATCCAAGTCACTGGGTTCGACCAAGTGGTCCGAGCCATCATGGTGTTCGGATGATAGACCAGGATCTTATGCGAGGGCTCAAAGGACTATGCAGATGGAGCAGCAATCAAGCCATCACCGTTCGAGGTTTCCTGTCCAATAATCTTCCCTTTGCACAGACTGGTGCTGAACAACTCGGAATTGCCGCTCCCTTGCATCGGCTGAAGAGGAGCTGCGGCATGGCCGCTCTCTGGCCAATCCCATACTTGTACGCTTGGCCCAAAAAACCAGGGGTAATCTGAAGTTACGTACCAAGATCCTGATGGCTGGTGGTTTGCGACTCTCAACCTTGGCCGAGGCGTTACGCATTACGTATTGCAGTCCATGGTGTTTAAAGGGAAGTAGTTCCACCACACAAGGTCTACAGGAAACGCAGTCGAAACGGAGACCATTTGCTAGGGTTAGTTCATCATTGGGGGTGTATGGTCTGCAAATCAGACAACCCTAGGAACCGTGCACGAGGCATATTCCTGTTCTAGTCCACCCCGGCGTAGCGGCCCGGAGGTATCAACATCGCCACCTGGATGTCTCGGAGCGATCGCCGCATCAGAGAACCCTGACAATTGATCCTCGACATTTCGCAGAACATGCCAAAAGTGTCATTAGGTCCGCTCATCCTGATCCTCTGCGACACAAACAATGAAGCTATCACAGGTCCGAACACCTCCCTTACATGAGACCGATGTCACATCCATTCGATCCAGGAAAACCTGAGCTTCGGCTTTAACACCGACTTCATAATCATGACGAATTGACAGGCATAGTGTTTGTCACCCCATGCTCTTTCCTATAACTTGTGATGGGAGTTCCTGCTGAAGGGAAGCCGTCTCTCAAAGGAGCAAAAATCTCTACATATAACAGGGACGACAGAAGGTCTCTGGAGATGGGTCCAGGTCCTCGCCATTCATAGCTTGACTTATCCAGTTGCAATCCCGTCGCAGTGAAGCACCACCTTTCTTGCCCAACTTTGTTTTGGGACATCGATCACAGGTGAGAATCATTGCTCCAACTCCCTATTCTCATCATTGCTAAGCAATTGTGCAGAACCGAATTCATCACCATGGGCCTCATCAACCCCGTCAAGGTCGAGGACCTCGACGCCCTCATAATCGGCGCTGGGTTCAGCGGTGTCTACCAGCTCAAGCGTCTCCGCGAAGAAGGCTACAAGGCCAAGCTCGTCGACAGCGGCTCCAGCTACGGTGGCATCTGGCACTGGAACCGGTACCCGGGCGCTCGCGTCGACAGCCATGCGCCCCATTACCAGTTCTCGGATGCCGAACTCTGGAACAACTGGCACTGGAAGCAGAGGTTCCCTGCTCACACTGAGTTGCGGGCTTACTTCGACTTTGTTGCGGATAAGTGGGATCTGACAAAGGATACGTACTTTGAAACCTACATCAGCTCCGCTTTCTGGGATGAGTCGCAAGCTAGGTGGTTCATCCAGGCCAGTGATGGTCGTGTGTTCCGGGCGCAGTTCTTCTTGCCGAACACCGGGATCGCTGCTAAGCGTTCTTTTCCCAGTTGGAAGGGATTGAGTTCGTTCAAAGGCACCGTGATCCATTCTTCATACTGGCCTCACGAAGAGCCCGACCTGGTAGGCAAGAAGGTGGCCATGGTCGGAACCGGATCGACTGGCGTGCAGATAGCGCAGTCTCTCAGCACAGTCGCCGCCGAACTTGTTGTCTTCCAGCGCACGCCCGCCATGGCAATCCCAATGAAGCAAGTCGACTACCAGGACGGCGAATCCGCCATGCCCAAAGACGCTTATCCGGAGTTCTTCAAGTCCGTCGTCGACCGCTTCTTCGGCCTAAACTTCCAGTTCGTGCCCCGAAGCACATTCGACGACGACGATGCGAAGAGGCGGGCCACGTACGAGTCGCTCTGGCAGCAAGGGGACTTCGCCTTCTGGCTTGGGTGCTACAGCGACATGCCGTTCAACCGGGCGGCAAACCATGAAGCGTACAAGTTCTGGCGCGAGAAGATTCGAGCTCGCATTCACGACCCCAGGGTCCGGGACATGCTGGCACCGGAGGTGCCTCCCCATCCGTTCGGCTGCAAGCGGGTGCCACTGGAGAACGGCTACTACGAGATCTTCAACAAGCCCAACGTGCAGCTCGTGGATATCAACCACACGCCCGTCGTCGAGGTCACGGCGCAGGGGCTGAAGACCACAGAGCAGACGTGGGACGTCGACGTCATCGTCCTAGCCACCGGCTTCGACGCCGTCACCGGAGGCCTGACGAACATCGACATCCGCGGAGTTTCAGGCCGGAGCCTGAGGGAGAAATGGCAGCAGCACCAAGGTCCTACGACGAACCTGGGCATCTCAGTTGCCGGCTTCCCGAACATGTTCTTCTCGTACGGCCCGCAAGCTCCCACGGCGTTCTGCAACGGTCCGACTTGTGCTGAGTTCCAGGGAGACTGGATTGTGGGTGCTATCAAACATGTCCGCGACCGGGGCCTGAGGAGCATTGTGGCGAGTGAGGAGAATGAAAGGGCGTGGGGAAAGGAGACGAATAATATAGCCAACGCGACGCTTCTGCCTCAGGCCAAGTCGGTAAGTACTGATGTGTGCATGCCTCAGTGATGATGCGAAACTAGACTAATGAATTGGATCTAGTGGTACATGGGCGACAATATCCCGGACAAGCCCAGGTCGTCGCTCATGTATTTTGGCGGCGTCCCAAGTTACTACCGGAAGCTCGAAGAGTGCGCTTCAAATGGGTACGCGGGATTCCATACTCAGGGCGTGAGGTGCGAAGAGCCCGTGGCCCTGCGAACCCGGGTGCGCAGGGAGGTCGTTTATCTGGCTAGTACCTTCGCTGTGGCATTGGCGGCTTGGGAGATCCGCTTCAACTGGTACACTGGGCTTGGGTCGCTTCCACTATGAAGGCCTTAACCTCCTTCGTGACGAATTCATACAATGGTCGAGGGCTTACTTCATCCATTAGTGACCGATTTCTTTTGTATATTCCAAGGTCACTGTTGTGCAGTTGGCTTGTGCTTTAGTAGGTTGCAGGATATGTGCATTGAAGGAGAAAGCAGCCGCAAGGCTCGAAAACATACTATCTGTAGTCGACTGCATTCGCTAGATAGCGGAAGTCGAAATATCACTCTTTCTATATCTGCAACATGGCTACCATCAACATGCTCTTTCGTTTCACCCCACGGATCAGTATTCAGCCGGTTTACTGTACTAGTTTAACCACCATTTCCATCCCATCTACTGGTCTGGCATTAACCTGTCGCGTCTGTACGGGCCATCGTCAGTGTGTGGTTCAGACTCGAAATGGCCAAGTTTGCATCCGAGAGATTCTCTGCTTACACTGTAAAGTAGCGACTTGGCTGCATAGATACCGCCTTCCCCGAGGATAGGTCTATTCTTAGCATCAAAGGCGAGCTCACCGAGGCCCACCTTCACGAAGTCAAATCGACGGACAATGACAGCAATAACAACCCGTATTTCAATCATGGCGAACTCTTGTCCGATGCAGCTGCGAGGTCCTCGTTCAAATGGCCTCCAAGCACTAGCTGGAATGTTCGAGTTGTCGTCGTTTAGCCATCTCTCGGGCTTGAAGTAATGCGCGGAGTCTCCGTAAATGGCGGGGTCTCTCTGGATGAGGCCTTCGCAGTTGTGGGTGATCATTCCGTCCAGGCAATGCTTCTCGCCAGCTGGTGTGCGTACAGTGAACCCAGTACCATGTTTCGTATACCGCGCCGTGGCGGCCGGCGGATGCAGACGCAGGGTTTCCTTGACCACGGCAGAGATGTACGACATGCGACGTACTAGATCTGGTCCATCGGACGACATGAGCCGGGCACGCACAACTTCTGGATCTGCCTCGTGGCCTAGTAAGTTATCGAGCTCGCTTCGCACAGCGATGGCCGTCCTTGGAGTCCGCGAAAGCCAGTGAAAGATCCACCCCAGCGTAATGCTTGTGGTATCGTGGCCTGCAAGGAGAAACATTTTGATTTGGTCGCACGTCTCGTCTACGAGCTCGCGGGAAAGGGTATCGGTATCCTGCAGGCTCAGGGACAATATGCTGCGTGATTGGTCATGTCGAAGCCCATGGGTCTTGTGCTTGGCGTATTGCTGGCGGATCATGTCCTTGAGTAGCACGTTGATACGTTTGCCCAGACGTCGTCGCTTCATCTCAGTTCGTTGCATGAGCCACCAAGGCATATCCGCCTTGTCGGACCAGTTCACCTGGACCACCTGGTTCCTGGGCTTTGAAGTCGACGTCCATTACAACAGCACCTATGATATCAAATGTGAGGTTTATGGCCAGATCAAGAAGGGGAAATTTCTCTCCCGTGCTCGCTAGTGTCTCGAGGCACTGGATGAAAGTCGACGTCTTCTTCAGGATACATGGCAGAAGCGTCATTAGGTGTTGAGGGGCGAAAGCCAGGTTGTACCTCTTTCGAAGTGCCCTCCATTTATCACCATGCGCAACCAGAATAGATTTCGGTGCTTTCAGATGTACCAGATAACTGAGGTTGGCCTTGGAATGCTTGTTGGGAATGCCTTTGAGGCCTTCGACACCTGCTCGGCAATCTCGTGGCTACTGATGAGAACCATAGGCCGGTTGACGGGCCTGGGATCAACAAGCATGAGCGGAGGTCGTCTCAGCCTTTAGTGCATTTCGGAAAAGACGAAATCTAGGTCTACGTGAGCAGCGCATTGTAGTAAGAGGTGTAGGAGCCCAGGAGGGTCCATCCCGGGATGACGGTCAGCTGCGCCGCCTTTGATCAGTCGATCAAGAGTGTTGAGATGACCCCAAAGCAAGTCTGGTCGTATTTGAGGTAGACCTGCGTGTTGACTGAAGCACTTCCAGCGGAGTTTGTTCTACAATTACGTCGCAAGTAGCGCCAGGGCTGCGAGAAAAAGAAGCTTGAACATCACGGCGGCCGGAAATTACTGCAAGTGAGCAGCAACAGCAACAGCAGTAGCGACTAGCATGAGGAGCATGCGGTATGACAGGAGGATTGAGTTCCTAGAGTGCGTGAGCTCATCACCGTTCACAGAGAGGCTGAAACGAGCGGGAAAGGTGGGAGGTTGAGGTGAAAATGGGAGGATGGGAGAAGCTGGCCAACATGTTTGCGGACAGTCAGAATGTGACCAATCACCTATTCGAGATCCTTCTAAATGTTGGTTCCGCTGCATGTGCACCCAACCCGACCTGTCGGTATAGCTGATTACGAGGTTATCCCGCACCTAACCACGGACTTGTTTGTACTATGCTTCAGGGGCAGGGCGAATTGTTAAACGCGAGATGTCACAATGCCTATGTGTGGTAAAGTGTCCACTAATCGCGTACCAATGGCGCAGTAACCATCTAATTGCTAAGACTTCTTATTAATTCTCCCATTGGCTTCGTACGGTTGGGGAGCATAAAACCTACTGGGGTGATACCTAAAATATAGAATGCCTTTTTATTATATATTTTCGAGACTGGTCGTTAGATCACCAAGACGTTGTTTAGGTCCCGTAACAACCGAAAAGGTGTGGCACCGAGGCTCGTTGTCAAGCCCTTTAACCGGTAGCTGAACAATAGCCAGCCTCACTCAAAGTCTCACAATGGGTAGTACCTCTCACAATGGTACAGACTACCGACAATGGCACATACTATTGACAATAGGTAGAGGTAGACTTCACTCGTATATCTTTGAACCTCACCAGACGTGATCCTACTTAACCGATGCCTGCGCGATTCATCTGCCATTCATCTAACCCTTCGTCTCACACCCACTCACTCAACCATCTACAAGGTTTTACTTCTGTAAGCTTTCTCCGTCTTCGTCTGTCGCAGCCTCGCTAACACACACAGAAAGACATCGCACTACATATTCGATGTTCCCCAACCTTACAATCCATGACGTCGATCCAGGTGTCATGGAGGCCGTATGGCGCAATGGTCAAATGCGCCTGGTTGTGTTCTCGTTTGTGCGGTGGGCGACGAGAACAAGTGGGTTCGAATCCTGCTATGGCCCCCTTCTGACCCGGCTTGTGCGAGTCGACAACCAGCACACGACAGTGGAGAGGCCCCTTATCGCAGAGCCCGATAGCCAAGCAGCTTGTCTCCATAATACCCATTCCTGCGAGGTTTTTCCCCTTGTGATTTCTCTCACCAGCAGATAACAAACACCTATTTCACCCACCAATGCGACATATATCGAACGGCTACTGGAACGATATGTACACCAGAGGACTGAGGTCCATTGGGTCGCTTTGTCACTGGATAGGAGGTTTTTCTGACGGAATCGTGCTTGGGTATTGACTAAAACCATCTAGACACTCCAGATTGGTACCGCTATAGCGAGGATAGGCTCGTGCGCGGATCTGAATGTATCTAGACTGACACCTCTACAACCTTGCGATGCAATGGCTCTGGGAGGCGTGGTTTGCCCTATGGAGGGACTGTACCCACGATAAATACAATCAATCAATCAATCAGGTGTCATGGACCTCCAAAGAGTCACCGCGGACGGCTTTGTCGATTCGCCAGACTCTGGAGAAGAACGCGTACCACGGCAGCAGGTCCACGTGAACCCGAACGAGCCTGTGTCAGCCCCCGCAATGGGCGCGGTTGATATTCTATTCAACCCACTGCTGGATTCGAATGCTTTGGCTCACGTGGAGGACGCCGCTCTACCCCCTCATCCTTCTCACGCGCAGCCCATCGCTGGCTCCACCCCTTACTTGGGCGACCTCCGTAACCCGGAGAACCATGCCGAGAACGTACCCATCCACGAGAACACATCTGTTTTCATATCGGGACTTCCACCTCATTGCCGCCCAACAGACTTACTTACCCAGTTGAGAGGCATGGGAAGATTTACTCATCGAACATAATAGCCCCACAAGGCTACCATGCCACGACGGCCGCAAAGGTGGTCTTCTGGACCCGCCTGGGTCTGGACAACCTCATCCCCAAGTGGCGTCGGGGCCAGTTCACGGTGTTGGAAGTGAAGCCGCGGGTGGTCATGAACCGGTACCATACCTCAGCCAAACCCTACTCTCAAGCATCGAGAGTCTTAATCATCACCGGATCCGCAGAGATCATCGATATCTTCGAGCTGTTCTTTCTCTTTCGCGCGAACTTTCACTTCGAGCTGGAAGATATGGTGGAAACCACTCGTGGTGCCCACCAGGCTACCATCAAGGTGATCTTTGCTTCATATAGAGCACAAGCAAGCGCCGCGTGGGAGCTCATTCGCCGCTACAAGAGGGAGCCAGAGCGAAGAAGTGGCCTTTTACGGCTGCCGGGGAGGATCAAGAAAAAGTCACACTGACGCGACGCGAGGTCGACCTATGGCGGTCTGCCGCGATGGCCTGGGGCGCAGACCCCAGTGCTGAGTAAGCTGGGGAGGGAGTAATGGGCGCCTTTCGTTCTGAGATCTCAAAGATAACAAGAGAACACGGGCTACGGTTGACTGTTGGACGAGCCCGAGCCGGCGGAATACCATATCACCCAGATCGGAATTGTTCGCGGTCCAGCGCCTTCTCACCACTCCGCATGCGAGGGCAGGGGCTTGACCCTAAACCTTACATCCACGGACCAAAGGGAACTACTCCGACGATGCCTTCGTTGTGCCGGCATCTCACATCAATCTACGCATGCGCTCCACGGGGTTTAGCGATAGGTTCTGGGGAAAAGAACGGAGTCAAACAATTAGATAGTCTCCGAGTTTGACGAACCCAGAAGAACTGCATGAAGACTTCCTTTCCAGGACTCAGACCAAGTGTGATTACCTCTTGACCAGATGAGATATAGAGCAGAGTGGTGAGAGCATGACACACTTAGGCCACTGGAACTCGCGCGATGACCCTGTCCGACGCGAGCTGAATGGGGGCTGTTGAAACCCCCATGACTTTCCGCGTCTAAGAGACCTGAGCTAGTGCTTTACTGGGATTGGATGGGGTATATGTAACAAGGCAATGGCAGAATCCCACAATATCAATAGTACAGTGGTCCACGTACAACCAATCAGGATCTAGAGGTGTTCCCGATCTAGACGGGAACACCTTTGAGTTTGCTAAGCCCTACAGCCCTACCCGCTGTGGAGCTTAACCTTATCTAGTTCCGACAGCTGCTTCGCATGTCCCCCTTTCCTTTGTACACTCGTAACTTGTCAAAATTGACTTCGTGTTCCCAATCCAGCAAATTGGGAGATAGTATCGATGGTATGGAATCATTTCAGGCTCCGCCATAACCTTGAGCAAATTAACGATTTTTATTTATTTCTTAGCGGCTCAAGGCCGAACTCTGTTTGTCTTCTCCCTCAACCTCAACGCCACGTTACAATTGATGACTCTTCCATTCATGTCTTACATATTAACTTGCTCAACATGCTGGTGTCATCTGCCAAGTAGTGAATAAGGTTCGTCCACAGTATCCATTTTTGCCTTTCAAGTGACAGTCGAGTCGGTACGTACAGAAGCCTCTGGGCAATAGAGTTTCATGTATCTCCGTGGAAGTCTGCCTAGGCGTATATTTAAAGTCTCTATTGTCTGCTAAATCTTCTCGTCCATACTTTCCCAGACAAACCTTCGACTTTGCCTGCCTTTTCCTGGCTGAACACAGCTTGATCCGGAATACTGTATCTGGCGGTCAGGTCTCTTCACTGAATACTCCTTTCACTATCACGGCCTTATCAACTGGACTCGTCTTCATCAGTATCCAGCAAAACACTATCACCTTAGCTTCCTCCACCAGCCCGTTTCTCCCCCTTGCCCAAGGCGTTGCTAGCACCCGCGCCACGGCCGACCAACTAGAGGAAGAGCTCGCACAGGTTCTAATACGACTCAGGACAACATGTCCTGATGCGCAGCTCGGAACAGATACCGAGACGACCAATGTAGACGAGCTCAGTCACGTTGGGCAGCCTGAAGCCGATCGAACTTCAATCGGCGAACCGACAACCTACGATGTGACAACCTATGAACCGACAACCGTCGAAATGACAGCCGATGACATTATAACCAACGGAGAGAACATTGACGAAGAGACGGCGGACGAAGAGATGACAGACGGAGAGAACATCGACGAAGAGATGACCGACGGCGAGACCGAGAACAAGACCAACGACGAGACCAACGATGAAGAGATGACAGACGCCGAGACCGACGACGAGGAGATGACGAAATAGAAACGGCCAACGACATGAAGACTGATGAAGTGACAATGGACGACACATCATCAACATCTTCCGTCGATCTGTATTCGGTGGGGATGGAGGTTGACATCGGCAGCATCCCAAACCCAACTTGGCCTCGTCGCTACCTCGCAATAGGTCCGAAGAGGCGATGCGCACTCACCGACGAGGGTATGGTACGCGCTGAGGACATCGAATATTGAGGATCGGGCCGCATGAGACAGCGGTGACAGCGGGAAGACCGGTGGCTTGAGGTCTGCCTCCCCCCGGTGGCTTGAGGACGCTGGTATTGCTCGACAAGTCCTGGCCCGACTCGGAGCGCAGAGTTGTCTCCTCGGTGGTTTTTCCATCCTATGTGAGAAGGCGAAAGCTGGGCGACGATTCTGGAGGGGGTAGTCATGGGCTGCAACTTTTCAGGATTCGCTCCCTCGGTGTGGTTTTCTTCGGGGTAAGTTCTTCACACTGTCGTTCGCCACTCTAGCTAGATACCTTGAGGTCGTGAGGGAAGCACTGCATTATCCAACCTCTGCAGATAGACTCGATAGGTGGACGACGACGTGTCAGGAAGCATATCCGGAACAAAGGAATCATACATGTACATATACATGGCCTCCAGGCCTGATTAGTATTGTAGCCCTCTGCAGAGCAACATACATCTTTACCCCCCTATATGGTTCGCCTTCTGACACGACGAGTGTCCTCTACGGGGCTTCAGCTTGTGGCCTTAGCACACGAACCAACGCAAATGTGACTGTGGCGATTAACTTAGCGGTATTCATGAGAGTTGCGAGTTGTGACAGTGTCTGTAAGTGTGACTGTGACCGCCAGCTGCATGATTCGTGCCGCTATGATACGTTCTCGTAGAGCGCTGTTAAGTGTGTACGGCACTTGGCTGCGCTGTGTAAGCCTCGGCCGTCACGAGGAGACATGTAGGTCATCGAAAGTTGCTGCACGCGATGAGGTTGAGTCAGTAGGTTATGTTAAGTAGACGTGAGGCCGGCTTGAAACTGCGTCGACGCGTGAGGTCTTGTGTTAAGTGGTGCTGACGTCACACCCCTCCCCCTTTTCGTGTCTCCCGCCAAGTCATGCAGTAAGGTAGGTCACGTCCAATTTCTCATTTTCAATAATCCCATAAACGCTATATAGGGTACAAAAAGACTAGCTACACCGATATCCCCCTTCTCTTATCCTCCAACTCCAAACCAGACGTATCGAGTCTTAAACCACTTCAGGACGGTGAACCACCCGGTCCTGCGACTGCATAGTATCCTGGGAAGATGACGCCACGCGGGAAATCGAAATAGCACATCAACAGGAAGGCAACAATCCACGACAGCGGCAGCGTGTAGATGTTGGAAAGACTCCAAATTGCCGCGACGAGCCCGGCGACTGCGTTGGCAACGCGTGCAGCGGTGGCAGCAGGTGCAGCGACCCACGGGTGACCGCAGACCTGGTCGATGGCAAGGCGGTTATTCGGGTCATATTGCAAAATCCCTCGCAAGAGGTTGACGATCTGCAGCGTCTCATGCTCCGGAATTTGGTAATTGATGTTGCGGGACGTCCTCGGGCGGTCCCAGCTCCGCCGCTATCATGTCTTGGCTAGTTTGGGTACCCGGGTGGGCCGTCGCCATGGAATCGGCCCTCAGCGCGTTGTTGTCCTGGAGTGCGAGACTCCTAGGCGTCGTCGCTGGCCAACCGCTCCTGAAGTTGGCTGCCTCTCTTCTCAGGGCGTTGTATGCCGGCCAGTATGCGGCAGTCAGTGGCCCCAGATGCAACTGCATCATGCCGATGGGGGTGTTCTTGTCGTGTGTCTCGTCGTCGAAGAGGTACTCCCCCGCGTGGGCGAAGTAGATCGTGCAGGCCAGCGACCAGATATCGCTATGCAGGCCCAGCTGCCCGGACTGGGGCAGCAAGACCTCGGGCGCGGCGGTTGAGATCGTAGCAGGGACTGTGGCGGGTGGGTTGGTGGCCATGAACGCGCTCGAGAAGTCGGCGAGGACTATCGAGTTCGAGTCCCACGACAGACGGGCGGGAGGGCGTTCCACCGGGTCGGCCCATCCCTTTTGAACGGGCACGACGCAGTACTTCGGGGCCCGATTCCCGAGAGACGCGCCGGACACCGTCTCCATCTCCGAGCCAATGCGCTCACCCATACGCTACAGGAGTTCAGCTCTAGTCAGATTATTGAGGTTAATGGTCCGCATCCTGATGGTGTCTGGGCTGGTGTTTCCGTAGCACACTCCCTGGGCGTGCAGGAAGCGCACCGCTTCCGCGATCTGGCGATTGACATTCATGGTCGTAGTTATGGGCTCCTGCGTCTCGCCATGTTGATGGGCCCGCCATTGTCTGAGCGTGTTGCCTAGAACGGGCGTGACGAGACAGCGGTGACGACCATTAGGACCGTCGAGGAAGAACTCCTCGTGCGGTACCAAGATGTTGGCAGCCTCCAATTGCGGCTGGGTGGCGCGGACACGGAGGTAGGCCTGCATTAGAACACTCGGCTCCGTGTTTGCCGAATGGGCGGCCGTCATGATCTTGACGGCCTTCCATGTGAACTCGGTGTTGACCCGGCAGAACCAGACTAGGCCGTCCGGCTCGTTGGCCAGCTTGTGGACGACTTCAAATCGGCCGTTGTGGACCTCATCCAGATGAAAGGGGTGGTGGCCACCCTGGTTGTATAGCTGGACATCTTCGAGTCCCGGTACTTAAGTCTCGGTAAGCAACCTTAGCAGTCATGTTTGGCGGCGTGTGCAGCTGGTCTCCTGAAGGTTGTGAATCGAACGAGTTGACATGAACTGCAATAGGAACAGGGAACTGGTCAATCGGGTATGATTGTATCACTCAGATCCAACATGCGCTTCAACGAAGCAAGGTTTTCTGTGTGAAGCTCCATCAGCATGTTTAGTAAGGCACCTTGTCGAAGTCCCTTTGAGGTTATTTTTGCCAAATGCGGATTACAACTATTCGGCGGCACAAAGGAGGTGCCCGAGAACGTATCACAACCACTTGCTGTCAAAAATATGTCACTCTCCGAGGCCTAGACTGGTGTCTCAAAGAAACTCGCTCAATACTGTGCAGGCTTTGGCTTTAATGCGTCTACAGCAAAATTTGCTCTCTTACGGTTCGTGCCCCTGGTGGAACCAGGACAAGTGAAGCTTAATATGGCTCCAACGAAAGCTCATCTAATACCTCTTGGAGATGGGTCGCGAGTGCCATACATAGAGAGTATTCTCGCACGGCAATCTCACCCCAATCTTTTCTACGAACCACACACAAGTAACGATCAACAAGAAGCTCCACGATTTCCTCCACCAACCACACACAATAAATAGACACCAACTTACCTCATCAACGATAGCGACCTTTGTCCATTCATCCCATTTAACTCACGATCACCAAGACCGACGGGATGGAGCACCCTGCGACTATGACTCACCCTGCCAACGCGCAGCAGCATCCCAACGGCAATGATACGCCGACCCGCCCGAGGGCTCGATCCCAGTCTATGCCACCTCCTTCGGGAATTGTATGTCAACCAGCAACATTCCTCACTGATACTTAAAACATGCACTAACATGTCACAACTAGACACCGACCCTCCAGAACATCGTCGCGACCGTCAACCTCGACATCGTGCTGGACCTGAAGACCGTCGCGCTCCACGCGCGCAACGCCGAGTACAACCCCAAGCGGTTCGCCGCGGTCATCATGCGCATCCGCGAGCCCAAGACCACGGCGCTCATCTTCGCCAGCGGGAAGATGGTGGTGACGGGCGCCAAGTCCGAGGACGACAGCAAGCTCGCCAGCCGCAAGTTCGCGCGCGTCATCCAGAAGCTCGGCTTCAGCGCCAAATTCACCAACTTCAAGATCCAGAACATCGTCGGCTCGTGCGACGTCAAGTTCCCAATCCGCCTGGAGGGCCTGGCTGTCGAGCACCACAGGTTCGCCTCGTACGAGCCCGAGCTCTTCCCGGGCCTCATCTACAGGTACGTACCTATAGAAACATCCCTGCCCATCCCAAGGCCCCGGGCCTTGTATTTGAGAACAAGCTTTGTTGTTTGTTCCTTTTGCCTTCTTCATCTAGGAAATGGCCGTAAGGGTTTAAAAGACAGGATGTTAACGTACACGCAACAGGATGGTGGCGCCGAAGGTTGTGCTGCTGATCTTCGTCTCCGGCAAGGTCGTCCTGACCGGTGCGAAAGAGCGCGAGGAGATACAAAAGGCGTTCGAGCTCATCTACCCGGTGCTCTGTAACTTCCGCAAGACCTAGAACCATAAACAACCATCATCAGCAACATCATCATCTACAAGCGTCATCAATAAGCATCACCAACGGCATCCCGTATCAGTATAACGACCAACTTGTACCAACTGTGCTTCGAGAGGTATAAGCCGACCTCAACCACGACCGCTGCAGTTCTTGCATTTACCACTATTATCATACGTCTTTACCGGCTGGCTATGACTCGCAGAGCTTGCGCAGGCCTCGATTCAACCAACTGCTTTGATATGCATCTCGAGCGTCGAGGCTTTTATCTCCATCGAAAGACTGGTTTTACAGCAAGAAACATCGGTTAGAGCAGGAGACGAGCGCGCCTGCGAGGGCACAGCGCTTTATCAGCCCGGGTGGGAAGGCTGAGCAAGACTGACGACGAGACAGCGGAGGACGGCGAGTGCGTGCTTACTTGGTGTCCGTGAAGGATAGTTGGTGCGGACTAGCATCACGTAGCTAGGCCTGGCGTTGAGCGAAGGACCGATGCAAGAGACTAGGCACCAAAAGCCGACGTTGACTATCACATGAGCCTATCAAATCAAAACACTCATCATTTACTCGCGATCCTCATTGCCCGTTGGTCGTGAGTGCTAGTACGTCATTCATCTTTTATTCGCACCCTAACTATACCACTTTCACCGACCGAGCTGCATTGCGGGCTCAAGAGAAACTCACCGCCGCTCGCTTCACTCACGGGCTACCTCCCAACTTCCCGCCTTAGGCAGGCAATGCAGCGGCGCGGCTAGGCGTGGTTGACGGGCTTGTCGATAGATGCAGCTTACTGGGAGAAGCGGGCTCAGAGCTAACTATGCTGCACTCCCAGCCAACTCACCTATTGCCCGAGTCACGAGTTGAAAATGAAGTCGGAATGAACACGGGGCTCTTGAGTGGGCCCCAATGAAGACGAGTTATCCTTGGGCGACTGCGGTGCCGAAGCCAGCTTAGCATTTATGCATAGATGAACACAGGGGATAATGCGACACGTAAAAAATCGTGACCATAGGTAGAAACAAGATCAATTTCAAGTTTTGAGTGCTACATCGGTTGTGAGAACGCCGAAACCATGCAAAGCGCATAAGGCCCCCCGTGACTAGATGAACACCAATAGTACAGTCCTGAATTTTAACTCCACCAAGCAACCGAACGCCAGCGCTCCCAAGTACCTGCCTCATGCAAAAGCGCCCACCAGAGCCATGAGCGTAGCCCCAGCAAACACAGCGAGACCAGCGTCCCTGCGCCTCGTCCCCTTCAGTGATTTATAACTCTTCTCCGTGAGGAAATCCTCAGCTAGTAGTTGAACCAAGCCCGCAAATAACAGCAGGCCGCTGGAAATGGCATTCATAAAACCCACCATCAGCAAGCCCGTCTGGCTCTTGGGGTCGTACAGCGTATGCACGCCCAGCCCGATGGCCTGACCCAGGGGCGTGGTGACCCCGTACGCCAGAACCATCAGCCAGGGGCGTATAGAAGACCGCGGAAACTGGATCGCCGCGATGCGCGACCCGAGCGCGAGCCCCTCGAAGGTCTGGTGGAAGGCGATGGCGACTAGGAAGACCACGAACGGGGGCCCTATGGCGACTGAGACTGCCATGCCGATGAATATGCTGTGGAACAGAATCCCGGCTTCTAGCAGCATGCATTGCAGCATGAGCCGCTGTTGCTCTTCGGGCGTAGGCGGGACCTGCTGGGTCCCAGATTCGGAGTGCCGTTTTGCATGGTTGGGACGCGCAAGGGGTCGCGCGTCGTCGTTGGTCGCGGGGTCTAGCTCGTTTAGGTCTAGGTCTAGGTCTTGGTCTTGGTACAGGCCATCCTCATCCTCATCGTCCTCGTCTTCATCGTTCTTGTTAGAGACAAAGAGCTTTCTCCCGTTCGGCGCTACGACCGTGGGCGTGGAATTTGGCAACGGCGATACATCGGCCATGAGCCCTCGACTCGCTCCCACGTCGTTCAGCGCGATGTCCGCTGGTCGGTGGCCCGAGGCTCTCCTTGCAGCCAAGCCACCGTTGGTCTGGGATTCTGTAGTCTCCTCCTCTGAATCCTCGTCCTCCGAGTCCCAGCCGTGGTTGTGCGCGTGCGAGTGCCCAGCGCCCCTAATCGTCAGGTACGACTCTATCGTCACGACTATCAAAGCCGAGACCATGGACACTAGTCCCGCCATGGGATGGTATCCCTTGCTGAAGACGTATGGTAGACATGGGTCGGTGAGGGACAGGAATGCGGTCGGCAGGAGATGGACAAAGGCGGTCGCGATCAGGACGCCGGTTCCGAAGTGTTGGCCCAGGAAGATGACGGTATTCGCGCGGCGACTCTTGGATCTCTGGCGGGAGAACAGCGGGAAGCCGCAAGCTGCAGGTCCCGAATACGTTAGCATGCATTATTACGGAGTAGCCGGAGACGCAGTGACAGCCACGGGAGAAGCTTACAGAGCGTGCTGAGGGCGAGGATGAGGATCAGAGCAAAGACATGGAGCGGGGTGTCGTATGCGCCTCGTTCGCCCGAGCCGCAGGCGGGCTTCTCTGGCTCGCCATTGTCATCTTCTTGCCGTCTGGAAATTTCGGCGAGAAGGAGATCTGTCGGTATCGAGGACCAGGAGACGTCTGAGCAAGATCGCATTAGTGTGACATGCTCGCAAGGGATGATTCATTGCCACGTACCTCGTGGGTTGAACATCTCCATGGCGAGATGTTGCGGTTAATTGGGGGTCAATCAAGCGCAGCCGAGTCGAAGGGAATACATCATTGTTACAATTCCACGGATTGGGAATAAAGGGCTTTCGCTACGGCGTTCAATCTGGATATTCGAATGTCATTGTTCTGATCACAAGCTGAAGGAGGCTGAAGTGGATGGCACGAAGTTGTAACTTTTGGGAATGGACAGCTGTACCGAGGCGTAATACTACGTAATACTACATCTACAGATGGGGACAGCTGGTGCCAGGTGTCCAGCAGCTGTGGGCACTAGCACTCTCTGCGACCCTGTCACCAGGTGCCCAAACCCAGGTCTAACCATGTTTTTCTTTACAAGGAGATATGTATGGGTGCCCTGCATAACGCCCACCCACCCTTAGGTATAACAATCTCAAGATACAAAAAAAGAGGGCCGTGCACGCGCCGTAGCCCTGGGACTCCATCTTTTGACGTCTTGTCTTGTTCTCGCCAAAATTGCAATGGCGGCCACTCTTCATCTCGACGTCTTCTGTTCCGGTCTCTGCCGTCAGGTTCAGCGCCACTAGGCAGCTCGCCAAAAAAGTGCGCATAATGTGCTGACGCTTCCTCTGGACCTCGAGCTGAACGATTGGGTAGGTTGCCATGGGGTTTCGTCAGTTGATCCCAGAATGGATTCTCATCGTGTGCCAACGGCGTCGATTGCACCGGACCACCCTGCATATGGCCATTCTGTGGATTACCGACTGCACGGCCATGATGTGCCGAGGATGCTTCTGGACCTTGACCCTGAACGATTGTGTAGGTTGCCATGGAATTGATAATACCCGGCTGGATACTCCTGATGTGCCCACATCGTCGACCGCACCGACCGCAATGCATATGCCAATTCTGCGAACGGCCGACTGGAAGAGTATGACGTGCTAGAGATGCCTCTGAACCTCGAATTGGACCGTTGGACATATACCCATTCTGTGGACGGCCGACTGGATAAGCATGACCTGCTGAGGAGGCTTCTCCATCTCGACTTGGACCGTTGGCCAGATTGCCCTGGGATTGATATCCGACTGGATACCCATGAGGTGCCGACGGCGTCGATTCCACCGGACATTCTGCGCATAGCCACCTGGAAAGCCGTAAGGTGCGGATCGCGGGTATTGCACCGGACCGCTGGGCATATAGCCATTCGGTTCATAGCCACCTGGAAGGTCGTCAGACGCGGACATCGTCAAGCTCCCCCAGCTGCTTGACGGCGTACCGTTAGGTTGGTGGCCAGCCGTTGGGCCATTCTGCGCATAGCTAGCTCGAAGGCCGGATTGTTTGAATGGCGTCGAGCTGCCCCGACTTCTTGACGGCGTACCGTTAGGTCGGTGGCCAGCCGTTAGGCCATTCTGCGTATAGCCAGCTCGAAGGCCGGATTGTTTGAATGGCGTCGAGCTGCCCCGACTTCTTAACGCCGAGGTGGTGAGTCGATAGCCAGCCTTCGGACCATTCTGCGCCGTCTGGAATCGCTGGGGTCCAAAGTGGTTCGAGACTCCATCTGACGCATCACTAATCGTCGAAGACCACGAGGACGGACCGGCGGACTGGCTGTGCACCCGACTGCGATCTCGTTCGCCTCCAGCTTGGCGGAGCCCAACATCGGAGAAACTCAATGTATCCTCATAGGCCCATTTGATTGAACGAAACTTGCCATCGTCTCTGAATTGAGAATGCCCACCCCCATAGGCGGGAACTCGGAGCCCGCCCCCGGCAGTCATCCCTCCCTCTGATGGACTTGGGGTTGGGGATAGCAATCCACCTGAATGCTCAAAGTTTCTCAGCGAGCTACCGGCAGTCGTCCCTCCCTTAGATGGATTCGAGGACGGGGATGGCAATCCACCTCCACGCAGCGAATGCTTGAAATCTCCCAGCCTGCCATTCGGATTCCCTGTGAGCGCCTGGGTGTTATCAGTCGCACTCTCTGTCTCGACAGCGACGGACGCTGTCGCCGTCGCCGCATCGTCGGCAACCTCATCATCAAGATACTCCTCGTTCACATATAACTTCCAATCAATTCCGTCGTCCTGGACTCTCGGTTCTGATGCTGGCTGGGATGGTTCCCACGGAAGGAGCGAGTCTGGTGCGAGAGGACGCGTTTGTCGCTGCAACAACTCATTGTCCAGAGGCGCCTCCAATGCCGGGATCATGTGCAGTAAGAGCTGTATATCGCCCCGATCCAGAGGTAGGTCAGGGTCTTGAAGCCATAATTCAAACGTATCCTTGATGTTGGACAGGTCTTCGCGGATTTCTCGCAATCGTTTATGTCTGCCCGGCGCATCGAGGTCGTCGAGCTCTGGAAAGTTATTCTGGCATCGGACATCAGCAAGGACGAAGACCCGGAACTGGGCTGCTTTGGGTACAGAATGTGGAGGTTGACTCACTGTTTTGTGCTGGTGAAGCCAGAGCAGCCTCTTCTCAATCTTGTCGTACTGGTCCGTAATGGACTTGTCTGGCGGTTCTGTCATATCTCTTAGACCATATCGTGGATGCGGCTACAACGGTGTACGTATACTGCGTTTTTTCGATACTGAGTAGCTGCGAATGATGGAGCAAAAAGATATCGTTGATGGAGAAGAATGTCATGTGGAGAGAGGTGAGAGGCGCAAAGCTAAACAGCCATGCGTTCCTACCGTTTTCCACGCTACAGGAAGTCGCAAGCCTTCAGCCGTTTTGGTCGTTTGTACCATGGTCAATGATAGTGTCCGAGTCTCGCCTATATGCAACGGACCAACGTCTTTACCAGCAAAGTAGATTGAGACGACGCTTACCTGGAGTTCAATCTTGTGAGATGTCTTAGACACCACCCAAATTCATGTTTATGTTCGTCGCAACCCCTTGTGTACCTACGGTATGCAACTTCGGCCGGCAAGTCAGGAAGCACATCGGCGTTGTACCTTCCAGTACTGCGACTTGATCCTTGAGCAGTGACTACCTTACCTGCATGTACCTAGCTACCTTGGTACTGGACACCTTGTGCTTATTCATGCCCACGTGCAAGCACTCGATACTAGCGCGACCCCAAGCCCCAGAGCAAAGTCGAACCTAAATATATGGGTCGGACCGTCCCGCAACCTTAAATTGTCACGGTGGTTTGGCGGCTGAGCCTCTGCGAAAATCCTCGCTTGTCGGCTCCGCCATCATAGTCTCAATCCCATGACCTTCGTGAAGCCGCTTCCGGATGAGATTGAAACCAAGATTGAGAGTTAGGTGCTCAACCATAGCGCTGTGGCAGAATCCTCTGCTGCGTGCGTACGTCTAACTGTGGGATGTCACGTAAGCCACCGTGGCGTCAGGGGGTGGCTGTGCATTGATCAGGGGCTATTATGGCATTTCGGTGGGACAGCAGGTGCAATGTGGTTTCTGTGTTCTCAACCCCGAGCTCAGGGGTTCGAACAATGCGGGTAGAATCGCTCCATCGCGACTCCTCCCTATGCGCTGTAGTAGCTCCAGAGGGCAGATACTGACCTGGGGGTTGATACTGGTGAAACCAGAGCGGTGCCGAAGGTCGTTCAAGGGTCCGGAAGAAGGGACCGTTGTAAAAATGGGGTAAGGTGTACTTGTTTGGTGGCGCCTAAGAATTTGCTTGCCAACGCAATAATCACAGACTAAGCAAATTTTTCCAAGTGCAGAACAGTAGCATTGTGTCTGTTCTGTCCGCACGACCTGATTCCATGGTCGAAAGTCTCCTCGAGGGGGAACTGGGCAGTCTTGCCACATCCTCCGGCATGGGACCAGACGGCAAGGCCAACAAGTTCTAAACACAGTCTAAAGATCACCGCTGTGTCAGACTCGATGCCTACCTTAATCTGTACGACTCCACCATCCGTTGACTGGCATTGATTGAGGCTGGATCGTCACTGTGACTTTACTTCAGCCCCCTATTCGCTGGGGTCTCCACATCCACGAGTGTCGCCCGGGAACCTGTAGTAGTCTCGTCTAGAACAGCTGGTTGGTAATTTTTGTGACAGTTCGCCAAATCTGCTGTACTCCCACGTGAGGCTCGAAACAAAGAATCTTCATATTCTTCTTCGTTCCATTCGTGTCATGAGACGTAGAAGAAAACTCGTTGGGACCACAGAGTCCCCGAGTTCAATACTGACCTGTGGATATATAAGCAGCCCAAGGACCGCACGGACAGCCAGAATAATCGCAGCACTACAAACCAAACCCTTCCCAAACCCCATCTGCAACATCAGCTTCACCACCCACCCCGAGACAAACCATAACTTACCGGTAAGTTAAGCCTCCCAACTTCACCCATGGTCATTGCATGTTCCTCACACATGTCGGCACATGGCCAATGATGCACAGGTGCCCTGGGGAACCCGCCATTCAGACTGCTAATTTTTTTGATAGGTGTCGCCTCCGGCTGCCTGACACGAACAATGTGCTTAGAGTACCAAGTACAATACGTCTGCGGCCACTCGGTTATTCACAAAGCCGGTTGTTTTAACGAACACCAACCGGGACATATTCCTGAACACGATAATCAGATCCGACAGCAGCACAGAAATGCCCATTAGGTTTCTGCACGTTTGATGTGCGCTTCTGGATGTGCTGTTACTGTGGCTACGAATACAACCTTGCAGCAAATTGCACAAACATACTCAGTGGCGGCATCGCCGCGGGTATGCCGACCGAACATTGCCCGTGCTTTCATGGCCGTTGTGGTACCTGCCATATATACCAGGCCAAGAGACTCGAGATCAACGGCTAGGGCGAGAGCGAAGCGAACGGCGAGCATGATAGACGTAGGCGAAGGGGATGATTGTATGATTGCTTTGGAATGCTGTGATGTTGGACGCGGGCATGAAAGTGGGTGATAAAACAGAAGGACGGAGTTTCTGGCAAAAGCATGGGTGGGAAAACAGGAGGATGGAGTTTTTGATTTCTGATGTTTTATTTCCTTAGTTTCTGGGCACGGCACCGGAGTTCTGTTTTTTCTTTTGTTTTCGCGCGTTTGGGTTTGGGTCTTTCCTTGTGTGCGGTAATGGGGCTTTGTTTTTTTGTTTTGTTTTGGGGCGTTTGGGCTCAGAATTTTCCCTGCAGTTGAACAGCTCGATATCAATAATAAAAGCAGTCGAGCTAAATTAGTTGGCGGTATAATTGAGAGCTGTGCAGGACGAGGCACGGGTTCAACCTTGCACCACACCTATGAACAGCTGCCTTTCCTCGCGGTCATTACTAGACCTACAATGCATCAGTTTCTATATACACCAAGTAAAGCCAAGCTTATGTGACTGCTCTTGTCCTTGCCAGACACTGTTGAGATATATACTCACTCTGATGAGGGTTTACATGCGAGGGGTCACTGTAAATTAGCATTGCGGAGGCGTGGTTGTTACCTGCGTAAGATGTAATGTCAACAAAAAACCCGGCAAACACAATTAATACATGACAGGTCAAGTTACCAAACGACATTTAACAAGCGAAAGAAAATATCAAAAAAGGTCATAGTAGGAATTCGAGTTAACCACCCATATTCTGTAAGAGGTATGAACGAGACTCTTCATTAGCATTAGTAAACATCCTTTTCATACGATTACATTTTCGACACTACATCGTTATCCAATCCTCAATCGCTATAGGATCCATTCAAGCTATCAGCACGGCCCCGGCCGCGGCGAAGAAAGCGATACCGAAGTGAGCACCTACAGAGACAGCACCAGCAGTGATAGGAGTAGACGTCGGAGTCGCAGTAGCGCTCACAGTAGGCCCACTGGTGTAGGTCGACGTGTAGGAAGATCCCCCGCTGAACACCGGCAAGGAGCTGTTGGCTGTGATGATCGTGTAGGCGACACCGGGAGCCGAGACCGGGGGAATAACCGGCACCGAAGGGCAGGGAATGGTCGTGACGGAGTAGGAAGTCTCGGTTCCGCTCACTGTTGGCTGGCTCACGGTGATGGAGTAGGAGTTGGTGACAGGAGCGGACGTAGTCTCCGCTGTGGTCGGGTACACTACGTAAGTCTGAGTGGTCGTGGTCTCAGTGGTCGTGGTCTCAGTGGTGGTAGCGTCCGTGGTGGTAGCCGCCGTGGTGGTAGCCGCCGTGGTGGTAGCCTCCGTGGTGGTAGTCTCCGTTGTGGTAGCCTCCGTGGTGGTCGTATTCGCGGTCGTAGCCCCTGTGGTCGTAGCAATGCTACTGGAGGATACTGTGACTGTAGTGGATAAGGTCGACGTAGCACCCATGCTAGGAACGGGGGTACTCGTCTCGACGGGCACCGATGAGCTTGTCGTGGGCTCTGTGCTCACGTCGCCGAGCTTCATCTTGACCCAGTCGGCCGCTTGCTGGGTGTAGACATCGAAGTAGTTAAGATGGTCCGCGACACTATCACCTGACGCGCACACAATGTCGTCGTCAGCGCAATAGTCCTGGATCACGTCTGCGAACCTGTTTAGGTTCGCAAGCTGGGTGCCGCTTCGAGGAAAGCCGCTGTTCCTGCTTGCGCCTCCTAAGGTGTTGAAGGGCTGGTTGGCCGTGTGGCGGACGTCGCCAAAGGTGAGAGCGGCGGTGACTGCTTGATGCGTTAGCATGCGAAGGTCTGATCGAGATGGCAGCCCCGAGTGTAATGTTTGGGTTGTTTACGCATGGTCCCGGCACCGCTATATGGGTCGAGGCCAGCACTCTCGGGCTGAACGCAGCCGTCGAAAAAGCTGCCGCCTCCACCGCCAATGATATCCCCGACAACTTGCGCACCCTGCGAGTAGCCACTCAGCACCAGCTTGGTGTCTGGGCACCGCTGGTAGTAGTCCTCCATTTGGGCCACGCCATTGACGGCGCCCTCCGCGACGGCGGTGCAGTAATTGGTTTCTAGGGCGTTGTTGAACATGACGCCCTCGTAGTCACAACTCTCTAAACCTTCGCAGATGGCATCAACCAACACACCCTGGCGGCCTGGGTAGGGCTCATTGTTGCCACGGGCCAAGAAAATGTGGACGGCAGAGCAAGCTTCTTGACGTTTCTGCTGGCTCGTGTTTGGCGTAGCTGCTGCCAAGGCGAGAAGCAGGCCCGCGAGAAGAAGCGGCGTATGCATCGTGATAGTGCTCTGCCTTTATTTCTCCATAAACGGGTGGCAGGGCGATTCAAGTTCACTCTAAGGGGGTAACGAGGTAGGACGATATACTGCGTGTTGCTGGGGAAAGACACATCTGTCGAGAGCGAGACGTGAAGAGACATTTATTTTATTCTCCCCAGCCCATCCCGGCCGGCCCGTGTTGCTTCCCACGGGGTTAAAGGACAGCGGAATACGAGGTTGCATTCGCCTACCGTCAAGGATTCCCCATATCATTGGCCGACCCCATTTGACCCCTTGATCGTCACATTGGAAGCTCCAAATATGGGGCCAAAGCCGTTGGCAGTTCTTGGGGTATTACTCCACGACTCATATGACTTTCCTTTCTGGGAGTGACAGGGCATTTGTGTCCAACGAGAAACGGCATGCAACGCGCCGTTTCGTAAGTGATCTTCGCTGCAGCTGCTAGGATAATGCTCCCTTGTTCGACGCTCGGACGGTGAGACCTCGGAAACCCAAATTGGCATTATTCCGTTTACTCAACACTCAAATCGCGTGCATGAACTCACATGTGCGTGCTGCCATCCTGGTCTCTCTTCAGGTACGACTTGTAGACTCTTTTTTAGTACTTACCAAGTGGACACTCCAATACCTGTGGGGCAAGAGATTATACGAACTGTACTATAGAGTATCAGTAGAGAGCCCTGTACTACCATGTGTCAAGAGCCTTGTTGAAAAGATATATCTCTCGGTCGAAATTGTTAACGGTCCCCTCTACTATAGATCCACTTACTGCACGAATCTGGTGCCTGGCGAGCTTGGCACCAGGGAATACGATATTAGGGGTCATTGAGCACGTGCGTCAGCACTATATGGACGGGACCCCAGCATCGCAATGGGTGTGCATCCACTAACACGGAGCCCCGAGATACGACAAATCGCGCTGAGGCAAGTTCGGATCACCATTGTCGAAAGCTCAGCAAGAAAGGGAGAAATGGTCCCGAACTTGGGCCAAGAGAAATGTAAAACTCTTGTAATGAGCACTCGTGGGCTAGTTACTACGGCCGCTTGAAGAAGAGCCCACGGGGCCACGCCGGGAAACCATCGAATGGTCATCCGTTAACAGCTTGCTCGTTGGTCGTCTATACCATATACCCTGCTCTACGTAAAAGGTAGGACACCAGTGTTTGGCTCTCGCTTCTATTATCTCACGCTGAGGCGGATGCTTCGGTGTTGAAATTTGACTACCACCTCAGACGCACAATCACTGTCTGAAGGAAGCTCCCGCAGATGTCATCAATACTTGACATGGGTGAATCTGGAGGCTTGACAGGGCATGCTTTTTGGCGCTTGCCATCCAAAGGCTCAGAAGTTCAAGCATGATAAAAACACATTCATAGTATTCCGAAGAGAGAATATAGTTAGACATCCGTAGGTCACGCTTTTATTGCCATGTGGCTGTTGGAGCTGGCCAGTGGAGATGAAATAAGCTTCAGCCGCCAATCAGATACGGTTATCGGTTGGGACCGCACCACCTGTCTTTTCAGCTGATTTCTTGTTTCTTCACCGATAGGAGGACGATGGCCGCTTCATCCCCTTCAACAATCACTCAGACAACGAGCCTCACAAAAACAATTATTTTTCTTGGCGCCCCACTGTTAGGGCGCAACCTTGATATTTGCACTAAAGCAGGCACTTCTCTCAATAATTGACTATCTCTGCCAAGGCACAAGAGAATTTTTCTCACAAGTCGGATAGCACCCTTCCACGACGGGCCCCCAAACACGCCCGTGGCCGTCCCAAAGACAACCACTGGCGGCGTGCTTAAATCCCTGGCCCCTAGAAAGACATACGGCCCGGCAACTCCGAACAGGCTCCGCCAGGCGCTGCTTAACGACATCAGCAGCAGCCCGTCACAGGTCTCTGAGGCTGACTTCACCGTTATTTCCCCTCTGAAAGAAAAATCCCAAAATATTAATGACAGACGTACCACTAGAATAAAACGACCTTAATTGAACAAAATCTCGACAGACCAAGCCATTACACGTGATATAGAGAATAAAACCTCTTCCTCAAAGTGCCAGGACCAAGTTGCCAGAATACTGGCTAAAGACAAGCACCTTTATGAAGCCAGGATAACAATGTTTCAAGAATGTGCTGCAATAGTTAATAAGACACTTGAGAAAGCTGGAACCGAACTATACTCTCATGCCAAGGAGTTCAGCGCTTTCTTCTCTAAATGTCTGAGCGAGTGGCTGGAAACCCGAGATCTGCCCAAAAAGAAGACCATCCCTGGGGAGATAGGGATGGTAAAGCCCACCATAATCTTTTCCCAAGCTGTCTCCTCCAGCCAACGACAGTATCCACGGACAGTCAATACTACCATAAAAAAAAACACAGCCTGGCGCCCGCATCACTGCCAACCAACTAAAAAAGAAACAGGATGATCTCCGGGTCTTTATCTGCATAGATAATAGCCACCTAGAGCCTTATGGAATAAAGTCTACACTGAACAGAAGACTTAAGCTCCACCCTCAAGAGCTTAGAGAAGTGACCCGGTGCCCCTCCGGATTTACCTTACACCCAAGGGACAAGCCAACTCAGGCTAAGCTCCTGGCCTTCCAAGAAGAAATCACCGATATTCTTAAGGCAGAAAAGATCGAGACCCATACGGTCTGGTATCACTATAAGGTCAATAGATGCCCAAGAAAGGTCATCAATGCGGAAGGATTGACAATCGACATTACTGACATTATTGTTACTAATGAAATTAAAGCACACACTCTTACCAAAAACAACTATTTTTCTTGGCGCCCCGCTGTTAGGGCGCAACCTCTATATCTGCACTAAAACAGGCATTTATTTCAGTACCTGACTATCCTTGCCAAGGCGCAGAAAATTTTTCTCACAAGCTGGATGGCACCCCTTCACGATAGGCCCCCAAATACGCCAGTGGCCGTCCCAAAGACGACTACTGGCGGCGTGCTCAAATCCCCGGTCCCTAAAAGAACATATGGCCCGGCAACCCCAAGCAAGCTCCGCCAGGCACTGCTCGACGACATCAACAGCAGCCCGTCACAGGTCTCTGAGGCTGACTTCACCATTGTTTCCCCTCTGAAAGGAAAATCCCGAAATATTAATACTAGCAGCATCATTGATATGGAAGTACCTCAATCAAACGAAATCTCTACAGACCAAGCCATTAGAGGCGATACAGGGAACAAGGTCTCTTCCTCAAAGTGCCAGGATCAAGTAGCCAAAATACTGGCTAAAGACAAGCATCTCTATGAAGCCAGGATGACAATGTTTCAGGAGTGTGCTGCAGCAGTCGATAAGACACTGGAAAAAGCTGGAACCGAACTATACTCTCATGCCAAGGAGTTCAGCGCTTTCTTCTCCAAATGCCTGAACGAGTGGCTGGAAACCCGAGATCTGCCCAAAAGAAAGACCACTCCTGGCGGGATAGGGATAGGGAAGCCCACCATGACCTTCGCCCAAGCTGTCTCCTCTGGCCAACGACAGCATCCATGGACAGTCAACACTACCATGAAGAAAACACAGCCTGGCGCCCTCATCACTGCCAACCAACTGAAGAAGAAGCAGGATGATCTCCGGGTCTTTGTCCGCATGGATAATAGCCACCTAGAACCTTATGGAATCAAGTCTACACTGAACAGAAGACTTAAGCTCCACCCTCAGGAGCTTAGAGAAGTGACACGGTGTCCTTCTGGTTTTACCTTACACCCAAGGGACAAGCCAACTCAGGCTAAGCTTCTGGCTTTCCAAGAAGAAATTGCCGACATTCTCAAGGCACAAAAGATTGAGACCCACACAGTCTGGCATCATTACAAGGTCAATGGATGCCCAAGAAAGGTCATCAGTGCAGAAGGGTTCACAATCGATATTACTGACACTGTTGTTGCCGATGAAGTTGAAGCCCAAACAGGCGACAGACCTCTGAGGTGCATACTCTCAAAGAACACGATTGATTCTGATCCAGAAACTACATGGATAATCTCTCTGCCCAGTGCAGCAAGGAAACCATTTACGCTTTTTGCCCACTCAATGACCTCAAGGCATATTCAACACACCCCCAAGGTTCACCAGTGTGCAAGCTGCTTCAGATACCATGGTAGGAATTACCGATGCGAAAAGCAAGTATGTGCACACTGCGCCAACACAGTACACCAGGGAGAGTGCGAAAAACCAATCCCAAAGTGTGTCAACTGCAAAGGACCTCATGCTGCCAACTTCGACAAATGCCCTGCCCGCCCCAAGGTTGTGAAAGGTACCATCCATAAGCACACATGGGAGCAAATCCAGGAAATAAGGCTAGCCGGAGAAAGAGCCAGATCCAAGGCCTTCAACGAAGCAGGCAGAAACCAAGCTGGGTCAACACCTAGCAATAATAACAAAGACACCACAATGCAAATCGACACAACAGATACAACTCATCCCAGAGATGCCGATACCATTGTTGTCAGTCAATGTTAGGTACACCGAACGAAACACATCGACACGGGCATCTAGTCATCCATTCTGTGAACACAGCAGGAGGACAAAAGAGTGCAGGCCCTACAGAGTTAGCCATCAACCTGGCTGACTATAAAGGAGAACAAGCAGACATCATTCTGATGCAAGAGCCCTGGGTTGGCATACCACCAGGCAGGAGAATGGGAGTAAAGACACACCCCAATTACGATATATACTCCCCAGTGGATTCCTGGGACAGCGACAGTACACGGCCCAGATCTCTCATCTATGTGAGAAAATACCTTCAAGCGGATCAACTTCGGCCCTATGCTACACGAGACATCACCTGGGTCAAGGTACAAGGCATTACATTTGCCAGTGTCTACCGGCCATGTGACAACCCACAGGAAGTGGATGACATTCTGGAAGTATGGACTCCACCTTTTGGCTGCGTTATAGCTGGAGATTTCAATGCTGGCGACACATCCTGGGACTCAAGCAATCCAGGATATCATGGTGGTGCTATACTTGCACAAACTATGGCAGAC